TTTTTTTTTCCATCGTTGACCTTGCTAATGTTCACTGCAGAATCCTGACTGGGAAGAAGCCTCCACTTAAAGGTGTTCTTACGATAGACGTTGCGAACTAGGTAATGTGCAGGGAAAACCTAAGGTGCTTGGTATAATTAAGCCTGGTGTAATCCGTACGGCTTCGGAAAACAATATCATGCATCATTCTTTTTATTGTGACGAATCTCTCTAAATCGGCCATCTAGCTGCCATGTTATCCCCTCCACGCAATGTATACAAGACACGGGTCATATAGATCTGAGCTGGAATCTCGAAGGCGATTGATCTTGAGTATAATTTCCAGGCCAAAAAAGAGTACCTTGCGGATAAACCGAGTAAAAAGTAACGATTCGTGATGTTGGTTCTGTTTCCAAAAACAGAAATAGGGCTTAGGGCTCTGTGGATCGCAACTTTTCCGTCCCCGCAGCAAAACGTCGGGAAAGAAGATAGAGAGGTCAAACGGCCGCGATTTCATTGTATTTTTATATCTACCTTAGCAAAAGGCTCTGGAATCAGAGAGAAAGAGGTCGCCATGAAGCTCGACCCAAAAGCCATCCGTTACCTCACTACGGAAGATTTTCGAGTCCTCGCTGCGGTACCTACATCTCCCCCGCGCGTCTCTTATCGCAAGCCTAGATTGATTGACGGCTAACTCGGTGATTCTTTTTTGTTTCTTGTTTCGGTTCCAGGTAGAAGCAGGAAGCAGAAACCATGAAGTTGTACCAACGTCGTTGATCGCGCAGCTGTCAGGTCTTCGTGGTGGAAGTGGCGTGAATAAGGCGATTTCGAACTTGGCCAAGGTCAATTTGATTGGGAAAGTGAAGAATGCAAAATGTACGCTGAGTCTAAGACAATTTTCGAAGAGCGCGCCTGCTGATCATTCTTACGACAGATGATGGCTACCGACTCACATACGGAGGTCTGGACTACCTCGCGCTCAACGCTCACCAGAAGGCAAAGCACGTCTACTCTGTTGGGAACCAGGTTGGGGTGGGCAAGGAATCGGATATCATCGTGGTGGCCCATTCGAGCGGCGAGCAACGGATTCTCAAGATCCACCGGCTGGGTCGCATATCGTTCCGCACGGTCAAAACGAACCGGGACTACCTGCGCAATCGCAATACGGGTTCCTGGATGTACATGTCGCGGCTGGCGGCGATGAAGGAGTTTGCCTTTATGAAGGCGCTACGACAGAATGGGTTCTCGGTGCCCGAGCCCATCTCACAGAACCGACATACCATCGTGATGAGTCTGATCAATGCGTTTCCGATGCGGCAGGTGTCCGAGGTCCCGAACCCTGCCTCGCTTTACTCGGAGTTGATGGATATGATCCTGGAACTGGCACGATATGGGTTAATCCACGGCGACTTCAACGAGTTCAACATCCTGATCAAGGAAGAGGAAGACACCGAGGCTAAGGGCAAGGCACCTGAGACTTCGGAGGGAAGCCGGAACATCCGCCTAGTCCCGGTTCTCATTGACTTCCCGCAGATGGTCTCCATCGATCATCAGAATGCAGAAATGTACTTTGACCGGGACGTGAACTGCATCAAGCGCTTCTTCCAGAGACGGTTCCATTTCACCAGCGATGAACCGGGCCCGTTCTTCTCCGACGCCAAGAAACAGCTCCTCAAGAATCCTGGGAAAAGACTGGATGTCGAGGTTGAAGCCTCGGGCTTCTCGAAGAAGATGGCCAAGGAGCTTGAAGCATATATGAGGGAGGTTGGAGTAGACGGCGACGCGGGTTCTAAAGAAGATCGGGAAGACGACGAGGAAGACGAAGATGACAAAGATGACGACGAGGAGGAAGAGGAAGAGGATGTAGAAGAAGAAAATGCCGACGCTGAAGAGCAAGTGGATTCCAGTGAAGTGGACAACAGCTCGAAAAGGCTTGGAAACCTCAGTGTATCAGACTGATTCCGCCCAATCACACCTGTACTTAGAAATGATGATAATGAACCATGGTCCCAAATGGAACTAATTGTAATTGACAAAGCAAAAAGAAGGAAAGAAAGAAAGAAAACACAGTGTTGTTCAGGCCAAGGTTCAACTCCGCTGCTGGTATCTTAGGCGGTACGGCGCGCGACGCGGCCAACCACGCAATTTCTCTCTCCAAAGTTCCGCCGAGCCTAACACTTTTTGTACGCTTCAAGACGCAAGAATCCTCACGCTGTTCTTCTTCAATCGCCCTCGATCTATCCTGCTTTGATCGGCAAGGGAACAGACAAAATGGTCCGCCGGTTTTCAAAGTTCCCCAAGAAGCCCGCCGACTGGCTGCCTCCTACTGCTCCGCTGTCTATGCGGAAGCAAGTATTTCTGTGAGTGATCACCGGCACCGAACGAAGAGGGAGTTTTACTAATGGTGCTTTTTTTTCTTCCTTCTCAGACCTGAATTCACGATTGCTCTGATCCGGACTCCCTTCCTAGCCCCGCGATATGCCTCGTTCTACGTCCCCCTCAACTTCAACAAACTTGACATGCGCGACTACCTCAAGCGCTTATACGGGGTGACGACCGTCAGCATACGCAGCTTCGTCGAGCAGCAGAAGATTACCCGGATGCGCCCGCTGGGAAAATTCGGTTACGGACGGTGGAGAAGGCCGCAGTCCAAGAAGAAGATGACGGTTGAGATGACAGAGCCGTTTGCATGGCCAGAGGCACCGAAGGACATGGCTGCGTATGTTCTTTTTTCTCTTACATTCTCTTTTTAAGGAATCTAATATTCTGATCGTTGATTCTACAGATGGGAGACGGAACAATACTACAAGGCGAAGAAATACCAGGACCACCTCCACGACCAGCAACGTCCCGAAGCAGCAATGGAGGCCAACAAAGAGGACAGACAGGCCTTTGAGGAACAAGCAAAGGAGCTACAGGACGGCAAGCGCGTGTGGCGACCAACCTGGCAAGCTCTGGGGTTGAACTATGACCGGACGGCCGTGAACAGGAGAAGCAAAGGATCAGCTTCTTCGTAATTCTAATTCGGTTCGGTTCCTTCTACTGTTTTCCCCTTCCTTGTCCTCTCTTGGGCCCAGATACATGAATTGAGCAGAAAAAGCGCATTTTGGTCCCGGGGAATTGATCTATCTTCTTGAGTTCCTGTTTTATGCTACACCGTTCATGGGATGAAACGTGTGTTTCTGTACTATACTGTATATTTGACACAAATCATCAACTGTTTTACTTTATAACTCTCGAGTCCGGGTTTTGGAGCTAATTGCGATTTTTTAAAGCGCAGTGTAATTATAGTCATACTGTAGAAGAAATCAATTCGCTAAAGCCATACTACATAAGTGACACAGAAGAACGGTTAGAAGCAGAGAGCGGCGTTGTATAAAATACTTATACATGCTATCACTCGCTTATACAGATTCGTCAACATTCAGTAGACCTCACAGCCTACTTTCAAAAATATTTGCATGCTGTTCACCAGGGAAATGTGCATCCGGCCAGACATGACGGATGGCCTCCCAAATATGTCTGAGAGAGTAGGACAATGATTAGCATATAAGGAATACAATATATATAAAAAAAGGAATGAACCATACCTGACATGAATTATCTCCAAACCATCCTTTACCTCCTGGGGAACGTCTTTGACCTCTTTCCTGTTATGATCGGGTAGAAGGACGGTTTTGACGCCTGCACGCAGGGCCCCGATCAATTTTTCCTTGATGCCACCGACTGGCATGACGCGTCCTCTCAGGGAGATTTCACCGGTCATGGCGATCTGGGGCGGCACGGCCTTGCCCGTGAATAGGGAGATGAGAGCCAAGGTGTGCGCCAGGCCGGCAGATGGGCCGTCCTTGGGAATCGCGCCGGAAGGGCAGTGGACGTGCAAACTACGGCTCTTCATGATATCTTCGTTTGGATCGTGCGTGAGCCCAAGTTCGAAGGAATGGGCTTTGACCCAGGTCAATGCCACCTCCACAGATTCCTTGAGCACGTCGCCGAGCTTGCCCGTCAGCTGGACGCGGCCGTTGCCAGGCATATCAGCCACCTCGATGAAGAGGATACTTCCCTGGCCGCCGGTGGAATACGCCACGAGGCCCGTCACAACGCCCGGCCGTCCATGTTTCTCGGCTATTTCTTCGTCGAAACGTTCGATCCCAAGAATATCTTCCAGATTGTCGACCGCTACGATGGGGTCGTAAGAGGCTAACGCTCCCGTGTCGGTGGCGTCCGCATATTGGACAGCCTTGTAGCGACAGATCGAACTAATCTCTCGCTCCAGGTTGCGGACACCAGACTCACGTGTATAAGATGTGATGGTCTTGTCGATGACATCGTCAGAGAGATTGACCTGGCCGTCTGCAAGCCCGTTGGCCCGAATTTGCTTGGGGATCAAATGGCGTTTCGCGATATGCCTCTTCTCAACCGTGGTGTAGCCAGACAGCGTGATTGTCTCCATACGATCCAGCAGTGGGGCTGGGATCGTCTCGAGAGAGTTCGCAGTCGCAATGAAGAGGACCTTGCTCAGGTCGATCGGTACGTTGATGTAGTGATCCATGAAGGAATGGTTCTGCTCAGGATCCAAGACTTCCAACATTGCCGCAGATGGATCGCCCTGGAAATTCGCCCCTCCAATCTTGTCGATCTCATCAAGGAGGAAAACAGGGTTAGCGACCCCAACCTTCTTCAGGCCGCTCACTATCAGTCCAGGCATTGCTGCGACGTAGGTTCTGCGGTGGCCACGAATCTCAGCTTCGTCCCGCACGCCTCCCAGTGAGATTCTGTGGAACTTTCGTCCGAGAGACGTTGCGATAGACCGTGCCAGGCTGGTCTTGCCAGTGCCGGGGGGTCCGGCAAGGAGCAGGATGGGAGACTTGTCGCCCATCTGTCTGTTCTTTAGAAGCTGTAATTTAGCTTCAGCTGCAAGTCTGTCCGATTCAGGCAAGGTTTCTTTCTCCTTGTTGTCTTCAGTCATTGTATCCAGCGTCTGCGAAAGTTCGGCGATCTGCTTTTCGACACCTTGGTTGATGGATTGCTTGAGTCTAAGGACTGCAAGGTATTCGAGCAATCGCTTCTTTATTCTCTCCAAACCATAGTGGTCGTCATCCAACTGTTTCCGGGCTTGTTTCAGGGTTTCTGCTCCGAGCTGGTCTTCTGTGACCTTGGTCCACGGGATCTCGGCGAGATTCTCGAGATAGGTTCGACAGACACCGTATTCCGCATTTGCCGGATTCATCTTGCGCAGACGTCTGAGCTCTTTGTCAGCTACCTTTCTGGCCTCGGGACTGAGTTCCGCCTCCTGAAGCTTTTGTTGAAGCTCGTCGACCTCATCGGGCTCCTTCTCATCCTCATTTTGCCCGCTGGAGGCACCAGGTGGTGTCAGTCCTGCCAGGCTGCTCATCGCGCGTCTAGCTAGAAGCTCGCGGGGATCCATCTGACTGATATCGAGTCCAGATGTAGGAGGAAAGGAAGTTGTAGTAGTAAAGGACGTGATTTTAATATTGCTCTTGATGCCCTGCACTTGTCTGCCCAAAACCTCCACAGCCTTCTCCAGCCGACTCTTCAAGTCCGGTGAGGCGAGAATCATCAACTTCTCCTCGAAGGAAGAGTCCGAGATATCTGCCATAAAGTTTACGAGTTTTCCGGCCTGGCTTGGATCCGTCCTAGATATGTAGAGTTCAAATCGACGGGCGACAAGCGGGGAGAGGCGCGACGAGGCATTGGGCAATAATGACGAGAGTCGAAGAAGGGTCAAAAGCTCACGCGAGAGCTGTCTCAGTTGCTGAAACAATTCGTTAATCTCCGAGTCTTGTTCACTAGATTCTGGCAGACAGGTCAGTGGACGAAAGACGAAAAGGAAATAGGTACGGTGCAATAACCCGAGGGAGCACCTACCAATATCATCATGAAACGTAACCTCTGCTTCGAAAAATGGTTCTTCCTGTACGATCCTATCGACAGTAAATCTCTCCATACCCTGGATTAGCAGAAGAGGTTCCGCAAAGGCACGGCGCTGGACACCGGTGACCTTTCCAAGGGTCCCGAATCTGAAGAGATCCTCTTTTCTCGCTTCTCCGGCATCAAGAGAGTCATACTCCCCCCTCTTCTCCGCATCCACAGTCCCATCCTCCAGGAGCTGCTGGCCATCGTTACTCAACAGAGGCGAGCCAAGCGGAACGCATCCGAACGTTATCGGGGTGCCATCGTTCTTCAAACCCGCGGACTGGTTGAGAAGCGACGAGAGCAAGCTAGCCAGATCCGAGCGATTCGCAACTGGAAGCCGCAGTAAGACTCCGGGCAGCAGCACCGTGCCCTTGGGCAGGGGAATCAAAGCAAGCTTGGACGTCTTGCTGCTGTTGGGGGCCATCGTGACCGAGCCGCAGGTGAAACGTCACCGCTATCGCAGGTACCGGTAGTAATGAATGGCAAGAAGAGGATATGAATACTCCGCAGTTCGCAGTCCGGAGTAGTTACAGGGGTAGAAGTTTGTGTTCAAGCACGAGAGCTAACACGGGCGAGGTAAGCTTAATATAAGGTGAGTGGAGGTCCTCAGGTTCCAGAGCCCCGTCGATGAGCGTCACTCTGGGGGAAGATCGTGAGATAAGGAACCCGCGTCCGAAACCGAGGTCCGTACATCGGAGGGTTGGAACGAGCATCAGTTACGCTCAAGCAGGGATATTTGTATATTTATACTTAATCAAATCATTCATACCTCATAAGGAACCATTAAAACTACATAAATTCCCACTTCATATCCTCACAGTGCCTGCAGTGCAGGGGACAGAGCGAAATCGCCCCCAAAAGCACCGCCTCTGGGCCGAGTCGGCGCAGTCCCGTGATCGCGGAAAAGATTCCTCAGGAACCAACGCCTCGAGTTGTTCTCAACGACGACCACGTCTGGATCTTGCGTCTGCAGAACCGCACGATTTGAAGGTTTTTACGTGAACCGAGTCGCATCTGTCAATCAACTTTACTATTCAGGAATCAAAGGCTGTTTTGCTTGCCTCCTCTCAGAATGGCTGCCCCGCCTAACCCCTCCTCTGCAGATCGCTCGCGACGCGTGTTCACCGTTGGGACTCGCAGTTCGAAGCTTGCTCTCATGCAAACGGACATGGTCGTGGCGGAGTTGAAGAAGGTTTGTCCCGAGTATGAATTCAAGATCCACTCGCGCGAGACGGCGGGCGATCGGAGCATGATTGCGTTGAGAGATTTCACCACGAAGAACCTGTGGACGGAAGAGCTGGAAGAACTCTTAATCAAGGGCGATGTGGATATCATTGTTCATTCTCTGAAAGGTGAGTGGCGGTAGAAGGGGTTTTTTTTATATATACTTCAAGGTCCAAAACTGACGTGGTTGGGTTTTCAGATGTACCAACCCTTCTACCTGCCGGTTGCACTTTGGGCCCGACGCTAGAACGTGAGGATTCTAGAGATGTGTTAGTGATGAAACAAGGCTCGACAGCGTCTAGCCTGGAGGAGCTGCCCGCAGGGTCGGTTGTAGGGACTTCCTCCATCCGTCGGACTGCTCAGCTGGCACGCCTCTACCCTCGCCTTAAGGTGATGGATGTCCGTGGGAACATCGGCACCCGTCTGGCCAAACTCGACGCCGAAGACGGTCCGTATTCCTGCTTGATTCTCGCCGCTGCGGGTCTGCTGCGTCTGGACCTGGGTGACCGCATCACAAAGTATCTCGATTCAAAGAATGGCGGGATGCTCTACGCTGTTGGACAAGGTGCCTTGGGTATTGAGATCCGGAAAGAAGACGAGGCATTGCATCTGATGCTGAGCAAGATCGGCCACAACGAAACCACATTTGCTGTCCTAGCAGAGCGCAGTCTGCTCCGCACCCTCGAGGGCGGCTGCAGTGCCCCCCTGGGTGTCGAGACAGAGTGGGTTCACACCGTTGAGGGGCTGAAGAAACTGAGGATGCGAGCTATCGTTGTCAGCGTGGATGGATCTGAAATCGCGGAAGTTGAGGTCGATGGTGACGTCGATTCAAACGAGACTGCTGAAAGGTTTGGCATCACGGTTGCCAACGCATTGGTTGCTGAAGGTGCTGGGAAAATCCTCGAGGCCATCGAACGGACCAAGCGTGCTTCTTCTTAAGATCATGCTTCATATCGACCGATGGGTATTCCTCTTTTTTCTTCCTCCCGCAATGTACCCAATAGATGGAGAGAATGCCGGCCATCTCTTTTACTGTCGATCTTTGTGGGAGACATACTTTTAGACAGATGCGAAATATATATTCTCCAATCATCAACATTCACTAAGTTTAAACTTCTATAGTCAATCGAAATGGTATTTATCCTCAAGTGTTAGTTACACAGAAGAAGCGATTCCACTAGCTTGAGATATATCATTTCTTTTCGTCAAATGCCTTTTCTAGCTGCTAACCCCGAGGAGAAAGGAATTTCAGATAGGCCGCGCTTTATCGTGAGGCTTGAACTAGCTTCCAAATGGAAACCTGAAGTGTGACCAAGAATGAAGAATCTCGACGTTAGACCCGGGGCCCGCAGTTTGATGTGTCAAGTATATTATTCGGCGTGAAACTCATTTCTAGTTTATGACATAGCAGTCAATCGCTATATTCCAGTTTTCTTTGATCAAGGGAGCTGCATGCATGTCTCCTAGGTTAGGCAACCGCTCACGAGACTATAGAAGGCTTCATCTCGTCATACAAAGCGATACGGATCGCGTAGTCTGTGACGAGCCGGTCGAATTAGGTATCTTGGAGGATAGGATAATGTCAAGGAGGGTTGTTCAGCCTCTATTCAATGTGTTTCCGGAGCCTCGTGGGTTAGCCTCTTTAAACTCGTCCCACTCTCTGGCTTTCATTGTTTCTTCATCTGCTCGGTCCATGTCGTCCTCATCGACTTCTGGCTGGGCAGCCGACTGGTCACCTCCTTCAATGATGCCGCCCCGTTTTTTCTCTTCCTCGAGATATTCATCGATCGTCATGGTCGGCAAATTGTGTCCAGATCTGAAGACGCCCTGTTGCAGCTGGGTCCGGCGGTCAAGTAAAGTGAAGGGCTGTAAAGGTTTGCCTGCTTTGTTGAGCAAGGGGCCGGATCTGCCTCCTCTGAGAAGCTGGGCGAGAGGGGGGTCCACACGATCGGAGTAGCTGGATTGCTGCGCATCGCCACGTCTTCGGGCATCGTCGGTATAGCTCTGAGGCGCTTCGGGGGCTGACTTTCGGAACATTTCAAGCATGGATAACTCTTGCGATAGCAGGTCTAGCGTCTGAAATGTCTGGTGTGTGTACAGGTTGATCTCTGCGATGTATAGCTGCCGAACAACATCGTCGTCGCTCTGAAGGCGGTTCTGGTTCTGCGAGAGGTACTGGTTCAAATATCAGCATCCAAGCACACTGGTGATAGATAAAAGCCCTTATCAGACCTCGAGTTTTTGCTTGAGCTCTTTCTCCTCCCTGAAACGAGCGACCTTCACTTCTCGCCGAACAGCCGCGTCGGCGAGAGGGGCCAGCGAAAAAGACGCACTGTTCTCCACGTATCTCTCATAGAGCTTTTTATCACCATCCGACAGCAGGCGGTATTCGTCTAGGCGAGCAAGATAGCGTTCATATTGTTGCTGGGCACGGCGTAGGAGGGCCTCGCGGTCCGCACTGTAGGATTTTTGGAGTAGCTCGGCGAGCAGGTATTCCACGGTGAAATACCTACCACTTGGTTAGTTGCCAGTAGAAATCAACAGTCACCAGTTTACAAACGCACTGCAGGTCTCCAGAAGCAACATCCTCCAGCGTCTCGTTCGAGCTGAAAAGCGACAGCAAGCCCACAAGTCGCCGACACTCCTCCAGCTTCCTTATCACCCCGCCCACATCGTTGCGATAGCCCTCAGTATTCGAGTCGGTGCGTGATTCCAGGGCAGCTTTCTCGGCCTTGGCCGCCGTGAAGAGCGATCGCAGATTTTGAGGCTGTTCCATGTTCGTAGGACCAAGACTGGCGGTTGTCGTGCTGCAAGGGGCAGGGTGGGAATGCTGAATTGAAGCTCCAGCGAAACTCCCCGCACCACAGCCAGAAAAATAATCCAGTCCCCGCAGGAGTAATTGGACTGCACAACTATATAGCAGGTGTTGAATATTTTATGCCTGGAGAATAGCTGATATCTATTTGAATAGGACCTAATTATTATTATTGATGCTTATTAGTATTCATGATGTATACTCCTGCTGCCTTCGACATGAGACTCTTCTTTCTCAGTTGACTAATATAAAAAGATATATATCAACAACAGGAGCTCTCAACATCTTCCACAAAACATATATTTGAAGACGATTTCAAAGAATTAGACCTATTAGAATCCTTCAAGAGGTATATATAATTGTTTAGCTGCTATAAGAGCCGATTTTGCTACTATCATAGAAGAAAGAAGAATAGCCTCTTCTAGTCTATTGCTCTATTGCTCTATAGGCATGATAATTTCATGCAATTCTCTCTTAAATTAGAGAAAATAGATACTCTTGATATGTTTCTTTGATTTAGTGCTCATATATTAGTAGGCGATGTCCTTGTGTCTTCATCTATAGCTTTGAAACCTCTGGTGAATACTTGATACTATTTTGAAATAGCATCCGACTGCTGCAAAGAAGAGCTAAATCATATAAACCTAGTCCTCATTCACTTAATATCAGGAGATAAATACTTGATATTAAGGAGAAAACTTATAGACCAATCATGAATCCCTTATTTCTTTCCGTGAAATATTCAATTGTCTGCAAACGGGGCTGTTTGACTGCCTGATACATTCACCTCACCTGGTATCTTCTGCTTCGACCTGCCAGAGCAGTTCTTCCTCCCTTTTTTATCATGGCAGTAGCCTGATTGATATCATTCTGTGTCCATAGACTGCTATTCTACCGATACTAGAGAAGATGGACTCACCAAGAGAGCCAGTAGAAGACTCTCCGCCTGAAATCGCTGCAGCTGAGAATGCCTTTGAGAGACTATTGCTAGCAGAAACCACTGAGGCCAATGATGATAGAATGTCTGTCACCTCTGACGAGTCTGGAAATGATGCAGAAGATGCGGATGGCGCTAGTATAGGCATTACAACACGTCGACGAGTTCAAAATGCGCAATTTGAAGCTCTGTAGGTGATCCTGCGCCCCCATTCTCTGATACCTCTACTGACTAGGTCCAGTCTTTACAAACGTGCTGATCCGTCTTCTGAACCAATTCAAGCCCCTGCCTCCTCCCTGCCTGATGCACAACTGTCGACAGCACACCTTTTGGCGAGACACGATGCAGAGACGGGGCATCTGGACCCAAGGGAGTACCAAGTTGAGCTCTTCGAGAGAGCAAAGTCACGCAATACAATCGCAGTTCTGGACACCGGTACGTGAACTCTTGTCTTTTTTTCAATAATCTAATTGAAGATGCAGGCTCTGGTAAAACATTGATCGCCGTTCTCTTGCTGAAACACACCATACAAAATGAGCTGGTGGATCGTGGGACAGGGAAAGCCCATCGAGTCTCTTTCTTCTTGGTAATTCCTCTTCTATTATGAGAATATGAAAATCAACTAAGAACATATGCTCTTGCAGGTGGATAGTGTCACTCTGGTTTATCAACAAGCTGCCGTCTTGCGTAACAATCTAGATCAGAACGTCGCGCAGTTCTTCGGGGCGATGGGCACGGATCTTTGGAGCAAACAGACTTGGGAAGATCACCTCAAGAACAACATGGTCATCGTCTGTACTGCCCAGATCCTGAACCAGTGTCTACTCAACTCGCACATCAAGATGGAGCAGATCAATTTGCTGATTTTTGATGAGGCCCACCATACTAAGAAGGAACATCCTTATGCTAGGTTTGGCGCATCCTGATATAAGCTATTTAGAATCTGACAGTTTCCCCCTAGGATCATCAAAGATTCATATCTCAAAGAGATACCTTCAAAACGGCCGAGAGTATTTGGTATGACTGCATCACCGATCGATGCTAAGGGAGACGTCGTGGAAGCCGCTAGGTAAGTGACAGGGACTCAGTTGGGGTCTCGCGTGTTTACAAGACTAATATTCCTAAGGATGCTTGAGACACTGCTTGATAGTCAGATTGCAACCACCTCGAAGCTTACTTTGCTACGACATGTTGTTCGGCGTCCCACCGAGAAAGTTTGGCAGTACGACAAAGTCGTGCCTCCCTTTGCGACTGCCCTCCACAAGCTTCTGAAGGATCGCTATGGCGATATCAGCTGCTTTGAAGGCATCTTCAAATTCTCATGGAACGCTAGCTCTGAGCTGGGAAGATGGTGCTCGGATCGAATTTGGACCCTGGCTTTAGCGGACGATGTCTTACCGAAATACGAAGGCAGCATCAACAAGCTCTACTATGACAAAGATCCAGAACAGAAATCCGAGAAAGCCTATAAAGATGTCTCTCGGATCAAAGAAGCAAGCGAATTCGTCAAGCAGCTCGCATCGTCCGATCCGCATGGTGCAGAGGAGCTCAGCCCTAAGGTGCAGCTTCTCAAGCAAGAGATTCAAAAGTATTTTGAGAGGCCGACAGAGACAAAGTGTATTGTCTTCACCCAGGAGCGCTATACAGCCAAAATTCTCTGCGAGCTCTTCACCCAGCTGAAGATGCCGCATCTGAAACCTGGAGTGCTTGTCGGCGTTCGTTCCTCGGACATAGGAGGAATGAATACAACGTTTCGCCAACAGTTTCTCACATTGATCAGCTTCAGGAACGGTGACATCAATTGCTTGGTATGGCTTTTTGCTTTTGATACTGGTCTTTTACTGACTACTACGAAAAGTTTGCAACTTCGGTCGCTGAAGAAGGCCTTGACATCCCAGATTGCAACCTGGTGGTTAGGTACGATCTACTAGAAAAGGTTCCAGAATCACTGCTAATAAGACAAGGTTTGACCTCTACCATACCCTCATACAATATGTACAAAGCCGGGGGAGGGCTAGACATTATAATTCTACTGTGAGTCGACAATCTTAATGAAGCGATATCTCGTCTTCTAACATGGTCATCCACGACAAGTATGCAACCATCATCGAGAAAAGCAACTCCGAGCATACATACCGACTGGAAGAAGTCCGTCGCGCGGAGGTAGGGACATTGTCAATCGTTCCGCCCATTGAAGTTTGCCTGATGCAATGATAGGATATTATGCAAAAGTTCTGCGAATCCCTTCCTGAGGACCGGATACTCCACGGATACGACTATGATATCGACTCAATCATCCACAAGGATGGAGAGAAGAGAATTTACCAAATTCCATCCACAGGCGCTAAACTGACTTACCACTCTGCGATTGCCATTCTTGCACGCTATGCCAGTTCGTTGGTGAGTATGTGACCTCTGATATGGTGTCTTTGAGGCTTACCGTCTCCCAAACAGCAATATGAAAAGGAAACATCGGCTCAAGTCACATATATTGTTCTTCCAGCCAACAGTTCCTTTACCTGTGAGGTGATACTCCCCGAGAAGTCTCCCATCAGAGGACTCATTGGAACCCCTGCGATCAAGAAGTCGCTTGCTAAGCAGTCTGCCGCTTTTGATACATGTCTCTTGCTCCGGCAGCATAGACTGCTGGATGATTATTTTGCGTCGGTTTATCATAAGCGGCTGCCTGCTATGAGAAATGCCCGTCTGGCAATTACTTCCAAGCAGAAGAACCAATACGACATGATTACAAAACCGGAATTCTGGAAACAACATAGAGAGGTTGTTCCAGAGGTACTCTTCATCACAGTTATTTCCTTTATTCCAACGAGGACCCCAGCAAGAGAGCACCAAAGTTTTGCACTGCTTACTAGAGAGAGGTTGCCACATTGCCCTCAGTTCCCAATCTTCCTTGAGGATGATATTGAAACAAATGTCAAATTTCTACCCATCCTGGACGCCCTGGCAGTTTCGACTGATCAATTAAATGTTCTTACAACCTTCAGCCTTCGTGTATTCCGGGATGTATTCCACAAGATCTACGATCGGAACACAGAAAAGATGCCCTACTGGCTCTGCCCGGTGGTTGCTGAAGATTGCTTTGAACCGGCATCGAACCCAAAAGACGTGATTGATTGGCATCTGCTCATGTTTGTTCAAGACAACGACGCGGTAGAATGGTCATGTGGGATGGCCACTGAGCTTCTGCATAACCGATTCGTTTATGACCCATGGGATGGAAGGTATCGATACTTCACCCAGGTGGTAGATCCTAACCTGCGTGCCTCAGACCCGCCGCCCTCCTTTGTACAGCGCCGGAGACACATGGACAACATCTTGAACTTCTGCACAAGTCTGTCTAAGAATGGCCGGGCTCGGTTTATGGCTACGTGTGATTGGGATCAGCCTGTCATCCGTGCGGAACTGATCCGACTGCGTCGAAATCTCCTAGACAAAATGACGGATGCTGAGAAAGATTTTGAAGCTAGATCGGTGATCTGTCCGGAACCATTAAAGATATCCGCGGTGAGTCTGCCATAAACAATAAAGAGTATGTCGATATAATAGTAGTATTTGACTGACGATGGAGTACAGATTCCGGCCTCCCTCGCAGCTTCATGTTTGGCATTTCCTGCAATAATCAGCAGACTAGACTCCTACCTCATTGCCGTCGAAGCCTGCGATCATTTGGGGCTGGTCATCGAGCTTGAACATGCCCTGGAAGCATTGACCAAGGACTCTGACAATACCGAGGAACATAGGGGACAGCAGATTCATTTCCAGAGAGGGATGGGGAAGAATTACGAGCGCCTTGAGTTTCTGGGTGACTGTTTCCTCAAGATGGCGACTTCTATAGCACTGTTTTCACAGAACCCCGACGATGACGAGTTTGACTACCATGTCAACCGTATGTGCCTTATCTGCAACAAGAATTTGTTCAACTCTGCAATTGAAAAACGGCTATACGAGTTCATTCGAAGCCGCGGCTTTTCTAGGTATGTTTAAGAGTGGACTGATGCTCAAGTTAACCTTTGAAGACTGATGGGTCGCAATCAGACATGCATGGTATCCAGATGGCCTTACGCTGCTACAGGGCAAAGATCACAGCAAGAAGACATCTTCAGAGAGCAAGCATGCACTGGCTGAGAAGACTATTGCAGACGTCTGCGAGGCCTTGATTGGGGCTTCTCTACTCTCGGGTGGTCCCCAGCACCGCTTTGATATGGCCGTGAAAGCAGTTAGCACGTTTGTGGGCAGTGCAAGCCACAAAGTCACTTCTTGGCATGAATACTATGAACTATACTCCTTGCCAAAATATCAGACCCAAGGAGCCGACGGATTTGAGCTCGATCTTGCGCAGAAGGTGGAGGAAAAACTTGGGTACCGGTTCGCCTACCCTAGACTTCTCCGGTCAGCATTTACACACCCGTCGTATCCCTCCGCTTGGGCCAAGGTGCCGTGCTACCAGAGATTGGAGTTTCTGGGGGACTCTCTCCTTGACATGGTTTGCGTTGAAGATCTTTACCATAGGTTTCCGGACCGCGATCCACAGTGGTTGACGGAGCACAAGGTACGTTGTAAGCAGTATATGTGGCTTTGTGCAAATGTTGACAAGATGGTAGATGGCCATGGTATCCAACAAGTTCCTCGGCTACCTTGCCGTGAAACTTCAACTGCACACTCATCTGCAACATTTCAGCAACCCTCTTCAGTCGCAGATTACCCACTATGCAGAAGACATCCAGACCGCCGAGATCGAACATAAGCAGGCAGTGGATTTCTGGGTGGTTACCAAGGATCCACCGAAGGTATGTAAATCTCGAGGTATCTTGGCTGTACGCTCCCTGACAGGTGGTTACTGGGTAGTGTTTGCCCGATATGGTGGAAGCCTTCCTTGGTGCGGCCTTTGTGGATTCCAACTTTAACTTCCAAGTTGTCGAAGACTTTTTCCACAGACATATCAAGGTGCACTTCGAGGACATGTCCATCTACGACACGTTTGCTAACAAGCACCCAACGGTAAGCCCTGCTTCTCGGCTGGTGAACCTCCAAGCTGACACTCTCGGATATAGACATTCCTCCATAACCGGCTGACAAACGAGTATAACTGCACCAACTACTGCTTGAAGTCAGGCGAAATCCCGGGCATTGACGGACTGCCCCCGACAATATTGGCCGCTGTGATTGTGCACGACACCGTTGTCGCCGAGGGAACCGCATCCTCTGGACGGTACGCCAAGGTCAAAGCCAGCGAAAACGCCCTCTCCGTGCTCGAGGGTCTCCCTGCCTTCGAGTTCCGCAACAAGTACCACTGCAACTGCCAGGAGACGGACTCCAAGGCCCCAGAGATCGGAACTGCCATCTAGGTGTCTTTTGATTGACTGCCGTGTTTCATACCTCAGCATGCAGCCATATCTCTCCATAGAAAGCGACCAATTAGTTGTCCTTTGTTTTTTCGTACGGCGTTTAGAGAAAGCACTCGCCTAGGTACTCTGTGGTAGCCTGTAGTAGCAAGTGCAGTCACTCGTAGTTGCCGTCTGGGTCAGGAACCGAAAGCCGAGCCGCGCTAGCCTACAAATGGCAAGCTCTCCACTAGGCCCCATACGGCTAGTGTCAACCCCCTGACGGCGGGTCCGTGATCAGGGATCAGCCAAGAGACACGCCTGCCGCGTCCCACTGCATCGTGAGCCTTTCAGGTCGACGTGTTGAAGGTACTCCTACTCCCATACACCCTCTTGCTGCTGTGGTTTCCCTGTTTCACACACCCATCTAATCTATTCCTTCGTCCTTGTTCATTCTGTCGTGTACCCTTTTCATTAATATTCCTGGTGTGGCTACGAGGCAGCCAAACACGGTCGATCCCCGGTGTAAACACTCCCTGTACCATCCGCCAACGGAGGGTTTATTTTTGTCCCTTTTCGGCAACAACGAGGAATTCCAACCCTCGATGCGATCGGCGCAGAGTACAGTTTATAGCGAGCGTTAGAAATGGAGGTTGTCGCCTCCGCAGGGGCTGCGACAAATGGCGTGTCGACGCCAAACCCGGTGTCTCTAGTCGATCCGAATGTGCTCATACACTATTTGGTAGAGGTGCTCCAGGTGACACTGGGGGCTTCAAGGGCGGACCTGGAAAGCACGGGGAGCCTGCTATCCAAGGCGAAGTACAATGAGACGGCTCAGCGGTGTTTGCGATTTGCGTCGGAGTCGCAGGTTGCTCTCTACGTGCAGAAGGATGTTGTCGAGTCTGAAGAGACTGATGGAGCAGACGACGGCAGCGGTAGGGCCCTTCTGTCTGTGTGGTAATATCTATCTGAAAATCAGAGCTGATCCGGCTAGCTCTATCAGAGCAATATTTGTACAGTTTGTCGAATGAGGTCCTTGTTTCCGCCACAACCGCGGCGTCTGTCGTCTTCTTCAAACGGTCGGTGACCCTGGACCCGGCCTTACCCATCACATCGCAGGTCCAGGTGATGAATCTTGCGGGTCCTGCTTCCGCCAATGGTTCCGGTGCCCAGCAGAGCGTTTCGGTTCTACCTATCGAGGCCGTACATTCCGCCATCCACATCGGTCTCAAGCCGATATTCGACGCGTACACCCGAACCCACGAGATCCCCGGTGCTTCTAAAACCAAATCCGATGTGGAGGCGAAGACGGGCGTCCCCGGTGCGAATAGGAGGTTCGCGGAGCTGGAGCTTGCCCTACGACACTTGCAGCAGAATGTCGAAATTCCCGCCCTCAATCTACCGCTTCACGAGGTTGTGCAGGCGGCACTGGACGAGGCGGAGGCCAGAGGTATCAAGCCCTCTGTGGAACTGATTCCCCCGACCGTTCTCGAGAGCAGCGCGTTTATCAATAGCATCCAAGCAACCGTTAATGGCTGGATCAGGTCTATCCAGACGATCACCAAGATGTCGCGCGATGCGGACAGCGACTCGGCTGCCCAGGAAATAAACTTTTGGTTGTCGATGGAGACCGCGCTTGAAGGCATCGAGAATCAGCTGCGTGGAGATGGCGTTCAGTTGACCATGGATATCCTTCGCCATGCCAAACGTTATCAGGCAACCCTCAGTTTCGTAGCCGATACGGGCCTGCGCGAGGCTACTGACATGGTCCAGAAGTACAATCAGCTGATGCGAGACTTCCCTCTCGACGAGCTCCTGTCGGCTACTACGCTGCAGAAGGTACAAGAGTCGCTGGGTCTCATCTTCAACCACTTGAACAAGAAGTTGAAAATCTGCCCATACCCGATCAAACGCGCCCTTTCCCTCGTTGAGGCCATCTCCGGGGACCTCGATACTCAGATCCATGAACGCCTCAATGGCCGAACTATCATGCACCTGGATTACCGCGAGTTCAGATCGTTGATGAAGACGGCGGGCGCCATCTGGCGGACTTGGGATGAAAATCTCAAGGAGTTCACCAACGTCGCCCGTGATGCTATGCGACGCCGGAATGAGAAGTTCATTCCGATCAAGATCGTGGCACGTCATGAAAAGATTCAGGAGCGATTGAAATATATCAATACTTTCAGAGTCAACCATGAACAGCTTCAACGGACAATCGTGAACGTTCTCGGTCCCAAGACCACGACTACCGGAGACGCTCCGAATGGCGCCAACGCCGATGGAACCGTGATCGTCGAGGAGATTGGCGATGTGGACGCGGTGGAAGAAGTCGCCCAGGCCTACGCTGCCCTGAAAAATAGAGATGTGCTGGACGTATCTCCCCAAGGGACGCAGAATTGGATCCAGGAAGAGATTGCCTACAATGAACGGACCTCTCGCGTTGAAAACTCGATCATCGCCAGACTTCGTGATCGCCTTGCTACTGCAAAGAATGCCAATGAAATGTTTCGTGTATTCTCGAAATTCAACGCGCTCCTCGTTCGCCCCAAGATCAGAGGAGCCATTGGCGAATACCAGACCCAGTTGATCGACAATGTCAAACATGACATTTCTGGTCTGCACGAGCGCTTCAAGCAGCAGTATGGCCATTCCGAGGCACACGCCATGGCCCAGCTGCGAGACTTGCCTCCCGTCTCCGGTGCAATTGTCTGGGCCCGCCAGATCGAGCGGCAACTGGATGGATATATGCGGAAGGTCGAAGATGTTCTCGGCGAAGACTGGCACCTACACTCTGAAGGCCAGAAGCTTCAGTCTGAGGGCAACCTGTTCCGGAAGAAGCTCGACACACGACCAGTGTTCGAATCCTGGCTTCATGATGTGCAGCGACGACACATCACCATCTCCGGCCGGCTCTTCAACATCAACCGCAACCGTGCGGCTGGCAACACCCTGGAATTGAGTGTCAACTTTGACGCCCAAATTATTGCCCTTTTCAAAGAGGTTCGCAACTTGATCTGGCTTAACTTCCAGGTTCCCCATGCCGTCAGCAATATCTCCAAAGAGGCGAAGCGCGTCTATCCTTATGCCATCAGTCTGATGGAGAGCGTCAGGACCCTCCTACAGACCCACCGCTCGATCTTATCCATGACTGATGTTGCCATACTGCTCAATGGATATCTAAACGACGCGCAAGGCATGGTTGTCAAGGGTATTCCGCTTCGATGGGAGTCCTTCGTGCACTCCTATGAGTTACACGTTAAGCAATCTACCTTGACAAATGGGCCGATCGACCCTTCGGCGGGCAGCAGAGGCGAGAGCAAACACGTCCAGTTTGTTCGTGAATTTGCTGGTTCTGCGTCCATTCTACAGTCCAAGACGTCAACTTTGTCCTCTATCAACGAGAGCATCCAAAAGGCTATCCTGGAGCTGAAAACATGCCCATACGAAGCTGCCGCGTTCAAGCAGCATCTCGATAACATTCAAGTCGCAGTTGACAAGCTCAACCTCGAGAACTACGTGAATCTCGGGTTCTGGGTCGCGAACTTGAACTCGAAGATCGAGTCCATTCTTCGTGATCGGCTCCATCGCGCAATCCGTGAATGGATCGCATCATTCCAGGAAGCGAAGAACGAGAAGTACCCCGATCGGATCTCCAGTCACGCCAATAACTTCTCAACCGGTGAGAACGAGGTCGTGGCTTACAAGATCGAATTTCCACAGCTTCTTCATGAGATCTCGATGCGAAACCAGGTCCTCCACCTTGATCCACCCCTGCAATTTGCGCGAGCAAGTTGGTTCGCACACTTCGACGAATGGCTTGGAGTCATCTGCAACCTGGAAAAGATCAAGTCCTCTCGCTATCAGATTTCGATAGACGTCCAGAAAGTCCAGCTTTCAGAGGTTTGCTTCGCCACGCTGCCGCAGTACTGCACCAAAGAGCTAAACGAAGTCTATACCGCGGTCGAGTCTCGTCTAAAGGAGGTATCGGAGTATGTCGACAAGTGGCTACAGTTCCAGTCGCTGTGGGACTTGCAGTCTGACCAAGTCTACGACATTTTGGGCGATGATCTGTCGCAATGGCTCCAGCTCTTACAAGAGATCCGCAAGAGCCGAGCAACCTTTGATACGTCTGAAGTTAGCCGCGCCTTTGGCACCATCAGAATCGACTACGAGCAAGTGCAAACCCGCGTGAATGCCAAATACGATCAGTGGCAGCACGAGATCCTTCTTAAGTTTGGCTCAAAGCTCGGCGGCCGCATGAGAGAGGTTCACGCCGAGATTGCCGCTGCTCGCCGAGACCTAGAGGGTCAAACCCTGGAGGCTTCCTCAACCGCACACGCAGTCTCCTTCATCACGATCGTCCAGCAATGTAAACGAAAGGCCAGAATCTGGGAGCCAGAGGTCGACCTTTTCCGTCAGGGCCAGACAACATTGTCTCGTCAACGATATCAGTTCCCCAGTGACTGGCTTCACGTGGAGAACGTCGATGGCGAATGGGCAGCTTTGAACGAATTGTTGGTCCGGAAGAGCAAGATCGTCCAGGACCAGACTGAAGGATTACGCGCGAAGATCATCGCAGAGGACAGGGTCATAGGTGACAAGATTGCGGAGATCATCAGTCAGTGGAACGACGAGAAGCCTGTATCAGGTACCATCCCGCCAGAAGAGGCCTCGCGCATTCTGAGCTCCTTCCAATCCCGTCTGGAAGGCCTTCAGTCCGAGTTCGAAATGGTTTCCAAGGCGAAGGAAGCCCTCGATCTCCCTGCAAGCACGGAGTCTTCCCTGCCCGCCATGCTGGAGGAGGTACAAGACTTTATGTCCGTGTGGGCGGCTCTCTCAACCATCTGGAAGAGTCTCAATGATCTCCGAGACGGTCTTTGGACAAGTGTGCAGCCGAGGAAGCTCCGCCAGTCTCTTGATGGCCTGATCAAGATGACCAAGGAAATGCCCAGCCGGATGCGTCAATATGCTGCCTTTGAACACATCCAAAACGTGCTCCGACAGCTCTTGAAAGTCAATACATTGCTCTCCGACATGAAGTCCGAGGCGGTTCGGGAAAGACATTGGCAAAAGATCTACAAGGCTCTCAAACCAGGCAAGCGGTTCTCCCTCGTCTCCCTCACTCTTGGCGATGTCTGGGATCTTCAGCTTGTGTCCAGCGAAACCGTAATTCGCGACATTATTGCCCAGGCCCAGGGAGAAATGGCTCTGGAGGAGTTTTTGAAATCCGTCCGCGAGACCTGGCAAAACTACTCCCTGGACCTCGTCAACTACCAGAACAAGTGTCGCCTCATTCGTGGATTTGACGATCTCTTCGCCAAATGCAGCGAGAATCTCAATTCCCTGCAAGCCATGCGTCATTCCCCGTACTATAAAGAGTTTGAAGAGGAGGCGACCTCTTGGGAAGACAAGCTCAACCGTGTCCACGTTCTATTCGATGTCTGGATTGATGTTCAACGCCAGTGGGTCTACCTGGAAGGCGTCTTCACCGGTAACGCGGATATCAAGCATCTTCTTCCCTTGGAATCAAGCCGCTTCCAGAACATCAATTCTGAATTCTTTGCGGTGATGAAGAAAGTTTACAAGTCTCCCTTTGTACTGGATGTCCTAGCTATTAATGGTGTCCAAAAGTCGCTGGAAAGATTGGCGGAGCTTCTGAACAAGATCCAAAAGGCGCTTGGCGAGTATCTCGAGCGAGAGCGTGTCTCCTTCCCTCGGTTCTACTTTGTCGGTGATGAGGACTTGTTGGAGATCATTGGTAACAGCAATGACGTTCTCCGCGTTGCCAAGCACTTCAAAAAGATGTTCGCCGGCTTGTCTGGTTTGCTCATGGATGATGAAAGTAACATCGTGGGTTTCACTTCCAAAGAAGGCGAAGAGGTGCGACTGAAGAAGGAAGTGAACCTTGTCAAGACTCCTCGGATCAACGACTGGCTGAGTGCGCTGGAGGCCAGCATGAAGTCGACTTTAGCTGAGCTGCTGGCCGAAGCTGTTGAGCAGTTCGACACGCTGTACAACGCCCCAGATGTCGACCGCACCGCATTCAACGATTTTCTCGCTAATTACCCTGCCCAGATTGTTGTGCTTGCCAGTCAAGCTGTCTGGACTGGTGCCGTGCAGAAGTCTCTGGAGAATGACGGCAGCAACCTTCAGGCGTTATACGAGGCGGAAGTCAGAATCCTGGAGCTGCTTGCATCCACTGTCCTTGGAGAGCTGGATGCCATCAGCCGGAAGAAGTGTGAGCATATGATCACAGAATTCGTCCATCAGCGAGATGTCATCTCCAAACTCATCCAGTTCAACGCCTCGTCCCCGACCCATTACCTATGGCTCCTCCAGATGCGCTATGTCTACCGCAACGAAGGCGATTTCTTGCAACGCCTGTACGTCCACATGGCTAATGCCAAACTAAATTATGGGTTCGAGTATCTTGGTGTTCCCGAGCGCCTGGTCCGCACGCCTCTCACGGACCGCTGTTTCTTGACTCTCACGCAGGCCTTGTGCCAGAGACTGGGTGGCTCGCCTTACGGGCCTGCCGGTACTGGTAAAACGGAGTCTGTCAAGGCCCTGGGTCTGCAACTGGGTCGCTTTACTCTTGTCTTCTGCTGTGACGACACCTTTGATTTCCAGGCAATGGGTCGCATTTTCCTCGGTATCTGCCAAGTCGGTGCTTGGGGTTGTTTCGACGAATTCAACCGTTTGGAGGAAAGAATCCTGTCGGCCGTGTCTCAGCAGATCCAGAATATTCAGATCGGTTTGCGAAAGGGGACCGACGACCCCAAAGCCCAGATCGAACTCGTTGGCAGACGCCTGTCTGTCAACCCAAACACTGGAATCTTCATCACCATGAACCCCGGTTATGCGGGCCGTTCGAACTTGCCCGATAACTTGAAGAAGTTGTTCAGAAGCGTGGCGATGTCAAAGCCCGATAAAGAACTCATTGCCGAAGTGATGCTTTTCTCTCAAGGTTTCAAACAGGCCAAGCCTCTCTCTAAGCAAACAGTGCCATTCTTCGACCATTGCGCCGCGAAGCTATCGAAACAGGCCCATTACGACTTTGGTTTGCGTGCTTTGAAGAGTGTCCTTGTTAGTTCTGGTGGTCTCAAGCGTACGCGCCTAGCCAGCACAGAGGGCGAACTGGGCCCCGAGGCAATTGTCGAACCCCAAATTATAGTCCAGAGTCTTCGGGAGACGATTGCTCCAAAGTTAGTCCGTGAGGACGTTGACAGAATGCTCGAGATCCAAAGAGAAGACTTCCCAGGTGTGGAGTATATTCCGGCTGATTTCGAGAAACTCACCGAGGCCATCCGTGATATTGCCAAGGAACAACACATCGTTGACAGTGAAACCTGGACCACCAAGGTGTTACAACTTCACCAGATTCAGACCATTCATCATGGTGTCATGATGGTCGGTAAATCAGGCTCTGGAAAGTCCGCAGCGTGGAAGATCCTTCTGCAGGCGCTTCAACGGATCGAAGGCGTTGAAGGCGTTTCCCATATCATCGACTCCAAGGTCATGTCCAAGGAAGCACTGTATGGTAGTCTGGACAGCACCACGAGAGAATGGACGGACGGTCTTTTCACTGGCATCCTCAGAAAGATTGTTGACAACTTGCGAGGGGAGGACAGCAAACGCCACTGGATCGTGTTCGACGGTGATGTCGATCCTGAATGGGTCGAAAATTTGAACAGTGTGCTCGACGATAATAAGCTGCTGACGCTTCCCAACGGAGAACGTCTCAACCTGCCTCCCAATGTTCGCATCATGTTCGAGGTCGAGAGTCTCAAGTATGCTACACTGGCTACTGTTAGTCGTTGCGGTATGGTCTGGTTCAATGACGACACGGTCACTCCGGCCATGATGGTCAGCAATTATGTGGAATCACTGAAGACCAAAACATTTGAAGACTTGGATGACGATAGTGTTCCCGCTGGTCAGGCTTCAGTTAAGACTCAGGATGTCCAAGATATGCTATCAACCATCCTGAAGCAGCTTCTGCAGACCGATGACCTTATTCTCAAGACCCTTGAGGAGGCGCAGAAATATAACCACATCATGGAGTTCACCAGTATCCGAGCCCTCAATACATTATTCAGTCTGCTGAACAAAGCATGCCGGGATGTTCTCGAATATAACATCCAACACGTTGATTTCCCGCTTGACTCCGACCAGATCGAATCCTACATGTCGAAGAAGCTGCTTCTTGCCCTGGTCTGGTCGTTCACGGGTGACTGTCCACTGGGAGACCGTAAAGCTTTTGGAGAGTACATCACGGCATTCACAACGATCGACACCCCCCCGCTTGGAGACACATCTCTTATCGACTTCGATGTTTCCCTGCCAAAGTCCGAGTGGACCACCTGGCAATCACAGGTGCCTTCTGTTGAGATCAATACGCACTCCATAACGCAGACAGATGTCATCATCCCAACAGTCGATACAGTTCGACACGAAGATGTCCTCTATTCCTGGCTTGCAGAGCACAAGCCTTTGCTGCTTTGTGGTCCCCCGGGTTCGGGTAAAACGATGACACTTTTTGCTGCACTGCGAAAGCTCCCCAACATGGAAGTCGTCGGCCTGAACTTCTCCAGCGCGACTACCCCAGACCTGCTGATCAAGACCTTCGAACAGTACTGCGAGTACAGGAAGACTTTGAATGGCGTTGTCATGTCGCCAAACCAGATTGGTCGCTGGCTTGTCATTTTCTGTGATGAAATTAACCTTCCGGCTCCTGATCGCTATGGTACTCAGAGAGCTATCTCCTTCTTGAGGCAGTTGGTCGAACAGAACGGGTTCTGGAGAACATCTGACAAAACCTGGGTTACTCTGGACCGTATCCAGTTCGTTGGAGCCTGTAATCCTCCTACTGATGCTGGACGTACACCCATGGGCGAGAGATTCCTCCGCCACTCCCCGTTGATCATGGTCGACTACCCTGGCGAAATCTCGTTGAACCAGATCTACGGCACTTTCAACTCGGCGATCCTGAAGATCATTCCTCTGCTTCGAGGCTATTCTGAGTCTCTTACCAAGGCTATGGTCCAGTTTTACCTGGAGTCTCAATCAAGATTCACACCGAAGATCCAACCTCATTACGTCTATTCTCCTCGTGAACTGACTCGATGGGTGCGCGGTGTTTATGAAGCCATCAAGCCGCTAGAAAGCCTGTCCATAGAAGGTCTTGTCCGCATCTGGGCACACGAAGCTCTACGCCTGTTCCAAGATCGACTGGTCAACGAGGAGGAAAGAAACTGGACTGCAGATGCCGTGCGACGCATCGCCTTGGAACATTTCCCCACGATTGATGAGGAGCAGGCTCTGAGGGGACCCATCCTGTTTTCCAACTGGCTCTCTAAGAACTACGTCCCCGTGGAGCAGGAGCGACTTCGCGACTTTGTCAAGGCCCGTCTCAAGACATTTTGTGAAGAAGAGGTGGATGTCCCGCTTGTGCTGTTCAATGATGTCTTGGAGCATGCCCTACGTATTGACCGGGTGTTCCGTCAACCTCAAGGCCATCTTATCTTGATCGGTGTCAGTGGAAGTGGAAAAACCACGCTGTCTCGCTTCGTGGCCTGGATGAACGGTCTCAAGATCTTCCAGATCAAGGTTCATGGGAAGTACTCCTCGGAGGACTTTGACGACGACCTGCGCAGCGTTCTGCGCCGGGCAGGTTGCAAAGGCGAGAAGATCTGCTTTATCATGGATGAATCAAACGTTCTCGACTCTGGTTTCCTGGAGAGAATGAATACCCTTCTTGCCAACGCCGAGGTGCCAGGTCTGTTTGAAGGCGACGAGTTCTCATCACTGATGACTGCCTGTAAGGAAGGTGCTCAGAGACAAGGCCTCCTCCTTGATTCTCAGGAAGAGTTGTACAAATGGTTCACACAACAAATCGTCAAGAACCTACACGTTGTTTTCACCATGAATCCTCCCGAGGATGGCTTGTCTTCGAAGGCAGCGACAAGTCCTGCACTATTCAACCGTTGCGTACTCAACTGGATGGGCGATTGGTCAGATCAGGCTTTATTCCAGGTCGGCTCCGAGCTCACCCACTCAGTCGACCTCGACAAACCCAGCTTCATCGCACCGGACAGCATTCCTGTGGCCTATCGTGAGCTGAGTCTCCCTGCGTCCCACAGAGACGCGGTGGTGAACTCAATGGTCTACATCCATTACTCCTTGCAGAAATTCAACCAACGCCTGCAAAAGCAGCAAGGCAAGACGACCTATCTCACCCCGCGCCATTATCTCGACTTTGTTGCTCAATACGTGAAGCTTTTCAACGAAAAGCGGGAGGACCTGGAAGAGCAACAGCGACACTTGAATGTTGGTCTCGAGAAGTTGCGCGACACAGTGGACAAAGTGCGGGATTTACGTGCTAGTCTTGCTCAGAAGAAGACACAGCTAGAAAAGAAGGATGCCGAAGCCAACGAGAAGTTGCAACGGATGGTTGCCGATCAGCGGGAAGCTGAACAGAGAAAGGCGGCGTCCCTCGAAATCCAAACGGCGTTGGAGAAGCAGGAACGTGAGGTCGCCGAGCGAAAGGAGGTTGTATTGAATGATCTTGCCCGAGCGGAGCCTGCGGTTTTGGAAGCTCAAAAGAGTGTCAGCAACATCAAGCGGCAGCATCTGACCGAAGTTCGATCGATGGGTAACCCTCCTGCGAGTGTTCGCCTGGCCCTCGAGGCCGTTTGCACCCTTCTTGGTCACAAGGTCGACAGCTGGAAAACCATTCAAGGCATTGTGCGAAAAGACGATTTCATCGCAAGTATCGTCAACTATGATAATGAACGGCAAATGACGCGGAGCCACAGACTCAAGATGCAGAATGAGTTCCTTTCCAAAGAAGACTTCACCTACGAAAGAGTCAACCGTGCCAGTAAAGCTTGTGGTCCACTGGTCCAGTGGGTTGAAGCCCAGGTGAATTACTCTGAAATCCTGGATCGGGTTGGTCCCCTGCGCGAGGAGGTTGATCAACTCGAAGAGCAAGCTCTGCAAACCAAAGCAGAAGCCCAGGCCATTGAAAATACCATCCAGGGACTGGAAAGCAGTATTGCAACGTACAAGGCCGAATATGCATCGCTCATCAGCGAAACTCAGGCTATCAAGACGGAGATGTCGCGAGTTCAATTCAAAGTCGACAGAAGTGTCCGCCTGCTCGACAGCTTGTCGTCGGAGCGTGCAAGATGGGAGGAAGGGAGCCGCTCGTTCGAGACGCAGATTGGCACTCTTGTTGGTGACGTTCTGATTGCGGCCGCGTTCCTTGCCTACGGTGGTTTCTACGATCAGCAGTTCCGAAAGGCGATGGTTGACGATTGGGTTCACCACTTGGCACAGTCTGGCATCAGCTTCAAGCCTCACAATCCCATCACGGAGTACTTGTCCAACGCTGACGAACGGCTAACTTGGCAAGACCATTCGCTCCCCGTCGACGACTTGTGCACGGAGAACGCTATTATTCTCAAGCGCTTCAACAGATACCCTCTAATCATCGATCCCTCTGGCCGGGTCACGGAGTTCTTGCAGAAGGAGAACAAGGAAAGAAAGCTAACCGTCACAAGTTTCTTGGATGACTCCTTCGTCAAACAGCTGGAAAGCGCGCTGCGTTTCGGAAACCCGATCCTCATCCAAGATGCGGAACATCTGGATCCTATTCTGAACCACGTGCTCAACAAGGAGTACCAAAAGACCGGTGGTCGTGTGCTTATCCAGCTTGGCAGGCAAGAGATTGACTTTTCACCGGCCTTCAAGCTGTTCCTCTCGACACGGGATCCCTCGGCGTCGTTCCCCCCAGATGTCTGCAGTCGAACGACATTCGTCAACTTCACTGTCACGCAGAGCAGTCTGCAGACACAGTCCCTAAATGAGGTGCTGAAATTCGAGCGGCCCGATGTGGACGAGCGCCGAACCAACCTTGTCAAGCTGCAGGGCGAATTCAAGATTCATTTGCGCCAGCTGGAGAAGCGCTTGTTGCAAGCATTGAACGAGTCTCGGGGCAACATTCTCGACGATGACAATGTCATCGAGACGCTGGAGACCTTGAAGAAAGAAGCAGCCGAGATCTCCAAAAAGATGGTGGAGACCGAGGGTGTGATGACGGAAGTCGAGAATATCACATTGCAGTACAACATCATCGCCCGGTCTTGCAGTGCGGTGTTTGCGGTGCTGGAGCAGCTTCATCACATTAACCACTTCTACCAGTTCTCTCTGCAGTATTTTGTTGACATCTTCAACTCCGTGCTCTACCAGAACAAGCGCTTAGCCCAGGAGAAAGAACACGCTGCGCGAGTCCAAATCATCCTGCGCGATCTCTTCGTGACGACCTATCAGCGTACGTCCTTAGGTCTCCTTCAAAAGGACCGCATCACGTTGGCGATGCTCCTAGCCCAGGCTGCTCCATATTCGATGGACAAGAGTATCATCGACGGTATCCTAGACGAAAGCGTCGAGGGAACAGATCTGTCCACGGAACCGAGCGAAATGAGGGATCAAGTCTTGAGCAACCTTGCCAATATGTCTCTGTTCAGATCCTACGTGGACGCGATCACTCCGGAGCAGTGGACTCAATTCTGCACCGAGGAGCTTGCAGAGAATTTCATTCCTGTGATCTGGGATGAGGGTACCGAACAGCTCGATCAGCTACTTCGCTCCCTTCTCCTCGTGAAGCTGTGCCGGATGGATCGTTTCGTGCCCACGGCCGAACGATTCATTGCCGCCGTCTTTGGTCGCGAGTTCTTCGAGGGTAGCAGCGATCTGCAGAACGTGGTCGAGCAGGTCACAGCCACTTCGCCTATTTCACTCAGTTCCAGCCCAGGCTTCGATGCCAGCTACAAGGTCGACGCGTTGGTGGAACGCATGCACGCGACGTGTGCCAATATTGCCATGGGCTCGAACGAAGGTCTCGAGAGTGCTGACAAGGCGATTAGCAACGCCGCTGCTACCGGCAACTGGGTGTTGGTGAAGAACGTGCACCTTGCGCCATCGTGGCTTCAAAGCTTGGAGAAGCGCCTGGACTCGCTCAAGCCTCACCGGGATTTCCGGCTCTTCCTGTCGATGGAGTCCAGCCCGAAGATCCCCGTGAATCTGATTCGTGCCTCCCGGGTGCTCATGTACGAGCAGCCCGCTGGTATCCGGGCAAATATGAAGGATTCGCTTTCCTCATTGTCTTCGCGCGCCAGCAAGTCTCCTGTGGAGAAGGCTCGTGTCTATCTCCTACTGTCTTTCTTGCACGCCGTCGTCCAGGAGCGGCTACGCTACGCACCTAGCCTAGGATGGAAAGGATTCTGGGAATTCAACGATAGTGATGTAAGTTTTCACCCGATTCCCTGGCTCTCTACAATTCGCTAATTTCATATATAGTATGAGTGCTCGGCATATATCATTGACCACTGGATCGACTCAGTTTCGCAAGGTCGCTCGAACATTGCACCTCAGAAACTGCCCTGGGATATGATCCGAATCTTGGTGAAGGAGACATACGGCGGCAAGATCGACGACGTGGGCGATTTCGCGCAGCTGGAGGGTCTGGTCAATCAGTTCCTGACGCCCGCCGCGTTCGAGGATGATTACAAGCTGGTGTCTGGGGTGGAGAAGGATGACTGCCTGGCACTGCCCAGCCAGACGGGGCTGAACGACTTTGTACAATGGGTCAACCGCTTGCCCGAGCGCGAACCCCCGACGTACCTGGGCCTGCCTGCCAATGCGGAGAAGCTGTTGCTGGTCGGACATGGCAAGAAGATGGTCTCGGACCTGGCCAAGGTGGTGAATCTGCTGGACGAGGGAGAGCAGTTGATGGATGCATAGTGTATAGACTCTACTCTCCATTGTATATTCTAAGCTCTAGATACTTCTATGTCTGTTATTCTACAGTATTAATCTACTTTACCGAGAGTATTAGATACCGAAAGTCATTCATGACATTGAATTGACTGTCCTATCCTAAGCTAACGTCGCAAACATTATCCTCAGTCAACAAACACCTAAGTTCAAAGAACTAGAACCCAGGCGTAGAAGACAACGGTCGAGTTCAGAATCCGTACATGGGGGTTCCCAGCTATGAGTATGAGCATCAGCAAGACGGCGGTGGTTAAGTGAAGACTTTTGTTTTTAGGCCGATGAGATATACTTACGCGAGAGAGAACATAGACGACCTAGAAGGGTATGCATTAGCCATTCGATGATCGGTTTGAAAAGGTATCTCTAGAGACTTACATCTCTGCTATCAACAATCTATAGACATTATTAGTAGTAACTCGGTACAAAATGTCAATGAGATAGGTGGATAGACGCACTGTTCTTTCGTGGTCGGGGGTATTTCCCGACTCGAGAAGCTCGACGAGCTGACTTATGAGCTAGACCTGTCAGCATGAGACAGGTAGAGATATATAGGAAAATCACCAATTCGAGGCGGTCCTTAATCACCTGTCGGACCCCTTGGTAGATATCGATATTGATACGAGCGATGCCGCCGCGACGAGCAAGACGACTATGCATAGTTAGTTAAATGATGGTTTTAGTATATATCTTTTTTTCTGGACGAGAGTTGAAGATTTACCGGATGGATTGTCTGCCTGGGGGGGGGGGGGTGTTAGTAGGGACTTTATATCTACCTGGTTATAATTATAATGGGATATAGGATAACTTACTGACTCCCAGGATGTTGTCACGAATTGGCTTGCTGGAAGGAATCCGTGAGTTAGAGAGAGCCCTTGATACATGCTTCTCGGGGGGTTCCTGTGTGATGCTCACCGGCCACGACGGGGGAGAGCAGGGAAGCCGCCCGTAAGAGGGTTTCCAGTAGGAGGGGGAGTAATCATTTTGGATCTAGATATCTGGAAAATAGGTGTGCTGAAGTGGATTGATAGAAGGGTTGTTGGTGTGTAGAGTCAAAGAGATAGAGTAGCTGAGGATAGACTGTCAGGAGAGAAGGAGAGGTGCTCAGGATAAAGAGAAGAGTTGTTCAGGATGGGAAGGAGAGTAGTGAGAGATAGACTGAATAAAGACGGCTGGAGAGGAATATTGGCGGCTGGTTAGGTGGAGTGAATGTAAATTATAACTTATAATGGATGTGCCGATTAGGAGTAGTAGTATATTACCTAAAAGATGGAGACAAAGCCAATTGAGAAAACCTGGTTATATTGAACATAAGTGAAAGAGTGAGGTATTCTATTATAATTACTTATGATTCACATTGCAGAACCTATGTACTATGAGATGAAGGTGGCCTCGCAGAACAAAGAGCCTTCCTCTTCGACCTCAGTGTCGCCGATCTTCAGCTTCAACTTGAGCTTCTCTTGGGGGGAGTACTAAATGGATTATCAGCCTTGAGGCCTAAGTAGTAGCGAAAGAAGGGAATACCTGGAAAATGTAGGGCCTGGTGCCCGCCACGCTGCCGGCGATGGTCTTGATAAAGCCTGGCACCTCAGCCATGACGTCGATGCGGTCCAGCCTTGGCCCCAGCACGCCCTCAACGACGGCATTCACGTCGGCGAGGTCCTTGGTTGTGCCGGACCATTCCCACTTGATGGACTTGGGTTCGGGCCAGTCGCTCTCGCTGTCCTGAGAGGCCTCGGTATGGGTGGCCGAGTTAGTGGTGCCGGCGTAAATGACCTCGCCATCCTTGACAATGGCGCCGACGTTGACTTTGGTCGAACCGTATGAGGGAGGCGTGGTGAACTCCATCATGATGGCCGAGTAGGTGGGCGACTGGAAGTCGACAAAGTTCCACCGCGCAGCTAGACACATGATCAGTACAGTTGAAAAAAAAAAAAATCCCACTTGTGGTAATTAGTTGATGGAAAGGAAATTACCCGCGTGGTGAGGCTTCATGCCCTGCAGACCGTGGATGAACAGGCCGCGGCCGCCGAGGTCGTATGCCTTTTCCTTGGTGGTGATGGTGCCTGTGACGGCGCATCGGGGCCAGAAGGCATGGCGCATCGAGCCCCAGGGGTTGGCCGGGTCAGTGCCAAAGTACGAGGTACCATCCTTTCCGATGACAAAACCCGGGGTGACGCGGGTGAAGGTCAGTTCAACCAGGCTGCCCTCGTTCACCGCAGACTTGATGGTGTATGCGGTGCCCTCATCGTTGAGGGTCACCGAGAAGTTATCGGCGCCAAAGGAGACCATCTTCTCGTCGAACATGAGGTTGTACAGTGGGTCGGAGTACCACTTGTGTGGCTCATCGCCGCTCAGCGTATAGATCTTGGTGTTAAACTGGGCAGTGGTATGGATCCCTCTGTTTCCGTGAGTAATGGAAAGCCAGACGAGATGGTCAGGAGGGGGGGGTGGCCTCACGCAACATTGCTATAGATCACCTGCACCCAGGCCAGGGTCCCGTCGTCGGCCATGATGTAGAACGTCTGGGTCTCGACGTTGGTATACTGATATGCCTTCCACCGCATCTCATCGGCCGTCAGCTCGGTGTAGGGCGTCTCCTGCGTCTGCTGGGCGACCGACTGGATGGCCTCGGGGCCATAGATGGGCTCCTGGGTGCCCGCCACGCTGGCGAGCCTGTTTCCGACGTCAGTTCACGCTCCCATCACCATCTAGTTGGGAGCCGATGATCACTCACGTCGACTTGAGCCAGTTCATAGCGTTGATTGACGAAGAAAACGAATCAATATCACAGGCAGGAGACTCGGGTGTTCTCTTTTTCTTCCCACAAGCTGGTTCGGGGCTGGAAAGGAGACGGCAGGAGCGGATATTCTTTGGGCTGGGCTGGATTAACCTTTGATCAGCGTCGACGGGGCAAAGCAAACCTCTCCCACAAACACGACGCAGGACATACAGGCAGACAGCTGAGACCAACGAACAAGATCCGGCCACTCGAGAACACTTTCTTCTGCAAAAATTACTATCGCAGAGGAGGGGCACAAATAACATACGATGCGGCCATGACGTCCAGGCGGTTCTTCGTGTGATTCTGCACGAGTCCCCGCTCTGCTCACCGCCCGAAGAAACTTAACGTAAGCCGAAGCGGTTCAGGCTTCACGCAACCACCAGCGAGCGTGCAACCTCTTCTTTCAACCGATAGAATCCCCACCAGCTGCTGTCACCATGGCGAAAAGAGTGCTGGCGAAGGATCAGATTGTCAAGCTGATTGTCGGTGCGGGTCAAGCCAGCCCCAGTCCGCCCGTCGGTCCTGCGCTGGGAAGCAAAGGTGTCAAGAGCATGGATTTCTGCAAGGTAGACCTTTTTCTTTTTCTCTTTCTCTTTTTTTTTTCTCTTTTTCCTTTTAGAGTGTTCTTAATTTTCTAATATGATCAGGAATTCAATGCATTGACAGCTCATATCAACACGGGGGTTCCGATCCCGGCGCGGGTGACCATCCGGCCGGACCGGTCGTTCACATTCGATCTGCGGACGCCGACAACGACCTGGCTGCTGATGCAGGCCGCCAACCTGGAACCACGACAGAACCGGCAGCGCGGAGCGGGGAGACCGGGTCACGAGTCGGTCGGCCAGGTGTCGGTGAAACACGTGTACGAGATTGCGCGGATCAAGCACACCGAGACGCGGCTGTCCGGGCAGAGCCTACAGGGGCTGTGCAAGAGTATCATGGCGCAGGCCAAGTCTATGGGGATTGATGTGGTCGCATGAACAGAACTAGAGGGAGGCGTCGAGATTGATCTTGTTGTTCTGTTGTTCTCAGGCTTGAGACCTTCAGAGCAGGGGGGGGGGGGGGGGATGCTGTATACTACGAGCATGGCGTTGGGTCTATTATTCTATTTCCTGCTATCATTGCATTGCGATAGCGTTGGTGTATGTACATTACTTTCAAGTGAAAATTGCTCTCGTGCTGGAGACGAGGAAGTATTGAATCTACTTTGATATCTCCACTGCTCAGTGCTCTGCTCGGAAAATCGAATCACGTGATGTCGATTAGTGGACTCGGTGCCAACCATGACGTATCCTGGACAGGGAGTCTGTACTCCGTACCTGGGTATGTAGTAGATACCTAACTACCTACCAATACCAAGAGCCTAGACTTATTGTAGATACCAAACTGTTATTACGGAGTCCATAGATCTATTGGCAAATCTTATTGACGCCAAGACAAGGGTCAGGCAAAGGATCAACTATTGTTTTGCAGATGTACGGAGGTAGATATCTGCTTATTCTCCGCGATGTCCACCTTGCAGCAGCAGCAGCAGCAACAGCAGCAGTAGTAAGAGGAGGAATAGAATAATTAGATACCTGGGTAGGTACCTTAGGTAGGTTAGGTAGGGAGTGTGTAAGGTACCTAACCTAAGTATACTAGTGCTAATAATAGCGTAGTTAGTTCCTCAGGCAACGAAACTAATAGTAATCCGGATGAACGAATTGGATCTAGCGGCGGCGGCATGCCTCGACCGGAAAGAGCGGCAACTTCTGATGATATTCGACTACATGGAGATATAGAGATAATCCGTCTCTTACTTGATATTTGGTACTCTAGAACAAAGTATTTATAGCTTTGATAAATCTTTAATAGATTTATTTTAGCCTTGATTGTCGTCATGTACGGAGTACTACGGAGTATCTAACTAACTAGTAACTATTACATAGTATGCTCTGCCGAGTATCTTGGCGGCAGCAATGGATGATTAGGGACTGGAATAGTACAGAGTACAGAAGAAGAAACTCCCTCTTCTCTCTCTGACTATATATATTATAATATATACTACTACGTAGTAATCCTAATACTCCGGACTTGGACCCTGGAGCCTGGCCAACTGCAGACCCGCTGCCGACGAACCACAAGTCAGTGTCCCGCCCGCTTCCTGCTATCGCTCCCTCCTCCTCTCTTCCCTCCTCCTCCTCCTCCGTGCTCTTCTCCCTCCTCACCACCAACTCCTCTCCCCTCACGTCTCCTCTCCTTCGTCTCCCACCACCACCACCACCACGCTCTCCGCTCCTTCTCGTTGCCCGTCAATCGGTTTCTTCTTGGCTTCTCGTCGCCGCCCTCACTGATGCGGCGATTTTTTCCGACCGCGTAGCGTCTGCGTTCAGAATTTGACGCCCTCGGACCCTCTCCTACTCACCTCATCAGACGACCTTCCAACCACTCTCTCTCCCACAACCCGACTTTCTCCTTCTTTGATCCTATTCTCTCTTACTGTATGCCTTGAGTCTCGTTACCCTGCGGATCGGCTGTCTGTCAAATCCTCTCCAGATCGTGGGGTATGCGTCCCACCACGCATTCTCACTGTCGAGTATGACGTCTGACTCCCCCTCGATCCCTCCCCCTACGGCCACCATGGACTCTGGTATGCTCCTATCATCTGTCTCTCCGTGAAATTCTCGTCCCATATCTGCTTCCTTTCTTCTTTCTTTGGGTCTTGCGTTTTTTCTTTTTCTTCTTTTTCTTCTTTTTTCTTCTTTTTTTTCCCCCGCCCGCCTTGCTGACTCCTTGCGTTTTATTTTTTTTTTTCGGCCAGGTCCCAACCTCAACCTCAACGCCATGCAGTCGCCCCCCCCCGCTGATTCCAGCTCCTCCGTCAAACCGCCGCCGGGCCAGGTGCGTTTCTCCTCCGTCACCGAGGAGATCCAACCGCATAATCGCCGGACTACGCTATCCCCTACCCCGGAAGAGGAGGTGGAGGAAGGCTTCAGTGGCCTGAAGCCTGATGCTCAGGAGGAATTACGCGAACTGGCCATGAGCCTGCGCAGCACCCAGCTGCAGGAAAATCGTATTCGCCATTTCGCCTTTGAGACTGTCTCGCTCCCCTCGTCACGGGTACGTCTGACCCTTTTCTGTTGATTGATTGATTGATCGATCGATCGATTTGAATGGTCTGGCGCTGACACATCACATTCAGGTTGGGTCCCGCGAGTCCAGCGAACGGGGGCCCCAAGACACGGCGAGCTCTCATGGCGCCTCGCCGCGTGCTTCCCCTCCTGTCTCGGTCATGCAATCGCCTCCGTTAACCCCCGCAGCCACCCATTCCCGCGACGGAAAGAACGGTGACGGCCATAACCACCAAACCAATCATCCTAATCATCGCCATGGTCATGCCCATCCCCCGCCGGCCCTACAGACCGACCGGCTCAATGGTCAGCCCGTCGCCATGACCCCGGACACCTCTCCGCCCATCACCGTCGCTGACAACAGGGCCCCGGGGGCGCAGAGCACTTCGTCATCACGCCCTTCGTCAGCCGAGCAACTGTTATCGAAGCGGAATGACGCCACCACCACCACCACCCCTGGCGGCGCTTCCGAAACCATCGCCCGCCAAAACGAGGCCAAGCATCACCGCGCCCAGTTCTTCCTGGGCCCCAATGCTGAGAGCTCCCAGGAGGAAAGTCCGCCGCCCACTCCAAAATCCGATTTCGGTTCCTTCACCCCTCCGGGTGCCATTACCCCCGTGGGTGAGCCCAACGACCCATACGCGCGCAGTCGCCGCCCCCCTCAGTCGAAAACACAGATCGACTCCCGATTCATCTTTGGTAGCCTTGACTCCAAACGCCGCGGTCACCAGTCCTCTTCTTCCTTTGGCCGGCCTGCCACCCCACGCTCCACCAGCACCAGTGACCTGAAATCCCATGAGAATAAGCGCTCCTCACTTTTCGGCAGCAAGAAGGATCTTCGCGAGCAAGACTACGGACACATCGAGACCAGACCTCAGGGCTCCATGGCCGAGCTCAAGCGCTTCTTCAAGATGGGCCATCACCGCCACAAGCGCGGCGAGTCGCCCACCTCGGCCCCCAAGCGCTCCAGTCGCTCCTCGGGAAAGAGCGGCCCCTTCCACACGGGCCCCGATAACGTCCCCTTTGCCGACGACCACGGCCTCCAGTCTAAATACGGCAAACTGGGCCGCGTGCTGGGGTCCGGCGCCGGCGGCTCGGTCCGCCTGCTGAAGCGCAGCAGCGACGGCGTCACCTTCGCCGTCAAGCAGTTCCGCGACCGTCACTCCTGGGAGACCGAGAAGGAATACTCCAAAAAGGTGACGGCGGAGTTCTGCATCGGGTCCACTCTGCACCACGGCAACATCATCGAGACCCTAGACATCATCCAAGAAGGCCCCCATTGGTACGAGGTCATGGAATATGCCCCCTATGACCTGTTTGCCTGCGTCATGACCGGCAAGATGAGCAAGGACGAGATCGCCTGCTCCTTCCGCCAGATCGTCAGCGGTGTCGCCTACCTACACGGCATGGGACTCGCCCACCGTGATCTGAAACTCGATAATGTCGTGGTCAACGAACACGGCATCATGAAGCTCATCGACTTTGGAAGCGCTGTCGTCTTCCGCTATCCGTTTGAGAATGACATTGTTTTTGCGTCAGGTAAGTCTTGAAAAAAAAAGATTTTTTTTTTTCTCATGGTTCCGTACTGACCATCCTTCCTAGGCATTGTCGGATCGGACCCGTATTTAGCCCCCGAGGTGTATGATGAAAAGAAATATGATCCTCGCCCGACAGACATTTGGTCACTGGCCATCATCTTTTGCTGCATGACGCTGCGACGGTTCCCCTGGAAGCAACCGCGCACCAGTGATAACTCTTACCGACTGTTTGTGTCGACTCCGACCCCCGGGACGCCCGTGCCCGACGCGGAACCCCGGCGCATCCGTCCCAAATCCGCAGCCGACCTGGCTCAGAGCATTGACCCGAAGAAACCGCCTCCACTCCTTCTACCGGAGCAACCAGCTCAGGGGGCCGCCGAAAAGGTCAACGGGACCAACAACAACAATAACAACGTGTCCATCACCTCCGAGAAGGTAGAACCGGCGTCCAAGCCGGAACAAACTTCGGGTGACGAGAAAACGCCCGAGTCGCCGCAGGACGGCAACCGGCCCAAGGTCTCCCGTACCACCAGCAAGGAGGCACCCCCGCTGCCGCCGGGCGTCCAGTCTGGCCAGCGACAGGAGGTGATCAAGGGGCCCTGGCGGCTGTTACGCATCCTGCCGCGTGAGAGTCGGCATGTCATCGGACGCATGCTCAAGGTCAACCCCAAGGAGCGTGCGACGCTGGATGAGGTGCTCACAGATGACTGGGTGCGTGCCATCAAGGTCTGCCAGCAGGAGGTCAACGGTGAGCTGATTCGGGCTCCTGGCCACGAACATGTCCTCGAACCGCCAGCCCCCAGTCCCCAGGAGACCAGCAAAGCCAACCAAAGGTCTCATCACAAGGACAAGAACTCTATCAAAGGACGATAAATAACTGCGTCCCCTGTTTTTCCCCCTCTTCTTCTTTTCTTTTTCTTAATACCTGTCTTCTCCTTGTCTATATTGTTTAATGTTTCAAAGATCCGTCTTTCCTCTTCCCTCGTCCCCCCCTCCCCCTTCCTTCTTCCTCTTCTTGCTTCTGCTCAGCCGTCTGTTTCCCTGGGCGGTCATCTATCAGGCGCGATCGAGCTCTTGATTCCGGATGTCTAAATTTCTTGACGGATTTGCTTGTCGTCGTGTGTGTGCACGACATGTTTTTTTTTTTTTTTTTTTTTTTTTCCTTCTCTTTTTTTTTGGGCGTTGGATCTGAGCAAGGGTTCATGACTCTTATCGAGGCCTCAGCTCAGGCCTCTTGCTTGTTTATCCGGTCGGCACTTGATGCCATGGTAGATATTAGGGGCACGTACAAATTGTAGATTGACTGTTAAGTATACCAGTAGCTTTCTTCTACTACTACTACTACTACTACTCTTTATTCTACGTAATGACTACATAACTTCTACTACTAGTTCGTCTCCACTGCGATAGCGGAGATCAGATAACCGAGGAATTTGACTCGAACGACCTCCAACTCTCCTATCCATCCTATCCATCCTACGCGTCTCTTCGAATAGACTGTCGACGGAGTAATTGGGGGTTTCTTTCCTTCCTCTCTCACTTGTTTTTCTTTTTCCTTTTGGTTGCTCTCTTTGCTCTCTTCCACGATGAGCGAAGATCCACGGGTCTCCCTGTGGACCAGATCACTGGTTGTATGTTTCCCCGTTGTCCTTGTATATTCATTATATTCAGTATATTGGATTATATTGGATTATATTCGATTGGTTCTATGCTTTACTCCTGCTTACAAGCTAGTCTGGCGCCATCGCCGGCCTCACAGTCGACTGCTCCCTCTACCCGCTCGACACGATCAAGACCCGGCTCCAGAAAGCTCGCACCCCGCTGTCAAGCTCTTCAGCTTCAGCTTCGACGACGACCATCCCTAAGCCGTCGCTTCGGCAGACTCTCCGCGGGATCTACGCCGGTCTTCCGTCCGTGCTGTTCGGGTCTGCGCCTTCTGCCGCCTCGTTCTTCATCGTCTACGATGGGGTGAAACGGACGCTTCTCGACATGGAAAAGAATCCAGGGGCGGAAAGGAAACCATCTCGGACACACCTCATCCTCACACACTCGCTTGCTTCGTCGCTTGGTGAGATCGCGGCGTGCGCCGTCCGCGTGCCGACGGAGGTGGTCAAGCAGCGCGCCCAGGCGGGGCTCTTCGGCGGCTCGACCCTGCTCGCTCTCACGGATATTCTGAATCTACGCCGGCAGCCGTCGGGGGGTTATCTTCGGGTGATTCGTGAGCTGTACCGTGGAGCGGGGATCACGATCGCGCGCGAGATTCCCTTTACAGTCCTGCAGTTTACCATGTGGGAGTCCATGAAGGAGAGCTACATGAAACGATCATCACAGTCATCACAGTCATCACGGTCGTCGTCTGGTGCGTCGGGGAATGGGTTTATTCCTGCCTCGACGAGCGCGGTATTCGGAAGCATCGCTGGTGCGATTGCCGCGGGGCTGACCACCCCGTTGGACGTGATCAAGACGCGGGTGATGCTCGCGCGACGAGACGAAGGCGCCGGCCGGGTGCGAGTGCGAGAGATCGTGCAGGAGATTGCGAGCGAGGGAGGAGCTGGCGCCTTCTTCAGGGGCGTTGGCCCGCGGGTGGCCTGGATCGGCATCGGGGGGGCGGTCTTCCTGGGGAGTTACCAGTGGGCATGGAATACGTTGGGAAGGAGGGAGGAGAAGAGTGATCTGGGCCAGCCAGTTGATCTCTGATCGTTTCTGTGTTAATATGCCTATAGAGGTTTTCTAAGCGTTGTCTATACAGTGTACAAAACTAGAATATAGAGAGAGCATCATGCGATCATTCGATCCTTACCTTACTCTGCCTAATATTATGTAGTACCCTCACTATATTTGATTGATTTTATTATTAATAAATAAACAAGACACGATACTGATATTAATATGGATTTTTATCTCCAAATATTAGTCAATTCGTTATACTCCAGTCAGTCGGTCTTGCTTACCCGCCTCTTCTTCCCCTCTCGCTTCTCCTCCTTCTCCCACTCTCTTTCGGCTTCAATCCTCTGCTCTGCCTCTGCTTTCTCTGTCTTAGCCCTCCCCTTTGTCTCTATTTTCCTCTGTTTCTGCTTTCCTTCTCTGTGAATACCCTTTCTACTTCTCCCTGCAGTCCCTGTAGTCCCTGCAGTCCCTGCTACTATCTATCTGTTTTCTCTCGAGTGATCAGCATCGACAGATAAGCTCCGCATTCTCTCTCCACAGTGTGCCTCCTGGCAATCAGCCTGCATGGCGAGGAAATTCAGCCATCAGAGGGTCACTTATGGTATATTTCTGACTTTCAATCCTATTCTTTTTTTTTTTTTTTTGGTTCATTCTTGCTAATGGTCTAGTCCTTCCTCCCCCTGACGCTCCAGGCGGCCACCGACTGGGTGTGAACGGATTGGCGGTCGACGTCGACAACTCCATCCTGTAAGACAGCCTTTTTTTCTTCTTCTTCTTCTTCTTCTTCTTCTTCTTCTTCTTCTTCTTCTTATTACTTGGTCTTTGCTTATATCTGTGTTAGATATTCCGCTGGTCGCGATGGCGTCGTCTGCTCGTGGAACCTTGATGCCTCGGCCGCTACGACCCCCGACACGAAGAACCCTCCCGCAACGACCTTTCGCAGCCAGGTCCAGGCACACAGCCACTGGATTAACGATATCGTCCTGACGCAAAACAACGAGGCGCTTGTCTCTGCCTCGTCGGATACCACTGTGCGCCTGTGGCGCCCGCACGCGGACGCCGCCGACCTCCCCGCCCCGATCGGCAAACACGCCGACTATGTCAAGTGTCTGGCAACGCCCGGGAGCAGCTCGTCCTGGGTCGCCTCGGGCGGGCTGGACCACTACCTCTACCTGTGGGACGTCAACGGCGGCGGCGAGACGCTCAAGATCGACACCTGCGGCGACGACAAGACGGCCAAGGGCTCCGTCTACGCGCTGGGCGCCGTTCACTCCGTGCTCGCCACGGGAGGGCCTGAGAGCGCCGTGCGTGTCTGGGACCCCAAGTCCGGGAAGCTGATCACCAAGTTCGTCGGCCATACGGACAACGTGCGCGACATTCTCATCAACCGCGCCGGCGATACCATCATGACCGCCTCGTCGGACCAGACCGTCAAGATCTGGTCTCTGACCGCCGGCCGCTGCATGCACACCCTCACCATGCACAACGACAGCGTCTGGTCCCTGTATTCCGACGATCCGGACCTCGCTGTCTTTTATTCTAGCGACCGCTCTGGTCTCGTCGCCAAGACTGATACCCGTCGCGCCTCGGACATCGATCACGGCCTTTGCGTCGCTGTCCTGCAGGAGCACGAGGGTGTCGTCAAGGTCGTCGCGGCCGGGGACTCCATTTGGACCGCTACCCCGAAATCTAGCATCAACCGCTGGCGCAACATCGACACTACGCTTGAGATCGAGGCTCCGCCAGCTTCAGAAGAAGAGGAAGAAGAAGAAGAAGAAGAAGAAGAAGAAAAGAAACAGACTGAGCCCGCGCCGGCAAAAGCAGCAGCTGAAACGGCGCCAGCATCCAAAGAAGCTCCTCCGAAACCTCAGAAGATCCCCTACAATTCGGTCCTCCTTCTGACCAGTACCTCGACTTTCCCCCATACAGCCCGGCCGGGTGTGGAGGTGACCAACCCAAGGGCCAATGCAACCAGTCAGTCCGACGATGAGTTGGGACTCGCTGCCCCCGCGCTGTCCCTGCCGGTTGAGACCATAGAGGGCCAACACGGACTGATCAAATACTTGATGCTCAACGACCGCAAACGAACCCTAACCCAAGATTCGGCGGGCGAGGTTGTCCTGTGGGATCTTCTCAAGGTAAGTCTTTTTGACTCTTATCAAAGCCTCTTTTCTTTGTTTTCTAATTGTTTAGTGCACACCCATCAAACAGTTCGGTAAATGCCATATGGACGACGTCGCTCTTGAAATCAATACCACGGAAAGCATTGCCCACTGGTGCACCATTGATATCCGGACGGGTCGGCTGTCGGTCATCGTCGAGCTTAACCGGTGCTTCGACGCTGAGGTATATGCGGATGAAGCCGATCTGGCAGATCTCACTCCTTTCCGCGAAGACCAGCGAAGTAGGTCTTTATACTTGCCACTATATATATATATATACATATGTGTATACTTTTTGAGAATATCGAATGATGCTGACAATTGCAAGTCAATCTTGGCAAGTGGATTCTGCGGTGGTTATTTGCCCCTCTGGTCGACGAGGAGATGGCACGCGACGCGCAGTATCGCGCGACGGCCGTGGCCAAAGCCGAGGAGATTGCCAAATCCACCGCCGAGGCCGCCAATTCGTCGTCTTCTTCGTCGCATGCGACCTCACGACCGATCGGAATCCCCGTGCCGCCGCGGGATATTGGCGGCGCCGGGTTTGGACATGGAGTGCCGGTCACGCCTGGGTTTAGCATCGCGTCCACGAACCACTTTGGCACCTCGCCCTTCACCATGGGTGATGACGACGGCTCAGAGCTGCTCTCTTCCTCACACCCGCCTGCACCGACCTCGGCGGTAGCAGCAGACCTGACGCGCAGCTCGGGCGATTACTTTTCATCGCGGCCGGTGTTTGGGACTACTCCCACCACGGCAGTCGACGAGAAGAACCCACTGTCCAGGATTGATTCGCAGACCCAGGCACCCTCGAGTGGTGCCGCCTTGCCACAGTCGCCGTCGGAGCCGGACAAGGAGGAGAAGAAGCAGCGCGGCGGGTCGCTGTTCAGCAAGAAGTGGAATCTCCCCAAGAAGCTGGGCCGCACCCCCTCAGAGGCCAAGCCGCCTGTCCAGGAGGAAAAGGTCGAGGACTCGGACAAATCGTCGGTCAAAGAGGAGAAGGTGTACGAGAACAACCTGGGCGGCGTGATCGAGCGCATGCGCGACGAGTACGAGGAATTCCTGGCCGCCCATCCGGCGCAGGCGTCCGAGCTGGTCTCGGCCATCACCCCAAGCCCGGAGATCGAGACACCCCGGCTCGATGTGCCCGCTCGCACCACCATCTTCATCCAGGAGGAGTCGGGCGACTCGGCCGTCGCCACAGATTTGTACCGGGGGAGCTTCGAATCGGTCGCGCAGGACATTGACAAGTTGGAGAAGTCGATTCCCCAATGGTTGGGCGAGTTGTTACTGAAGGTAAAAAAAAAAAAGCCAAAAAAAAGGAATAAAGCTGACCGACAGAACCAAATCATCCCGAAAGAACCTGTCAAGGTGGCATTTACCTTGAAGCCGTACGACGACTTGCTGCCACACGTTTCCAAGCCCGATTTGTAAGAATACACTCATCTCTTAACTATTACTTGATACTTCTAGTCTAACTTGCTAGGACAAACGGCAGCTCCCGACTGAACGCGAACCGCATGCTCCGCGCAAAGAAGATTCTGGCATATGTAGCAGAGCGGATCGATCCGAACTACGCAGACGAAGAAAATGCCCTCAAGCCGGAGGAGTATCTTGAGCTGTACTGTCAGAGAACGGTAAGTTCGTTCCATTGACGCTTCTTCTTCTTCTTCTTCTTCTTCTTCTTCTTTTTCTAAGATATCAGATCATCCCTTCGAACATGACACTCGCAACTATCCGACAACACCTGTGGCGCTCTGGCGGCGACATGGTTCTCTTCTACAAGGCTAACGGCCGACGAGAGATCAAGATGCCTCCATCGGAAGAAGAGGGACAGGCACAGGCACAGGGACAACCTGCGAGTCTGCCGGCAAGCATCCACTCATCTACACCGTCAGGGCCTGCCTCGCCGAAGCCTTGATGTAGATTATTACATCATGTATATATGTAGTGTAGCGCAAAATATCTTGCTAGAACTGGTACTGTCGTGAATAAATATTCCATTCTCTATAGTCCATACTGTTTATACTCATACTACAGCTAATACCAATCAGGTCTAGTCTGGATATGCCCACGCACGTCCCGTAATTTCCACTTCCACTTCACTTCCACTTCAACTTCAACTTCACTTCACCTCAACATCACTCAATAATGTATAATGTACCATGCCATCCCACCAGACCAATTCCTCGCCAGATTTCACCATCTGTGGACTTCTTGCCGTTCCGTGATCCACAGGACGCGCCGTCGTGATGGGTTTCCCTCGCGAGTAGGTGAGAGTCATCAATCCTTCAATCTATATATAACCATTCTCATTATATCTAGGCATCGCCGTCAGCGGGGGCATGGACTCGATGGCCCTCACCCATCTCTGTCAACAGGCAGGGCTGGACGTCACTGCCTTTGTAGTGGATCATCAGGCGAGAGAAGAGAGTGCCCGTGAAGCACGCACAGTCGCTTCATGGTTGGAGAATATGAGTGTGTTTTTATACTACTACTACAGTCGTAATATGGGCGATATCTAATGCTTAAAGGGGTTAAAACGCATGTGTTACGATTAAACTGGTCTGCCAACGTGTCGGCGTTTGAAACGCAGGCCCGTCGTCTGCGCTTCCAGGCTCTTGGGAGAGCGTGTCACGAACACGATCTCGATACCCTCCTACTAGGCCATCACCGGGACGACGCGGTCGAGACAACACTGTGGCGACTTGCATGCGGTGCCAAGGGCGCCGGACTGGCGGGCATTGCGCCCGTGGCGAAGATTCCAGAGTGTCATGGCTTGTACGGGGTTTCGGAGAGTGGGCTGCAAACCAAGTGGGAGAGCCCGGTGACGACCGAGAGCTCAGCGATGACCGGCAAGACCAGCGATGGAGTGGTTTCATCCGGGGGGATTCTTCTCGTGCGTCCCCTGCTCGAATTTCCCAAGGCACAGTTACAAGCGACCTGCGCGTCCAACGGGATCCCCTTCGTCACGGACGCGACCAACTTCGACACCAGTCTCACGCCGCGCAACGCGATCCGCAGTCTTCTCGTCCACGGCGGCAGACGGCTCCCCCGCGCGCTCCGCACGGATTCCATCCTCTCGCTGATCGCCTCGAGCAGGGACCGGCTATACGAAGCAGATCGCAAATCAGATCATCTGCTCTCCCTCTTCCACCTGGAGACCTTTGATCCTCGCACAGGTCTGCTCCGTGTTCAGTTCCCACGCACACAGACACAGACGGAAACCCAGGTGGCATCGCTCACCCTCCGTCGCGTGGCAGAGCTGGTCTCGCCCTTCCCGGATAACCACTTTCCCCTCCGCAGCTATGGACAGTTTGTCGGGGACGTTTTCAACCACAGTGAAACAGACTCGACTACGAAGAAGAAAAAGAAGAAGAAGACCGCCTTCACCGTCGGCGGGGTCATGTTCACACCCGGCCATGGAGAAAGGGAATGGCTTCTCTCCCGCCAACCCTTCTGGCGACATCGCTCGCCAGTCACGCATATCGATGGCAGTAGCACCCCGGGAGGGACAGACTTCTCCCCCTGGACGCTATGGGATAACCGGTTCTGGATACGAATCAGCAGTACCAGTCCTTCATCAAAAGTATCTGACCTGCTTATTCGGCCCCTTTGGGCATCTGATCTCTCTGCAAAAGAATCAAGCCCGGATACTACTACTACCCTCCGCAAGCTCCTTGCAAGCCACGCGCCGGGTCCCATCCGCTTCACTCTCCCTGTGCTTGCTTGCGCGTCTACGGGAGAGCCGCTTGCGTTGCCTACGCTCGGGTCCACTTTCTCTGGCTGTCCGGATACTTTACGTTGGGAATGGATGTTTAAAAGTGTGGATGTCGATGCTCTACACAGTATGTAGTATAAAGAACAGGTAGTAGTTATGCAGATGTAGTATAAAGAACAGGTAGTAGTTTATGCAGATGTAAAGATTAATCCTATCCTAACAAAAGAATCATGAGAGAGTGCCCTGGTATCTAAACTAAGGAAAAAGAGTGGTGTAACAGTTGCACCAAGAGTCAGGTGTACAGAAGAGTGTCAAGCGTGACAGTCAGAAAAAGAGGATATTACAAGAAATACGATGATGATGATGATGATGATGATGAATGATGAGAAATCACTCACTCGCCTTGAGCAGCGCAACAGCCGCCTGCTGCGCCCGAAGACCCCCGACCTCGCGTTTGAGACGAAAGTTTTCTTTCTTCAGGCGGCCGATCTCGTCCAACGCCGCCGCCAGCTGCGCCTTGAGCGCCTCCTCGCCCGCCCCGACGCGCACGTCTTTGACGATCTTGCTGAGCTCCGAGTTGAATCGGTCGTACAGCGCCTCGTTCTCCGCGCTTGCCTCGCGGTACAGCTCGTCCAGCTTCTTGACCCGCTTCTCGCTCACAACCAGAGACGACTCCAGGTCCTTTTCGATCGCCGTCGTGCGGCTATCAAACTCGCTGCTGAGGCCCTCCACTTGCGCCTCCAGTGTGCGCACCCGCAATATCAGGTAGTCGCTGGCTCCAGGATCGGAGGGCGGCTTCGCGTTTTCGTCGGACTCGGTGGGTTCGGTCGGAGGTACCAGCTGCCGAGGGACGAGTTTCAGGGCACGCATTTCTTGCTGGATCATCTCCAATTCTTCTTGCAGGCCCAACTGTCCGGAGACCTGTGCACTTTTCTCGTTCTGCAAGCGATCTCGGAGCTTTTTTTTTTTTTTTCATTGTTAGTTGAAATGATCAGGGAGAAGACGATTGGGAAGAGGGAGAAATGAATACCTTCTGCGGACTCTGCATTCGAAGCTTCTGGAGCTTCTGAGACGAAGGGGGCCGCTTCCCATCAGAACTGTTGGCAAGTGTAGGCCGTTCCTTAAGGCCACCTCCTCGGGATGAGGGAATGCTGATGGCGCGCGATCGCTGCCGCGAGTCCGGCGGGGGCGAGCCGGTTGAATCACCGTTCTTCTTCTTTGGCGCACGTTCAGTCATGGCTACCCGGGGATCGATGTTCTCCTTGCGGCTTGGTGTGCTGGGTCGCGTGGGGGACTGGCGTCGGATAGGAGAAGAGAGCCGTCCGGGAGGAGAATTGGTGGTGCTATTCTTTGCGGGCGACGAACTCCGCACAGGTGAGCCTGATGCATGGCCGTTTGTGACCGGTCGATTTGCCTTTGTAGGCGTGACCGCAGGATCCCCCGGGCGCGCTCTACTAGACGTTGCTGGAGCCACCGGAGTGATGGGCCGTCGGGGAGGAGTCGGGGAGGGCCGAGGAGGGTTACTCGTTGTCGAGGAGGCAGTGGGAGGTCGCAGATCGGAGAGCGAGCTCCGGCGTTTACGGCGAACCTTGATCACGACCGCGCCGTCGGTGATTCCGCGGATGGAAGAAATCGAGGGGGTCGCCTCTTTCTCGTCTTCTGGAGATTGGTGGTCTGGGCGTGGAATCTGCTCTTCGGAAATGGAGAAAGGGTTGGGGGATCCGCGCGAGGTGGGACGCAGCAATGGGCCTAGTCGGGTGTCGATATCAATGGATTTGGAGCGCAAGAGCATTCCCCTGGGCGTATGTAGCTCCGAGTCGTTGCTGTTGCCGACGCTACTACTGCTGCTGCTGCTGCCACCACCCTTGGTCTTGCTCAAGGTGCGTAGGATTGACGAGACCTTGCTCTCGCCATCCGTCCTGGTAGTTTCGCGATGTAGGCTGAAGCCGAAGCGTTTCCGGAAGGACGAGGTGTTGGAGCTGACAGAGCCTGTGTGACGGTGATGGGAAGGGCCGCCGCCGCCGCCTTCCCGCGGGGTGGAATAATCGCCACCGTCATCCCAGATCTCATCGAAGAGAGATTCAAAATCTTCAACCAGGCGATCCAGCAAGGAGACATGCTGCATCGGGTCACCCTCCTCGGTCAAGATTTCGGCAAAGGCGGCGGTGAGGGCGCCGCGGTCCCCATCGTTGCCAGAAGCGTCCATCAGTTCGGCTAGCAAGCGGACCAAAGCAGCGAGGGCGCGACGGTTCTGCGGGCTCATCTCTTCGGTAAGCATTCGGCGGAAGTGCTCATCGAAATCACGCGGGAACATCGTATCGAACTGGCCCTGGATACGCTTCAGTGCGCACGGGTCGAGAACGGCTCCCATCTGGCTCTTCCATGCATTGGCCATGAAAGTTTCAAAGGCGACAAAGAGCACATCGACAGGCACCTCTGCTGCCGCCTGGATACGGCCAGGATCCTCGAGCAGGACGTTGTAGAGCTCGTTGACAGCCGATCGATCCGCGGCGTCTCGGGCGCGTAGGGTTCGGCCAACGACATTGCCACTCCGAGACTGCAGCGAAAGAACGTACGCCGCAAACGTTTGTTCAATGGCGCTAAACTGGGTTGTCTCGGGCGGAGAGGTCTTTGCTGCGCTAACCACAGAGACTTTTGGCGTGCTGTGAATGTCGTTGCTATCATCATTGGTGGTGGTAGTCGTGGTAGTAGTAGTAGTAGTAGTAGTAGTCGTCATCGTCGTCGTGTTGTTATTGTTATTGTTATTGTTGTTGTTGTTGTTGTTGTTGTGATTATTGTTATTGTTGCTCTCCTTGCTAGGAAAAGTCGATGGCAACGTGTTGGAGCGCGAGATGTTGATCCGGGGAGGAGGCATTTTGGGAAATTCGCCCAGCAAAGAGGCTGAACTGGGACCTTTGGAGCTGGATGAGGACGGAGTCGATGACTGCTCTTTCGATAGACTGCCGCCCCAGAGACTGGATAGGAGCTTCGACGGCGACGGGGGTCGAAAGCCACGGGGCACTTTGACCTGGGTCATTAAGCTGCTAGCGATATACCGAAGGATTTCAAAGTTGGAGTGTATGAGAGGTTCCGCAAGAGTTTTGTTCCTGGTTCCATGGAGAGGTCCAAGCAAATTCAAAACTAGAAAGAACTGGTTAGTTTCAGAAAAGAAGAAAAAAAAAAATTTTTTTTGATTGAGAAATCGAGATACATACTGCGCTTGGATAGAACCGGAATGAAGCTGTCCGCAGTGACAAGATCCGAGGATGAAGCGCCTATTACCGAGTCGATGTCGAGACGAAACTGGTCCTCAGTGGGCGAGGAGACCGCGACGACGACCTCGAGGTCGGTGCTTTGCAGGGCCTGGGTGCAGAGGGCCTTGGGCGTGTCGAAACGGAGCTGAATTCTCGCCGATCCAGGTCGGGGCAGGGAAGGGCTGTCAGATTCCTCATAGACGCAGGCCAGGAGACCGAGATTGCCGACAGTGCCGGTTGGGTTGCGGAGGGTCCATTTTCCGCTCTCACGCTCCTGCTCGGGGAAGCGGCCCTCGATGCGGGCTTTGGTGATCTCCTCGATCAGGCGAGTGGCGCGTCCGTCGTACTGGCCCGACAATTCAAGGGCCAGGAGATCCATCCCCATGGCCTGGTCGGCCTTGTTGTCCGTCATCCCAGGAACCAGGAACAAGAGGCGTCCACAGGTCGAATGCATGCATCGGACCGTGCTGAGGGGGAACACCTGGGCAACACGCAGTTCGGCGATGGGGAACGAGGCGGACGACCGGTCGGTCGAGGCGGCGGCCTGGTCGAGCTCGGTCATCAAGCTTCGAGCAGTAATTCTGCTACCGGACGACTTGGACAGCAACACCAGACAGTTTGGGTAGACGAGAAGGATGCCTGTTGGCCCCGGGGGGGGAGCAGCACTTTGAGGATCGTCCGGGTAAAAGGGCGCGGCGCTGTCCTTGAAGTCGACGGTGGTGATGAGGCGACCGGCGGGAAAGACGGCGGTAGGCCAGCCGTCGACAATGGTCTTGAGGCGTTGCAGGCTCTGGGTGTGGTTGGTGGAGGAGGCGTCGTCGTCGTCGTCGTCGTCGTCGAGAGCGCAGATGTCCTTGATGATGTCGCGGGCTTTGAGCAGGGGGCGCACGGCCGGGTGGACGAGGGGCAGGCTGCTGGTCATGGTGTCGATGAGCAGACTATAGCGTGGTAGGCGCTGGACGGGCTCCATGAGCAGAGAGCGTAGGCGTTGCTCGCCGGTCTCGTAGACGCGGCGGGAGAAGCTGGAGTGCTGGTCCTTGAGGAAGATGTTGAGGGTCTGGGTGAAGCCGGTGTGGGCGCGCAGATAGTCGGCGTAGGGCTGGGAGAAGCGAGGGAACCAGTCCAACAGGGTCTGAGCAAAGGCCACGGCGCCCATGGCATCCTTCCCGTCGCGGGGGTCGGTGCGACGGGACAGCGACGAGGTGGACTGCTGTTGCTGCACCTCGGTATCCTCGGCGAGGTCCGTCATGGCATCCTTTTCGGTATCCTCCAGGATCTGGCGGATGACCTGCAAGAACCCCAGGTTGACTTCGAGGATCTGGCTCAGACAGGGGGGGAAGAGGGCGCGCAGAGCGGCCTCGTCCGGGCTGGTGCTGGCCATGGACCTCCCCTGGGCCTTGAGGCGAAACTCCTCGGCAACCTGGTGGACGAGGAGATAGAGCTTGTTGACGTAGCGCTCCTCCGTGTCGACCACCTCGCACATGGCCAACCGTAAGGCTTCCTTCTGACTGCGCGTGAAGAGTCTCGATTTGCTCCGGTTGGTCGATTGCGAGGGAGCACGTTTGAGACGCGAGGTGGGCAAGAAGACCGGTTCCCCCAACGCATGGATCAGAGACGAATACTTCCCATACTGCACATTGTCGGTTTCTTCGATACTGTCATCGTTCTGGTTGGAATCCTCTCGCGGCGGCGGCGGCGGCGGCAGCTGGATCGACCCGGCCGGCAAAACGACATCCAGGTCAACGCAGTGGACCCTGCGGTCTCCGTAGGCCGCCCGCAGATCGCGAATAATATCGGCAGCGTTATTCCCGTCTACCTTGGCCATACGGTTGGCCAGCTCGGCGGCGTGCATCTCGTCGAACATCTTGGGCAACCGAGCGGCCGGCCGCCCCGCACGCGCGATCTCGGAGAGACAAGCCTTGGCCGGATCGGACAGATCTGCAAAGTACTTGAGCATGGTGACGGCAAGACCCCGGCAGACCTCGTCGCCCTGTTTATCGCGAGGCAGGTGGTTGACGGCGGCGTAGAGAGGGGCGGCGGGCGAGACGGTCAGACGCGGGTACGAGACGAAGCCGGCGGGAGAGAAGATGTGTGCCTGGATGCGCGAGCTGCTGACCGTCGCATTTGCCGTGGCCACAGGGCCGTAGAAGACAAAGGTCGAGGCCAGCTGGGGGTCGACAGCGTGGTAGAGAGCGAGCTGCTCCAGCGGCAGGTCCGCGGGGGAGGCAGTCGTTGCCATGGCGGAGGAGGAGGAGGAGGAGGAGGAGGAGGGGAGGTTCTTCGAGGGCGTAAAAAGGAGCGACAGGGAAGGAAAGACGGCGAAGCGATCGAAGGAGGGAAAGGAGCGACAGGAAGGAATTAGTAGCTCAGGTTGAAAGGACGAATTAATTAAAGATGGCAACGAGCGAGACGGACGACTGACACGCAGTGCAGCTGCGCGACCGAGGCAGACGACGACATTCGTCACACCGGGTCGTCCATGAACACGTCTTCGACCCAAGACACGACCCGAGACGACAGATAACGATGGAAGGAAGAAACGGAGGCCGTCTAAAGATGAAGAGAAAACGCTGCAAGTGCTAGCAAGAGTGAAGAGAGAGAGAGAGAGAGAGAGAGGGAGGGAGAGAGAGAGAGAGGGGGGAAGATATCGGCTGCAGTCGACGCGGGGAGGAGTGGAGTAGATTAGCTTACGACGTATGTTGTGAGAGGATTTAATTATATAGAGTATGAGTATACTCCGTACAGCCATTGGATTAAGGATTTACTTCTATCTAATGGTAGATGATTAGTAGTTTGTGCTTCGATTAATCTGTTGTCTCGCTGTCGGTTCACCTACGGAGCTTGTTTACGTCTCTACTACGGAGTACTACGGAGGACTCTGTACAGTATGCCTTGGAGAGAAGAGAGATTGCCGTGACATCTAATCGGATGGCGAGAGACACGAGCAAATCAAGACCTCGAGACTCAGTATCCATGGCGATGAAGCAAGGCATCTTCTGTCTGTCTCTCCGTCGCGGTAAACAGCAAGGAGAGTCGACTCAGTCGAGAGTCAGAGACACGTGAGATCAGAAGAGATTACGTAATGGATGAGTAATAATCCACTGGACTGCAATGGGTTAGTACCACCACTAGTCTGCAATGGGTTAGCATTGACCTAGTGCGTAATAGGTTAGGGTACGGTCTAGCCTGTTATAGTTAGACATTACACTAGTCCCAATATGAATCGTGGCTTCACATGACCCAGTCACATGTGGCGCTAGACCAAACCGGGCAGTCCGTCGACAGAACAGGTAACAACCATCACCACCACGACAGGCGAAAGCCAAACTTTTGCTTCTACTCCTGCTCGCTGCACCAGCAACTCGAGTCTCCGGGCTCTTCCCACCATGTCGTCTCCATCTGTGGCCATCGCGGTCGACCCCGTGGCCCTCGTCACTACAGAATGCATCGCCGTCACCTCCGCCATGCGCAAGCACGCCCGCTGGGCGCACTCCTCCGTCGCCGCCATCCTCGGGGCCAGCAGCACCACGGCCACCACCACCACGGCCACCACGGCCATCGCCACTGGCACGGGCACAGGCACGGGCAGTGCCTCTCGTGAGCCTCGATCACGCGTCTCCAAGGCCGACGAAGACTACTCCCTGGCGAATCGATGGGGGTTGAGAGGCAAGAAGGGCAAGAGTATGCAGGACAACCCGCTCATCTCGGCCTTCACCCGGCTACGGAGCGACCTGAAGGGCTGCAGGGACATCCACTCCTTCGACACCCCGGCTCTGCTGCACCCGTTCTTGCAGGTCATTCGATCGTCGTCTACCTCGGCCGCCATCACCTCCTTGGCCCTGGTGGCCATCACCAAGTTCTTCGCCTACAACATCATCAGCTGCGACTCGCCCCGTCTCGCCCGGGCCATGCAGCTGTTGTCCGCCGCCATCACCCACTGCCGCTTCGAGGCCAGTGACTCGGCCGCCGACGAGATCGTCCTGCTGCGCATCTTGAATTTGATGGAAGGCATGCTGTCTCGTCCAGAGGGCAACCTGCTGGGAGACGAGAGCGTGTGCGAGATGATGGAGACCGGTCTGAGCATGTGCTGTCAGGGTCGCCTGTCTGAGGTCCTGCGTCGTTCCGCAGAGATGGCCATGGTCAATATGTGCCAGGTGATCTTTGTGCGTCTCGCTCATCTCGATACCGACCAGCTGTCCACCGTGGCTGTCGACAAGACAACTCCCCTCAAGTCTGAGGGCTTCAAGATGGACCCTTCCGTCGACGGAGACACAGTCACCTCCCAGCACCCTTCTGCGCTAGGCGAGGATACCACCGAGAAGGACCATGGCAGTTCCGAACGTAGCAGTGCAGAGACTCCTCTCTCTGACAGACATTCTACTACCCCTGCAACCCCCACCACCACCACCACTATAGCTGTTGTCGCACCGCCAGACCCGGCTGATGATGACGAGCTTGAAGACGTCCAGCCATACTCGCTCGCCTCCATCCGGGAGCTGTTCCGAGTGCTGATCGATCTGCTCGACCCGCACAACCCCCAGCATACCGACACCATGCGCGTCATGGCCCTCCGCATCATCGATGTCGCGCTTGAAGTCGCTGGCCCGGCCATTGCCCGCCATCCTACCCTGGCCGCCCTGGCCGAGGATGATCTTTGCCGCCACCTCTTCCAGCTCGTCCGCTCCGAGAACATGGCCATCCTCTCCGGCTCGCTGCGCGTCGCCGGTACCCTCTTGCTCACCGCGCGTTCCGTCCTCAAGCTGCAACAGGAACTCTACTTGTCCTACCTGGTCGCTTGTCTGCATCCCCGCGTCGACATCCCTCGCGAACCGGGCATCGACCCGGCCCTCTACGAAGGAGTACCTCAGGCACCCAAGCTGGTCAAACCGGCCCCCTCGGCCTCGCAGAGCAACAGTGGCCGCAACACCCCCGTGCCTGTCAAGGACCGTCAGAAGCTCGGTCTCGAGGGCGGCGCCCGCCGCCCCGAGGCCCGCGAGGCCATGGTCGAGAGTCTGGGCCTGCTCGCCCGCATCCCCAGCTTCATGGTCGAGCTCTTTGTCAACTACGACTGTGATGCCGACCGCGCCGACCTCTGTGAGGACCTCGTCGGCCTGCTGTCGCGCAACGCCTTCCCAGACTCGGCCACCTGGAGCACCACCAACGTGCCGCCGCTGTGTCTGGATGCGTTGCTCAGCTACGTCCAGTTCATCTACGACCGCCTGGAGGACGAGCCCCGTACCGAGGGGTTCCCCGATCTCGCCCAGCTGCACGCCCAGCGCCGCACCAAGAAGATCATCATCCAGGGGGCTCAGAAGTTCAACGAAAACCCCAAGGCCGGCATCGCCTATCTCGCTGCACAGGGCATCATCGCCGACCCGAACGACCCGGTCCTCGTGGCGCGATTCCTCAAGGGAACCACCCGTCTGTCCAAAAGGGTGCTCGGCGATTACCTCACCAAGCGAGCAAACGGGGCCCTCCTGAACGCCTTCATCGATCTCTTCGACTTCTCCGGTCAGACCGTCGTCGAGGCCCTGCGGGACATGCTCGGCGCCTTCCGCCTGCCGGGCGAAGCCCCGCTGATCGAACGCATCGTCACCACCTTCTCCGAGAAGTTCCTTGAAAAGGCTCATCCCCCGGGCGTCGCCGACCGGGACGCTCTCTTTGTCCTCACCTACGCAACCATCATGCTCAACACCGACGCCCACAATCCCAACATCAAGGAACAGAACCGCATGGCCTATACCGACTTTGCGCGCAACCTGCGGGGCGTCAACGCCGGCAGCGACTTCGCCACGGAGTTCCTGCAGGAGATCTACGACTCCATCAAGCAGAACGAGATCATCCTGCCGGATGAGCATGAAAACAAGCACGCCTTTGACTACGCCTGGAAGGAGCTGCTGATCAAAGCCTCGTCCACGGGTCCGCTCGTCGTCGGCGACACCAACGTCTTCGATGCCGAAATGTTCGAGGCCACCTGGCGGCCCGTCGTCGCCACCCTCGCCTACGTCTTCATGTCCGCCTCGGACGATGCCGTCTACTCCCGCGTCGTCATGGGCTTCGACCAGTGCGCCCAGATTGCTGCCCGCTACGGTCTCACCGACGCCTTCGACCGTATCCTGTTCTGCCTCGCCTCCATCAGCACATTGGCCGCCGACCCCCCGCCCAGTACTGCCCTCAATACCGAGGTCCAAGCCGGCCAGAAGAGCGTCATGGTCAGCGAGCTGGCTGTCAAGTTCGGCCGCGACTTCCGCGCCCAGCTGGCCACCGTCGTGCTCTTCCGCGTCCTGGCCGGCAACGAGTCTGTCGTCCGCCAAAGCTGGCCCTCCATCATCCGTATCCTTCACAACTTCTTTGTCAACTCCCTCATCGCTCCCTTTGACTCCACTCTCAACGGGGCCCTCGACCTGCCACCCATCCCCCTCCAGCCGCCCTCGCAGGTCGTCGATCGTGACGTCCGCCACACTGACACCGGCCTTCTCTCCGCTTTCACTTCGTATCTGTCCAGCTATGCTGCCGACGAACCCCCGGAACCTTCCGATGAAGAGCTCGATAATACCCTCTGCACGGTGGACTGCGTCACCGCATGCTCAATCGATGTCATTCTAGAAAATCTAAAGTATTCCCCTCCCTCCCCCCTCTCCCCTTCCTCGTGCATTATTCGTACCTTGTATCTAATAAACAAATACCAGGTCTCTCCCGTTGTCTTCTATCAAATCGCTGGTCGACATTCTCTTGGCGCAGCTCCCTGAAGAATCGACCCCCGCCGTCATCGTGGTCAAGACCGAGCGACCTACCGGTTCTCCACGGCCTTCCAACGGCAAAATTAATTCTCACCGACCGACATATGATCCCGGCATGCTGTATATCCTCGAGCTGGCCACTATCCTCACGCTACGGGATCGAGAGACGTTGGAGGCCCTGGGCGAGTCCCTATTGACATCCCTGCAGACCCTGGTCCGCGGTGCTCGATCGCTGCACTCGCTCTCTGTCTCGCGTCTCTTGTCTTACCTCCTAAACCTCCTTCGCTTGAGCTATGTATGTCTCTTTGGAAGTGTCCTTTCCTCAATCTTTTCTCAATCCAAATACTAATTTTCAAAACAGGACTTGCCATTTATGCGGGTCCCCGTCATCTTGCATACCATCTCAAGTTTAGACCAGGACACTCTAGACAGTGCGGCGGTGCCGATTGTCGCAGGACTGACACGATGCATCAAGGCTGCCACCCCGCTGGGCAATGAGATCACTGTCTCGCCTGATCTCTGGTCCATCCTTCAGCGGCTGCATCGCCACGCGGACGCCGCCCCGCTAGTGTTCGAGCTGCTGCAGGGTATTGTCAACTCGACGCCCCCGATAGTCACGGGAGATAACTACGAGTCTGCCGTCGGCCTGGCGAGCGATTTTATGAGTGCTGGGAGCGTGGGCGCTGTCGAGCAACGACAGCGTGATGCCCATGACCGTCGTAGGGGTAAAAATGCGCAGCCAAGGTAATATATATATATATATATATATATACCCTTTTATCTCCGATTAACAGTGATCAGGGCTAATAGCACAGTGAAAACCCAATCGTCACCCGCGGCGTGGAAGCCATCAGCGTCATTCAAGTGTTAAGCAGGCGAGTTCCTGTCCTCATCAAGCAGTCCCATCTTGAAGAGACGGAGGGTAAGTTTCTTCCCTATCTGTTTTTTCATCATCCACGAATGATTCGATTGCTGACCTCTCTCTCTCTCTCTCTCTTTCTCTTCCAGCATGGGCTGCGTATTGGTCTCCTATCTTCCAATCGTTGACGACACAATGCATCAACCCCTGCCGGGAGATCCGGCATTCGGCGGTGTCTATGCTCCAGCGGTCGCTGCTCTCAGTGGAGCTCCTCTCGAGCGACGAGCGCGAATGGACCGCCATCTTCGACGAAGTCCTGTTCCCGCTGATCCTGCGTCTCCTGAAGCCGGAGGTCTTCCACTCTGACCCCGCCGGAATGGGGCAGACCCGCGTCGAGGTCGCCATCTTGCTCTGCAAGATCTTCCTACGCTACCTGGACCAATTGCCCAACCGGGACGGCATGCTGCCTCTCTGGCTGAAAATCCTCGACATCCTCGACCGCATGATGAACAGCGGACAAGGGGATAGCCTCGAGGAAGCCATCCTCGAGTCCCTCAAGAACATCCTCCTCGTCATGGCCGATGGCGGATACCTCGTCGACCCGACCAAGGACCCGGCCAAGGAGACCGTCTGGGTCGAAACCCGCAAACGCCTTGATCGTTTCCTCCCCCGCCTGTTTGACGAGGTGTTCCCGCCTGCTCCTCCTGCGCCGGAGCCCGCCCAGCAGAGTCCTGAAGAGAACATCTCAGAGAAGATTCCCGAGGAAGTCCCCGAGGAGGTCCCCGAGGTCCCAGAAGAAAACCGGAGGAGCGAGAGTCCTGAGGCATAAGACATGATTCAATGAATCGAGTGTTTGTGCACTGTACATACTGTCTCTAGCATATTAGACCTAATAGACTGATGTCTCGGCTGGTGCGTTAGATTATTATAATTATCATCACAGTAGTGATGGCATGCCTAGAAATTCTCTGTATTTATTGGCGTTCGATGAATCAATGAATCACGGTAAATTAGATGGAGAGAAAAGCAAAGTAGATTTGTTGTTACATGGATATTTACTCAAGAGAAGAATGTGTGTCTGTTGAAGTCTCGAAGAAAAAAAAAATAATGACAAAGGAGAAAAACAATCCCGTCGGATAGTCACAAACTGAGAAGCGATATCGGCTCTTAAGGCTCATAATTGAGAGAAGAGAAAAAAACAAAAAAAAAAACAAAATGTGTTTGTTCTCGTCTACTCGTCCATATCCTCCAAATCAATGGCATCAGGGTTAGCCGGCGCTGCGACGGGGACCGCTTCAGTGTGATGAGGCCGATTCCCTCCTTCGGGCCCGGTGCTGGCAGCAACAAAGCCCATCGGGGCGCGAGCCTGTCGTTCCAGCGCTGCCATTGCGTCCGCGCGCTCTTGGGCGGCTTCTGTATCGACATCCAGCCCTTCGCCTTCAACACCGCCATCCTGCGCGTGTCTCTGCTGGCTCCGAGCAATGGCTTGAGAAGCGATGAAGTTGACATCAGTGCTGTTCAGGGTTAGCTTGTTTTTTTTTTCTTGCAAATGTGAAAGAGATGGAAGAAAAAAACATACTTGTACTGTGCTTGCACGCTTCTCTTAATGCGTAACATTTCCTTGAAAGTATCTTCGTTGCCGTGCTGCACTTCAAAGGCCTCCCATTTCTGCCAGAATCCGGCGTTGGTTCGAGGATCGCAGAACTGCGAGGCATGGCCGTAGATAGCACGGGCACGGTCGATTTCGCCCAGACGTCGTTCCATCTCGGCGAACTTGAGACACATCTCCTTCGCCTCCTGGTCCGGCAGGGCCGCGATCGCGCGCTCATAGATCGGCCGCGTGGACGTAAGTCCAAAGTTGGAGGCCGACTTGGTGATGTAAAATTCAAACATTTCGAATCGGTCTTCGTCTGAGACTGCCCGAGTAGCCCGTTCGTAGATCCGCATTGCGTGGCGGGCGAGGCCACGCTCCTCTTCCAGGTTGCCGTACATCAGATAGAGAACCTTGGCGAATTTCGGTGGACATCCATCGAGGGCTTGTTCGAAAAGATCGCGCAGTCGTTCGATCCCAATCTTCCGGTCCACGGCCTTGGTCAAATACAGATTCCAGAGTTCAAAAGCAACCGGGTAGCTGAACAAATCGAGCCCGCGCTCGTAGATCTTGAACGAGTCCTCGAAGTACTTGTGCTCTTCCAAAAGATTGGCGTAGTTCACCACTGTCTGAGGCGTTGCGATGCGCAGCTCGAAGATTCGCTCGTAGACCTTCTTCGTATCATCCAGAGAACCGACGCTCTCCACCAGGTCAACATAGAAACTCCAAAGCTTCCAGCTCTTATGGATCCGCTGCTGTGGTGACAGCGTCTCATCAAAGTAGTCCACCGTGGACTTCTTGGGCGCTTGGGTGGCTTTGGCCATGATCTCAACTGCCTTGTCGAAATTCTCGCTCCTCAGCTCCATCTCTGCCCATTCACACCATACTTCGGCCAACTCAGCCACAGACTTGAAGGGTACCTTGGCCGCTTTTTCGAAGATGACTCGAGCGGTATCCAGGTCCCCGCCGTTCTCGTAAAACTTGGCGTAGTTGATCCAGAGCTCGGAGAACTTGCCGTGTGCCTTCTTCGGATTGATGGCGGCAATGGCGGCTGTGTACGTCTGGACTATCTCTTCCTTGTTGTCCCCCCACAAGGCAACCCTCTTCTCCCATTCGATGACGTTGTTAGGGTTCTGTCGCAACAAGACATCATTCACCAAGAAAGGCCTCCGATCCATCAATTGCTCGAATCTCAGCATGCGAAGGTCCAAATCAAAGTCCGCATCCTTGTCCAACTTGCCCTTCTCGGCACGAACGGCCGCCGCCTCCATCAGATTGCCAATGATGGATTCCTCGAATTCGACGTAGGAATCAAAGACCAGTGTAAAGTCGCGGACCGTCATCACGGTTGTTATCCCCTCCTCAAAGACATCCCTAGCCTTCTCAAAGTGGCCTTTTGTGATCCAGTAAGTCGCCAAGCCAGCCCACAATTTCCCTCTCTGGTCGGCGAATCGATCGATTCCGCTCCGGAGAATGGCGTCGACATTGATTCCAATCTGAGGGCCAGTCACAATCTTCTTGGCTTTAGAGACTAGCAATTCGACCATTTCTGTCCAAAGCTGGAAGTGACTCTTGCCCTCCTTGGACTGAAAGCGCGGGTTGTCCAAAATTTCCATGTACCTCTTAACTGCCTCTGTATACTCCCCCATCTCCACCAGGAGTTGGATGTACTCCTCGGCATTTTCCGGATGAATCTGCATGTAGCGGGCCCAAACTTTGACGGCTGTCTGTCCGGAAGCCGAGCGCGCAAATGTTTTGTACAGTTTCCAGATGCGATTGTGCTGTGTGACTGGGAGAGCCCGGAGAGCGCGATCAAAGCTTCGTCGAGTCTGCGTCACTAGAGGCTGCTGGAGCATAAACGAAAGAAACATTTCCCAGATGCGAGGCATCTTGTTCAGAAGGATGAGTGCTCGCTCGAAGAGCGAGTTCACTTTCAGATACTCGGCACGGTAGACAGTGGGGTTGCGGCCACGAAGATGCTTCATGCGGAACTCAAGATACTAATAAAAGAATCAGATTAGCATATTTAGAAAGATAGAGAGAGAGAAAGTATTTATGACAAACAGCCTTACCATCTTCCAGAGTTTGTATGATCTTGGCAGCTGTTTGCATGCGCGCTCCATAATCTGTGATTAAAGTCAGCACGCGCCCATATTATCTATACCCAGCATGAGAAACATACAAATGCTTGCTCGTACAGAGTCCCATGTTGCTGCTTATATTCGATATAGGCAAGCCAAGGCTTGACACTGCCAGCATCCCGGAGGACATCTTGCTCGTACACAGTGTCCTGATCGGCCTGGAATTGATATCAATCGTTAGCCAGCTATCCCATCAACTCTAATACCCCATAACAAGGCACTTACTATCAAATAGAGGTCAGGCCCGGAGGCCTGCGTTCGGTCCATCTGTGGGTGTTGCCGGTGTGATCTCGGGGGCAGGAGTGTCCCTGGCATTTCGCCACTCAGATCGAGCGGGATCTTCCACACAGCAAACACTCGAGTGCGGGAAAGGCGTGTGGCATGAACGGGAGAGGGGTTGTCTTTCTCGTCGCGCTGGAAATCGACGTCGAGGCGGCCGCGACAAGATGAGATATAGTCATGTGACCTTGACGTTCTTTTACTAACCAGGTTTGGTTAGTTGATTACGGATGATTAATGCATGACTAAGCTGTCCATTGTGGCCCGAGCTTCGTATCACGTATCGTCATCTAAAGGCCCAGCACTGGGTGTTATCAAGGCCACTGCTACCAGGGTAGGTGTGTATCTAGATATTGAGGTATCATCATGTCGGGCGCTGTGGTGAGTTCAATTTCCCCTCAATGCGTGACCCCGGTGAATTTACATTGGGGAGCTGTTGCTAAGTTGTTCTTATCGTAGGGCCGTGAGGCGGTCTTCCCAACTCGCCAGTCGCTCGGGTTGATGAAGAGCAAGCTGAAGGGAGCAGAGACTGGCCACAGTTTGTTGAAGAGGAAGAGCGAGGCTCTAACCAAGTACGTGCACTACGGCTTTCAACTCATCTCACATTGAATCGATACTGACCATCCGTCGCAGGCGCTTTCGCGGTAAGCCTTCGGTTCAATCGTATCCCCCCCCCCCCGCATTCTTGAGCTGATCCTGGTCCTGGGATCTAGAAATCACTCGACGCATTGATGAAGCGAAACAGAAGATGGGACGAGTTATGCAGATAGCTGCATTCTCGCTCGCAGAAGTCAGCTACGCCGTTGGAGGAGATATCGGGTACCAGATCCAGGAGTCCGCCAAACAGGCCCGTTTCCGTGTTCGAACCAAGCAGGAGAACGTGTCTGGCGTTTTCTTACCGCAATTCGAGAGCTACGCCGAAGAACGCATCAATGACTTTGGTCTGACAGGTCTTGGTAAGGGAGGTCAACAAGTACAACGCTGCCGGGAAACATACGCAAGAGCAGTGGAGACCCTGATCGAACTGGCCAGCTTACAGGTACTTGGTCTACCACCCGATGCATATTACATCTCACATCACTTACCGCAAGTTAGACTGCTTTCCTGATTCTGGATGAGGTGATCAAGGTGGTCAATCGCAGAGGTACGTATCCAGATCTCGAGTATCTTTCCTACAAACCGATAGCTAATCTTGTCGATAGTCAATGCCATGTACAAATGATCCCCTCCCCGCTATAATTACAGATAGCTAACACCTTCAAGCGAGCACGTCATTATTCCCCGGACAGAAAACACCATCAAATGTTGGTATTTCTCTGACCAAGGAAACCCCTACCATTGCTAACTTACTGGCAGACATCAACTCCGAGCTTGACGAACTCGACAGAGAAGAGTTCTACCGACTCAAGAAGGTTTCGGGTAAGAAACAGCGCGATAACGCCGCTGCTGATGCGGAGATCCTTGCCAAGAGACAGCGAGAAGCGGAGCAGCAGCAGCAGCAGCAGCAGCAGCAGAAGGATGCCAGTGGTGCGCAAGACGACACGGCTGCCGCGGCTGCTACTCCAGCTGTCGAGGAAGAACCAGAGGTTGCGGACGTGCTTGGAGAACAGGAGGATCAAGACGTAATCTTCTAGTCGGACCTGTATATATCATTATCCCCCAGTCTTGATTCAGTAACCCATGCATTGTATGATTTGTTAGCCTCTATTTTATCCAAGAATCGATTTGCCCTTTCAGAATGGATGGTATATGTATGGTATATATGTATCATTTTATGGATTGATTCTCCAGCCCATTAATTTATCGAGAGCAATCACAGCAACCTTCCTGGAAGAAAAGAACAAAACGCCATTTCAACAAACAAATGCCGTACGTAACAAGCGAGACTCTCTCTTGTTTCACTGTCGTTGGTACGTAACGCGAATAGGTTTTCCTTGATCCCCCATCGGCATTCCAGACGTTGCCTCCTTGGCGCTGATGGCCCCAGACTCGTTCTCATATTCGACAAAGGCGATTCCCTTGCGCCCCGGCACCAATCTGACTTCGCGGAACCCCTCGAAGCGACCAAACACGGCAGACAGGCTGTCCTGGTCGGCCGAGTCCGGCAGGTCGCGTAGGAACAAGATCTTGTTCGGAGGCAGATACTCGTCCGGGATGACCGCCGCCGCCGCGCCAGTCGTAGGTTTGAGGCCGGCGCCCTTGGTGGTCTTGCTGGGGCGAGCAGCCTCGGTAGGACCAGCAGGCCGCTTGAGTTTCTTCTGGGCGTCGAGTGCCTCTTGTGCTTGCTTCCGCTCTAAAAAGAGAGAGAGAGAAAGAGAGAAAGAAAGGTAAGCTCAGTTTTTTCAAGAAAAGTCAACCCTGCTCGTTATTCTTTGGTTGTGGACGTACCCTTTTCAGCTAACCGCCTCCTCTTATGAGCCTCCAGCTCCTCCGCGCCAGCCTCCTTCAAAACCGTAGCATCGCTCCTCGTCTTGGCATAATCCAGCGACATGGGCTTGTCGAAGAGCTCGAAGCCGTTGACCTCATCGATGGCGCGAGTCGCAGAGTCAACATCGTCAAACACGATAAACGCCTGGCCCTTGGCTTTCAGGTTCGTCTTGGCCACAATCTCCACGATGGTGCCGTATTCCGAGAAGATTTCCGTCAAGGCGTCTTTCAGCTCTTCGATCTTGATTCTTTCGTCGAGATTCCGGACCTATTCCGTCTCGTAAGGAACGGCGTTAGCTGCGTAGTCCACGGAGGGGGGAAGCGGTAGTTGGTAAACGTACATAGACTCTGCAGGGAAAACAGGTTAGTGATGTGTACCATTGACAGAAACATGGGGAAACAAAACACTTACGTCGGGTTCGGGGGAAGCCCTGAAGGAGACGCACCTACTGCCGCCATCGTTGCGACAATTGAGCTCTTTTGCGCACAGCGGAGGTCTGTCAACCTGCGGAGCGGAAGGAGGGAAGCTTGAGGGGGTTAATTGAGTTAGGTGGCAGGATATTTTTGGTTCAATTTGTCAAAAGTGGAGCGTTACACAACAACAGCACCAGTGGTCTAGTGGTAGAATTCATCGTTGCCATCGATGAGGCCCGTGTTCGATTCACGGCTGGTGCACTCGGATTTCTTTTTTCCTTCTTCACTTTTTTTACTAGATGATAGGATAGATAGATAGATAGGTGAATAGAATAGACAGAGAGCTAATTAAGTTCTTTCTATATACTATCCATATGCTATTTATCTATCTATTTAATACTTCTCGCAGCCTCTCGACATCCTCCTTCAGCAGTTTCGGTTGCCTGCTCCAATCTCCATGTTTCACGATATCCGACCCAGTCTCCATGAACAGGTGATCCGCAACGGTTGTACGTATCTGCAGTTTAATTTAGATATGGCCTTCTTCTCAGCTAGTAGCAGTATACATACTCGAGGAAATGGGTGCAAAAGCATCGAGGTCAGCTTCTTCAGCACGTCGCCGCGTAAGGAACCCATCCGCGATAACGGCGCATACATCCTGACTGCCGCCTCAAGTCTAGGCATGTTGGACGATTTGAAGTGTGCCTTTTGGACCAGGACAAATAGCTTGCGGAAGCTGGACCCTTCTATTAGCTGTATGAATATAGCCTAAAAAAAAGGGTGGTTTTTCTGACCTGATTTTCCAGTCTTCGGGGACCTCATCAACGTAACTGTCTATGAGAAAGGCGAGAAGCTCCATTGTCGGAATAGCGTATCGGTCATCCTGCAGATTATCGCTCAAGACAACCACTAATTCATTAATAAAGGTGATCACTAGGGTTTGGCGTTGAAGCTCATCGTGTCCGTTGATGAAGGAGATCAATGCTGAGCGAGATTCTCGAATGACACTCTCGGTGCCGGCCACAGTAGACGTCGCAAACCCCTGGAGAAGGGGCGATCGAAATTGGTCGATGCGTTGCAAACTAAGTAGCTGGAGGAAATACTCCTTGGTGGAAACATGGCTAAAATGATCATCCCTCCTGCTCGAATTAGTAAAAAAAACCAGATTGTATATAAAAGTTAGAGTATAGCCTACCTTTCCAATGGCGGAAAGTCGGTTGCTGACTCCCAGTATGTTTGCAAGCACAGCCAGGCTTGAAGTCGAACCTTATCCAGCTTCTCTGCTGCGAGCCTGCATAAGCAGCCGACGATATGCTGCACCCGCAAAGTTCTCGCTATAGATTTGGTATCCTTCTGGAGGATAAGACTGGTTCCGGACAGGGCAGCTATTCTGACCAATGAGCCAATATCTCCCCGTCGATCGGTTGTGTAGTCATTCAATAGATCAATGAAGCTATCTGCAAGCTCATCCGTAATATCTGCTCGGGTATTGTAAGACTTTTGGATTCCCTTCCTCCTAGATGAAATCAAGACATACCTGTGTAGGGCACCACATCGGTCGACAAGCATTTGACAGCAGCAACTCTCTTTTCAATAAGCTCTTCCTTTCCCGTGCAACGTAGAAGTTCACTGATGATGGTATTCTTAAACGGATTTTCCGCTTCAAGCTTTCGGTAGACGGCCGCCAGGGCTGATATCTGACCATGTCCTGATGGCTGTTTCCAGCTCGAATGGATTTGTTTAATCCAGCCCTGGATGATTTGGTTTTGCTTAATTGTTGAAAGATGAGGGAAGAGTTGAGATGCAGCTTCGGAAGACGCTTCAATGGCAATGGCTTCACTTCGGGACAAAGAAAAGGAGATGAATTCGAGAGCGCGTTCCAATGAAACCGCAGAAGGACCCAACGCTGCATCCCCGCCTCTCATATGAACAGATTGAGATAGTGAGCTGATGAGACGCGATGTGGCCTCCGCGGTCAGCTCCGGCCGAGTCGTCTGGAGGGTCAATTCCTCAGTCCGTGGACCATACGGTGCGGAAAAGATTGTCCAGAGTTCTGACACCTGGCTGGATACAGCGGCTACCTCGAGAATGTCAGGTGTTATACCAGTATTCTGTCGTTCGGTGTTGAACGCATCAACGGTAGCCGCCATGGCTAACAAGCACCCGTGCCTTGACTCGACGTCATTGCGAGGAATGAAGGAAATTTTCTGGAGTAGTTTCTTCAGAACTATTTCAAGAGTTTTGAATGAGCGGTGTGTACTGAGGACCCCGAGAGCCTTAGCAGCATATCTTCTGGAGTCAGCATCAGGAGATCCAATCCCTCTCCATTGTAGTAAAGACTCCACGAGGGGCGCCCAGTAGACATCGCTCAGGCTAGCTGTCGCCTTTGCAACCTCAATCATCGCTCGCGATCGCCGGGCCACGGCGTGATAATCAACAGCTTGAACTAGCGGGATACCCTCGACCACGGTGTCCGGGTGACGGCCGATTAATTCCTGCAAAGCTGCAGATGAACCACGGCGAATGTTACCTGAGGGGTCCACACAGGCCGCGCAGACTAGCTCGACGGCAAGGATTTGCAGAACACTTGTCTTCTCTTGATCGGTGGGTGCATGGATCGAACGGGCATCCAGAGCCAGCAGCTCCTTTGTCGTATACTTCCGAGACAGCGCCCAAACCCCAAAGCAGGAGGCATCACGAACCCCGGTGCCCACCGAGTTTCCTGTTGTGAGTCTCTGCTCAAAGTCTAGACCAGACAGGAGAGACTGCAGTACATCCGGCAGCTGGCGTGGTGGGGGGGCACGGCGGAAAAGGAGATGGGCAAGCGTGAGCATCAGGCCTTGCCACCTCTGCGCATCAACGGCGCTCAGATTGCGTTTGAGGGAGGTCAAGCCAATTTTTCTAGCCTCAAATGCCGTGATCAGGGTGCCGTCTGGCTTTTGGTAAAGGATATTCTCCTCCAACGAGCCGATGACGGCCTCGATGACTTCTGCCGCCATGTCAGGGTCGAGCTTCAAAGTGATGACACTCAGAGCTTTGCTAGCAGCAAATCGCACGGGCGTATCTTTGTCCGCCAGGCATGTCAGTAGGTAGTCAATGGTTTCCTCGAGTATAGACGACACTCCCTCGTCGGACACGGACTCATCGCCCTTCTCGTTCAAAGACAGAGCCATTACAGTGACAGTGCGTAGAATCTTGATTACCATCTTCCTGGCGATGGCAGATGACTGGATGACTTCGTACGCTTCAGATTTCTCTTGCGCAAGGCGGATGGTCTGTCGGAACACGGGGATGACCAGAGGAGCAAAATCTTCCACTTGTCCTGAAGCCCCTAATCGAGCCAGATATGAAAGAACGCCGATGGACATGTACACCGAGGGTACCTCAGCACCCTGCTGCTGTCGAGGTTGAATGGTTCTAAAAGCCCAGTCTGTCAGTCTATTCAAGAAGCCAAGGGCCTTCATATCCTTTCGCAGCGACAACCGGGCCAGCAGCAAAGAAGCTGCTTCTCGCTCTTTGCCAGAAACACCGATGTACTGCAACGCCACAGCAAGAAGAGATTCCGTCACAACCGGTGTCTCGGCGGGCAACGTCCCCAGTTGATCGGGGATGGCGAAGGGAATTGGAATATCGGAGGATGAGATCGAAACCAGATCAAAGGGGGCGAGAAGGAGGTGCGACAGCCAGACCAACATGATATAACGCTCTTCCCAGACCAGAGCGTCAGGCAGGGAGTCCTCGGCGGGGACCACCGAGTTCCATTCGATAAACGCACGCAGCAACGGATCAAGATACTTGGGCTCGTTGTTCAAGAACCGGCTGATCACCTTGACCCCACGCACCTTGCAGAAGGTGTAGAGAAGCCTACAGACGGCCCTGGGGAGAGGCAACAACTGCCCCCGTGTCCCCGAGTGCGTTGATCGGGCCGCATATTGTCCCTGGTGCTGCACCAGATAGGCCAGGAAGGCATCCACCAGCGGCGGCAGCAGCTTCTGCAGGTGCGGATCCAGCAACTGAGGCCACTCTTGGAAGGGTTCGAGCTGGGAGTCTCACCATAAGCACATGGGGACCGAATAAAAAGGTAGAAAGGGGCTTCTTACCAGAGCTAGGAGCTTGTCGGTCTTGCCTGCCAACACCCACCGGCGAGGAATTCTTCTCTGGGAAGCGCCCTCCCGACTCGGTTTCCAGAGCAGAGCAGGCAGGGTCGCAGTGAGGTCGTTGATAAGCTCTCCAGACGCCCGCTGGATCTTGATTTCCGTGTCCTCCGGCTCGTCCATGACGAGGATTTCCAACCGTCTGCAGTTTGTTGATCTGGACGATTCAATCGGCGGGGAAAAGTCGAGAACAACAACTGGTCATGTGATTCTCTATACCATTCAATGTTCATTCTTTAACCACACTCAACTGTCAAATTATTCAATAAGAGCTTGTATTATAATCAATATCTATGGTTTTTATGTGTTTCATTCTTTCTATGGAGTTTCGGCCCATGTTGGGTCGAATTAATCCAATATATCTACTATATATAGCTGGTATGTCCTCTATCGCGTCCCAAATGAACGCAGGAAACAATTAGATGCAGCTAATGAAATAATTTTTGAAATGAATCAAGGTTAATTTAATAATACATCATGTAGATTCTATCTCTTCTTGTGTTGTGGTGATGCCTTCATATATAAATATTAGTCAAAAATAATGTCATGAATAGGCAAGATATGAATACTATCTAAACAGAACGTATCAAATGTATAAGAAGAAAACACAGGAAGGAAGAAGAATGAAGTGAACTTAGAAATCCAGATCCTCTCCACCACGCCGGCCATCAGGAAGATTCCACAGTCCCTGCTGCCACTCTGCCTCAATGGTACGCATTGTCGTCCGGATATGCATGACGGCAATCGCCACTGCCAGCGCGTTCCAGACGTCCTGGCCGGACTCGCCCATGTCAAACTGGCAGATGAAGCGCATTACGGCGTTGCTGGTTGGTGTCGAGTCCAGGGTAACGATCACCAGGAGTGGACCGCACACCAGGAAGCCTACCAGGATGGGGAAAGTCACAGTGTGAACTGGTTCCATCCCCGTTCCTTCTCCTTCTGCTGCTTCTGCTTCTGCTGGCGTTGATGTAGTTCCCATGATTGCAGCGTCTTGGTAGCGTTGAGCGAGCGCACACAGCCGGCGGTTGACCCGTTCCAATGCGTCGCGAGTCGCCTCCCTCCGTTTCTTGGTGTAGAAGACATGGGTGCGCAGCGCGCGAGAGCGGGCCTTGAGGCTGCCGTCGTAAAAGGCCCAGTTGAGGTAATTGTCGACCCCTCGTTTGATAACATGCGCCGGGCTGATGCGGCGGACGTCGCAGTCTCGGACTCTTCCGCCTAGAGTACACAGCCTGGAAAGGGATTTGATAGCTGTAGTTGATTTAGCATTGGACACCTTATCCTTTATTCTCTGCTCGGCTGCTCTTACCGTAGAAACTCGATCCCCTCTTGACCGCACTGATCAATGAACTTTCACGAACAGACCGGGCAAACAGGAGCTTCGGGAGCGTCGCAAAATCCAACCGCCAGTCCTTGGGGACGATGGGCTCGAACCCGCGCATGGCAAGCCGCATGAAGAGCTCGCGCTCCCCCTCGCTCCACGCGCTATGAGACTCACCGATGGCGTTGCCCAGCCGGTCGGACTTTTCCTGCCGGAACTCAATCCCGAGATCGCCGTATTCGCTGTACGTGATGCTGCTCGCCGACGAGAAGCTGTCATCGTCATCACTGGCCTCCCCCTCCTGGGCATCGAGCGAGACCACCTTGTTGGGCAGCTGCTTGTTGACGGGCATGTTCGCAGGCGGCGCATACGTATAATCATGCAGCGGTTTGGCCTTGGCTCGAGTCTTGCTAAGACGGCGATTCTCTTTCGTCTGTCGTGGTCCGTCTTCTTCATCGCCAGAAGGTACAGCAAGTCCAGTATCCAGGGTCCTCTCATCGTCATCGTCACCTTCAGGCGGTGTGGAATTATCGTTGTCAGATGGGGAAGATTTTATCGAAAGAGGGTCATCAACAGCCAACAGATCTTTCTCCGGGGGTGCCTTCGCCTCCTTTGCCATAGACTCGGGGATGTAATCCTCATCGTCTGAGATGTCGATAAAGGGCCCCGTGTATGATTTATTTGTTAGCTTGGGAGAAGACCATAGACGGGGCTGCTTGGCCTCTTTGGTTTCCTCCTCGTCTAGACCCTGACCTGAGGCATTGTCGTGAAAAGGATTGGTATCGTCAAAGAGAGCCGTATCTCTGCTCCTTTTCCGCCCCGAACTCGCGTTTATTGCATCGCCATCAAGCTGGGGATTGTGAGAGACATTTTGACCATCGTCAGCACCCGTAACTGCGATGACCGTACCGTTTTCTAGGACCGTTTTCGAGTCTGGATCGATCTTCAAATCGTGCTGGCCAGTAGCGGCAGCAGCAGCAGCGGCAGTCTTCCTCCTCTTCCGCGTTTCGACGCCCGAGACAGTTCCCTCGTCTGCATCCGTCTCATCTATCGTAGGCAAGTAGGCCGGATCAGTCACTTGGTTCTTCCTCTTCCGAGACCTGGAGGTCCGTCGAGCAAGAAACAAATCCTCCTCGCTGCTCGACCCATGGTCTCTCTTGGGACTATACGCCGGATCAAGGTCCCTGCGTTTCTTTTTGAGCAGCACGATCCCCATATCTGCTTGGTCGGCCTCTTCATCCTGCTTCCTAACCCTGTACGTCGGATCGAGGCTGCGTCGTTTCCTCCTCTTCGCTTTCAGGGGAGAGAGCGAGGACCGTAGATTCCGCTCGGCCGAGGGGTCATTTGATCCCACGCTCTTCCTTGCCCGGCCTCTGGGCAAATCTTCCTGTGCGGACGAAGTGTGTCCGACGTCAGGGACCTGGTCAGCCTGCGTATCGATCTGAGCGGCCGAGAGAGCCGACTTCTCTGCTTGCGGGAAGCCCGTTATCAAATCGCTCGTCATCGTAGCCGTAGGAGTCGCAGAAGGAGTCGGAATACTATCGATAGTAGTCTCAAGAGTATCTGGAGTCATCACGGAGTCTAGCTGCACAGCGATATCAGCCTGGAGAGCGTCGTCCAGCAAGGTATCAACATCAACATCAATATCAACGTCAGACGAAAAGATGCTCCCCGGTTCTGTCTTTTCTCCTTTCCCATCTTCTCCCCGAGCTGGCGACCCGGAAGATAAAGCGGGGGAAATTCGCAACTCCATGGAGGGCATCGGTTAGACAAAGACGTCGACGACCGGGGTGTTGCTCTTTGTCAGGATCGAGGGACAGGGCTGGTTGGCCACTCGCTGGCGAGTGGAACCGACACATCGAGGAAGAAGCTTGTAGTCTTTGGTCAGGATATCTATTGTGTGGTGTTGGAGGGGTTGGGCTGTGAGTGAATGGATTCTGCGTGGACGGGGGGAAGTGAAGTGAAGAAAAATGGCCGAGGAGGGCGTCTCAATTTCGATGGCTTTGTCCTTGCACCTCGAGACAAAGAAAAAACGGTTTAGATACTGGGGCCGGAATTTTCTAATATTAGTCTCGTCGGGTCAAGAGTCTTGCTTGCACAATAAAGCTGGGTCTATAGAGAGAGACAATCTACCCTACTGGCTGTCGAACACAAGGGCAGGACAAGACAAGACAGAAATGGTCATTTTTGCTTCACTAGCCACTTTCCTCGATAGTTATGGCACATCAACGCATTAACATTGGGTCATCATTGCAACGCAATCTTCATCATCTAGCGTGGAACAATCGTCGTGATCGTCCCGTCAATTAGCCTTAACCGATGTCTTGATCGTAAGAGAGGAGCTGGTCCATTCGTGGATGGAACAAGGAGAACGACGGAGCGGGAAAAAACAACTAGAACAAGCAGTCGAAAGAGATAGCAGGAGAGAAGGATAACAAGTGCACCAAACTCGCTCCATTTTTTGTTTGCTCACCAGGCACCGTAGAGAAGTAGAGCACGCACTCCGCAGAGGTACTTGGACCAAGCCTCAAAAAACGTTGACGGGGTATGTTTACGCAAATAATGTTGGGGTTCAAAAATAAGCGAAGAAGTGAGAAGAGGACGAGAAAGAAGGGAGAGAAAAAAAAAAAGCGTTCTGAAAGTGACCAGCATCAATCAAGGATATTATTATACGGCCATTTGCTCTGAAAAAGAGAAGGGGAAAAGAAAAAGAAGCGAACAACAACCCTGAGAAACGCAGGTCAGAAAAAAAAAAAAAAACAAATTCCGTTAAGCGAAGTCTGCAGTGTAAGAGAAGCCACGGAATTCTTCCTGCATGGCTTGAGACAGCACTATAGATGTCGTTAATAGATATTCGACAAGAGAGATGGGTTCAAGGTCTTCTTACCTGACTGGACGGGCGTTAGGACGGGCGTCACGCTTGTAAACTCTTGGTCAAAGTTGCTGGTATCGGTGGGATTGGTGATAGTCGGCATGAAAGGGGGTGGCACCCGTTTATGGTAGATGTCATCCCAGTTGATGTTGCGGAAGAAAGCGTGAGACATGACTTCCTGGGCGTCGGTTGGTCCGGAGCCCAGTCGATGCTCTGGCTCCCGAGTCAAGAGCTTCTGAAGAATCGAGACCGAGTCACGGGGCATATGGATCGGATACAGCGGTTCATCAGCCAGGATGGCGTCGTAGATTTCATCCTCGTCTTCACCACGGAAGGGCGATTGCTGGAGCAGCATTTGGTAGATGAGCACGCCAAATGCCCACCAATCCACTGCGCGGCCATATTTCTTATCCAACAGAATCTACATGGAGGAAAAAGATCTCAATCAGCTTTTGATGGGAAAAGTTGCACCAAATCATGGGGAAGAAAAAGAACCATCTTACCTCGGGCGCCATGAATTCGGGAGTACCGCAGAACGTCCCGGTCGTGGATCCATACCACATGTTTTCCTTGCAGAGACCGTAATCACCGATCTTGATATGACCATCCAAGGTGATCAGGATATTGTCAAGCTTCAAATCACGGTAGATGACTCCGTTTTCGTGGAAGTATTTGAGGGCCAGGCAGACCTCTGCGGCATAGAACCTGATCACCATTAGTTTAAAAAAAATTTTTGACAAAGGAAACAAAGAACAGGGTAAACGTACTGTGCCCGCTTCAAGCCAAACTGGCCGCGCTGGATGTGCCACATTAAATCACCACCACTGATGTATTCCATGACGAAGTAGACACGAGTCTCAGTCTGGAAACAGGCATGAAGGTAGGTGAGGAAAGGGTGTCGGTCCTTGTTGGCAATGAGAAAGACGCGCTTTTCGGACTTTGTACTCTCGACTTCGTCATTCTCAATGATAAATTCTTTCTTCAACACCTTGATGGCATAGAGCTTCCTGGTCGACTTGGTTTCTGCCAACATGACCTTTCCGAAGTTACCCTTACCGAGCACAGCAAGGAAATTGAAGTGATCCAGTCCAATTCGGGGCTTGGCCGCTTGCTGAGGCTCCTCCTTGAGGGTCGCGGGGGGGGAGGTGGGTGACACTGCCACATTGTGAGGAGGAGGAGGAGCCACAGGCTCTGCTGCGTACTGCGGGACTCCCCCATATGGACCGGGAGCGTTTGTTGGTGGGGGAGGCGCCACTGCAGGCTTCTTTGTGACTTCCCTATAGTCTCCCGGGTTGTAAGGCGGGATTGACGGATGCTGTACTTGTGGTGGAAGAGGACGCGAATCCACTGGTGGCTAGTGTTAATGCATGGTCTGAGAACGTCGAGGACCAAGAGGTGAGAAGAGTGCTTACCTGGAGATTGCTGGATTGGAGAACGCATCTCACCGGTATTTGGAGGGTTATGTGACGACGTCCGATCTGGGTACTGGGGTCTTTGTGGTGGTGGCTGATGATGTTGTTGTTGAGGAGAAGTTGGTTGAGGCGGGTACGGAGGCTTTTGGCCGATATCGCCAGGAGAGTTTGGCCAAGTAGAAGTATTGATGGGTTTCGGTGGGAAGGACATGCTCTGATCGTGAGGTGACTGTGGACCGGGTCTCATTGTAGAACCACTACCACCGGAGCTCATGGAAGGGGTTTTGCCATGGGTCTTGATGGTCTCGAGGATCTTGTTTGCGGCTTCCATAGACATGCCACAGAAGTCCGGTACCAGATGAGTACAGTGCGCATGGCAAGTGAGGCCACATTCTGTGGAGGGTTTAATGTCAGTGAGTGAAAAGGGGAAGGAAAAAAAAAAAAAAAAAAAAAAAAAGTTCATCCACCAAAGGAGATGACAGACCTGTGCATCGTTTGGCGTTCTTGCGGCCAAAGGGCAAGAGATAACCACAATGGCAACACCAGTTGGCAGAGATATTGGAAAAGCCCTCGAACCGATGAGGGATCCGGTGATTGATCTTCTCCTCGTCGGGGTCGGTCTCGTAGTTTGCCTTGCTGATACACTTGGTGACCACTTTCAGGGCGCACTTGCGGTGACAGGTGTACTTGCAGTCGGCACACTGCATGCCGGCCGCATATTTCAAAAAGTCGCCACAGAGGGCACAGCGCATGATGTTGTAGAATTGCTGGACAACGAATTTGTGGCCCTGCTTCTCCAGTACTTCTTCCTTCTTCTGACGGACAGCACCCTGGCGGTTCAGACCGATATCGAAGGGTCGACGGTCCTTAAGTTGCTTGGCTATATGGCGTATTAGTGGTGTATTTGGAAAAAAAGAAAGAAAAAAAGAAGAAAGAGAGAAGGATCCTACCAAAGCTCATGCTCAACTGAATCCTGCCCACTGGTTCCAATGCAAACCACGAATCAATCACGACCGCACCGCCCGGAGCACCAGCACCCTGAGGGGTAGAGCCAGGGGCACCTGGGCGAGCACCCGCAGGATGCTGAGAAGGACCCGTCGAGGAAGCACCGGGACTGGTCTGGCCGCCTGCGAGGCTTCCGTGATTCATCTTGTCGGCCGACACCCAGCCGGAGGCATTGATATCGGTTTCTAGCTTCTTCCGGCGCATCTCCTCGGCAATGTCGGTGATGCGGATCCACAGCATGCCGATGGGGGTAGGGCGGTCTCCCGATTTATCATAGACGGTGAGTTCGATCTCGTTCGCCTTATCGATATCGATATTGAAAGACTCATCCTGCCACCGATCTGTGCGAGTCGCCTTGGTGCGCGCCTTGATGGCATCTTCGACCTTGACGATGACAAATGTCTCCGGGCCCCGCGAGAACCGGGAGCTGGCTGCGTGATCGACTTCTTTCACGGCGTGGACTCGCATGGACAGGTGACCGGTCAGCGGCTTGCGCATGTTTGGAGCGCTCAAGCTGTCATCTGTAATCATTAGAGGGGGAAATAGAGAGAGAGAGAGAGAGATGATGATGATGATGATGATAATGATGATGATGATGGAGAGATAAGAAAAAAAACTAATACCATCAGGGCCATCGGTGGACTCAATGTCAACGTGGAGATCCTCGTATCGCTTCAACGCCTGCTTTAACAACTGGATCTTCTGGTTGCTCTCGATGCGACGCCCCTCGGCATCGGCACGGCTCTTGCGGTCACCCTCGTCCTGATATAGACGAACCATCTTCTCAATACCGGCCTTGTATTGCTTTTCGACGCTCAGCTTGAACTCGAGCTGCGACAGCATGAGCTGAATCTTGGGTCCGAGATAGGGGGTATCATATTTGATAAGATCTTCAAGATTAGCGACGGCCCCAAGACTTTTACAGGGCAAAGTGACTCACCCAGCTTGCTGTAGTTGGGACGCGCCTTGGGCACGGGGGCGAATGGCCTGGGGTCTGCGAACGGCGCGCCCGTGGGCATCGAGCCCGCTCCTCCCTGAGGATAGCCGGCGGGAGAACCATCGGCACCTCGCTCATTCGAAAAGTAACCGGGCCCGTAGTCGCTCGTAGGGGTAGGGCCGACGGACTGGGAGGAAGCCGGGTGACGGGACTCGGTGGGTGAGCCGCCCCCTCCGCTCTTGCGCAGCTGCAGCTCCTGCAGCTTCTCCTCCAGATAGGCGATGTTCTTGCGGCCGTTGTGGATGTTGGCATTGATGCCTTGCTTCACCAGCGGGTTATCGGTCGACTGGGCCATGTTGGTGGCCGCCGTGATGAGGGCCTTTTCCCGCTCGATCTTGCGGTAGACCGAGGCGATAACCTCGTCCTCATCCATGGTGACTGACTACTGATATAACGATTAGGCAAAGAAAGAAGAAAAAAACAGAACCGATGAATTAAAAAAAAGGAATCAAAAGTCAAAGAAGGGAACGAAGATTTAATCCACGGTCGCAGACGATGAAAGGTGGAAGAAGGAAGTTGACCGGGAAGGGCCCATCGCGGGGTTTGTCACTGCGTTCTTTTTGACTTGGTTGTTGCAGGGGGGGGGGAAACGTCCCCCCTCGACAGCTTGGATCTTCCCACCACCGCCAGCCGTTGAAACAAGGATTTTTCCAGGCTCTTCGACGGAGGAATCTTCTTCAACTGCATGGATTGTAAGACACTTACGGGGCGAACCACTAGCGAACCAATTTGCAGAACACAGATCAGCGCAGGAAGCTTGTTATTTCCCACACACTCTCACACGCGCTCTCTCTCTCTCTCTCTCTCTCGGTTGAGTTTATCTCTTGTCTTCGCGTGGGCGGCAGGGAGGATGCTCAGCTCATCGGCTCTCTTTTTTTTGCGCGATGGAATGTAGGCAGCAAGGCAGCAGGCAGAGAGGGGGGGGAGGTGAGAGGAATGAGGAGGGGAACAACAGAACAAGAATCGCCTGAATAATCATAATAATAATACGTTATGAATGAAGAGTGGGGAGGTTCTCCTCCGCAGCAGCCACAGTCAGCCTTATCGCTGTGTAATAAATAGTCTTGGTAGTACTGTGTAGGACAGTGTATGGAGTACAGGTGTGTCAAGCTGAGTAGTGACACAGGATTCCAATTCTTCTACTGAAAGCCGGAGGGAGAGCAGATGGCCTACACTCAGTGATGATGCATTGATTATTCCATTAATCCTGACTAGATGCCTTCAGAAATGCCCCGACCTGCACAGCCACATTGAACCAGATATTAAGTGTCAGGCAGTATCCACCAACCGCTGTTTGAACTATGGATTCGGGGATAATGGCTCAGGTCGTGTGCCTTGATTTTTTTCTTCTTCTTCTTTCTGCTGTTTCAATTAATATTTATTAGTAGGAATGGATGCCCGAAAGGACCCTGTCGGCATTCCTCGTTGAAGAGCAATCGTTAATTGCCAAGTCATCGTAAATCGTGATACATATAGGTAGTACTGTAAAGGACTATTCCGATCGTTTGTGGATCTTCGGTAGGAAGAGCCAGGCAACAACCATGACGCCGTACAGGCCGATGCAGATCGGGTGCAGGACCATGGTGCCCACGTTCTGGGCCAGAAGGCCGGTGAAGAAGGGAGCAACGGCGCCGCCGCTGCTGCCCAACGCGCTGATGAAGCTTAGGCTTGACATCTGGATGGGGCGCGGCAGCAGTCTGCTGAACACGGCCGTCGCGCACGGGTAGACGGGCCCCAGCAGCAGGCCAACGATGGCGACGGAGACCGCCTCACCCACCACGTTGGGGATGAGCCAGGTCATTAGCTGGAAGGCAACCGCTCCCGCCACCAGCAGCACGACGGCCAGCTTCTCGCCGACCCGGTGAGCCGGGTGCGACAAGAGGAATCGCCCCAGTGTGATCCCTGCCCAGAATCCTGCACTGACATACCCAACGTGCGACGGGTCGCCGTGGCGGTAGCTAATCAGGAACGACACCACCCACCCGGAGATCGACACCTCTGCCCCCTGGTACGCAAAGATGAACAGTGCCCCGAGCCGGGTCGTCTTGTTCTTCACTGCCTGCTTGAGCAGTTTTGTCTTGGTCGCAGGGCTACTGCCGTCATCGCCGTCGCTGTTGTTCTGTGAGGCGGTCTGCTGGAGGGCTGCTAGCAGTTGCACGGGCAAGTCCTCCTCGTAATGGTAGAAGGCCCACACCGCGAACGCCATGTTGAAGAGGGACATGAATAAGGTGAGGAAATAGTAAAACGACCACCGTACTCCGTGCGATACCAACGCCGTGGCAATGAGCGGCGCGATGGTCCCCCCAATCCCGTACGCGCCATGCAGAAATCCAAGGGCGGCCGTGCTGTTGGCCAGGTTGGCGCAGAAGACGTTATTCAGTGCCAAGTTGATCGCCATACCAAACCCTAGGAAGAAGAAACTGGCCGCCACCGCGGGGAAGGGCGGTTTGCAGATGAGGATCACGTAGCCGGCGGCGAGTAGCGTCGTCGACACCGCATACGACTTGGACCTCCCAAGTCGACTCTCTAGCGCGTGCGTCACGGGAGCCGCGAGGATGAACCCCAGCGCGTTGGCCACGAACACCAGCGAGACAACCGCATAACCGATGCTGTAGTCCGCCTCGATGTACGGGATCAGAGCCCCGGGGGCACTATCATTCAGTCCGTTGGCGAAATTCATCAGGCAGCAGCTTAGCAGTCGCCATTTGGTCGCCGACGGACTCAGAGCTGCCGCCCCGGAGGGAGGAATAGTCTCGCGGACACCTGCAGAGACACCCCGTGGCGTCGAGGGCTGGCTCTCAATGTCACTTGGCGGGTTGGGGGTCTGGTATCCGCTGTTTGGCATCGACACAACTACCCTGGCCGATTTTTGATTCTGGTTGTTCCATTGCTCAAGCTCGTAGTCGGACGGAGCCCCCGCGATGCCCTGCTTGTCTTTGCGCACCACTGCCGCCGGGTTCGAAATGGGGCGGTGGCTCTCGATATGAACGAGAGCCCCAAAGGTGGACGACATGGTGATGGGGGGCGATAGTATCGTAGCAGCACCAGTTCAGTGACAGCTCAAGGGCATGACGTTTGCTTCCGAATTCAAGACTGGGCTTATACCATGCCAGCGGATGGCCACGACAATAAAAAGCATCTTGGAAACTGAATTCCGAATTAATAATGCCTGTAGACACCCCTCGTCCAGACCCAGCGACCAAGGCCGAGAACGACCTGGTGGAGACGGCAAACAAGCATCCAGAGGTGTCTTAACTTATCAGAAGCTGCATCACACACCTCGAGGTGAGTCACAATTAATCCAGATTCCACAGAGCAGGTCGTTGCAGTCGAATCCACTCGAGCTTGACAAGTCGGAAATCGAACCCCCACACAATTTTTGTTACTCCAAAACTGCTTGTCCCGCACCCAAAAGAAAAAAAAAAAAAAAAAACCACGACGAACTTCATTTCCACGCACCACCAATATCTATACAGAACATCAGGGAACCACCTCAAAAATACGAGCAGAATATCTTGCCAGTGAAAGAAAAAATGGGTCTCCCTCGACGAAAATTGCTTGCCACGGCCGAGGAGACCCTGACGCCGCCGGACGAGCTCACGCCGCAGCAGCAGATCGCGCGCGCCATCAAGGCTACCGGCAATAATATCTACCTGGTCGAGCTGGCGTCAAAACAGACGCTGCTTGTCGAGTTGCCTGCACGGTTTCGTTCTGCCATTTGGATCAAGCGTGGGTCGTTTGTGGTGGTGGACACTGGGGCGCTCGAGGAGCGGGAGAATAAGCTGGGTGGGGAGATTGTCAATGTTGTTCGGGATGAGAAAGCATGGCGAAAAGCCCCGTACTGGTAGGTTGTTGCTTGGTGCTTTTTGTCTTTTATCTTTTCGTATGGCATTAGATTTCACCAAAGTGCTGACCGCTCCAGGCCGAAGGAGTTTGCGAAGCAAACTGTGCAGCTTTCGGATGATGACGACGACGAAGATGATGACGAGGAGGAATCTCGAGTGGGCAAGATGCCCGAGTCGGATGAGTCGGACGCTTGATCGATTGGCCTACGCCTGGACACTAGATGAACGAAGAAAATTGCTGATTTTATATTGGCGATCTATTCTAAGGCTGCCGCTCGTGGAGTCTTCTCGTCTCTCAGAAAAATACCAACGCTTTGGATCACGAGACAGAGGACGACGGCGGCGGAACTAGCGTTGGTGCTGGGGTATGTGTTCCAGGCCCATTCTTGGACGGCCCAGACGGTATATATCAGCACCGGGTGGAATCCCGCCCGCCAGAGGAGGAATGGCGTTGCCCAGGCCAGATAGGCATAGAATTGATAGTGGAGGGATCTCGCACACAGCAGACCGATCACGAGGGAGGTCAAGAGCACGGTCATGATGAACGAGCTTGACAGGGCGACCCTTGGCCGCTTCCCGGCCATCATCTGCCGGACGAATTGCACCGGGTCCATTCCCGACGGAGCAATCCAGTCTCGAGTGACGAAGAGACCGAGCAGGGAGAGGTGGATGGCTAGCAGGGCCAGGGAGAATTCTCGGGACAGAAATGTCTCTTCACCGACAAACCGCCAGTTGACGGTCCATTTGAACATAAACTGCCGAGTCAATTCGAAAGCGCGCGAGAGGTACCCGGCGGGGTTCTCCTGGAGGAACGGAATCGCCAGCAGGACCTACAAAAATTAGCAAAATAGTTCTGGTGTAATTGAATGAGATCCTAAAATCGGAAGAGTGTTTATTTACCTGTATAAGTAGCGCGACCGATCCCAGCAACACACTCTCCACCAGTGTAAAGTTCAAGATGGTGATGATGACAATGGCCGGCGCAAGTAGAACGAGGGTCATCTTGATCCCTACGCCGGCCGACCAGAGCACCACAGCAGGCAGCCACTGCCTCCTCTGAAAAAGATATATCGCAGCCCACATCGCGGCAGCGGCAAACCCATCGTTAAACAGTCTCAAAACGAAGACACTATGGAGGCGTTTCGATAGCACGAGCAGCGGGAGCAGGTATGGCGGCGCGCCCGCACGATGGTAGCAGGCCACCACGACAATCAAGGTGAGCAAGTACAGCGCCGCAAAGATCACTTGACCCATGAGGATGTCCGCCCCGCCGTCTGTCAGCCGCGAGAGCAACGTGTAGATGTACACGTGTGCAGCAGGATAGACGAGCGGTCCCGTTGGGCCCTCGATCCGCGTGTAGTCGCGCTCGCCGGACAGGTACAGCGAGACCTGGTACATGTATGTCTCCCAGTCAATCTCGGTATCTTTTATAAGAGAAAACTATCAGCAATTGAGTTCTAGGGTTTTCTTATCCTCCTCGCTGTTTCGAACGAGCCGCTCACATGAAATCTTCCAGATCACTAGAGCGCATAGAGCGGCGTCCGCCAGGACAGCCAACGCGCCAATCCATACTGTATGCCGTGGGTTCCGGATGAGATCGAAGACCAGGTCTGTGTACCCCATGGTGTCGACGAGGGGGAGGGGGAGCCTGAGGAGGTGTAGCAAGACGAACCTGTTGTTGATCGGTTGGTGGTGAGTGGCCAGAAGACCAGCTGGCCCTTATCTGGTTTAGTGGCAGACTGTTCGAACTGTGATATCATCAACTTTCGCCTGGGAATCATCTGTAATTAAGAGGATTGCGTTGAAAAAGCCCGTATGAGGGATTAGTTCCGTTGTATTTGGAGATATACATTTGATCTATATTTTTTTTTTTTAAATCTAAAATACATGGGTATAGGTAGACTGCAGGCATGTCTCCCCTCGAGACAACCACCAGCCTCCAGACGCTAATATCATAACACACGTTAAGTACAACCAGAGTAGTTAGAGGAGATGACCGGAGCACCAGAAGTATCTCCACAAGAGTGAGACTGAGACTGTCTCTCGCAATGCCGGCCAGGAAGGACACCGCTTGAGTGTTGCTGTCGTTGTTGCTGTAATTCCGTCACTGCCCACCTCCTACCGCCTGAAACCGAGAAGGTCGCCCAGCATCCCACTGGGCTTAGGGACAGGGCATTCTCTGCCCAGCTTCGCTAACCGTTCTGCCTCTTCCTCCATCTGTAGGAAGGAGGTCACCTCCTCATCGGTGGCGGCGGGGTAGGTAGACCCAGAGGGGGGCTCCGACAGCTCCATTGTATCCGCCTCTTTCCGTCTCCTGCGCCGGATCCTCGGTATTTGCTGTCCATCGGCTGTAACCATCATCTCGGAGTCGGCGAGCGTGCGACGCGGGGCGGGACAGGGGAAAAGGTGCGGCAGACCGACCACAACAAACGACGCCCCCAACGTGGCTGCAAACAGCGACATGGTCGATGTAGACCGCGGATGCAGATGAGGAGGCATTGTGGATGGATTTATCAATCGATTGTGCCGTTCGGTGGCCCTTTACTGCTCAGACTGCATGGGGGGAAAAAAAACTCAAGTCCTGCAGGGGATCAGGTCAGAGGAATTGAGGACCTCAAGAAAAAAAAGAACAGCTTATCTGGAGCAGCCCTTCACATACCTATGAATGCCTTCGAACAATCCTCAACCGATCAAAGGAAACGCATACCGCGCAGGCAATGGCTCTGAGGCTCTCCCTGGACGTTGAGAGAGAACGAAGTGGGAAAAGCGCGGGAATCATGTGCCCGGCGATCTAATCTTATCTGGGCGCGCGCTGATTGGCTGTACGGCACCACGCGCGAATCGCTGGCAAACCTCAGCGAGAGAGACAGGAGGAGTGCTAAGGTAGCCAGGGGGGAATCCTGTACTCCATCGTTCGTGGTGTATCGGCTGCTGCTCCAGCTCTCGTGGTGGCCTGTGTGGATTGTCTCGAGCTGACCAGCCCCCAGCCACGCCTACTCGGGCATTCTTGGGCGCCTGCCCAGTGTTCCACCCTGCGCTGCGCTGCCCCCTCCTCGTCTCTCCCCACCGCCAAGTGAGGTGGCCTTGGAACCGCCCAGGGCTTATCACCGACAGCGCTGGACACTCTGCGACAGCCTCCCCGGCGCCACCGCTCAGCATCATGAGTGATCTAGACAAGTATTTGCGCTTCCTTCCTGTTTTTTTGCGTGTGCCTGAGGGGTGCAGATGAGAAAGAATGGACTGACCGACCGATTTTTTCCCGGTGTCACGTGTAGGGCCATCGCGCAGCTGCGAGCCTGCCGCCTCATTCCCGAAGCCCAGGTGCGAGAACTATGCCACAAGGCACGCGAGCTGCTCATCGAGGAGGGCAATGTGGTCTCGGTGGACGCGCCCGTGACGATATGTGGCGATATCCATGGCCAGTTCCATGATCTGATGGAGCTGTTCCGCGTCGGCGGTGACGTGCCGGACACCAACTACCTGTTCATGGGCGACTTTGTCGACCGGGGGTTCTACTCGCTCGAGTCCTTCCTGCTGCTGCTCTGTCTGAAGGTGCGGTACCCGGACCGCATCACGCTCATCCGCGGGAACCACGAGTCGCGCCAGATCACGACCGTATACGGCTTCTACGACGAGTGCATCCGCAAGTACGGCAGCGCCAACGTCTGGCGGTACTGCTGCGAGGTCTTTGACTACCTAGCGCTCGGTGCGCTGGTGCTGGGCGCCAGTTCCGCACTCGAACCTACCTCCGGGACGACGACAACGACAACAACAACGACGATGGCAACGACGACGATGATTGACGACAGCGAGCTGGAGATAGAGGTGTTGAACTCAAAGGGAGACGTCACAATGAGCTCTCACCGGCCGCGACGGCAGCACCCATCATCCGATGCTTCGACAGACTCGCGCAACAACAACAACAACAACAACAACAATAACAACAACATTGGGGCGGCCCCCTACCGATCTGGGGTCCCCGGCACAGGGGCGTCCGGTGACGGCGGGGGCAGTATCGGGGGCAGTCGGACGGGGGCGGTGCTCTGCGTGCACGGCGGGCTGTCCCCGCTCATCGACACGGTGGACAAGATCCGGCTGATCGACCGCAAACAGGAGGTGCCGCACGAGGGTGCGATGTGTGATCTACTCTGGTCAGACCCAGACGAGATCGAGGGCTGGGGTCTGAGTCCACGCGGGGCCGGGTTCCTGTTTGGCGGAGATATCGTCAAACACTTCAACTATAAAAACGACCTGTCGCTGATTGCTCGCGCCCACCAGCTCGTCATGGAGGGCTACAAGGAGATGTTCGACAGCGGGATCGTCACCGTCTGGTCCGCCCCAAACTACTGCTACCGCTGCGGCAACGTCGCCGCCATCCTCGAACTCGGCGAGGATACCAGTCATGGCGGCACCGTGGCCCGTTCCAACGGCGACTATGCTCGTTCCAACGGCATCCTCGGCTCCAACGATCCCGCCGCTGACTCCTCTGCCGTCCTCAGTCCGGGGAGGCGCTATCGTGTCTTTGAGGCCGCCGCGCAGGATACACGTGGCATGCCTGCGAAAAAGCCTGTCGCCGATTATTTCTTGGTGCGTTTTTTTTTTTTTTTTTTTTTTTTTTTTTTTTTTTTTTTTCTTAGCTCTTGGTCTCTTATTCGAAGCTCTACTAACTCTACCAACTCAGTGATACCACTTGTTTGAACTGTTTCGAGTTGCTATTGCTACATATCACGACCAAATAGCCTGATGATGATGAATATGGTATTAACTCTGCAATAACTACATGAACGATACTGTCGGGTATCAGGGGAACTATATTAGAGACCAATATGCATCCCAGTAAGATCATCATGTAGAACTTCTATTAGTTTAACTGGTCTTAGTAGTAGTTACTACCTAGCTGTATCTAGTCCACGCTTTCCCATGTCTTTTTTTTTCATAACACTCATCGGTAACTCCCAGGGTATATAGTGTACGGGGTACTTGTTCCCTGAGACTGGGGCGTATTACCCTCCACAGGATTCATCTGCGCGGGTGATGTTGCAGTCTCGGCAGACATCTGCCCAGGCGTAAACACGGACGTGTTGAAGGGCACCTCGTAAGCCGTTGGAGTAGTAGCACTAGTTGCTGTAGTAGTAGTTGCTGTTGATGTAGTCGGGGGAGGAGGGAGAGGACCCCACGCCGAGACTGATGGTTCCCCCCAGGCCTCGACGCCCAGACCGAGCGTAGCCTGCTCGCGAGACCACCAGCCCTGGCTTTGTTCCACGAAATTGTCGGACGCGGGGGATATCTCCTTCTCCCTCTCGTACCAGGCGTCCTGCTGGGAGGATGGCGGCATCATCTGCAGGGAGGGAAAGGCCATTTGCGTCGTTGGGCGGAGGTACGTTGGTTCCGGCTGTGAGACTGGAAGCCGCTGCCACTGCGCGCTCAGGGACCGGCGGGCTGTCGGCATGGGTGATGCAGTTAGTGAAATCGGTATAGACGGGGAGGTGGAGGGTGGGTATGAGGCTGTCATGGTGGCAGCGGCAGCAGCAGCAGCAGAGGCGGCGGCAGAAATCGACGGTCCAGTAGTAATGCTCGCGTCGTGGTACTGCATCGGTTGCAGATTTCGTTCCGGAGATGAGTAGGAGCTTGCCGATACGAGATGACCAAGAGCGGCCGCGGTGGGGGAATCGGCGCTTGCGGACGGTGAGGTTGACTGATCCCAAGAGCCCCATGAGCCCCATTTCGCGTGCGTGCGTTCCAACACGGCAACGGCTTCCTTGGGCAGCTCCACGTGCCATTTGTTAGCGGATATGTCGAGAATCCGGAGTGTGCGGCGTGCGCACAACCAGCCTTCGCCGATTTCCTCGAGGTTCTTGAATCCATGCACGATATCCCGTTGGGCATTTCGCTCGGGGAGGTTCAGCAGATGGATTGTACATGCCGTATGGGCAATGTATACCACGATGTTGCATATCTGGGTGAAGCCATACGTGCGCTTATACGTGCGTAGCAGCTTCGAGATGGCCGAGGCAGCCTGAGTACAGAGTTTACGTGGCGAAACATGAGGGGGAAGAGGGGAGTTCGCCTTTGTGTATTTGAGGAAAGGTCGGAAAAGGTGGATATGCAGGAGCTGAAAGAACATACTTTGACGGTTAGCAGAGGTCTTGGTTTGATCCGAAAGAAAAGGAGGCATTACTGCATGACAAGCACTTGTGGCAGCTGGCCCTCCCTTGGCTCCAGTTCTCTCGGTAGGGTCTTCTTCCACGCTTCGAGCCGGGTATGAATCTCGCTGAGCCGTTTCAGTTCGACCTGTCTGCCCGGGGTATTCTCTGTTGGTGCCGGGTGATAGAAGAAGCTCAGCAGATCCCCACTGATCTCACACAATTTGGCGACCTGCAGGGCAACTGTTCGGATTCGGGCGGGCTGGGTATGTTGTTGGCCCACACCGGAGTCTGTATAAGGGGACCATAGTTCTGCTTCCTCTGTGGGCAAGATATCAAACTTGGGAACATTCAGGTTGGCAGTGGAGAGCTGAGGTTGACGGCCGAGATAATTCGACCAGCATCTAGTAACGTCAGTAATCTATCTACTAGAAGAAGAAGAATAAGAATAATAATAATAAAGGTAGGCGTCAAACCTACTTGTCAAAGAGAAAGCAGCCCCAGAGAGTGATGCGTCGGGCGTCAATCTCGTCTTCACTCAGCGTGTGGGAGCCGAGGCTGGGGACGTCCAGGTTCAAACCTAGATCAAGAGCCATACGGAAGCTCATGCCGCTGTACACCCAGCCTTTCCCCTCACGCCCACAGCCGGCCTCGCGGACTGACATGAGAGCAAGGGCCTGAACGGTGCACAGCCGAGCATTTTCGTGCTCATCGTTTTCCAAGAGGAGTCGTTTGGCTTCCTTGAAGAAGTGATCGCCGGCAGTCGCCGAGTTGCGCGGATCCAGACGTGCCCCGTCCCACGAACTGAAGTGGCACCCCAGCGCCAACATCGCATTGACCAGCAATGAGGAGCAGTATTGGCTGGGGATCCCACGGATATAGTCTCTGTAGAAGAGATCCTTGGAGAGTGTCGTGAAGAATGGGTAGTGCCAGGTAAAGTACATGGTCAAGAGGTGGCTGATCAACTGTTTGTTTCTGGTGACTTCCGTCCAGTGGGTGACGGAGGATTCGCGTTGTTGGGCCAGGGCGTGTTCTTGTTCAAAAAGCTCGGATCCTGGTGGCAGGAAGACGAGGTTGGAGGTGCCGCCGATGAATTTGCGCGAGCCGTCAAGTAGCACCTCGCTCATCTTCCCGGCCAGCTCTGCTTCGAATTGATCCGCCTCTATCGGATCCTCATCACTTACCAATCCCACTTCCTCCCCGGGCTGCTCTGTGAGTTGTTTCTCGCCGGCAAGAATCGATTCCGCCACGTCTTCCAAGTTGTCACAGGCTCGGATTTGCCGAACTAGGCCGAGCGCGTCGTCTTCCTCGTAATTGAGAATCGCATGAATGATCGTTTGCAGGGTAGTGTTGCGTGTCCGCAGCGTATCGGCGTCTTTTCTATATACACCTTTTCGCCGGTGATCGGAGTTCGGGTCATACACGCCTAGGAGTACGTATAAGTGACGATAATCTCTGAGCAAATCTATCCAGCAAGGAACATACAGGGAGTATGGTAGACGGACGAGCAGGCAGCACAGCTCGGTAGGTTCCCATCACACTGATAAAAAAGAATTGATCAACTCACTGGTCCGGATCTCAAACAGGAAGGGGGGGGGGGGGGGCATACCTTGGACTTTCTCCTGCGACACGCAATACAGGCTGTGCTAACACATCGCCTCTTGGAAGTCTGGTTGTCCACCTTCGCTTGCTTTGATTTAGAGGCCGGCAATGCCCGACCCCCGTGGGTGGCAGCGGACTCTACATTGCTCGCCTCGGAAGCAATATCCCGTTCCATGCTCAAAATGTCAAGGTCGTAGGTAGATGTTCACGACTGGGATCTGAAAAATGCGGACCATGATTGAACTCGTTAATTAATAGACGAGTAGCTGTTTCCAAATCGGCAGAGATCGAACTAGAAAGACCATTCCATTCCTGAAGGTGTCAGCATCTTTCTGTTATCTTTTTTTGTTTTTTTTTTGTTTTTTTTTTTTTTTTTTGCCAACCGTGGCGTGAGAGACACGGGGAAAAGAGTCACTGCAGCGCAACGCAAGAACGCGCGCAGGTTTCAAGCCACGCTAAGTCTTTGAAGACTTGACGCTTCCCGGAGCTGCATCGGACATACCTGGCAATGATGATGATTCTGATGATGATGACGATGGCGATGGATGCAGAACAACCCCACGATATGGACGACCCGCTGTGGAGGCGGGGGAAGGAAATTTGCGTGAAACAGCAGGCTGTCAAGCGCGAGAGACTCGATGAGAAAGCTTGTAAAATGATGACGGGCGATAAGAGAGTATGCAATGGGCTGCGGATGATTGGTCGATCACTGCTTGAGGGGCTAGTTCACTGGGATTCAGAGGCTTCTCTCTCTCTCTCTCTCTCTCTCTCTCTCTCTCTCGCTGGTAGTCATCACTGGTAGTTGAGGATACGACATGCTGACTCAGCCTGAGTAGTGCGTTAACTAGGTAGGCAACTACGGAGGAGTACTTTTGAGCTACACCATGCTTTTTTTTCTCCAAACAAATAACTACATTCCACTCTCCTTCTTCAGCATCGACGATCAGCTGTGGTCTGCTAGGGCCAGATCACCGAGGAAGAATTCTTCGTACCACGGCATATCGATCGACACAGCGCAGCGATCGTCAGGATGGCTGGTGACACGAGTACACAGGCAGTTTCGAAGGAGTCGACCACGCAGGTCCAAGACTAAGTTTATGATAAGCTCGCAATAGTTTTTCCGATAACTGTTAGATACTGACTGATGTCTCAGATAGAATAGGGCCGCTTGCGGCGATAGCCACACTTTACCGAGTCTGTTGATAGTTATAAGCACCAGTCATATTGCAAGACAGGGTATTTCCGTTGGTACGAGAAAAGCCTACCTAGTACATACCAAAGATCATGTACCTACTCCGTACTTTGTATGAGTTCGAAACGACTCGTACGAATGCTGTGCCTTACGTCCGCGGATCCGACTATCACTATCCTTGTCTGCGCAGTACTTGTGCATAGGGAATGCCAAAGTACTCTGCATAGGGACAACCAATACAAATCTATACAATAATATTAATAATAATGCTGGAGGATAATAATACTTCGATGTATCTTTACGTACAAGAAAGCGGTTACTCACTTAGCCACCACCGAGGCTGAACTCCTTAGTCTTACTCCTACTCGTAGAGCCGAGTCAGATAGACAATTCGCTTGACTAATCGTAATGAATATTTATCTCCACAGCCATGTCAAATTTGCGTGGCAGTTTCTAATTTCTGACCAAGTGGAACGCCTCTTACAAACCCTCGAGATCTGCGTTTAAGGTTGTGGGTTAGTGCCGTGGCTGCAGGACTTGATCGGTATTGTGGCAATACAATTAGGATCTTAGAATTACCTAGGCAGATAATAATTGAATAAGGAAGCTATAAAGTCTATTAACTCTGTAGCAATAATTAGTACTATATATATCTACTTATCTTATGAGAAGTATCAATAATTTATTGTTAATTGATACAGTTCTTAGTTAGTTACTATCTACTAAGGTACTACGACATGGTCAATTAGTAAAATCTTGGGTAGCAATACCGTACTGTGGTAATTCCAGAAAACACGTATTGTATTACCAGCCGCGTAATCTCCGAGGTCCCCTCAGGCTCCCACAATGGATATCGGCGGGTATCTCGTTTCAGCACAAAAATCTCTGCCTCCACTGAGGAATATTCCATTCTTCCATTTGACAGTACAATACACTTACCATCTACCTAGACACCTAGTAGGCATCTACCTTGTTCAGTCCTCTACTCCGTAGGCTGCTAAGTTCCTACGTACCTAGCATGTACAGTACTTCGATAGAGGTCCCTATACTAACTGGGTAACTGATAGCGGTATACTATTAGAAATAGCCGTCAACGATTCGCTGCTGGCTCGCTTACAGGTAGATCCTTCTGTCTCGTACGGACTTACTAGGTACCTTAGGTAGATACTCTCTGACTGAATAACGTAACACTCCGTACCGTCCCGAGATTACGCTCAGCCTCGCCTATCATGCCGTCACTCTTTTTCCTTACGGAAACTCACCGGTTCTTATCGCCAGCCGCAGGTCACGCCCCGTCCTTGCCTTTCTGAGTCTCTCCTCTCTCCTCTCTCCCTCCTTTCTCTCTACCACATCTCTGGTGAGACACATCGACAAACACCTCGACAGACACGGGTTTTTCTTATTCCTAACAATACATCAAGACGACTCATCGAGTTCGATAACAGACGAGGCGTCTGATTTCCGTCACTCGCTGCAAGTCGCGTGCCTGCACAGACACCCCGGTTTCCACCCAAAATCATCATTGCTTGCCAGCACAGCAGGGGGGGCCACACCACAATAGTACACCACAATAGTACGCCCACACTAATCGGTCAACCACTTAAGTCCGCCTCCCCCGGGGGAGACGCCGACTTTCCCCTTCTTCCTTTTCCTTCGCCGTCATTTCGAAACCCCATGTATCTAGCGCAAACCCTCGACCAGAGTGCCTCCTCAGGCCAGAGACGCCGCGATTCCTGTGCTGCCAACCGCAAGGATGATGGTCCCTAGAGCCTTTCTGTTCAGCTCCGTCTCGCCCGTTCCGACCACCAAGAAGAATGCCCTACCCCGACTCGCCTCGAAGCCGGAGCAAGGGCTCCGGCTGCCTGAGATCTCGCACTTGGAAGACCTCGGCTTGGTCGATGCCACCGCTTCCCATCCCCATACCAATCCGGTTGTGATCCCGCCGAAGCGTGGTCCGCGGATGACTTCAGTACAGCAGAGTACGGTTGGGCGTAATGAGCCCAAGACACCACGCGGGACACTGCGTCGGTCACCGTCAACCGCAACCGCCCGCAGCGACCGCTCCCTACCCACGTCGGTAGCCTCTATCTTGGAGGCAACTGCTATCCCTGTTCCTCGCCGCAATCGTTCCATCCGCGAAACCCGTCGGTTGCCTCGCGGCAACCATGTGGAGGATTTCAGCAAGCTACTCATGGAAGGCGTCAAGTCGCGCGACGACTGCTTGATGGAAGGCTCGCCGTTAGACATCCTCCTCAGCCCACCAGAGGAGGAGACCGAGAAGATGGCCATGGCTATGAGCAACGACGTGGCCTCCGACAGCCCGTTCTCGCTACGCTCCGTTTCGACAGAGTCGATGCCCTCGCTCGTCCATGACATAGATTCCCCCGAGAGCCTCCCCCTACTCTCTAGCCCGTCCAGCCAACGGAGCCCACTCGACCGTAAATATCGGATCCTCTCGCTGTCCGAAGACTGTGCCTTGGATCACCCTCTGTTGGAGGATGAAGAGCTGTTGGACCTCGAACCCACCATGATGGACGAGGGCGACGAAATTCCTCCTCTTCCTTCTCCTTCTCCTTCTTCGTCTTCTCTAGCGGACCCTGGTTCAACAGCCAAGTCTTCGAGACCTTTCCGATCACTACCGCGCTTCACTTTGCCCTTCAAATCGAACCTGACGGCCTCGCTGCGGGCCCTCAAGTCTGCCGCCCAGTCGGTCTCCACCTTTGCGACCCCGTCAGTGCAGCCGGACAACTTCCTCACGCAATCGTTGTTCACGATTACCCCTGGTCTGACGGACGACCGGCGGCCCCTCCCGATGCAGGAGCCGCCGTCGCCCGCGCTTCGGCGATACCTCAACCCGATGACCGTCTCGCCCGCCGAGATGCACGTCTACCACGACCACCGGCACGAGCTGGCCCATCCTGCCGCGCACCGGCCGTGTCCAGTCTCCATCCAGATGCAGACCTACCACCGGAGCGACACGGAGCCTGTCCCGCCGCCGATCACGCGGCAGCGCGAGCCGCGCGAGAACTGCGACTTCCTGCGCATGGTTGTGCTGGAGATGAACATGCGGCGCCACGGCAAGCTGCGCGACGATATCCCCATGCGGGCGCGGATCTGGCTGCCGCCACGCAAGGGGATCGCGTGTCGGCTGCCGAATTGCCACAGTGCCGTGCCCTCGAGGTGGATAGGGGTCTCGGTAGAGTGCATGTGATTCTTTCGACTACTCCGGAGGACTCCGGAGTACTACGGAGTGCGGAGTACATATTGGTCTAGCATGATATTGGCGTTTTAGATACTACATAGGGTACAGGTCATGTAAATACAACCCGACATTTTTCATACTTTTCATTGGGTCATTTTACTCTGTAGTACATGACATCCCTCCGTAGCAGACCGCTCCAGTAATCAATTCTATACTCCGTACCTGCATCCCTGCCCGACCAAGAGAACTATCTACGATAGTCCAGCCACAGACGTCACAAGAACAAGGATACTTCTGCATCAGCTTAGGTGCATAACTAGTAGGAACTAGTCATGACTATAGAGTAAAGGTATGTAGTGGTCATTGTAGTTGACTCTAAAATTCTATTGTATATACTACATTGTGTTTATTGAGTAGAGGTATAGATAGGAAAGGATTCTCATCTGTTCTATGAATTCCAACCCAGATAGACATGTCTACTCTATTCTGGTAGATAGTCTACATCTATGATTCACTCCGTTCCTACCTACTAATCTAGGCAACTTGTAACTGGTAACTATGCAGTACATACGGAGTAGGTAGAGAGGATGGACAGACCCCTATACTCCCATTGGATATAGATAAGGAATCATGAAGGAGACCTGCCATGGGAATAATACTAACTAGTTCATAAATTCTCACTAGTACCTCTTCTAAGACTGTACTAATTCGGTTGCCTGCTCACAAAGGAGGTAATCTACCCCGAGTCCATATATACTACATACTACATACTACATCTAATACCTCGGTACAGAGTACGGAGTACGGACTACTACTACATACTGTAGTCTACAAAGGTCATTCATATACCTTGTATTGTACTCCGTACCGGGTGTCATTAAGCCACTATTGACTGCTTCCATGAGAATGGATGTATCATAGGTATACTCCATCTCCGTATTGCATACTGCGTACTCGTACAATGTCTTATCGCGGTGATTCATTCGGCGGACTGCACCTATCCGCTTACGGCGAATATCCTGATAATCATTAGCCGCGTCAAGAGAAATAAAAATGATTTTTTTTTTTTTTTTTTTTACACTTGACTTACTCTCTTCATCCAGCAGCGTGCCCTCCTGCCAACTATCCTCGATCCAGGCCGCCAGGACAACATGGGGAACCGTCTTGCCAGGCCTGGCAGCCCAAAACGCCCTCACATGCGAAATCTCAGCCGCCGCACAGTCCGCAGCTAGGACGACGTGTGTGATGTGCGAGTCGTCCGACGAGCAGGCCACCGCTGCGCCGGCGAATCGAGCCACGTTGGATGCCAGACGAAGCGGCAGCTGGATCTGCTGCTGGTGCTGCTCTTCCTCTCCGTAGTGGAAGTACAAGGTGAATCCCTGAAACAACCAGCCACAGGGCGCTTCGTATCCCGCCTGGACCCTTTCCTGGATGTGCATCTCAAGGCGTTTGACGGAAGATGCGTCGGGAAGTGTTTCGCTTTCCATCCGGTTCAAAATCTAAACAGTCGTCAATGCTCTGTAATACTTCGTTCCGATGTTATATCACACCTCATTCAGTTCTTCCATAGTGGCATCCCGGGCAAAGCTGTCCTGGTACTGATCCACGGCGGCGGCGATCTCGTCCTTGCGAGCTTCCAGCGTAAAGAACATGTGTCTATCCAGGTCACCACTAATCCCATCACCAGATTTGGTGTATTCTTGTGTGTTTTTCTCACCTTGGTTCAAGCGGGAGAAGCAAATCAGGAAGCCCGACGTCGACTTCGTTCTGCTTGACGCAATCGAGAATCCACGACGGCCGCAGAACGTTGTCCTTGCCGCTCTTCTGCACCGACGCAACCTTGACAGTTCCTAGACAGTTAGAAGTCGTTCGCATCAAATGAAGAAAAAAAAAAAAAGAAAAAGAAAAAGAAAAAGCAATGCTTACTCCTGTCAGCAACGCAGATCGTGTTCGTGGCAGCCGTGCTGGTCTGGTAGATTTTCCCTCCGTTCGCTTTCACGAGCTGCTCCAGTTCGGCTTTGGACCGTTTCTCAGGCGCAAGGCACTCGGTCATAACGTCTGCTACTGTCAGTATGACTGTAGATGGGAGGAGAATAGGAAGGAGAAAACAGGGGAATAGAAACGTACAAAAGTTCATCCCGTCAAAGACATGCCCTGATGGCCCTGCATATTGTACTTCTTCAGCCTGATATCCCGCGATACTGAGCGGTTTCTTCGTCGGCCGTTTGATACGTTTCTTGCGCGAGTTGTCGACGGCAAATTCCCGGGTCTTGTGCTCGCTCTCGACGTTGGATTTGAGATCGAGAAACTCCTGAACCGACAGCGCGCTCTTCCAATCCTTGTCCATGCGCAGCCGTTTAAACCGTGGGAACCGCAGCGTCAACCCGAGCCGGAACTGATCGCTGACGGAGACCGAGGCGGCCTTGACGCACAGCACGACCGAGTCGGCGGGCTTGATCCACATGTCCGGTCGTTCATACTGCGCATCGCCCCCCGCCAGCTCGATAAATGCTACCGGCGGCCGTTTGGCGTCCCACTCATGCCACTTGCCGTCCGTGTGATGTCGGATGTTGGCGTAGTCGGCTGCCGTGAAGCCGCCGCCCACCTTGCAAAAGGAGAAACATTTGCTACCGTCTGGCGCTCCCTGTGAGAAGGAGGAATAAGAAGAGGAGGAAGAAGAAGGCCGGTGGTGATCGTCGTCGACACGTAGGCCGCATAGAAAGCTGGACAGCGCGCCGCCCCGGGCTCCCGAGCCGTAGTACCCGCCGATGACGATCAGGTCCAACGACTCGCCAAACTCAGTCATGTACTCGGGCTTCACCTTCATCCAGTCATCGTGCCGCTCGTTCAGGCGATAGGGTGACCGTGGGTTCTTGAGCACCAGGCCCTCTGAGGCCTCGGCGACGACAGTGCGTAGTGCGGTCTCGATTTCGTCCGTGGTCGTCGCCTCCTGGTACGGATGAATCTCGAAACGGCGGTGCACGGGGATGATGGCTTTGCTCAGGGCGTTGCGCCGGTCTCGCAGCGTGTATCTGGTCAGGTCCTTGTCATTCAGGTAAAGGATGTCGAAGATGCGGAACAGCGGGCGCGGGCCCGAGGCAAAGGGGTTCCGCTGCTGGTCCAGGGCGGCAGTCTTGAGCGTGCCAAAGGGAACGGGGGCATCCTGCTCAGGATCCCAGGTGATCATCTCGCCGTCGAGGATCAGATTCTCCACCCCGTCGGCAAACGCGTCCGCGAGGTGGCGGGTGAGCGCGCCATGTTCGTCCTGTAGGCCATTGCCGTATAGATAGGTGTAATCCTTTGCCTTGCGCGACCAGAAGCCGAAGCGGCGGCCGCCGGGCATGGCCGTGTCGGCCTCCATGTGCAGCTGCATGCGCTCGCCATCGAGCTTCTCCTCGATCCAGAAGACGCGGTCGTCGTCCGTGGGGCGCATGCGCTCGATCATCCGCGCAAACGAGTGCATCTGGAACTGCGCCAGCTGGGGCTGAAAACACTGCATCAGCGTTATCCCGCGATCCTCGGCCTCGAGCCGCAGGTTCGGGTCGTGCAGCTCCCAGCATACCCGGCGCAGACTGCTGGAGATGCTATACAGATTCTCCGCGTCGGGATGCCAGACGTCAAAAAACGTACGTTCGGTCGCCCCAACCTTCATCTGTCGCAGGATGATCCGGATCAACCACAGGAGTTCCTCCGGGTTCATACGCCGGTAGAACTCGGCCAGCACAGGCAGCTGCTGCTCCTCGCGCGACGCGGCGGCCAGCTCATCGAGCTTCGCGTTCACCTCGTCGATACGCATGCTTCCCACCTCGGATCTCAAAGGCCGCTTCGAGAGCACATCATAGCACCGGCCCGCAAAGTCGCCCGCCATGCGCGCTGCCGCCGTCCCGCCCCCGGCGCCTACTACGCCCGTCTGGCCCGGCAGCTTCCAGTTCAGCAGATTGAACCCATCCTCCGAGTTGCGGTCGATCTTCATCAGTTTCACCAGCATCTTGCCAATCACCTTCTCCTTGATCCCGTACATCGCCCGGTCGCGGTCCTTGTCCGGCAGAATCAGCCGGAAGGCAGGGTATATATCTGGCCCGACTTCCTGGCGCCAGCGCGAGATGAACCGCTCGATGACATCGCGCCGTCGCTCAATCGGATTCAGGCCTAGTCCCGCGCTTTTCCCGTGCGGTCCTGTCTTGCGTCGTGCTGCCACGGGGCCGGTCGGTTTCTTCTTGATCTCGTTCAGCGGGTTGAACAGCGTCAAGAACAGCTCGTGGAACGGCAGCGTGGGGGAATGGTTGATCGGGCGATTGGGATACCTATTCAGTTAGCTAGTGGTCTCAAAGGAAAGGACATGTATTTTTTTTCTTTTCTTTTCTTCTCTTTCTTTTGTCTAGGGAAAATTGTAGTACTTTTCGTCCAGGTCCTCCGTCTGAGCTCGTTCGCTCACGGCCTCCTGTGCCGCAAGGTCCTCTGGATCCATCTCAATTGCTTCCCTGGCCTAGAATACGTTCTTAAATTCAGCCACGGCCATTTCAGAGCAGGTTGCAGAGCAGATCTACCGCTCATTGTGATAAAGTCTTGGTGGTTGTTTCCAGGCTGCAGCGCGAGCTCTGAGCATGTGACATCACCGCCTAGACTAAGCTTTATTGGGTTTATATGGTTAGAGACTTATAAACAACGTATTTGGATATATTTACAAAGTAAAATCGATTATAATACAAAAAAGGGGTATCGCTAACAGGCGCTAGTCATTTGATTCCTGTCCGGCAGCTGGGGGTGCTGCGAGACGAGATCGGCGAGTTTCGTGAGGATGGCGATGAAGCGCTTCGAGACGCCCCAGGAGGTCAAACTGGCGAGAGTCTCACAGCCAACGCGGAGGATCCTTTCCGGGCCATGCGGGGCGCAGATGTCACCCACGCCAGTGACGTTGCCGCGCATTGTGCGGCCGTCACGGACGAAGAGCTGCACGAGTTCGTCGTCGCAAGGGCGGTCGAGGTGGATGAAGGTCGGGTCGTGCGACGCAGCGTCTGAAGGCTCAGACCCCGTGTGGACAGTGTTGGCCTCCTGGGAGAACGAGGAAGAAGAGGCGGCGGCGGCGGCGGCGGCGTTAGCGGCGTTCTGGCCGTGGCAGGACCCGTACGCCCAGAGGGTGAGCACCGCCAGGAAGGTGGCGGTTGGTTCGTGGAACGAGTTGGTCGAGTATCGCCGCACATGCCAGAGAACCGTGCCGGCGTGGATGATAGAAAGCCGGGCCTTGTACTGGTCGTGCTTGATCCAGCGACAGACGTAGTGCCACTCCATGGCCTGCTGGTGGTCGCTCCAGCGCAGCCGCTCCATCGCTAGAGAAGTCGCGAGGGATCGGATCTCCCGGAACGGAGCCAGGAGGATGATCCGGGCTGCGTGTAGATAGAGCACCGTCGGATGCTCTAGGCCGGCGGCCCGCGCGATGGTGCTGTTGGCCGCCCAGTGAAGGATGTCCAGGGAATCGCAGGCGCTATTGCGCCATTTCGAGTAAGAAGGAATCCCCGGCAGCCAGACAGATCCCGAAGGAATCGCAGACTCGCGCGACTGTTTCTTGGCGGTGGGATTCCAGAAGGATAGGGGACGACGGAAATAATCGCCCACCTCCCACATGCGTTGGTAGAGCGAATGGATAAGGAGAACATGGCCGAGCTCTCCGATCCCGGATACAAGCTTCTTCTCGATGTATAGCACATGGACCGCAGAGTACAGCGAAACCTGGTCTTGCCCTACTACAGGCTGCTCAGTAATCGGACGGGGAAGAGAGGTCCAGGAAACGAGGATATTTACCAGACGACGGTTCCAAAAGCTTCCTCCACGCCTCTGCGGATGATGCTTGCCACAAGCTTTCATGACACGGCAACGCAGCCTGTCCCTCGTCAAGCGAGAACAGAGTTTTGTTATCTGAGTGGTATGCAATCGTGCAGTCCAAGAGCTGTTAAAACGTCAGTCTAGTGCTTGTACACAAAAAGAAAGCCGTGTTACATACCCATGCGCAGTAGCCGGTCCGCCTTCGAACTTCATCGTCGATCCACTTCGACCATCTTCGTTCCTGGGTTTGTTCATTTGGCAAGGATCGGGATCTGGATGACGATGATAATAGTGATGAGGACGAGGACGATGGCTGCAGCAGCCCCTCGATACGAACAAAATTCACCAGGTCGCCCAGGCAGCTCAAGGCGGAGACATTGTCACGATCTCTGCCGGAGTGAAACAGCCCTACGCCGTTAAGGAGTAGAGCCTGTAAGAGCCAGATGGGAATTTTGTTCGAAGGACATCTTTCTTTCTAATCATGGCCAGGTTTCCAGGTTAGTATTGTACCTCCTCTAGACCGCCGGTGCCTACTTGTCTGCTTACCTCCATCTGGATTGCTCGTCTTAAAAATTCGTGGAACGCCATGGTGCATTCCTCGGTCTCGGGGATGTCAGCCACATGACAGCCAATGGCAACTACTGCCAGAGTGACCAGCCAGTGGCATCGGTTGGGATTGAAGGTGGGAAGATGGAAAATGGGGTAGACGGGCTGGAAGGAATCAAAGTAGACATGGACGAAGCGACTCAGAACTTCGGCAGACGGAAAATAATCCGATTCGAATGGTTGGAATATGGAGTTCTCGATGCGGCACAGCTGCAGGAAGTGCTGGTATATCTTCTCATAGGTGAGAAATTCAATCTTCCGATCAAAGCGGCTCTCCGTGTCATCCGACAGCATACTGCTGCTGTCGATATTGATGTCCTGGATCGGAGGGAAGGAGAAGACTGGAGCAAAGTCACTCCGTTGTAGCTGGGATAGAGCGTCCAGGGGCTCTCCGGAGGATCTGGACCAAGACCCCTGCTTGCGGCGGTACTTGGGCAGACGAGCTCCCGTGCCGTCGACGTAGAAATCCCCCGGGCGGCTCGAAGACGCGTCGCGAGACCCTCCTCCACTGTGGACAAGCCCTTCAGCCATGGTATGCGACACTTGACCGGGGCTTTCCGTATCAGTGCCCAGCGACATGTTCCCCGAGGGGGTCTGCGACACGTTTTCCGGTAGCGAAGGGCTGATATTCTTGCCCGTGATCATCGTGGGCCATATCGGGCGGACGAGCGAGCTGTCGGTGAAGGCAGTCGGTTGGGATGGATGCGGCAGCCTGGAGACGACGGCAATGTCTTGTTCGTTAGTATTGCTGGGAGTCTCGGCAGAGAAGAAATCGGTAGAGAGCCAGTTGATGGTGGAGGACATGGTCTGGTCGAAAAACGCCTGGTCGAAGCCAAGCTCTTGCTGCTGGTCTGCTCCCCCGTTTGTCATGTCGATATCCATCGACGGAGCGACCATCTCAGTCAGTTGGCTATCGATGCCTGCCGAGGGATTGAGGGGGAAAGTCGTCTGCATGGAGCTCTGATACATCTGGTGGCTCATCTCCGAGAACGACGGGTATGACAATCGAGACACCGACGGGTCATCCTGCTGCAGTAGCACGGATGACGGTGCGTCGAGATCGTTTGTCTTGTCTACCGCAGCGGTATTTTTGTTGCTATTTGCACCGTCTGCGCCAGCTGAGTTGTTGGAAGGCTCCGCCGGGTGATCCTCGCGCTGAGTCGACCGATCTGCCCTCCCTCGGTCACGGCGCCCGGCAATCGAGTCTTCTGTGATCGAGGCCGTCCTCCCTTTGCCTAGCGACCGCTGCGGCGACATCTTCATCGCTTTGACCTTGGATCGTCTCTCGGTCGGGTACTGACAGTCGAGCGACCGGTTCTCGCAGCGCACGCATGGCGTCCCCCCGCTGCAGCGGACTCTAGCCGTAGCACACTTGTAGCAAGCCCGAAAGGTCTTGACGGTGATCCGATGGGTACGGTCCTTCCCACTCTCAGGTCCCAGCGTATGATGACTCAGTTCATGGCGATGGAGAGTGTCCCTACATCATAACTCATCAACACTGGCGGTGAAGGTAATCAGTCGGGGTCCGGATGGGTGCCAACACGTACGTTCTAGAAAAATGACGGCCACACTGCCCACACTCAAACGGTTTCTCTTTGGTGTGACTGCGGAAATGCCGCTTCAAGTGCTCTGGCCGCCGAAAGGTGCTCTGGCAGATGGAGCATTTGATCTGGGCCGTGTTGGCTGCACCACTGCCGGCCGCAGCTTCACCGTCGAGACCATCACTGTTGCTCCGCGTCTCTCGGTCGCTCTCATCGTCATCCACTACTTCTAGCAGAGCGTCAGTATTTCCCCTCCTTCTCGTCAACGTCCGGCGAGCCGAGACTGTCTCAGACGTACCTCTGCCAGCGCTGCGAGCCTCGGAGGACATGACGTCTCATGGACGAAGACAGCTTGGGCACTGGGCATTGCAGCTTGCACTTGCAGATCTCTTCCTCTACAACTTCTCCAGCTGTGTCGAGGAGAGGCTGTCCTCTGACCTGGGCTGTGCTCGGGGGGAGGGGATTATGAGAGGATCAGATGGTGTGGGGGAATCTTCATCAACCAGACGGTCTGCCCATATTAACCGGCCTCCCCATAATAGAGTGAAGATCCCCACTGGCTCGGTTAGCAGGGAGCTTGCAGGGGAGACAGTTTGGTAGAGTCGATTATAGGGTGACGGGCTGCCAATAGTCAAGCGTTCTGACTCAGATGCCCAGTCAGGTACAGGAGGTGATGCTTCGCCTAGTTACCTGGTACTCCGTATGCTGACTCCTGAGGGGTAACCATGTGTGATCTCGCAGATGCAGCGTGCAGTGACTCCCACGAGGCCTACAAGCGATAATAATGCGGAGTAAATGCAGAGGAATTGAAATATCGCTCAATCGGGATTCTCCTTTGTTTTTTAAGAAATTAAATCTCCATCCTAGCCATCGAATGATCCTATAGACAGGGCGTATACTCGGTAGGCCGTCTCACTCTCTGGCCAGGCTGCTAAATCCCGACCGGCGATTTCTCCTCTCCACCTCCATGCAGCATGTCTTATTGTCTACGCAGTAGACTGCTGCTGCTTCACGACGCGGTGAGTGCTAAATCAATCAATATCTGCTTGAGTTATCGTGGATTCTGACTTCCTTCGATGGTTTTCAAGTTCTAAAACAGTTCAACCGAGTGAATCCTCTGCCTCCTCCTGTCTCCTCCACAGAGACACGACATGTCAGCCTGGGTCATCGTCCACTCCGCATAGCCGATCCCCGACCGCTGCCGACAGAACGTGAACCTGCCGATGGAACATAGGTATTTACGACGCATGAAGTACTTGCTGCGATGAATGGTTGGGTCGAGGGTACCACTGCCAGCCGCCGGCTGCCGAACCGTGGTCAGGGCAACGCGGGCAATGAGAACCAGAGTCGGGCGGCCGCCCTGCAAGGAGCGGCGCTGGCTTTCCAGGCCAGTTCGGCCAGAATCCCCTTGTCAGACGTCAAGGATAAGGCAAGGAGGGATCTAGGCGCCCTATCCGCCGCAATGCTGGCGGGTAATACTAGCAGCAGCAGCAGCAGCAGCAGCAGTACTACGAAGCGGTCTCCCGAACGAGGGAATGATCACCAGGATACTTCACGAGCTCGATCGCCGCCCCCTCCAGAGCTGGGCTCGGTCAGGGACAAGATCGGGCGGTATACAGCCATTTCGACCGATCCTTCGCCGGCAGAGCTAGCTAGAGCTAAGAAACCGCAACAGATTGCGGCGCGTCTGGCTGCAGAGCGATCTCCGGAGCCCAAACAGAAGCCGGGGCTCACTCCCAACAGCAGCTCCATCCAGCAGGCCGAAGCCTTTATCCGGGCGCGGACGGACATTCCTCCACGAGAATATGAGCTGGATCAGGGGCTTCTGGCGCCGAGACCGATCCGACAGATCCCTCCGAAACCGATCATTGCCCTCGACAGCCTAGGCGCGGACCGTAGTCCGCCGAGGCCACTCTCTCAGAGGCCTGCAAGCTCCGCTTCCTCTTATCAGATGAACAACACAAGGCTCCGACTCGACCGGGATGACTCTCTCGGTTTGATGACGGGTCCGCCGCTACCTATTCGTACGAGACCATCGGTCGAGCCGCCCGGACCCAGACTGCCACCGAAATCAAACGACAGAAACATAATGGATAAACCGGCCAGGACTCCATATATCCCGCCCACAGCCACACTGCGCAGCCATGACCTACTCCAGCTGGACGTTGACGAACCCGAATCTTCTCCCCTCCCCCCGCGGCGGCCCGTCACATCGAGCGCGGCCTCGTTTTCCAGCCGCTCCCAGGCCGGCGGCGGCTCCGGCTCCCTGCTTGACCTGCCCATCGGCCTGGACGAAGGCGCCCTCTCGGACGCGATCGTCGCCTCGTCGCTCGCCTCGGCGCGTATATCCCCCGCCGGGGCATCTACGTCAACGTCAACAGCAGTACCACCTCCGGTTCCACCCCCACGACGACGACAGCGAGCTCACTCGTTGCTCCACCCGGGGTCTTCCTCTTCTTTGTCACGGAAGGACACCACAGCTTCATTGTCCTCGCGAACGCCGAGCCCGAAAAAGACGCTCCGCACGACACTCCGCGAACCCCCGAGCTCCAGCGACGACGAAGACAGCAACCCCAATCAACGCCGCACCCGGCTGATCCGCAAACACCCGCACAAGCACCATGAGGGCGACCGTCGTCGGTACCGCAGCGAGATCACCGAGCGCGAGCGGAAACGCTACGAGGGCGTCTGGGCCGCCAACAAGGGCTTATTCGTCTACGATGACGTTCCCTTCTATCCCGCGAACGCCTCGTCCGAGATGGTCCTCAACCTTGTTGTCCGCGACATCTGGTCGCGCAGCCGATTACCCCCTTTTATCCTCGAGCAGATCTGGGACCTCGTCGATCAGTCGGGTATCGGACTGCTCTCGCGCGAGGAGTTTGTCGTCGGTATGTGGCTGATCGATCAGCGGCTCAAGGGACATAAACTGCCCAGTAAAGTGCCGGAGAGTGTGTGGGAGGGAGTCCGTCATATTCCAGGGCTGAAGCCATAAACCTCGTGTGTACAGAAAAGGCATTTACGATATAGAATATAACAATAACACATCCTGCCAGAGCCTTTGTAAGAAATATGAAGATAGGAAGGAGCCTCTAGAGTCAAGCTACGGTTTACGGTTTACCAGTAGGAAATCACATGATCGTATTATGTAAGAAATTAGTCAGCTCGTATAATCGGTTAGTAAGCTCGTATAGTCACCTGACAATTCCCTCCAGGGAGTCCAGCGAATCTCGCTTCCTCCTCGCGCAGAGACAACACGCTGCCCTCCCTCGCCCAACAGGCCAGAATCTCGATCCACCTACGATCGATCGACCAGGCCGGAGATATTCGCTCGAGTCAGGCAAGTTGGCCCATGGCAGCCCCCTTGCTGGGGCGTGTTGCGCCACATTTGCTGTCCAGAGCAAATCCCGAAGACGACCCTTTCGGGATTTGCTTCCCCCCCAGCTTCAACGGTCCGATCAAGCAGATGGAGAGAGAGAGAGTCACTACACTGCACAACGAGTTGACCTTGCCAATGAGCCGGTGGGCCTTGCTATCGCCGCAGGCCCGATCTACCGTTTAATCAAGGGAGCTTGACCTTTTTTCCCCGGCATCTGCTGGGTGCTAGTTTCATGGACTATTAGCAGGACTGGCTAGCACAATCTTTGCATCGCCATTGTGTACCAGAGACCCTTTAAACCCACCAAGGCTGTTCCCTGCTCTCGGGTAAACAGTGAGCCTGAAATCCTTTGCTCATAATTGGCGCAGCACTATGGATCTCCAGGATTCCCAACAGCAGCAGCAGCAGCAGCAGCAGCAGCAACAGCTCCAGCTCCAGCTCCAGCAGCAGGAACAATATGGTTACGCAGCGCCGCCAAACGGCTCGAGACCCGCTGTGGTCCGCAAGAAATTTGCCAAACCGCCTGTCAAAGTGGCCTGTCTAGCCTGGTGAGCAAGCTATGGAGTACGGAGTAAACGGCTTGTTAGCCGTCTGATTCGATTGTCGACTTCTGCTAACGGGAAGTTGTTTTTTTTGGGGGACAACAGTCGGGCTTCTAGAACACGATGCGACGGTCAGGACCCTTGCACCAATGTAGGTTATCTCCCATTATTGGGGAGTTTGACTCCTCCATTCTGAGGTTACATTTACTAAAAAAAGAATGATCTTGTCTTCGGTGTTTGCAGTGCGCCAACAAGAGCAGAAGTTGTTCCTACTTGCCGAGCAAGAGAGGAGGGCCAAGAAAGAAGAAAAAGGCCGCAGTCTCCCCCGAGGCGACGACTGCTCACGATCATTCTCCCCATCTCATAGTAGCACCAACTCCCCATCTGGATCAATGTACGCGAAGCCCTCCTCTGGGAGTCGTCTCCGGGTTTCCTTCTTCCTGTAGCTAACCTTGTGCCATCACCCCAGCCGCAGGAATGTTCAGTCAGATCGATTCTTTCTCGATGCCTGGAGCCGGCTTGAGGCATCTTGACTATTCACCCCAGGTCCATGATGTGTTTACGGGATTCGTTGGGCCCGCGGCAGGTGGCGAGCAACTACATGTCCCGGTAGGTATGGGACCGACTCCTTCGCCTCCAAGTCTACCCATGCAGTATATGGTGCGGACGTATGGGAGCGAGTATGAAATGTGTGTTCGCCAAACCTCCCATTGACCGTATCTCTATACCGCCTGCTTCCTTGCAAGTCTAACGCTGTAGACAGATTGAACGCCTACTATGACTTCATTCACCTTTATTTTCCGATCCTTCCTCCTTGCACCACACCTCCCTGCCCAGATCAGCCGCAGAGTTGTACGGGATCCTCCTCCAGCTCTCCTTCAGGCGAGCCTCGGCTGGTACACAGGCCACGATCACCTCTCAGCCTGGCAATATCTGCCATCTTAGCCCTGATCCCACATCCAAACGACCCGGACCCGTCCAGTGCAGGCTCTGTGCTAGCCCGCCGGACACATGCAAACTTATTCGCCCAGATGGCAGCATCTGCCGTCGAAGAAGACTGCGAGCTTGTAGATTCATCGACCGATCCGTCACAAGCGTTGTCTGGCGCCAGCCCTCTCATCGACCGCGAGCCTCTCCATTCGCGAACTCCCGTTGAACTCGAGTGTATCCTTGCCCTGCTGATCCTGTGTATCTATGAATATTCGCAGCGAGGGAATTTGATCAAGATGAGGTACCGTGCGAGCCAAGCGTTGTCCATTGCACTTGACAAGTCTCTCCACTCCCTGTGCGATGAACATGATGTATTTGCAGAGGCAAGGCGGAGAGCTTGGTGGATGACGGTACGACTACTGAATCACCTCATCCACATCCATCTTTTGGCTATCGTCTAATCATTCCCCAGTACTACTGTGTTTTACAGGGGTCTATCGTTAGCGGAACTGTACGCTTGTAACCCCCCTTTCTGAGCAATTATTATTATCATCATCATTGTCTAATGGCAACAGGCGCCCGCTATCGTCATCAATGACCCTCGATTTGTGACACCGTACCCCCATTTTCCGTCAGATCCTGAGGTACGCCGCTCTCCCCTTTGCCGTCCTGACTCAATGGCCGGGCTAACTCACCTCTTTGATAGGGGTGGTCAATCCTGATACAGGCTCAACAAGTGCTGGTCACGGCGACCCAATTCGTTGTCGACTTGAGCAAGTGTGTCGCCACGGGATCAGACATGCAATACATATACAAGCAAATGGAGCATCTGGAAGTGTGGTCTAAGTCTGCGATGGAGCGGGCAAATCAGCTTCCTATAGTCCGAATCAATCCTGGAGACCAGGTCGAGTCAGTCACTGCCGAAAGCATACGAGCAATATCGCGGATCAAAATCTCGAGGTAAAAAATCTGGCCAGAAAGCTATCTATCACCAAAACTACCTAGCCATATCAAGCATTGACCTATCGGCTTTTCTTTGAACAGTGCCCAGATTAAGACGCACCGTTTCCGGGCATTTTCAGACATCCCCCTCTTCATCAGGAAACATTGCGACCTGACCACGACCAAGGCCTATGGCACAGGCGAAGCTCCCGTCGAAATCACCCACCTCTCGTGTTCGTGTAGCAACCTGGAGCCGTTTGTCCATTCGTCAAGTGTGGACAGTTGCAACAATACCGCCTCCCCCGCTTCTCCTTCCGCATCCACGCCATCCACGGACTTTGCCCCTATCCTCCAACCTCCCGTCACGGCCGATTTCCCGTTTAGCACCCAGTACTCGGCAAAGGTGTGTCTGCGTGCTGCCCTCGTCGCCGCACAGATGTTTCACAACCTGCCTGTCCCAAAGCCGACCTCATACATCCCCATTCCCAACTCTCCTACAGCAACACTGCACCTGCAGCTCCCGCGGACAATGCCATCCTTTGCTTGCTGTCTGATGCAAAGCAGCTATGCCTTGTTCATGCTCTACTACAAGCTCCGGGTTGCGAAACAACTCTCCCCGGAACTCAAGGGCGAAGGCTACCCCGAATCGTCCGACAGGGTGGTCGAGGAGCTACAAAGGGGGCTCACCCGTATCATGGGTGCCGTCAGCAATTATTCGATTGCGTTCGAAGCCCTGGGTGGTATGAGAGGTAAGCTATCTAAAACTTTAAAAAAAAAAAAAAAAGTATGCTTACGCATAGACAGATGAAATTGAGGGCGCTTATCAAACAGCATTCATTGACGCATAAAGACAAGACAACACAAAAAAAAAAGAATTCGGCCATTCGATTAAATTACCCCGAAACACGAGCGGGTCTCGAATGCAACGGCCGTAATAATGTCAAGATACCAAGTGATAGATATCATATCATGGTGCCAGGATCCCCCCTATCACGAAACTTTTTCATGTTCAAAATAGAAATCTAAATTAATCCCTTTGATACCCCTGGAATAGAAGCTGTTACAAAAGAAAAAGGACATCTCTCTACATTAAGACCAAAATATATATATTCAAGTACACTCTAAGCTGGAAGCAAATAGTCAAGCACCTGTTTCTTGCTTGAGCCCCTTTCTATGATCCGAAAAAAAAAGCCAAGTGTATGTATGTATGTATGTATGTATGGTTCGCCGTCGCTAAAAACGCCATCATCCTATTCACATGATGATAAATAATCATAATAAAGATAAAGTAGGGTGGAGGGACGTATGGAGGGGAAGGACACGAACGTTCTTCCGCCCTGTCACAGCTTTGATCGGATCCCTTCCAATCGAAATTTGACATCGCGGAGCACCTTGGTGGATGGCCTCCAATCGTCGAACTGTCTGAGCAGTTCCATGGTCTCTTGTTGGAGCTCGCGTCGGACGTACTCTTCTTCCAGAATACCTCGCATGGCGAAGGGGAGGATATAAGGATTCGGCGTGGGCGAAGGGTTGGCGCGCTTAATTTCAAGACTGGTGCTGCTCAAAGTAGAGGTTTCTAGGGCGAACTCGACGGCTAGTCTGTAAAAAAAAAAAAAGACGAGACGGCTCTGGTCAGGACTGTGTTTGCTGGCATGGAAGATATGGAGAAGGAAGAGGTACTAATACATACAAGTAAACGTTTTCATCGTCATAGAGACGAGAGTGCCCCTCTCCTGAATAAAGGCTGCCAGCAAGCGGGGTACTTAGTTCCTTAATGAGGCCATGGTCTGAGATACCAAGGTTTCGCAGTTTGAGAATAAAGCCAACTAAATGAGAAAGGCTTTGGGAAATGATAATTAGTTCAGTGGCTGAATGAATATAGGATGTATCCGATATAGAACCTACAAGCTAGGGGCATGGACTCTGCCATCCACAAAGACAGCCCGATATATGTAAGGATGCGAAACAGCAGAGAAGAGTGATGACTGTAGAATGAAATTAGCCCTAGTTAGAATCAGAAGGGAAAAATCCAAATATTTACCTCAAGCGAGACGAGTTGATCATCGATGCTCCCAATGTAGGATATTCGAACACCAAATCCAAGCACGCTTTTGAGAGCTATTTCGTAGTCTTTAGAGACCTGGCTGTAGGGAAGAGCAAATTCGAAAAGCTCGCCGGCAGATCCACTAATCCAGCGAGACTTATAGTCTGGGAAAGGCCCCAGGTTGACCCCAGCCATTGCACAGATCCCTACTCGAGTCGCGTTTAAGCAACCAAACGAGATCAGTTTTGCGACAAGCATGATGGCAACGGGTACGCCCTGGCTGTGACATGCGAGTAGAATGAAGTCGGCCTTCCGGATCTCTTCCATCCAGTTCAGCAGTAGTTTCCAAAGTAGATCCACGCGTTCAGCGATGCGACCTTCACCTTCCAAGGCAATTTTCTCAATGTCGCACTTGTAACCACGGTTCTCGGTCCATTTACGGATAGAATTAGCGGCCATGTTGGAGAATCTGATCGACGTCCCGGTAGGCTGGCCTAGAACGCTGCGTATCAAAGGAGCAGGGAAGTATCCATGTACTCCTATAGCTAACGCTTTGCGTATCTGCGGCGGATCTTTCACCATATAAACGTGTTTGTTTTCTGGCTCTTTGGAATAGTGCAAAAATCGACCAATCGTCTGTAAAATGGACGGTTGGTCCTTTAATGCAAATGTGTCTCTAAAATGCGGTAAAACCTGGTTCGGCAATACCTTCTGGAGCTGTTTGGAGGCTGTAGGTTCGACCTTCTTTGCAAGAGGAGAAGGAGTTGTGGTAAATCCTTCCACGGCTGGTACCGGAGGGTCGTGAGTAATAGCTGCGGTTTCAATCTCGTTTCCGGGCTTCTTTGCCCTCACGCTTCCTTTCTTGGTCACTTCTGCTCTTAGCTCGACATCGGGGTCGGGTGTCAATGGGTTTGTAGGCGGCGATTGGGTTGCAGAAACTTCTGCAGGTTGAACCTCTGAGGATGCCCCTGGTTTTTCGTTCTTAGCTGGTTCCCTGGCCCAAAAGGACCAGCCAGAATACCGATTACTCTCCGGCAAATGTGGCTCAAGTGTTGCTACATCACTCATAACATTGTCTGCGGGCTCAGCGGGGGGATCAAGCGGCTCTGGTGGAGGCTCAATCTGATCATCCTTCTGCTTAAGCATTTCGGATGATCCGTTCCACATCTGGAACCACGAACGCTTCTGCGATCTAGATGAGCCTTCTAGTGTATCGTTTTCCTGTTGCTGTTGCTGATGCTGTTGCTCTTGCTCTTGCCGTTCCTGTTGTTGTTCCTGTTCTTCTTGTCTGGCCACTGGTTGGGGATTGTTTTGTTCGACCCCGGTCTCTTCTTGAGGCATAGGCTCAGTCGCTACTTCAGCTGTGCTCGGAACCGGGTCCGGTTCACATGAAGGAACCTTCTCCTGCGCAGGAGGCCGACTATAGAACCACGAAAACCACCCAGCAGTTTCACTGTTTGTTGGAGCAGGGTTGTTGCCAAGCTCGGTGCCCTCTCCGCTAGTATCGGCGTTACCTTCTGCGCATTCCTTATTTGCAGCAACTGGATCTTCTGTGTTCCCCTCTGATACTTCCGCAGGTATGTCCTTTAAACCAGTCTCACTAGAATTACCTGGCTTTGCAGGTTGAGGCGAAGGAGAAGGTTCGACCGCCGATGGTACAGTCGGTGTAGATGCAGATCCGTCAGATGCAATGTTGATACAAGTCGTTGTGGCGTTTGCAGGGAGTGATCGGATGGCGGATGCTTCCTTGCGTGTCAACTGGAGTGTAGGGTTCCTATTGGGCTTATGAGGTTCAAAGAGGGAGACGGAAGAAGATGCGGTGATATTCGATGCGACATTCTTAGCGACCGATATGCTTTCGCGGACAACCTCGGTAACAGGTGCAGCCTTCGATCCCCTGGAGATCGCCGGCCAAGACCCAGGATACCATCTCTATTGCAGATAACCCAAGATTAGACGAGTACCTCACTACTTTACAATAACGACTTACCGTGCTCCCTCGCTTTGGTGGATTCACAGCGTTTCTCAGGGCATCCGGAGCCAACTCATCGTTGCTCGGCGTCGGACTGGGCTTCACTCTCTTTCGAGGTCCCATAAGCGCCATAGATAGTGTATTAATCACATTACCAACAGCGCACGGCGGAGGATAGGTGAACAGAGCAGCTGATCAAGACCACAGATCGAGAGAATGTCTGCCTTGGAGGAGCATCCAACCTCCTGAAGCGGGCCTACTTGTGGTCATCTATGACGGAGGCCCGGTCGCCCCTCACCGCCTTCGATGCCTGAGGCACACGTACCCGCCCTAACAGGAGAGAAAAAAATTCCGCGGAGAGCGGTGGAGACTGGCGATAACTAATCTCACAACTTTTTCTCGGGCCTGTTTCCCAGAGCAGCACTTGAACTTGGAAGCCTTGGACCAAGTTAGCTGTTCGTATCGCTGTTTCTGGGTCTTGTCAAGCCTGTCTTGGCCACCCTGTCATCACAATGGCGATCCAGAAGAAGGTACGTCAAACACAAGCGTCTGCGGTAGATGGGTGCTCGCTGCTAACTATTCATAGCACGGTAAAGGTCGTTTGGATAAGTGGTATAGGCTTGCGAAGGAAAAGGGCTACAGAGCGCGTGCTGCTTTCAAGCTGATCCAGTTGAATAAGAAGTACGGGTTTCTTGAAAAGAGCAAGGTTCTTCTGGATCTTTGCGCAGCCCCCGGTGTGAGTAACGGCGCTCTCCATGATGCCCTTTTTTTCTTTCTTTCTTTCTTCGTCATCGGGCTAACAGAGATACCAGTCGTGGTGTCAAGTCGCTGCAGAATGTATGCCCGCGCAGAGTATTATTGTCGGCGTTGATCTTGCGCCCATCAAACCTATTCCTCGAGTTATTTCGTTCCAGAGCGATATTACGACCGAAAAATGTCGCGCCACGATCAGACAACATCTGAAACACTGGAAGGCAGATACGGTGCTTCACGATGGTGCACCTAATGTCGGTACCGCGTGGGTGCAGGATGCTTTCTCGCAGGCAGAATTGGTGTTGCAGTCATTAAAACTAGCCACTGAGTTCTTGATCGAGGGCGGTACATTCGTTACCAAGGTCTTCAGGTCTAAAGATTATAACCCCTTGCTGTGGGTGTTCAAGCAGCTGTTCAATTCTGTTGAAGCCACAAAGCCTCCTTCGTCGCGAAATGTTTCCGCCGAAATCTTCGTTGTCTGCCGCGGATTCAAGGCACCCAAGCGCATTGATCCCAAGTTCCTTGATGCGAAACACGTCTTTGCCGAACTTTCAGCTCCCACTCCGAACAATGAAGCTAAGGTTTTCAATCCTGAAAAGAAGAAGCGTAAGAGAGAAGGTTATGAGGAAGGAGACTGGACGCAGCACAAGGAGATCTCGGTTACCGAGTTCATCAACACCACCGATCCAATTGCCATCCTTGGTACATACCACAAGCTTAGCTTTGACCAGTCTCCTGGTGGAGACCTTGCGCTGGCTACTCTGGGAAGACTTGAAGAAACCACCGACGAAATTCGGACTTGCTGTGAGGATCTTAGGGTGCTCGGCAAGAAAGAGTTCCGCAGTCTACTGAAGTGGCGGATCAAGGTCCGTGAAAAGTTCGGTCTGGTCGTCAAGAAAGGACAGGCAACGAAGGATGAGGCTGAGGAAGTAGCGGAGGTTGCACCTATGGATGAGGAACTGGCTATTCAAGAGGAGCTACAGCGCATTCGGGACCAAGAAAACTCGAGGACCAAGAAGGAACGTCGCAAAGAAAACGAGAAGAAGCGCAAGGAAATTGTTCGGATGCAAATGAACATGACGACCCCGATGGAAATCGGTATGGAGCAAGGTGGACTCGGGGATGAGGACTCGGTCTTTTCATTGAAGCGAGTCGACCGGCTGAATGCTCGAGCCGCGATGGTCTCTGGGAAGGAAGCCGAGGTCGAAAGTGAGAGTGAAGAGGACGCAGAATCAGACGGTGATGGGTCTGACGATGATGGAGATCGTCTGGAAAGAGAACTTGACTCGATGTACGACCAATACCAGGAGCGCAGAGAGGACACGGATTCCAAGCTGCGTGCCAAAAAGGCAAGGAAAGCCTACGAGACGGAAGAATGGGAAGGATTCTCCGAGAATGACGGGAAGGACGACGATGGTGAAGATTCTCAATCTGATTCCGAAACGACTCCAACTGCAGACGATGCCCAGGCATCTACACATCTCTCCAACAAGGCTACTCTATTCTTTGATCAAGACATCTTCCAGGGTCTGGAAGATATAGAAGATCTGGAAGATGGTGATAGCGCTGACGAAATGGAACAAGACGCCGTCCCGGCAAAGGGCAAAAAGTCGGAATCGGAAAAAAGCAAGACCAAGGAAACAAAGCAAGCGAAGAAAGCGGCAGAGCAGTCCGATGACTCCTCTGATGATGAGGAAGTCGAACGGCTTGAGGATCCTCGAAAGGCAAATGGCCAGCTTGGTTAGTAATCTCACCTTCAGATACGATGTGTCGATTTCTCTCTTACTGACTTGAAAATATAGACATTGATATCATCACTGCAGAGGCCATGGCGCTTGCTCAGTCTCTAGCTACAGGTGAAAAGAGATCTGTAGATGTTATGGATGATGGGTTCAATCGATACGCTTTCCGCGACGTCGACGGCCTTCCTGAATGGTTCCTGGACGATGAGGGTAAGCATGGCAAGCCCCACCGCCCGATCACCGCGGCCGCGGCCGCAGCGATCAAGGAGAAGATGCGTGCCATCAACGCACGCCCCATCAAGAAGGTCATGGAGGCCAAGGGCCGCAAGAAGATGAAGGCCGCCCAGAAATTGGAGCGTCTTCGCAAGAAGTCGGCGCTTCTGGCGGAAGATGAAACCCTCACTGAGCGGGACAAGTCTCAGGCGATCGCGAGGCTCATGAGCAGGGCCGTCAAGAAGAAGCCCAAGCAGCAGGTCAAACTGGTGGTGGCCCGAGGCAGCAACAAGGGTATCTCTGGTCGTCCTCGTGGCGTCAAGGGCAAGTACAAGATTGTGGATTCGCGCATGAAGAAGGATATTAGGGCCCAGAAGAGGCTTGCAAAGAAAAAGTCCTAATAAACCGATGGTCTGGTGACTATCTGAAGCTGTATATAACTATTTACTTTAGTATTCAGTCAATAACCACCACACGTTAAAATAGATAGTCATATAATCTCTACGCCTGTTTCCAACTGACCTCTACGCTATAGTCATAGTACTCCGTGTGCAGTATGTAGGTACCTACCTACTTACCTGTTGGCTGCCTATTATTTCAGGCATCCTAGGGTTTGCGGGGTCACCAAGACCCGAAGTGGCGACACACGCGCTGCCGCAGCCTGAGGCTGAAGATATCGATCGGAACTCTTCTATCGTTGCGTTGTGTTATCCGGCTGCTCTTTCCGCCTGCACTGCCTGCACTGCCCGAGGGCTCTTCTGCGCCCGCCCTCTGCCTGTCCTTCATTTTGTCTTTTTTCCATCGTACATTATTCCTGTCTGTTCCGTGTATACCCATATCGTTATTAGAAAGCATTTTTGCTATTGTTATCCGCTCCCTGAAGAGAAGAGAGACGCCGCGCCCGCTCCCCAAAACCGCGCTGATTTCTGCCAACCCCCATGGGATTTTTCGACCACCTCCAGAAAGGAGGCGGCTTCTCTCTGCAGCCCAAAAAACCTCAGATCCGCAAAGTTGTCCAGACCCGGCCGGCTCCTTCGTCGAAATCCACGTCGCATGCCACGGACAAATCGCCCGCGCCGAGTTCTTTGTCCGTCGAGAAGGCTAGGACACGCGAACTGAAAAGCAGATCGGCCTCGAGGGACTCGGATCGCCTGCACAGAAAAGAGCGACTCAGTACCCCGTCCCGTCACCGGAAGCGAGCAACCCCGGACCAGCGACTCTCCAGCGATGATGATGACGACGGCGTCAGCGACACAGATACCTCATTCGAGGTACGAAAACGAGCGAGGACCAGCGACAGTCCAGAAATAGACCTTGGGAGGCGCATACGCTCGGTAAAGGCATTCTCTGAGGAAGGGAAACGGCCTTTCTCAATGGTGCATGCCGCAGAAATTGTGTCCGCTCGCAAGTCAGGACATTTCAAGCGGGCCTTTGAAGAGTCAGAGAAATCTACGGGGATCCTTCTTCAATACCCTAGTGCTTCGCAAAAAGAGAGGTACGTATCCCCTTTTTCTACCCAAAACCTTTTCCTTTTCTTTTTCCGATTTACTTACAAATGATCTCTCATCAGGTTTCACCTTGTTGTGCCGCGAGACAATGAAGACTTCAAGCCTATCGACGATATCGTGCAGGTCATCGAGATGGTGGGAGACTACTACGTGGCGGAAGAAGATGCCGATGCCTTCAATAACGAGACAACGGGGTTCAAACGAAGACTGCGACGGGCTTTGGCCCATGTATCTGGAGCCGAGTTCCGGGAAACGGTGTCTGATTACAATGATACCATCGAGCGGCTCAGAGCGAACGGGAGCATCGCAAAAAGGCTAGATTCAACCCACCGACTCGATCTGCCTCTGGTCGAACGAATCCTGAATCAAACCTATGCGCGAACAGTCTCCCCCCGCGTGGACTCCTTGCGGCAGTACGAAAACGGAACAGATAACGTTTATGGCGAGCTCCTTCCCCGCTTTATTAGCACGATCTTCAAGGAGACGAAGCTGAAGTCGGGTCAGGTCTTCGTTGATCTAGGCTCTGGTGTCGGCAATGTGGTTCTCCAGGCCGCTCTGGAGATCGGCTGTGAAAGCTGGGGCTGCGAGATGATGCAAAATGCCTGCGATCTTGCAGAACTCCAGCAAGCTGAGTTCAAAGCAAGGTGCCGGCTTTGGGGGATTGCGCCTGGGAAAACGCACCTTGTTCGGGGCGATTTCCTCAAGGAGGAGCCCATAATTAGCGTTTTGAAGCGCGCGGATGTTGTTCTGATCAACAATCAAGCCTTCACTCCTCAACTCAACAATGAGCTGATCAACCATTTCTTGGATATGAAGGAGGGATGCCGAATCGTCTCGCTCAAGTCCTTCGTCCCTGCAGGCCATAAGATCCAGTCGCGAAATCTCAACTCGCCTATCAATCTTTTAACTGTGAAGCAAAAGAACTACTGGTCCAATAGTGTCAGCTGGACCGATGTTGGAGGCACCTATTTCATTGCCACCAAGGACAGCTCCCGACTGAAATCCTTTGTGGAAAGCTTGAACTAGCTGGTTTGCTTTCTACTCAATTTTTACAGCAAAGAGCCGAAGCCGACACATACATACATACATACATACATACACGAGCCGGAAATATCCTCGGCGACCCGCTGTGTGTCCATACTCACAATATCCAGTATATATCTCTTGTGTTCAGAGGTCTTTTTTCTTGGCGAAGCTTTTCTCCATTATCCCTTTACACTGTTCAAACATCTGATACTGTAATACTGGTTTTGGTTATTGACAGCCCCATAGACATCTGGCATCCTTTTTTTTTTATCTATCTTTATGTACTTTTTTGACTGGCAGGAAGGGAGTCACTTCAGGTGTCTATCCTGTCTTATACTGTATAGATAGAAATAGAACACATCATGAATAGTATAATACATATAAATGTCTAGAACTCCCAGTAGTGATTCATGTATTCTCACCTCAAGGAGTAGAAGCGCTTTCTAAACAGAGCAAACTTACCTTTAAACTGGAGTCTTAGGCAAACTTGGACGCATCATTCATAGCATCCGCTTCCTTTCCCATGCGAGCCATCCAGCGATCAATAAGGTCTTGATTCTCTTTCTTTAGCTTATCGACCTTATCTTCCGCCATGTTCAGTTGAAGATTGAGCGTTGCCATTTCATCCTGAAAGTCCTGTAAGGCATGTTAGTCAATTTCATGGGTTAGAAATTGGGGAAGGGTTCAAACCTCGAGTAATTTGGCTTTGCCTTTCAACTCTTCGTCTCGATCCTTCAGGCGCAGTTGGAGATGTGTCCGTTCACCTTCTAGAGCGTGCAAGCGTCGGGAGTCTTGCGCATTCCGTTTGCGAAGCTTCTCGGCCTCGGTGCTCAGACGAGTCAATCGGTCCTGGAGCTGCGAGCGAGATCGCTGCGCTTCGGCGAGATCCGCCCGAGTGGCCGCAAGGATTTCGGGCAATGAAGAAGCCGGGTCTCCCGGAGGACCTTTCCGTGATGCCTCTCTGGAAGACGAAGACACGGGTGGTGCGGTCGTTGGGCGGCCTCCTGTACGATCCGCTAGACGGGTGTCTATATTCCCAGAGAAATGGTTAACACAGAGGACTTGTTTCTGAGTAAAAGGGAACCCTACAAGCATCGTATATTGCGACATTCGCCTTTTCAGCCTGATCACGAACCGCTAGGGCGGACAAGTATTCCTCGCGCCAAAGGGCCATGTTTGGACACGATAAGGCACCAAGTGGGAAATGGTGGGTAGCGTCGCAAGCTATGGTCCCATCACGACCGCATGAGGGGGGGTGTTTCGTCAACAACAAAGTATCTCGACTGAGACAGATGTACCACCTAGTAGGAAATTCCTTCTCTAGGTTCAAAATAGAAATAGAATCCTGTATTCCGTAACTTAGGCAGCTGGGAGTAGTTCTAACTAGGTAGGTATGTATACATAGTTACTCTTGCTCCACCAAGCCGACCGCCCCCCTGACCGCCCTGCATCATGCATCATCGGACCAACTGCCCAGCCAGCGGCTCCAAGCGGTGTCCAAACGCAACAACAGTCCAACTGCTAGTGCTGGTTACTCTCCTCCTCCTCCTTCTGTTTCCCAACGTTCTGATACCCGCGGGTTTTCCTAGAGTGGTGGGTAGACCTTGTCTCCTGTTATTTTTTGCTAGGATTTCTCACCTTTGACTGTCTTTCTCCCTCTCAGGACCAATACCTTGACAGCACGCTTATCTCCGGTCTTAAGCAGCTTTCCCCTCTCGCCTCCCGCAATGGCGTCACGAAAGAAGGTCTTGTTGAAGGTATAGTCAAGACTTCAGGATACCATTCATATATGAATGAGTTGGGTTTGAGATCTTCTGCTCACGTCTGTCTCGTCTTTCTCTTGTCTAGGTCATTATTCTGGGCGATAGCGGTGTAGGCAAGACAAGTTTGATGAACCAATATGTCGGTGACGCGCTTTCTTTTTTTTTCTTTTTTTTTGTTTTTTTAAAGATGGTTGCAGATAGCTGACTGCCTTTTCGAGTATAGGTCAACAAGAAATTCAGCGCAAGCTACAAGGCGACGATCGGTGCCGATTTCCTCACAAAAGAAGTACTGGTGGACGACCGGCTAGTGACGATGCAGGTATGCAGTCTCCTGGCATTGTACAATTCGGGCTCGATTCGCATCTTATAGAATACTTGCTGGCTCCGCATGTGCTGATATATCTTGTTCAGATCTGGGATACCGCAGGCCAGGAGCGCTTCCAGTCTCTCGGCGTCGCTTTCTATCGAGGCGCCGATTGCTGTGTGCTTGTCTACGACGTCAACAACTCCAAGAGCTTCGATGCCCTTGACAGCTGGCGGGACGAATTTCTTATTCAAGCAAGCCCCAGGGATCCGGAGAGCTTCCCTTTCGTAAGCACCAGAAATCGCGTGATATCCGTCATTAGCGTCGCATTACTGACCGATTAACAGGTGGTGATTGGAAATAAGATTGATGTCGAAGAGAGCAAGCGCATGATCTCGTCGAAACGTGCCATGACTTTCTGCCAATCCAAGGGAAACATTCCCTACTTTGAAACCAGTGCCAAGGAAGCCGTGAACGTGGAACAGGCATTTGAAGGTAATTTACCATCTTACATACTCTTTAGTAATACCCTCCCTCTCGGTATTTGCTGACCTGGGGTTTCCTCATTCCAGTCATCGCTCGAAGCGCCCTGGCCCAAGAAGAGGCAGAAGAATTCAGTGGGGAGTTCAGCGATCCGATTAACATCCATCTGGATAGCGAGCGAGACGGTTGTGCCTGTTGATACCCCGCTAGATGGGAGTTGTTGGAGGTGATCCGTCACCTCAGTGGGTTGCCCTGGTCGCTGACTTTCACCGGTCGTTCATCAAGTATCCTGGGATACAGCGCTCTGGCATCCTTTCTGTTCTTTTTCTACAATCTTCGCTGTGTTGTTTTTCCGGTTTATATGTTATACCTTTTCTGATCGCGCGTGAATTATCTGCCCTGTATCTCTGTTCTTTCTAGTCTGTTCATGTCCAAGTCGGATACTTCTTTTGGAGTTTGGAATGACGTTTTCTTTTTCTTGCCAGGCTGAGCTTTGTCTTCATAAGAGCCACGAAGGCATAGAGAGGTACTATACGAGCGAGAATGAATTCGGCGATCGACCTGTTCTCATCGTTTATAAAATGGAGAGAGATGGTTGTAGCAGACAATGCCAAAAAATATATACCTACCTACTAGTATGTTCTCTGTCCGCCATGGATGAGCTGCCTAAGGCGCATGGTTCAGGTCAACTATCCAAGACCTCCTCGAAAGCAGAATATTTCCATAGGGGCGTGGAAAATCTTACCCTTATCATTTTTTTCTCCTTTTTTTCCAAATCGACTGGATTTCTTGCATATAATTGATCAAGTTTGTACTACTTTGTTGCGCTGACCCTCTATGGTGTCATGTCGGCCTTGATTGTGTCACTCTAGGTGACCAACAGAATAGTGGTGGCTGCTGAGAGATTTAAGAGTGAAGCACCACCTTACTTTTACCCTATATTCCCCATTCTCATTGTCTTCTAATATACTATCTACCTTGAAAGTTACCTATTAGTATAAGTCATTAGGTTTCAAGTCCCTGGCGCTGGCGTCGTGATCAATTTCCTTATCTATTCGCCCCGCATGATAGGCACATGACACTAGGGAGGTTGGACTTTCTGACATCTTTCATGAATACCTAATTCCCCCCCCCGTCCACCCTTCCCAGATACCTTCTCGATGCAGGCCTTTTGTAGGAATTGAAGTAGCGAATGTCTCACTCTTCCGGCGCTGCCCGGCGCACCCTCGGTATCTGTCTGCTGCTTATCGTGGTGGTGCTCTGGACCGCTTCAAACTTTCTAGCCAGTGTACGTACGCCCGCGGATGTTCTCCTTGCAAGTTCACTAATGGTATGCTAGGATATCTTTGCCGATGATACCTACTCAAAACCGTTCTTTGTGACTTACGTCAATACCGCCGTTTTCATTTTCCCGTTATTCACAATCATCCTGGGTCGGCTCTGGAAGTCATGGCGTCTACACGGGCTCTCGCAGATGACCTCGTGGAGGAGTTTACTGGCACAGCTGGACGACGCCCATGACCCGATACGAGAGGATGGAGAGGAAGCGATGCTTCACGCTTCGAGTTTTGACGACGGATACAGAGGTGATGCCCATGATGAGCCAGCGTCGATCATCCACGACAAACAGGCCGGGCAGTCAAAGCTGGGGTTGAAAGCAACGGCGAGGCTGAGCTTTGAATTTTGTATGCTATGGGTAAGTGGATAGATTTCCGATTCTATTGAAGAAGATGAAGAAAGATGAAGAAGATATCTAACTTTGGTATAGTTTCTCGTAAGTCTGAACAATAGATATGAATAGACTTGGTCTGATTCAAAATACAGGCGAATTACTTTGCAATGGCCTGTTTGCAGTTCACGACGGTTGGAAGCACTACAATTCTCACATCAACCAGTGGTACTTCATACTGTCTGTCAAATTTTTCATAAAATCTGACCAAATCCATCAGGTGTCTGGACTCTAATCTTTGGGGCTTTCCTCGGCGTTGAGAAATTCACGATCCGCAAATGCCTGGGCGTGGTGGCATCCCTGTTTGGAATCATCCTGATCTCCCGTGTCGATATGTCTAGCTCTGACAGCCCCTCTGCCGACGACGGGGGCAGGGGATCTTTCCCACACAAGACGCCCGCAGAACTCATCTTGGGTGACGCGATGGCCGCATTCAGCGCCATCATGTACGGGATCTACACGATCGTCATGAAGAAGCAGGTCGGCGACGAGTCCCGTGTCAACATGCAACTCTTCTTCGGCCTGGTTGGCCTCTTCAACCTCGTCCTCCTATGGCCTGGCTTCGTCATTTTACACCTGACAGGCATCGAGCGCTTCTCTCTCCCCGATTCAGGCCGGATATGGATCATCATTTTGGTAAGTCCTTCTTCTTTTTCTTCTTTATCTGCTTAAAATCCAATGGTATGCTCATATATACTTCTCAGATAAACGCGGCAGCCTCTCTATTCTCCGACATCTGTTGGGCCTACGCCATGCTCCTGACCACCCCGCTCGTCGTCACGGTGGGCCTCAGCCTGACCATCCCCTTATCTCTCGTAGGCCAGATCTTCATTCAATCCGAATACGCAACGCCGCTGTACTGGTTCGGCGCGGCCATTGTCTTCCTGTCCTTCATGGTCGTCAATCATGAAAGTCACACGGACGAAGACGACGCTTCTCGTCTCCGGGATGGCTATGAGGTTATCGGAGATGGAGCGGTGGCAGGGGACGATACACATCGTGATTAGCACAATTGTATAGACTAGAATTGCTGGATTCCATATAGATGAGGAATATATTAACTAGTAGCCTATTTATATTATGAGTCTCATGTACATGGAGAAAAAAAAAAGAGAAAGACCCATTCGTCTGCCAAAACTATATTTACTATCTGGATATAAATAAATATATATATATATGTATATATATATATACGGGTTGACAAGGAGGACGAGTAAGTGGGCTGAGAATAAAGGCTGGTAAGGGTATATCGCATGGAAGGGAAAAAAGCCAAACAAAAGAGAAAGGACCTTGGAAACAAAAAAGGTTCCAAACCAGCGAAAGACAATGGGCGAAAGGAGCTATATATAATTCGGATGGCTGTACCGGGGGGGGGCTACCGCCGTCAAGCTGCTTTCTTTCGGGCGACAAAGATACTTTTCAAGGATCCCAGCCACTTGGCTAGAGATTCCTCGTCCGAGGTACATAGTCGGTACGATTTGCCTTCGGTGATGATTTGGAAGCAGTACTTCTTCGACCGTGATACGGGGTCGATCTCTGCAGCATCTATGACCTGGGACATTGGAATGATTTTGACAGCCGAGTATTCCTAGGAGAGAAAAGGGGTGAGCATGTCAGACGATCAATATAGGCAACCAAACACCTCGCATACCTGATCATCCTTATAAAATCCAAGGCTTTTAGGACGTGCAACCACCCAGAATCGATTCCACTGCCGGACGCCACCCTTAAGTCGCAGACACTGAAGATATCCTTGACAGACAACCCGCTCTGGGTCGCGACGCGGGCCCAGGTCCAAACTGCGACCGAGGTCCTGAGGCAATGGCGCGAGCTTGTCATCCTCAGCTGCGACAGACAGGTCATTGATCGAAGAGATAGACCGAATTTTGGCGCTAATGGAAGGGCCGTCCGACCAGTCCGAGTATGATGTGATTTCGTTTCCAGAGTAAGGTTCTTGCGAGTAGGCTATGCGCCGAGGGCGGGCATTGGGGGATAAAGTCCGTCTCATCTCGGGGGAGCTTACCGGCCCAGCATGGTCAATGTCCGAATAATCGCTCAAGTCATCGATCGGATGCTTGTGCTTATGTCTGTGTTTGCTGTTTTGGGAGGTTGGTTCGCGTTTCTTATTTATGGCAGCCAGGAAGGCCTCCTCGTCCTCATCGACTCGGGTCTCCGCGCGTATCTTCCCCATCCAATCTTCAGCATCGGTCTCCGAAGACGCTTGAAATCGATAGTTCTTGGACGGCGAGAAGATGCCGAAAACATGTTTTCTTCTTGATCGAGGGGACTTGACGGAGGCAACCGCTGTGACTTCGGACAGGGTAATCGATGCCCGCAGGCGGGTCGCTTCTTCATCCTTGTAGACAGAGAGGAGATTTGGTCGGAGGACAAGGTAAGCTGGTTTCCACCACGCTTTGAAGGCCTAGAATTTCGAAAAAAGAAACAGAAATGTTAGATGGGTTCAAAGAGGGATAGCACGTGTATTCGACCAACACTGACATGTTTGCTCTTCACGCGACGGAAAACCTTCCCCGTCTTCAAGACGCGATCGAACTCGAAACTCCCATTCTCATTGACAGGCGAAAATGTATCGAGATTCAAATGGCCGTTGCGATACGGTACCGAAGCGAGTGGGGGACGCAAGAAAGTTGACGATTGTTGCAGGGCGCGGTCGAGGGGGATCGGTCGACTTTTGGTCTGCCCCTCAGCGGACGGTGGGGATGGACTCATCACGTCGTCGAGGGGCTCATGAGGAGCCAAAATGAAGGAAATATGACAGTTGACGTAGAAAGCACACCGTCGTGAAGGTCGAACGTAAATCAATTAGTTAAATAGGAATAAGGACCTAGAAGGCCATCCCCGTAACCGCCGGTTGGAGAGCTAGTTGCTCTGAGACGCTCTGGATTATCAACTAGTCCGGTTTCAGGCTCGATTTCTGAGGCCAGGGATAACGAGCAACTCCTGAAGCGCTTATCTTAACTCTGCTCCGGACAGTTCTGTTGGATCGGAGAAGCTTTCAATAGTCAATATTGCAGGCACGAGCGGTGTGCTCCGGCGGGTGGGGATGGGGGGTCGTCACAGATACTCAGTGGAATCTGTACCGAGTAGAATCAACTGGAGTCCTGTCATCCATTTAAACGCTGAGCATGATATACGGAGTAAAGGGGAATTGAAAACCCTGTCGATCGATGGTATAGTTAACTAATCCATGGTACTAATGATGATATCTACCTAGGTAGTTATTGGGTAACTTTGACTAGTATAAAAGTGAATTCAGCAGGTTGAACTTTAGCTGGCAGTCAACTATATACGAGGCTACATTTCAATAAGAATTCTTCTGCACAGGAAAACGGGGGGCTTATATCTATTTACAGCCGAAAATAATTCTCATACAACGTCTTTTTTTCGGTGTTTTGATCCTTCGATCAATTGGCATGATCTCTACAGCGGGCATTTAGAATGTGCCTATAAGTGGCATGTACCAAGTGGTTAACCAACTAGTTAGTAAGTACTCCGTACCTAAATAACTACCTAGGGTACTCCGTACGGAGTACTACAGTACTCTTAACAACAAAAGCTGTTTGTGGGTCTCGGTTACTCTCTGTTTAGTGATATTCCGTAGGACCCTTAGCAAGATACCAACAAGCGACACGCCCCTATACGAAGTACTCCTAGTTAGTAGGTACCTTACCTAGGTACTCTCCCAAACCACAGACTGTGATGATGTGGGTATCTAAACATACCCATACTGCCGGTTGCCAGGGGTTCTGTTCAATGCTCAGGTGACTCATCAAGTACAGCTATCTGTTATTATTACTGCCTCAGAAGAAGATCTCTTACGTGGTTGCAGTTATATCCAGATTAAATATTAGGGGCGGTCCAGACCCGTTCAGGCCACTTTGGCGGATACTAATAGTCTGAAAGGAGGTAGGTCACGTGGGTGCCACTCATTATTACCGTTTTATTAAACAGCTGCTTGTGGGGACTCGGGATAATTACGTCCACGTATGGCCTGATACACGGCTCTGTATCCAAAAGAAGAGATTGACCTGCCATGCAGGGTTTTTGTCTACCTCCTCCTACGGAGTCCCTATTGCCTTAGTAACCTACTAGGTAGGCGCCTAACCGTCCTAAGTAACTACTACTAAGTAAGGTACGGTACTGCTCTTTTTATAGAACAGACAGGTACGGACCACGGAGTACTTTGTAGCAGTCCTATCCCTCTCTACCAAGTACGTATGAGAGTTAGGTAGTTGATTATGAGCTAACTAACTAACAAGTACACTACTACATATATACTACCTAGATCTAGATTCTATGGAGTACTACCCCTGATTAAGTCTGAGTAGTTGTAATCTGGTTATAACTGATAACTAGTAGTGAACAATAGAGTAGTTATTACCAGGTACACCTACCTAGGGAGTCACTATGTAGTAGTAGTAGTAGTAGTAGTAGTAGTAGTAGTAGTACTCTGTAACGCTCTTCTACAGGCTTTCGGTAATAATAAACCCAGTATGAGCTCCATTAAGTACGGTCAAAACAGCCTATACTCAGAGGGTTTCGATCTCCTCGATACTACTAAGGCACCTTTACATGTCACAGATGAGTACCTTCTACCATCACGTGTATAACTACCCTTTGAGGCTTCAATTATTAATATCTAGTAGAGAAATATGTTCCATAAACAGGGTAGTGAAACACGGAAGACCTTCGGTAGACGTTGAGGCTCGCCGTGCTGTTGGTACTGGCGTGCCCTGGGAGTAAAATTACACACTGTCTCGGTGTGACCAGTGACCACAGCCGTCTGCCGCTTGCGCCTCCCTGGTCTTGGCAAGACTCCTTCCAACCCATCCCCAAATTCATTCTTCGCCAAAGGCCATCTCTGCCTCCCTCCGCTTTCCCATCATCCCCGCCATTTCAACTCCGACTGATGTTTGTCCATCGTCGGATTCCCGACTCTGTCGTTTGATTTAGGCTCCGATTCCCTTCGTCGCCTGCCGGCCCTCCTTCGGTCGCCTGGTCTCTGGCTGAGAGGGAAGTTGGGGAGAAAGGAGGCGTTCCTCCGGCCACTCGTTATCGCTATTCTCTCCCTCGAGTTGCAATTCGGGCCCTCGGTCTTCCTTCCCGGTCATCGCGCAGCGGATTAGGAGGCGCTCGTCTCTGACTTTCTGCTTGCGTGCTGACCTGTTTTGTGCTGTGCCCACAGCTCTTGTCGTCGACAACAGTGTCCTTTTGGATGCTGCGGGTGCGTACTCGGGTCTGAATAGCAGTCCCTTCACCCTTCCTCTGCTCTGCAATCGTACAGAACTCTTCGTTATCCCGCGCCGATGAGCTTCATTCAACGAGTGACGAAGCGGCTGCCTTCGGCGCCAAGTCTACCCCTAGACGACACACCGCGTGAAAAGGGCCGCATACCGAGCAGATTTGCCTTCTTCAGGCGAAGAATACGGTTGAAAGGGAATTCCTCCATCTCGATACCCTTGGGATTTGTGCTATTATTCCCATGTTTGGTGATCATCCTTATTTTATTACTTTTTATCCGTCATCCCTCCTCTTCGGGAGGTATCCTGATCCCTGCAGGCACGCCTCCTTCTATAAGGTTCGAGCTTCTCTTCTCTTCTATTTTAATCGATTCAAAAAAAAAAAAAAAAAAAAAAAACTAACATGTTATCTCTCTCTCTCTCTCTAAATAGAAAAATCAGTGAAAAGTATGACAGGGTCTTTGCCACAGGTTGTCGCTCAATTGATACCAGCACACCACGAGCAAATGCTGCATTTGTTGTTCTTGCTCGAAACAAGGAAATCGACGGTGTCGTCCAGTCCCTGAAATCAATCGAGCGGCACTTCAACCGGTGGTGGCACTACCCTTACGTCTTCCTAAACGATGGCGACTTCGACCAGCAGTTCATAGACACCGTCAAGAACTACACCAGTGGGCCTGTTGAATTCGGTAAAATTGACGATTCCATGTGGGGTTATCCTGACTGGGTGGACCATGAAGTTGCAAAGGAAGGAGTCCGGAAGCAGGGAGATGCCGCTATTATGTACGGTGGAATGGAGAGCTATCACCACATGTGCCGTTTCTATTCCGGGTAAGTGTCGCCGTCACCGTCTCCGTTTTACAATACTGTGTGCTTATACATATTCTAGTCATTTCTATAACCACCCTCTCCTTCTTAAGTACGAATGGTACTGGCGCCTGGAGCCCGAGATCAAGTACTTCTGCGACATTACATAGTGAGTCCAGTGCCCGCTTCCTGATCGGAAAGTTTTAATCCCAATCTTACAAATTATGAAAATAGTGACCCCTTCCTCGAAATGATCAAAGCCAACAAGACATATGGTTTCACTATCGCTGTGAAAGAGCTCCGCGAAACGGTTCCGAATATCTTCCGATACGCTTCCGCCTATAAGCGCAAGAACAACATCGAATCCCAGGGTCTCTGGGAAATGTTTTTGGAAAAGCGCGAAGAAGAGGATGAGACTAAGAAGGAAGAGAAGAAGGAAGAGCCGCTCCCCGAAGAGATCCTCATGTCCGAGCCCGGCCAGAATTCCATTCCAGATGTTGATCCCGAGGCCATGGAAGGTGAATCCTATAACATGTGTCATTTCTGGAGTAATTTCGAGATTGCTCGCCTCGACTTCTTCCGAAGCAAGGCGTATCAAGACTTCTTCGAAATGATGGACCGAAGCGGCGGCTTTTGGATGGAGAGAGTAAGTTTTTACCTTGTTCGCTCCTGGGTGGCGATGATAAACCTTGCTAACTGACGATCTCTTCTAGTGGGGTGATGCGCCTATTCATTCCCTCGCGGCTGGTATCCTTCTCGGTCCTGGCGATATCCACTATTTCCGTGATTTCGGTTACCGGCACACCACCATCCAACACTGTCCCGCCAATGCCCCCGCACGCCAATTACCTCGAGTCCCATGGCTAGAAAAGACGACAGATGATGAGAAGAAACGGGTTGAAGAAGATGAATACTGGGCCAATCCCGACCCCGTCAAAGAGAATGGTGTCGGCTGCCGCTGCCGCTGTGACACGGATATTGTTGATGTGGAAGGCAAGCAGGGCAGTTGCCTGGTCGAATGGGTCGATGTTGCGGGAGGATGGGCGTCCCCTTGAGCCCGACACAATTTAATGCCTCTCTCCGTGTTCATTGTATCATCTTCCCTTCGTCTCCCTACCTATTGTTCAGCCATTGAGCATCAGTCGGGTTGCCTTTGGAGTTGTTTGTTTGGCTTGCCATATTTCGTGCTGGCCCATGGGATGCTTCCGGACGGCGTTCAACGGATCTGACGGCTGCATTACACAAGACAGTGTGACCATCTTCATCAATCTCTACAAATTCATTCAGCATGCCCCTTGTATTTTTTTATCTTCCATTTGGATTACTCTGTCCACCGTTGTATCTGCCTTTGGGGGGAAGAAGGTGGAGGGAAAACCCCCCCTTTTTCTCGACTTCACACGAGTCTAATGTTTGATGAGAATTTCACCTGCTGCCGTCTTTCTCGATTGTGGATATTTCTATTCCCATTCGCAATTGATGAGCCTGATGCCAAGTTGGTGGATGCGATCTGCCGTGAGCCCTCATTCTTTTCCTCTCGTTACCAGGCAGCTTGCGAGAGCGCGCCTACGGAAATCCAACATCGATATGCAGAATTTGCCTGGTCTTTGCTGGCTCGAGAGAGGAGGATTTGTGGTCTTCTTCCAGTTTCGCCATGCCCCATTTCCATTACTTTGTTTGTTTCTCTATTTGAATCCTTGCCCTAATTGTTTTTTTTTTTTCCCTTCTTCTTCTTCTTCCCTTTTCGCATCTGTCATTGAACCATCAGACCCTGGTCCTCTTCAATATCATTCCATCAGATGTACATAATCATACGCCGGATAAACGGGCTGCCTGACACAATGACACGCTTGACATGCTGTTGATAGAGTACGGGCGCCTCTGGATCAGGGAAACAAGTCTAATAGAGTCATTTCATGTTCTTTTATTCCAGAATTCCAGTATCAAAGTTATACACCTTTATTAGCTTACAGAGTACACACCGTCACTACGTGGTGATCATCACAACCTGAGGCAGATGGACCCACGGAAGGTCTGGCAGGTACCCAGACTTAGCTGTATCTGGTCTAGCATCGTATCCGGAGTCCTATCGCGGTCTGAGAATACGTCCGATAAGGCCCATGGGGTGATACGTGATACGGGCTTGAGGTCATGGAGAGCACAGGGCCAGCGACCGAGTAAGAGCAGAGAGGAGCTAGATAGAGAGAGGAGGAGAAGGGGGAGGCAGAGGAGGAGGCATGCCTCCTAGGCAGCGTCCATGCGGCAGCCTACAGCCAAACACTCGTCATGTGCCCCGCGTATGACTGCCTTTCCCGCCCTCTCCTGGTTGTGCCTCTTATCAACATTGTCGTCCCTCGGTCGTCACCACAAGACATCTTCATCAGGTCAAGGCAGGAAAATCGATAGGTCCTTCTCTCTTCCTATCGTTTTCACTTGACGTTCCTCGAACCGCTTCGGCGCTGGCAAACGCCTCCCCTCTCAAAGTAAGTACCAACACTTTCCCGTCTCCCCCGCGATCCCACGCCCGCCCGATCATCGGGCACATTCGATACTCGACATAGTTGCCTACGTTGTCAACAGAGTACTTCCTTCCTGCCTGTTACTTTTTTTTCCATGAAAACGATATTCATCATTCTTGGCAGTGAACCCTCTTTTCTTCTTAGATGAATGAGCTTATTTGTTGATTCTCTTGCCGAGAGCTTTACTCCTTCAACTACTTCCATCCTTTCCACTTCCAATGATCATTCCAACTGCCCAACATCATGGCTGACCGTCCACGGCAATCTTCCAGGCCTCCCTCGAATCGGAGGGACACCCCCCATCTTCAGTACCCGACCTTCCCTCCGCTAAGTGCTTCTGTTGAGGAGTGGCTGTCTCGGTCGCGTCCTGCAAACATGACGTCAACCCGTCATCCTGATGGTCTACATCCGCTGAGCGAGAGCTGGGCAACGCTGAGCACATCCGACACTCACTCGGAGGATGGTGCTCCATCTGAGCAGACGGATGTGGGTTCTTTGATTGACCAGTCCGGCCCAGATGATGTTGCTAGCCTCGATGGGCGGTTCAGTAGTAGTGAGGCGGACGCCATCGACGAGGACGAGGACGACGATAACGATAATGATGATGATTATGAGGATGAAGATGAGGATGAGGATGATGGGAGAAGCAGTTTATACGAGTCACAGAACTTGTCTGCACCTTTCCCCACGGGCGAAGATCCGATCCATGAGAGCCATCTCTCGACCGAGACTGCTTTCTATCGGTCGACCGATTCTATCGAGTTCGTCGAGCCAGAGAAATGGCCGGAGGCCGATAAAGTGGAGTTGAAGCACACAATCCAGGTCTTTGAAGGCGCTGAAGCATCTGAACTCAAGAAGCGGCTGCCGTATAATCTTCGAGATTCCTTGCTCACGGTCACTATCCAGCAGACCATGACCAAGCAAAGCCTCGAAGTCGATCAGCCATTCCGCGTACTGTACCTGGGAAACCCGGAATTCCGCAACATTATCCTTGACAAGATTGGAGACGTACTTGTCTCAAGCTCCTGCAGTAGCTATGAAAGCAGCTCGGCCGAATCATCGAGATACCATGTTGTGCCCACCTCCTTTGGTGCAGGGGCCATCCCGAACTTCGCAGAGCTACTGCCTATCCATGTCCAGCTTATTGTGGATGAGTGTGTGGACGCCTCAGAGGAACCTCAACTTGACAAGCCCAACAACGTGACTTTGCATTTTAAGAACCGGCCTTCATGTTCTTCGTCCTGGACTGACATGGAATATTGTATCTCATCTTCGACTGAATGGACGTTACCAGATGTGGCCATCTTCTTCATCTCTACAAATGATGATGAACATGCCGTGAGGATTCAAAATCTGGCGCGAACTTTCATGATGAGACACGGCACACCGGTCATAGTCATCTCTGAGGCACCTCTCTGGACCATGACAACTGAGTTGACACCCATCAACCACCATAGCCTTCACATGTGCATAGAGTCTCGCAATCCCCTCACTGGAGAGAGTGCTGTACTTCGCCGTTACCCGATTGATATCAAGACCTTTGAGAGCATCACTCCAAGACAATTGAATAGAAACCTGGCCTCGCTGGCGAGCCTCTACCCGAAAAAGACACCCAAAGTTGCCGCAAAGAGTCCCACATACCCCCAACCTGACCGACTCTTTGATGCCGAAAAATATCCTAAAAACATGAAATTCTCCTCCATCTCGAGTCGTGCCCAGGAAATGGCCCCTGTGTTACGCCTTGTTACCCTTTTCCTTATTTCCATAGTGGTCACATCTCTGGCTCTTACGGCTTTCAAGGCTGGCAGTGTGCTTTTAACCCAGCAGTGGACCCAGAACGGCACGACTGATGTTCAATCTTTTCCATCGGGGCCTCCCAAGCAAACAGCGCTCTCTATCAAAACCTCTTACCCGGTGGACCAAGCCCAGCTATCAACCAAGGATAAATGTCAATCGAAGGCGGAGGAATTGATGAGCCTCTCGCTGTCTCCGCACGATTTGCAGAAAAAGTCGGACGACTTCAAAATCCAAGTTGTGGGAGATTGCCATATTATCATCAAGACGCCCCATGGGTTCCCGACTAGAAATAAACGGCCTGGATTTAGCGTCTCTGTGAGCCGCCGAGACATAGTGCTCCCATATGAGCTATCTCGACTGTTCGACGGGGTCTATGCCTTAAGGCTCGAAAGAGAGCAGGCGCATGGTCTCGTTAATGTCACTGTCAAGACGAGTGCAAGGCCACCCGTGGAACAGACTGCGCAGTTAGATTTCGGTACACCTTGGTTGAAGATTGAGAATTGGAAACGGGCTGCTCAGATCGTCTCATCGCAGCTAACAAGGGACATCAGCATTGCGCAAACGGGAATTGTTGAGGCATACGGTCGCATCTGCACCGATCTACAGGTGTTGATGGGGGATGCGGTCAAAAGATCGCACTTTCTTCGGCATGAAGCAGAGCTTCTGAGTCGCGGATCAATACAGCGAACTATGGAAACCCGGGATGCCGTCCTGTCTAAGTCTAAGGAGCTTTCGGAAGTTGTGAAGCGTACCGCGGTGCAGCAATTCCAATCTGCTTCGTCCGTTTTACACGGCAAGGCCAATCGAGAAAATCGTGATGCCACTCAGGTGATCAGCAAGACCTGGAGACAACTTAGTGACTCGGCCCAGCGCGTAGACCTCAGGCCATGGATGGATTACTTCCGGAAGATGGAAACATCGAGGATCCTGGAGAGAGCGCAGTTGCAGGCACGAAGTTTGGTGCTCGGGAAGTCTCTCGAAGATGAACACTGACTGGTGGCAGTCCGCAGGTTGTAATCTTACTCTTCTCTTCTCCTTGCTTCATTTATTTATTTATTCGCAACGGTCAAGTCACAGTGAAGGAGGGAATAGGCTATTGGGTCGCAAGAAGGATGTCATTTTCAATATGTCTTTGATGTTCACCTGGCGTATAGCTCAGTCTTTCAACATATCAAATTACATTTGCTTCCCCTCCCCCAAAAAAAAGCAAAAAGAGAAAGAAAACCTATAACACAGATAATGTTTATAAGTGCCCTGGCAGAATTCTCCCATCAGAACAAAAACATGACAAGAGTGGGATTTGAACCCACGCCCCTTTCGAGACTGGAACCTTACTCCAGCGCCTTAGACCAACTCGGCCATCTTGCCTTGTTGTATGAAGCACGATTATGTATTTATATAAACTAAATTCAATCTGAGCAAAACAGATTCACTAGCCTAATGCCTACAGAACTTGCTTTTCTCGATACTATGGTCAGAAAAACAAAGCAGCAGAGCAATAGATCTATGTTTTGGATCTTAAGCCTTCTACAAGGCGGTGGCAGTAGCGGCCAGAGGCATGAAGGGCAAGGCAAGGCCAGCCACAGAGAGAGGGGGCGTTTTTGCCTGCGGCGAGGAGAGCGCCGGCCTTACCCACCCTATATTTTTCAAACCCCTCCACCACCCCCCACCCCCCAATCGGTCGATCGCCACAAACAAAACCTACACGCGACCTCGATCCTACGTTCCGAGCAGACATTTCACCGTCCTCGAACTTCTTTCAAACAACCCGTCTGATCGCCTCCAGAAAAAGAAAAACCGTTCTGCATCATGTCTGACGTCGCCGAAACCAAGCCCGACCCCACCACCAACGCTCCTGAGGGGTCCTCTGAGGCCGCCGCCGTTGCGGAAGAGACTCCCAAGACGGAGGAGACCAAGTCCGTGACGGAGACGGTCGTGGAGGCAGCCAAGGACTCTGTGAACAAGACTACTGACAACGTCTTCTCCATGTTCGGCGGTGGCCCCAAGAAGGAGAAGAAGGAGACGGAGGATGCCGTGAACGAGCCATCTGGCTCTTCCAAGGCGCAGAAGGCTGAGGGCGATGAGGTGAGCTTGGTCTTTTTTTTTATATTATCATTCCTTTTTCTGCCGTTGTCGATTGTCTTGATTCTTCAGACGGAAGTTATCTTGCGGGATTTATATGTTATTTTGTGTTTTTTTGTTTTGGGGGTGTTTTTTTTTTCCTTTCTTTTTTCGCTTTCCATTTTCAAAAGAAATATCTAACCATTCTTTGCTATAGGAGGAAGCTCCTGAATCCCCCGAAGTCCACTTCGAGCCCGTCATCCATCTTACCGAGAAAGTCGAGACCAAGACCAACGAGGAGCTCGAGGAGCAGACCTTCAAGATGCGGGCCAAGCTTTTCCGCTTCGACCGCGATTCCAAGGAGTGGAAGGAGCGTGGCACTGGTGACGTGAGACTGTTGAAGCACAAGGAGAACCAGAAGACCCGTCTGGTCATGCGCAGAGACAAGACCCTCAAGGTTTGCGCAAACCACTACAGTAAGTTTCTAGACTCGCGATTTCTCCGGCGGCTGAGTGAAGTTCCTGCTGACCATCACCCTCTAGTTGTTCCGGACATGAAGCTGGCCCCCAACGTTGGTAGTGACCGCAGTTGGGTGTGGAACGCTGCCGCGGACGTGAGCGAGGGTGAACCTGAGGCTTCTACTCTTGCCATTCGTTTCGCCAACAGTGAGAGTACGTTTTCAGCCTCCTCCTCCCCCTCCTCCCCCTCCTCCTCCTCCTTCCCTACATCTTTGATGCTAACTGCCCCTTCTCCCTATAGATGCCAACCTCTTCAAGGAAGCATTCGAGAAAGCTCAGCAGGCGAACCAGAAGCTTTTTGAACAGGAGTAAAGAGCTTTTTTGGCCATGACCTCCACGTGCCTTCTAACGAGCCTTCATTCATGTGACGTCCATGAACCAACCATCCAACCCCCTCACCCGCCTGTCTCCCCTGCCCCAACATGAAATCCACCGAGCACCTCATTTTGATCTTTAATTGGATCCTTTATGTCCCCATTACACTCATCCCCTACACGTTGACGACAGAAGGAATGTATGAAAGGTGTTGCTCGCGGTATACCCGTATAGTTTTGTCTCATACCACAGAAACGAGGGTTGCCAGCGACTACAGCCGCTTACTCAAGAAGCACTCAGCAGTAGATAGACACATCACAATGAATATATGCATGAAATACACAGGCATTGGTTTGAATTTGTAGAAAGAGACTACTATACTAACCACTATGCCAGCCAGGTATCCGTTGCAACCCAGCCAGATCTCACGAAAGGTATAGTATATTAGAAATACAGAAGAGCCAAAATCCTATAACTACTGTAAATAATATCCACAATGTTGCTTCGTAGGGCTGAGCCTATCAACAGGTTTCGTCTGATGCCCGCGCGGGATGTCAAAGAGTCAACTTCGTCCACGCGCAGACCCCACTCAGCATTCACCACGGGCCCTTGGGATCTTCCCTCATCTTTCCCTTGACCAGCACAATCAATCATTATTTGAACTACTATCGCGGCCTGCCACTTCTCCAAGTAGTGACACCTGCACTAAATACTCCAATCAGACTTATTCTTACATCTCTCTCACTTGCCTCTCGCAGCGCGCGCCGCGCTCCCGGGGGTCGCTCGTTTTAGCTTCGCTTCCTCGCCTCCGCGTTTGGATCGTGCCCAAGCTCTCCCAGCTTCGCTCGCCTTCTTAATCGATACTGAGAGACGCCTTTTGCTGCTTTTCCCACCCCTAATTAGTTCCGCCCGCCCTTGCAAGCCAAGTGGCCAAGATGCCTGATGTGAGTTTTTTTTTACAAACCCTTGCCAGTCTAGAAGGATTGCGCGGGTTGTGCGCTCTACCACAGGTGCTGACAGTCTCGCCGCTTTTTAGGTCAAGAGAACAGTCCGGCTGGTGACCGAGCAGCATGTCATGTATGTTGAATCAACCCCTATTGTCTTGAAACCTACGCTCGGCGTGCGCTCCGTTTACCCTCCCCTCCCCCCCTCCTCCCCGTCGCCGCCGCCGGCCATTCATCCATCCACCGCGTAACCACGACCGATACATATGACCTACCTACATTCACTAATACACGGATGCCATATACTATAGAAACAAGGACTCTGGAGTCGAGGGTTTCCCGCTGCGGTCATGGTCTATTGAGATCTATGTCTTGAACGAACATGGCGAGCAAGTGCCTGCTACTGTGTTCAGCAAGGTGACTTATAGCTTACACCCTAGCTTTGGCGACAAGGCTATTCAAAGTAAGTCTTTTATCCCCCCCCCACCCCTCTCCTGGCTTTGACATTCTCGATGATACGGAATCAAGCTGACCCACTTCTTCTCTCACCCCCTTTAGCCTTCAAGAACCCTCCGTTTCGAATTCAAGAAGAAGGATGGGGTGAATTCGACATGCAGATCTCTCTCACGGCTGATAAGGAGCACTCTGTCACCCATGACTTGAACTTTGCGCTACCACGCTACGAGTCCAAGCACGTCATTGTATGTTTCTTTTCCCCGTTTCCCCGTGAAACATGTTGCATCCAATCTATCTAGCCCCTATAAATAACCGTGCTAGACATTCAAAAACCCCAAGCCTGCCTTACTCGCCCTCCTGCGAGAATCGGGCCCGGTCCCCGGCGATGAGAACGGGGTCAAGTCGAAACGCGCCGCCGGGGGCGAGGAGAGCGCCAAGAAGAAAAAGAAGGTAGAGAAAAATGTCCGTTTGCTTCTGTTCTAACCCTACCACCCCCCCCCCCCCCCCCCCCCCCCCTGGTCCAGTTTGATATAACGGTTTTGATTACTGTTTCTGATACAAAGCTACAGGTTGATATGGATAAGCTGGCGGACGGTCTGCAGAAACTGGGCGAAGATGATCTCCTCCAGGTGGTCCAGATGGTACATGATCACAAAGCTCCGGACTCGTACACCAAGAACGATGTTGAGCGTAAGTCTTTTGCCCCCTTAAAAAAAAACTTGAAACCCCAAGATTTTGAACGAAAGCAACTGATAAACCCTACAGAGGGCGAGTTCCATGTAGATCTTTATACCCTACCTGACAGTCTGATTAAGATGTTATGGGATTTCACGCAAGAGAAGGGTGCTCTTTAGTTTTCTTACGTTTTTTTTGAATACATTAATCTGCTCGACACATTTACGTAGTCTTTCTTCTCTTTGCTCGGTATTAAGTAATTATTACTTGTATTTTCGTCAAGAGAAAAAAGAAAAGTCTTGAGATGAACCATGTCTAATACAAACGAAAGGGGATATCGAGATCTATCCTAACCCGCCACCAGAGAACGCCGACAATGCAAATCTAGAGAAAAGAACTTATAAAACGCGGTGTCTAGTAGAATGTTAGCATTACAATACTTTTCACTTTTCAACCCCCAGAAATTGGCAGACATACAATTTGAGTAAATCCTCCAGACTTTCTGCACTGCACGGCCTCCCCCTAGGAATCTGCCTAGGGATATCGACCAGGGTAGCTGTGACGTCGCCGCCGCGGTAGGCCAGCAGGGCGGGAGCCTCGATGTTCTCCATCTCGGCGATTTCGTGATGCAGCTTGATGAAGCGGGTGGCTGGGTTTTTGCGAGCCACGGTGTGTAGAGAGTCTTCTACGATTCCGGACGTATTTGACTGTATTTAGTTAGTATGAGTATGTCGCTCGTTATGAAGAGAGAGAGAGAGCGTACGTCAGGATCATAGATGCAGACGACAACAGTCACGCCGGAAGGCGACCGCTCGACGGCATCGAGATACCCCGCCGCATCGACGATCTCGACAGACCCGAACATCCTCCGCCGGGGGCTGAGATGGCGGGTATTTGTCTTCTGAAGTTCCTGCATGCGCGACTCGCGCCACTTGCGCAGGAAGCTCTCCTCGTCCTCCTCTGCAGAGCTGTGCGGGGAACCCCCGTCCCGGCCGCGATTAAGCGGGGTGGTATCTGTTTCCGGGATGGGGGTGGGTTTGGACGAGGAATGGAACTGGTCGAAGCCAGTGACGCTGAGCAAGGTGCGGCGGAAGGACCGCTTGCGAGCCCGTTCAAAGGCCTGCGCATCGGCGATCACTCCCTTGGGGCCCGTGTTGGCGTCGTACACCGTGTTGGGGATATGGTAGGCGGTCGAGCGGGAAACCATTGCGTCGTTGTTATGGTGGTCGTGGTGGTGATCGTCGTCGTCGTCTTCGTCGTCGGAATGAACGTACTGGTTATGTGTATCGTCCTCGGGTTCAGAGTCCGTGTGGTCAGAGTGGTGGTCACGATCTTCCGGATGACTCGATACTCTCTCTTTCTGGACGAGGGCGTCGAATTCGTCTTTGGCGGAACTCATCGTGAGAAGGCGGGGGGAGGGAAGATCTAACCCAAGATATATAAGAACTCGAAGGGAGGGTGGGCCAAAGGGTGCTGATGCGTCAAAGAGGGGAGCGCCGAGGCTGATCCCGCCTCCAAAAAAAAGAAACAAAAAAAAGTGAGAGGAACCCGGCAACACAGCCCTATAGGCAATGGCAATGGTGACTGGGGTGGTGACTGGATGACGAACAAGTGAAGAAGTTCGTGTTTCAAGACAAGTGTATGTGCGTTTAATCCCCCCTGAACCAAAAGAATCGCATGAGCACACGAGCGGAACGAACCACAGAAGAGTGATCGGCGTTTGTACCAGCGAGTCGGCGAGATTGGAAGTATCGAACGTTTGCTTCTTTGGGATGGGCGCTGGGAGAGAGAAGGGGGGGGGAGGGGAAAGGATGGGAAAGGAAGAGAGGAAGACACCAACACAAAGAAGATGGATGGCCTGGCACTGCCCAGGGCCCACCACGTGTGCCGGACTCGCACCAGATACGCAAACCCCTGGTGCTGTTTCAGGATAGGATGGCGAGTCACCGTTTCAGAACCCGCGGCTTTTTTTCTTTTCTTTTTTTTTGGCTTCGAGTTTTTATGGAGTAAGTCTTACTCCGTAGGTTCTTCACAGCATGTATGTAGTAGCAAATGTAGATCTCGGTTACCTCCGAGTCTCCAAACTGAAGTTAGATCATCTCTACCCCAAGAGTTCGGAGAAAAGGGGTACGGAGTAGTAGTTGGTTAAAGTCTGGCACCTGCAGCTTGCATCGGACTCACGTGGACGCAGACTCTTAGTAAACCACTCACGTCTCACTACACACTCGACTCAATACTCCGTACGGAGTATGCAGTGTCCACTGTCCACGTCCACCGTCACTGTCTGCGGTAGAAACTTGTTCCTGATCGAGTCGGTCGAGCGGCCCCTTGTTCACCGTTTAACGTTTATCTGAAAGATCGCCCGTTGCTCCAAAAAAAGACCACCGAGATCGCTCTATAACTACGGGTCTGTACGCAGATAAGAGCCATGGTGGATCGGATTTAATCTCTTTGAAACCTGGCCTGAAGCAGCCATCAGACATCACGTCATGGATACGCCGTTAGTTGCAGGTGTAGGGCGTACGGACTCGGAGTATGCTGATGTGACTGACTGACCGACTGACCGACTGACCGACTGCTCCACTCAAGTAGTGTTCAAGTGCCATAACAACTTACCGCCAGTGTTACTCTACTCCGTACACAGTACATACAAAAAAAAAACGGATCTGAGCATCGAACACTTGCACGGTATCGCTAATCTGTCAAAGACGAGTAGTGGGTTGTCAAAGTGCCAACAGAAGAGAAAAGAAAGAGCCGGCTGCCAAGGGCAAGACTCTCGTCAGTATTCAACACGGATTGATTGATTAGTAAGAAGAGGTTAGAGGAAACCGCAAGATAGCCAAAAGCACATATAGGGAGGGGGATAAAAAGAGAAGAAAAGAAAAAAAGGGGAGAAAAGAAACAAAGGGAGAAAGAATTATCATAGCCTATCCGGAAAACAAAAACCTTCCCTCCCCACCATCGCCAACAGAATTACATGCAGAGATCAATGCGTGAAAGGTAAACCAAAGTCAGGGACAACGAGGGGGGGGGAAATGGGGGAAGAAGAACAAGATGGAGGAGATCATCGAGAAGAAGCGAAGAGAAAATAAGACAGGTATATGAAGAGAAGATAATGAACCAGAACCTCAGTGTACTTGAATCGTCGTGAAAAGAAGAGAAAACAAACCTGCCTCGGGAAAAATAAGTAGAAACAGGAAATAGAAAAAAAAGGATCAAGAGGTAAAAAAAAAAAAAGGTTGAACGACGGCATACGCTTAGAAGTATCCATTAAGACCACATAGCGGGCCAGTACGTTCCAACTTTCGATGACTCGTCAGATCACAGTGTCTATCAAACACCAGGCTTTTTGTCGTGTTCTTTCTTTTATTTAATTTTTTTTTCCCGGCCATGAATATCCATTTTCAGGCAAAGCATGCTTCGGATGCCGCGGGCAATGATCTAACCGGTGCAACCGACCCTTCCAACTCGCTCATGGGTATGTTGTGGGTGTGTCTGTGTGATGGTAGGGGGGGTATAGGAGAAGGGCGGTTTATGCTGTCACGCGGAATCCCTCTGAAATGGCATGGAGATCGCATAAAGCCCGGCGAGCAATCCGTCGGGAGATGGAGAAAACAAGGAGATTATCGTACAGTGGAGGACGTTGAACCATCGGCTGCAAAAGAAGACGAATTTTCGGGACAAGGGCGTTGCAAACGAATTGATAAACAAAGGGGGAGAGAGAGAGGTGGAGTGTAGCGAGGATTTACCAGGCCCAGACTTTGAGCTGTAGGACGAAACAGATCAGCGCGGCACATAGACAGACTTAATCTGCGGAGGTACTTACCAGGGAATCCCACGATCCAGTGCACAGACTAATGCCATCGTTGCTGACACCCAGACAGCTGACCCGGTTCTCGTGGCCGCTCAAGGAACCGACCTTATCACCACGCAGAACATCCCACACCTAAACACGCCGGGGCATCAGCGATCATGGTGATCAATACGACCAATGGAAGTTGAGAAACGACAATAACAACAACAAAAAAAAGGACATACCTTGCATTCAAAGTCATCATAACCAGCGAAAAGGAGTCGCCCAGATACAGAGAAAGCGACCGAAGTGATTCCGCACAAAACTTGATCGCTCTGGACAAGAAAGTCAGAAAAAAAGATGTCACGAGAGCGGTGAACAACCGAGAGGAGGTGGTTTACCTGGTAGATGTTGAGTTCGCGATCGGCGCGGATATCGAAGAGACGGCACGAGGTGTCATCGGAGCCGGTTCCGAAGGCATTGCCATCGGGGAAGAACTGGATGGCGTTGATGTCGGACTCGTGGCCGCCAAAGGTCTGGACGGCCTTGCCGGTACGGATATCCCAGAGCTTGGCGAAGGCGTCGCAGGCACCGGAAACGAAGATGTTCTGGTTGGTTGGGTTGATGCTAATAGACATGACGTCGCCAAGGTGATCGGCGAATTCGGTGACTTTCGAGCCGGACTCGATATCCCAGAGCATGCAGGTCATATCGCCGGAGGAAGTGATGATGCGGCGGTCGTTGATGAAGCGACAGCAGGACAGGTAGCCCGAGTGGCCTGACAGTTCGCGAGCGACGCGCGTCGGACCCTCGCGCGAGGACAGGTTGTAGATGGAGCAGATGTTGTCGAGACCACCGCACGCGACGTAGTTCCCGCTCGGGGCATAGGCACAGGTCATGACCCACGACGACCGCAGGGGAATGGCGTGGACCTTATTTGTCGTGTAGGCATCCCAGATGATGAGCTTGCCATCCTGCGACGCAGAGACCAGATGGCGGCGGTCGGTCGACCAGTGCATGGCGTAGATCTTGGCCAGATGGCCTTTAAGCGTGCGCCGGGGCTTCATTCCGATCCGCGGCAGGGCATCCGTGTGGTTTTGCGCGACTTGTCGAACTGTAAATATCACACGACGGTGCTCCGGGTCAGCAGGTGGACTGAGAAAAGAACACTCATCCATCGAACCAAAACATTTCGAAAAGAGAAAAAAAAAAAGCCTATTGACAAGACATAAAAAAAGCGAGGGAGAGAAAATGAAGAAAAAAAAAACGAAAAGAAAAAAAGAAACAACAAGTAAACGTACGAGTTGTGTCTCCTAACTCATCCTTTCTGCGCTTGATCTTATCCTTGAGACCCTCAGCCTCGCGCCTGGCGTTGGTGATCTTGGCTTGCATCTGCTCGCCGGTCATATCGGCTGCCATTGTGAAGGACCGAGCTCCGGCGAAGGAGGCGTATCAATTCGACCGGATTTTAGGGGGGGGTTGTGAGTGGGATGCCGATGATGATGGTGATGATGATGGCGGCGGCGGCGGCAGCGGTGGTGGTGGTTGTGGTGATGGTGATGGTAATTGTTGTTGTTGTTGTTGTTGTGGAGGGGGTGAGGGAGGGGAGGGGAGGGGGGCGGCGGCGAGAGTAAACGGTGATCGTAGGATGGGACGGGATCAGTCAGTATCCAGGGGGGGGGAGGAGAGAAGGAGGAAGAGAGAGGGTGAGGGGCCAGCAAGAAAGGCCGGGTGTGGACCGCGCGAGGATGGGCGGAAGCGACCGAGCGAGCAAGAGAGTTTGGGCCCGGGGCAAATAAGAGAATACTAAGCAGGAGCTGGTTAGCTTAGCAAGCAGGGGAAAGGTACAGAGGAGGACTAGGAGGACTAGGAGACTAGGAGACTAGGAGTACTCTACCTATTATTCAACCACTACTCCGTACAGGAGATACGGAGTAGTTACTGTAGTTAATTACTAGAATGATGAATTAAGGACTGTCAAATTCTGTCAAAACTGTCAAAAGAATGAACTTCGTAGGGAGTAAGGAAAATAAAAAAAATTAAAATTAAAAACGCAAACCAAACCGCCAGATGCTGGGGGGAGAACAATAGGGACAGTCAATAATAATTCACGATGGGTCAATTTGTTTAGTAGCTTCGAAGGGGAGATGAGCCGGTGGAGCAGCGACGGCCTGGGCTAGACCTAAAGCGGACAGACTAGCAGAGAAGAAAGTGAGTAATTAGGAGTGCATAGGTAGTTATTACATCTATTTACTGCAATTAATTATTTTACTATATAGTATATGTGGTATATTATAGTATATAGTATATATAATTATATAATATAATCGTTTATGCTCAGACGGTGGTACGTACTCTGTACTCAGATGTTGTAGACTGGTCAGCTATAATGAACTAATTTACTAGGCAAGGTATAACTGTCGCAAGTACTCCGTACCTAGCCTAAGGACATAACTATCTATGACAGGTACTCCGAGAAAATCACCTACCTAGAAGGTACTAGTTCAGTCTATTTCTCAAGATAAATTGAACATACATATATATATATATACATATTATTTAGGCACATTTGATCTTATTCTGTAGTTGTTCTTTTTGTTCAGGAGCTCATTGTAACACGGGGCCCCTTTTTGGTTTCGGCAGCTTAACCGGACTAATAATACCAGCTATTAAGGATCACTTGGCAGGACTTGGTTAGATCCCGGTTTCTACCTGGTAGCGTCTCTATGGATTGCCTACTTTGTTATACTACATAGTTAGTAGTTAATTCACTATGGAATACTTTAACCACCTACTCGGTACATGTGGATAATATAGGAGTAAGGTTGCTTCTTCAGTAATCAACTTATATTATAGTAATATTCAATAATAAACCCTGAGACATCTAATCATTAGATGAAATCAGGAGGCCTAGATCTACTACATATAGTTAACTATCTAGTTACTCCCTAACTAGTGTGGTAGTGTGCCTCTACGACTACCTAGGTACTAAGCTATCATGTAGGACTAATCAGCTAGAGTACTACATAGTTACTAGTATAGTAAAGCTAAATATCTATAATATTTTCTAAACTGTAATATGGGTAGATACTAATTATCTAAATAAATAGCCACCTAGGTAGCTAACTGGATATCTTTCCAGAACTACTCACCTAAACTAGCAATATATATATATATATGTTATATCTTCATAACTATAGCTGATCCTTCAATAATGCTAACAGTACTTACTAGTTAGGTGTAGAGAATATTAAAGTCATCCCTATTAACTGCACAAAGAGGAGATTATGTAGTAGGTACTATATATCCTTTAATAACTAAAAGGCTACTACGGAGTATAATCTTACCCTGATTACTTAATAGGCAAGTAAGAGCCCCTAATGTTTAGATAAAGCACTCACAAACCAAATACCTCGAAGTTTACCATCTCATGTCTGTTGATATAAAGATACCACCTAGATTGAGCTCAAGGTCGAGTGTTCTCGACATCGTCGGTGATAGTCCGGGGTTAAGCTCGCGGTTAAGCTCGCCGTTAAGCCCGAACAAGAAGATATAAATTCGCGTATTTGATTGGAATGGAGTAGGCCTGGATAAAATGTCGAGACAGCTTCGACTGTGCCGTCAAGATGACTGCGACACCGAGTCAGAGAAATGCCCCTGATATCCGTCAGTTCGTGGCAACCCTCCACAGCACCCCATACCCTGCAATCGACCCGGCGCTCGTCAAGCTTCCTTCCCCCTATGTAGTCTGCATTATCGGGGGAGGAGGTGCAGCAGGAGGGGGTCTTGCTCGGGCATACGCTCGCGCTGGAGCGTCGGGGATCATTCTCGCAGCCAGGAACCGGCAACGACTGGAAGAGGCTGCGAAGGAAATCCGGAGCATTGCGCCCAACGCCAAGGTCGTCGTTGCAGGATGCGACATCGCCTCAGATACCAGCCTCGGGGAACTGGCCACCACAACGCGCACAGAATTCAATGGTCGGCTGGACGTGGTTGTCGCAAACGCAGGCTATTCTGGGCTGATCATCGCGGATGTCCTGCAGGAGACGGCCGAGGACTGCGAGACCGCATTCAACGTCAACACCATCGGCACCTTCAACGCGGCCCGCCACTTTCTCCCGTTGTTGCTTGCGACCAAGTCGGGAGCCAAAAGTTTCCTTGCCATCTGCTCCATGGCGGCGCCGATGGTGGCGGGGCCCATGGCGCACACCCATTACTGTGTAAGTAAGGCCGCCCAGGCCCGGATCATCGAGATGATATATGAGCAGTACGCGGGCCAGGGTCTTTTCTGTGCCAGTGTACACCCTGGAGGATTGAAGAGCGAATTTGCGAAAGCAATGCCAGAAGACATGCTTCACCGTGCGTTTGGCTCTCCCTCCCTCCCTCTTTCAAGAATTCCCCCCCCTTCCAATGTCTTAACTTATCATCAGTTCTCACCGAACATCCGGATCTTGTTGGCGCATTCTGCCTCTGGTTAACCAAACCTGAAGCCTGGAGACAGAAGAAGGCTTTGAACGGAAGGTTCCTCTCCTGCAAGTGGGATGTCAACGAGCTCGAGGGGCGGTTCGACGAGATTCTCGACAAGGATCTGCTGAGGCTCCGGTTTGCTGTGAAATAGTCAGTTCCTAGTACTAGCTGGAAACTGGGAGGGTATAGGTAAGTAGTAGTAGTTAACAGTGAAGATAATTAAGAGTTGCGGTGTAACGCTTAGTTGGTGGAAGGCTGAAACTTGAAAGATGCAAGCTTTTGGGTGACCCATAATGCAATCAATTATCCTATTTGGGTAAGGTTGCTGTACCTGTATTATTACCTATACTACCAGGTACCTAATAGTATGGAGTAAGGTAACAGGTAGGTAGTACCCAAGGTACCTTAGTCTCAGATAACTATGGCCTTATAACTAGTTATGTAGTACCTAGTATCTACCTAGTATCTACCTAGTACCTATAACCTATGAAAGGTACTGGATATATAACATACTATAATTTAGTCAGAAGTTACCTACTAATAATTTGTTAACTAGTTAGTAAGTTCTCTAGTTCTTGGTAACCAAGTGTTATGGAGATCATCTCGGGAATACTCCGTCTGTAGCATCTTGATTATTTGATAGATGATATTACCAGGTAGATATCCGAGTAATCATCATATGAAAGTATCTAGTATCTTGGTAAGACTGGATTTAGTACCAAATGCTCATATGCACACCATCAGCTGTAAATGCCTGCACAGGTTCCACTTCATTCCATGGAGTTGGAACACTTTGGAGACACGCGACTATCTTGGACCCTCTATTAGTACATGCAGTACAGATGGAATAACTACAACCTAGTGGTTACTACAAGGTATATGCAGACCTCCTGCAGACTACTAGGCTATATTGCAAGTTCCAGCCATTTGGACGCTGTACGGAGTATTACTCCGAGGTATGTATGTATGGTAGTAGTACGTGTGTAACTTACTGAAATACTGAAATACAGGTGAATTTCATCGATACAGAATAAATACATCTACTGCAAGACTGATCCTGATCCTGGTCAGACACGCGACCGGGAGACCTTTACTAGTAAATTCATTATATTATTGGGTACTCCGTAGTTGGCTATACCTGCTACTAGATAACTAGGTAGTAACTAATTAATAACGGCACTACAGTCAGAATACTATATACTGCAACAAAGTTGACCCTAGCGGACCACCTACCTGTAACAATCCTTGTTATCGTAAACCATATTCCCTTCTAAGATGCTGCAGAACCACAAGTCCAAATCCCGGCCAAAAATGACGCCTGCCGAACCTCGAAACAGGTAAGTAATCTTGGTGTGTACACCTAGGTAAGTATAAGGAATACACAGCTGACCCGATCCAGCGCAAGGCGAATCCTTCCAAGTCCATTCTTACTCCACTGCACCCACGGCCCAGCGGGCGTTCAGCTCTTCAAGCCCGCCGTTGAAGAGTCCACCGGCGTTGCCCGTCTTGCAGATTCCTGACCCTCTGCCGGGTCTGCCATGTGCAGCCATCCTGTTATCTGACTGGCAGTAGGACGCTCCCTCGGCCTTATCGTCCTGGCAGGATGATTGTTCAACGAGTGATGATCATGGATAGCCGCGCCCCCTCCTCTAGTGGTGCCGCAGAGGCTGCAAGAGGCACGATTTAGCCATGATTCCCCATCAGATAGTGCCAAAGGAAGGACAGGAAGAAACTCAATCTATGATACATTAGTGGTCACGAGGGGGGTTAATATGCTGGAATGTACTACATACTAGTTAGTTATATCATAAGTATCGAGTATATATATATACTAGGATCTGCAGTGTGCCGGCAGGATTTCCTCTTGGATAACTACACTGATATCAATAGCTATATAAAATGCTACACATTCTCTTCCGTGAGCTCAAGCTGTGCTATGGCTTCGTGCGCCGTGATCTGGGAACAGGCATGCTGCCTGTTCCTGGCTTCACCCTGGCATCATTACTCTATCGACAGGCCTCGACGGAGGAGATAACCGCAACAATCCCAAGTACGACTATACCTACCTACCTACCTATACTTATCCCTCACTTATGCCCCCTTCTAACACCTCCCCCCCAGAAGCCTTCCTGTACGGGTTCCTCTACCTGTACACCTTCGTGGTATCCAACCAGATCACCGGCGTCAGCGAAGACAAAATCAACAAGCCTGACCGACCGATTGCCTCAGGCGCCGAGTCCGTGACAGCAGCCAAAACGCGGTACTGGATCCTCACGGCGTTGTACCTGGCGTACGGGACGTATCTGGGCGCCCCCGAATGGACCCTGCTGTGGATTGCGACCACCATCGCACACAACCCGCTCGGCTTCTCCAACTTCGGCCCGACCAAGGATCTCTGCATGGGTCTCGGCTGCATTGCTCAGCTCAAGGCGGCGTGGATCATCGGCGGTGCGGCGCCGGAGATGGGCTGGCACTGGATCAAGGTCATTACACTGTACATGCTCTGGCCTATTCCGCTGCAGGACCTGCGTGATGTTCCGGGGGATAAAGCTGCGGGGAGACGGACAACCCCTATTCTCTTGGGAGACATGCCGGGTAAGTTCACGTCTTAGCAAGGAGTTTAGATGAAACAATGTTGACCTTTCAGCTCGCATTTATATCTCTGCAGGAATCATCGTCTCGCAGTTCATTCTGATCAAATACCGTATCCTCGAATACCGCTACGACTCCTCCACCATCGCCCTCTCCGTCCTGCTCGTCCTGATGACCATCGGTTGTGTCGTGCGGCTTTTCGCCTTCCGCTCCTTGACCAGCGACCGCTTCTCCTACTGGCTTTACACCGTCATCTACGTCTTTCAGCCGTTGTCGGCGTGTATTACCCTGCGTTGAGTGGAAGAACACTGGTATATACTTTGGTAGTGTCTACTGGATAAAAGTAAATGATTTCTGAGAGTAGATGAGGGTGGTGAGCTTGGGTAGTATATACTTTGTTATCATATTAAACAAATGGTTAGCTGTCAAATCAAAACTGTTTATCTCTGTTCATGACTAGGTGCTTCCTCGAGTAACCCCACGTGCAAGACATCTGTCTCTAGGGGTAACTGCAACGGGACCATCTGTCTCGTCTGCCGGAAATGCGTGCTCGCGTAGCGGAGGTACGCCGCAAACGTCCCCGGTTCGTTGTCCTTGTCGCTATTTTTCGGGTCGTCCCATAGATCAGCTAGGGCCTCTAGCTCGCCCGGAGGTCCGTGGGAGAGCTTCATGAAAGACGTGTTGGCCACCATGTCGTTGACGATCTCCTCGGCCCGCTTGTAAACTTCATCGCGGACGAGGGGGGGAACGGACCCGTCGCTGTCTTCCCGCTTGACGCTCAGGAGCTGGAACTGCTCGCCACCCTTCCACCCGGTGCATTTCTGGAAGTAGTACATCTCCTGTAGCGCGGGGAACAGATACATCTTCTCCTGATAGTATTTGGGCCCATTGAATCCATCGCTGGGATCAACCAGCTTGCGCAGCCGCTCAAAGCACAGGATCTGAGCGATGTAATCGGTCACCCGGCCCATGGCCGCCTCGCGGTCTGGGTTCTTGATCTTGTCCACCGGCGGGTGCAGCAAGGGCAGGTGCGCCACCAGCGGGTGCTTGTGGAATCCGTCGCTTTGCGTGGCTCCGCCTGCCCAAAGCGCCCGGTAGATCTCATGCCATCGTTTGATAAACCCGTTCCCTCGTCTGGAGGCCACAAACGAGTTCATCATGACGGTCACGCCCGGCCGAACTTCGAGGTTGAACCCGCAAATCTCATACGGGGTCTCTGGATCAGAAATCACATCCCAGCAGACGTCATCCAGGTGTCGGAACAGGGTCGATCCCACGTCCATCCACACACCGCCGTATAGATACAGCAATGGCAGGCGGATCAAGTCCGCCATGTGAGGCCCCACGCTTGGACCGCTCATGATATTCTTGTTGAAGGCATCGGGAAAAAAGGATGCGTCTACAAACCGAGAAATATTCAGCGGTGAGTCTGGCACTCGATCAAGTACCCGGACGGTCCATTCGGGTCCCAACAGACGCACCCAGCCGATGACATTTCTCTGGGTCCAGGGGACCATATTGTCAAACCCTGAATGCCAGAATGCCCACACATTCTTCTCAGCGGATGAAAGAGGCCGATCAGACTTCAATTCGGCGATGATCTCGGCATCTGAACGGTGGTCCAGCTGGGCCTCGGGGATGGCAAGTAAGCCTTTAGGAGATGGCGAGTCCTTCATATTGAGCATTCAATAGCACAGAGTATGTATCCTGTATGGGCAACAAGATCAAGTATACCTAGGTACCTTTCATAATTCCTCGATCACACCAGTTATTCTACTTTTGCAAGGATAAGTACCAGGTCTTCCGTATACCCTGTCTCCCGCTTTCACGGAGTACTCCGTAGTTAGAATACAACTAGTATCAGTTAGTGGCCCACTCAACGGGGGTCCTGCAGGATCGTACGAGAGTGAAATATCCCTGTATACCCACTTCATCCATGAGAACAATGCCCTTGTATCCCAGTCGCCCACACGTGGTGCTCCTGTTAGATTTGAATCGACGATGAAAACGGCCCCCACATTAGTATAAATGGGGTGCGCCGTGCAGCTGTAGTCAGACATTAGTTTCGAGTAATTGATGGAGATGGCAACTGGTCACGCCGAGGTAAGCGGAAAAGAATTCGTTCGAAAGATGCCTCCTTGGATCATGGTGTCTCTTCAGCCGTGGTTGGCGTAGTTGAGGGAGAAAGCAGGACTGGAAGAGGTCGGTTGTTGGGCTGGTTTAGGGGAAGAAGTCGCTAGTCACTGCAGTCGCTCCTACTCGCCACGTGATATGGCTGGCTAGAAACTTGAAAGTGCCGAAACGGTTCGATATCTGCCCTGCAGAGCCAACTGACAAGCATCTGCACGCCGTTTTTCTGTAATTTTCAATCCCTACTATCTTAGTGGATACACTAACGATCGAGACTCGAGGTGCTATCTCGGTCAGCAGGCCCGCTTCGTCCTTGATAACCCGGCCGTCAAGCTCGGTGAGTGTCAAGAATTCCTGTATCAAAGCCATGCCGTCTGACATCTTATTTCGGCTGCAAGGTGCAGTGTGCAATGTCTTGTGGCTTGCAGCAGCTCTGCTGCCACTGTCCATTGCCAGTTTGGTTTTCTATCGTCTGTACTTGAGCCCTCTGGCGAATGTTCCTGGGCCTAAGATTGCTGGTACGATATCACCCACGGTTATACTTGACACCATGCTGAAGGTAACGGTCTAGCGGCAACGTCTCTCTACCATTTCTACCATGATGTGATTCGTGACGGACAATATGTCTGGGTTGTGCGTGATATGCACAAGCAGTACGGTTAGTAACTACCCAGTAACTAGGAGTTACTACTTAGCCAAAGCTGACACGGGCTCAACAGGACCGGTGGTGCGTATTAGGCCGGATGAGATCCATGTCAATGATCCCAATGCTATCGATGCTGTCCTTGGCACGATAGGCAAGCGGCGGAACAAGTACAAGGTCACGCTCAATGGGTATATGGCATATGGATCTGTTCTGGGCACCGAAAGCCATGATCTCCATCGTCACCGTCGCGCAGCACTCAACCCTTTCTTCAGCAAACAGTCTGTGCGCAAGCTCGAGGGGACTCTGCACAATGTAGTGACCAAAGTGGTGCAGCGACTGAGAGAACGTGCCGCGAAGCAGGGCCCTGAAGAAGGAATCGTGAATCTCAACGTTCTTTTCGCCTCGATGACCAGTGACATTGTCACCAAGTATGCACTTGGCGAAAGCTGGGGCTATCTGGACATGAAGGACTTGAACGAGCAGGCGTACCGTGTGATCTCCGCCAGTTGCAGTGGATTCCATCTCACCACGTTTGCACCCTCCGTGACCAGTATGATAAGGCGGTTGCCACGCAGTGTGATGATGCGCTTGATTGACATCTCTTTCTTCGAGAAGATGGTGAAGGTGTGGTCCCCCCCCCCCCTCCCAATCAAACCCAAGCGAGTCTTGTCCATGTGATTGATTGAATAGAATGTCTCTACTCGCCTTGAATTTATCCGGCAATCCATCAAGGAACAAAAGTCCAACCCTTCTGATGCGGTCTCCAACAACATCTTCTACAAAATGATCACATCCGAGCAGCTTCCCGAAGCCGAGAAGACGACGAAGCGTCTGATCGACGAGGCCCGGATCGTCATTGCCGCGGGGACCGATACAACCGCTCAAGCCCTTAAAGGCATCACCTTCGAGATACTGCAGAACCCACAGATCCTTGCAAAACTCAAGCGGGAGCTTGAACAGGCCATCCCGCTGTCCGACAACGACGATGAGATCATCACGGACTTGCCTCGAGTATCAGATCTGGAAGAATTGCCATACCTGGTAAGTCTGAAGCTTCTAACAGTCACCCAAAAATCCATTAATTAACCAAGTGCAGTCTGCCATCATCGAAGAAGGACTCCGCCTGTATTCCGGCTTCTCGTACCGGCAGGAGCGCGTCTCCCCGGACGAAGACACCGTGATAAAGACAACCTTCCGCGGACAAGAAAAGACATACATTATCCCGAGGGGTGTAGGAATCTCCCCCCTTGCCTTTCTGATCCAAGACGCTGAACATAATAATAGACATCGATGGCTATGACGGCCCCAATTCTACACCGTCACGAAGACCTCTACGGACCGAACCCAGACACCTTCGATCCAGACCGGTACCTGAAAAACAAGCACCTGAGCAAATACATGATTACCTTTTCGCGGGGCCCGCGACAGTGCGTGGGCGTGAGTTTTACCCTTGATTACTCACGTTATTCTTTTTTGTTTTTTTTTTTTGTTTTTATCTAACAAGGTAGATCAACCTCGCCTATGCGGAAATGTACCTTGCCCTCTCGACCATCTTCCGCCGCTTCGACCTCTACGACGGGACGGACACGCAGACAGTCCCGACGATGGAGCTGTACCAGACCACTCGCGACGATGTGGTGATGGTGCGGGACCGGGTGGCGCCGTTTGTCAAGACGGGGAGTTTGGGGGTGCGGGTGAAATTGAGGCTTCCAGCATCCTAAATAGATATAGGGTATGATTTATGTATCTGATCTATCTATATGCAGATGGAACCTCCAGAACGTAGGATCCTGTAACAGGTTTTTCATAGCCCCCTTGGCCAGATGAAGCTGGACATCAACCCCATGGTCCGTCCAGTGTGAAGCAGTAGATGAGGAGAGACAAGCGGCAGTAACCTTCGGAGCACCCTCCATGACATGCAACATGCCATCCACAGACGGCATAACCCCCTTGACGTAGCGGGGCGTACCGGATCCAAAGTCCGCCTCGTACAGCCTCGTGCGCACCCACGAGGTGACCACAAGGTGTCGTCGACCCGGGAACGACGGCCACATCCGCTGCGGGCATTGCTCGTGCAGTTTCATGTGCAGGTGCGCCGCCAGATTGTCAGACGTGAAAAGCGCCACGGTCTTCCGGATGCGCGTCGCCAAATGCGCGAGGGTATCGGTTTCTTCGCTGCAAACCTGTTGCGAGGTAGCAGAGATCGCCGCCGCCACGGTCGGGGACCCCACGAACCGGTCTGGAAGCGGCGGGTGTGTGCGCTTCCGTATGCCCAAGGTGTAGTTTAGGTAAACCGTGGCGTTATCATCGGTGACATTGGTTTCACTAACTTCGATCTGGCGACGGGCACGATTGACACAAGACCAGACATGGGCGACTAGTGCATCATGGTAGGAGAATTTCAACGTTGTATCTGAGACTTCCTTTCCTGCTGCCGTGCTGCTGGTTGCCTCTTGCCAGAGACGCTGCAGGTCTCCCTGGCTGAAATGGATCACGTACCTGGCGACAGGTGCTTTGAGATCCCATTCCTCCCAGGGAACACGCTGGCCAGGTGGATCAGCAGGCAAGGACCGGAACTCCTCTGGAATCTCGGTCCACCGAGCTGGGAAGGGGCAGCCCTCGTGTGAGATCCAGGTGTCATAGCGAAGACAGGGCAAGGCAAGGGCGCGCGCGACCAACTGCGGCTCGGGATCTGGATGGTTGGGATCCCCCGCTGCGCACCGGTCCAGCAATTCCGGATCGAAGATTGGTGCTTCAATGTTAGAGTTGTAAGACTGTCGCTGTTGTTGTTGTTGCTGCTGCTGAGTGTTAGCGGCCCAGTCAAGGACAAACCCGGCCAGCGACGTCGCGTCAGCCAGCGGGTGGGAGATTTTCAGAGCGACGGCCATCCCGCCACAAGTGAAGCTCGTCACCTGCACAGCCACGCTAGGTAGGGCCGGATCGTTCAGATTAGACACAGAGAGCGTGAGTTGAGGCATCAGCAGTGCCAGCGGGAAGGCCGACACATCCCAGGCCGGTGCCCGCTGGTGGACGGGTGGTACCAGGTCGACGAGCGGACAGTCTGCTCGGGCGACGAGAAAGACAACCCCGGGATCAGAGCCATGGATATCGTCTATACCAGCCCCGCCGAACGTGAGCATCAGGCGTCCTGGCCGCCCTGGCTGTCGGTACAGACGCCCGCACCACTGCGGATAGGCATCCAGCGTGCGTGCCAGCGCAGCCTGCAGCTGATCTGGCGTGGGTGGGGGACTCCTGCTGCTGCTGCTGCTGCTGTCCGGTCCATCATAGAAGAGGACGGTCTCTGCCGTTCCTGAGCTGATATGGGTGGCATCCACGATCGAGAGGAGGACACTCTGTCTGTCGTTTGGAGGAGAGGTGGGCTGCACACATGCCTGTGCTACCACGTGGGTTTGCATGGTCCGATAGAGTGTATAGTAGGAACTTATACTAGACTCAGGATGTTGCTAATCTTACTAGAAGGTACTGAATGCATTTAGAATATCAGAGACTACTTCTACTAGATAGAATCAGCCTAAGCTTACGAGTACCTCGTAGTATCTACTAGTTGTCCTAGTGGATGGACACTGAAGATGCCGTTTCTCACTGAGGTAGGCCTGTAGCCGTATTCAATACAATACCATACACAGTAAGCAATATTACATGTCTTGTCTGTAACTTACCGTATTACAATAATACCACTTGTTTCATAGATGGTGGGTCTTTTATATATACTAGGAAATCGCTGCTTGCCTACAGCTGAGCTTTCTGAATTGTAGGCATAACTAGCTCTTCCTACTGCACCTGTTGTTCCTCAGTAAGGTCGTAGCCATAGTCGCCGGAGCAGACGAGTTGGGAGAACTTGCGCGTCGGGACCCTGTTGATGAACATCTCGTCGAGCTGCGCGTACGAGCGACCAGTGTAATCCCGGGGCAAAGAAGTAGATGACAAGACAGCGAGGTGATTCCAAAGCTGCCGAACATGTAGCCTCACTCCAGCCCCATGGCGTCCTGGATATAGGTGAAGGTCGAGAGGCCCAGATGAGGATGCCCACCCGTGTTGGAGAAGATGCCGATCGAGGCGGTCTTTGCGCGCAGGCGGGCCGACGCTGACTCAGCGACATACACCCACCCACCCCTGACCCGACGGCGCCCGGCCCACAGACACCGTCGAGCCACAGACACCGATGATAACGAAGGCGATGAGGAATCTTGCCTGCCACGGGTGACTCGCGCGGGATCGGGAGGAGGTTGACGACATTGGACACGGCAAACACCTTCCAGTTGGGCGCGGTGGCCTCGATCACGGCCCCGACCATCGTCAAAGCAATGGTCAGGAAGAGGACAAACCGCCGGCCGAACAGATCGGATAGCCATGACTGGAGAAGGAGGGGCAGGGAAGCCTGAAAGCTGGGCAATGGTTCATCTGGAGTGTCAGCCATTTCACATTCAAAGCAACCCCCCCCGAATATTCTCGATAGAGGGGGGTATTATTTTCTTTTATCTTCTTACATCACCCAACGGTATCACTCAACAGCATACTCTTCATCAGTGGCATCCTAAGTACCCATGGCCTTATAGGCATCGACACCCATCAGGTTGGAGCCCATGTTCTGCTCGATCCCGACATGTTTGTTTGGAATGGTTCTGGGAGGGGGAGAGAGACGTCTATTCACTTCCTTGTTGTGTGCGAAGAAAAACAGAGGCTTTATCTTGTGGATAGCTACATGGACTTTCTGTGCAAGGTAGAGTGGCTTGCTATACGTATGGGGAGGTCTACATACGTACCTAGCATAGTTACAATAGACTTGTAGGGTTGGTCGGCCTGATTGGTACGGTTGATTCTACCCAGTGATCAACTAACTAGTGACAATCCACTCTGGAATACTTGGACGCGATGCCTGTGAAGACCTATAGAGTATAGACAAGCAAAAAACAGCGGATAGATCTTCAATCTCGGCCTTCAGATCTTTATCCGCTACAAGCCCACGACCATTTTCATTATTGTTCTGCCATGCTCTATGGAGATACCTTATGAATTGCCCGTGAAGACCCACGTGGGAATCTCCGCAGAATAGCCCAGCGAGTAAGTCCGCCGTTCGTCCGTCTTCTACGCAGAAGCGATGCCGGAACGATCTGGAAGCAATATCAGAATGATGCCAATTACTGGTTACAGTGTCTATAACCGACATAAGCGAGGTTCATCGGCTAGGTTGAGTCTCATTCATTTGATCTGCTCGGCCTGAACAACACGGAGGTTTTTGGCTCCATCTCTGCCATTGCCCCGGCTATTATGCTTAGTATTGAGGATGAGCATTTGGAACGTGTAGCTGACACTTTTTTCGGCTCGCAAGAGTACTACGTCGAACAGGCGCCCTGGACCGTCGCTGAGAAGAACGGCGACAAGATGAGAAGAAGAGCAAGGAGAGAGGAGGACCCGGCCGTCTTACGTCTTACGTCTTACGTCTTACGTCTTTGCAAACGCGCTTATACTAATTAGTTAGGCACCTGACATCTATCATGTGATGAAAACAGTAGATCACTGATCAGGACGTTGTAGGGTTTAGGGCTTAGTAGTCCCCTAGACTCTCCATCAGTAGATAGCAACTACCTGTTAGATACTACCTAGGTACCTACTTTTAACCAGGAACTTCCAGAGCCACTGCATAGTAAGAATTGGCTCAGGCCAAGCTTTTCATTCTTTCAATCCTTGCAGATCCTTGGTGCTGGAGTCAGACAGGACCCACTGCATAGGGACAATCTTCCTACATGTCTTGGCAAGAGAGGCTCTCTAGGCTGATTCCTATCTTGATATCTCTCTCTGCAAGATCGTGCATCTGTGGCAGGGACGCAATGTACCAACATGCCTTGAGAACCGTCTAGACCAGTAACAGGAAAGAAGACGGGTGGGAAAGATCCGAGACATACTACTTAGTACTAATAAACTACTAGGTACTATCTAAGAGTGAAACTTTGACCAGTAGTTCAGTTCTCCTTAAAGGGGGACCTCCTCAGTCTGTTTCCTCCCCCCCTGAGGTCATCGACACTCGCTACATACCTCATTAAGGAAGGCAGAAGCAAAGAACGACCTAATCTTCCATGCCCTTTCTCTTCCCTTTTCTTCTTCTCCCTTGATTTGTTTTGCTTCTGTTCCTCATATTGCCCCTATCTCTTATGCCTAGATACAGCTTAAAGACCACCGCGACGGCAAAAGATCAACATACAGCTCAGGTATGTAGTGGTCATTCCTGTGTGAACCCCTGTCTGACACCTCTGGTTAATAGTACTCCAAATAGTACTCATAAGACAGCGGCAGTAAGCAATAAATTGTTTTATGTAGCCTAGCATGATACAAAAGCTACAACCGAGAATGGAAATGAGGCGATGGAAGCCTTGAATTAACTACCTAGGCAGTTGATCTGGGTCGTTTTCACCCAGTTTACTACCTACTATTGTAGTACAAGGGTCCTCGGAGTAACCTGCCTGTTGTGAGCTCGGAGACCGAGCGCGCGAAGAGACTCGGGGACTCGGAACTCGGACTCAACCCGATACCACGTGATGTGATTACTAACGGGCGGTTAGTAAGTGGCTCTCGTGACGAATGCCGCTCAACCGACCCAGAGTTCCCCAGGCCGCTCTGGAGCATTCCTCAGAAAGACCTCATAACGAGACATCACGTGGCAATAAGACACCAGAAAAACCTTCTCTGCTTTTGTTTAAGCTCCAAGAAGCGAGCGCCTGAATTCCAAATGGGGTTCATGGTCCGATGCAATGGAAGAAAGCCATGCTGAACTGTAATTCTACGGATATCTCCGTACGCGAGGAAAGCAAAGCCTGCCTGCGCCACATTTCCGATTCCGCCATATTATTCTATTCATAGCCCTAACAGAAGAAAAATAGAAATGACTATACTTATTTTTCTTTAGTAGTGATACCATACGTTTGCATTATTGACTTGGTAGTACTTATCTAGTACATCGGAGATAACCTAGGTATTATTCCTACATACTACCTAGTCAGGTACTTTTAATAGCAATTCTAGTAGGATTGTCAAGTAAATAGTATTTGGCAATACAAACAAACCATTGCTACGACCTCATGTTTATTGAATATAGAATTAGATAGCAATGAATGAATGAACTTCTTGTTAAAAAGGCCAGACTACTGACTATGAGTGAAGACGCAGAATCAGTTCGAAGGTGGCGACTCGCCTGAACAATGAAGACCGAGTGCCAGAGAGAGAAGCAACTCGACAATAGACAGGAGTTCAACCAGAAAATCAAAGAATAGAATACTTTCCCTTTGCTCCCTTGATTATTCATAATCAACTCTTCCCTATTTACCCAGCAAAGTCGGTGATTGTGGAAGTAATAAGAATTACTCAGTGGCGGACGCCTGATATCTGCCTGGCATCTCCGCTTTCGCTTTGACCCGATTCAATCCTTTGCCCCCTCGTCGACGAACACAACCATCGATCTCCCGCGTGGAATTCCACCCCCTCGACCATTTCATCGCCCTCCTTGTTCCAAGCGACCCTTTGATCCGTCCTTCGCTAATCCCCTCCTTATCCCCTTCACCCGCTTCTGCGCGCTCTCTTTCGTCGTTCCTCCTTCCTCCCCCCCCCTAATAGCCAGCCAGCCCATCAATCAGGCTCTGACGGACGAAGTCTTGGCTCCAGCGAACACCTCCTCCCCTTCCCCTGTTTTTTCTGTCCCAGACACGTCGGCTTCCATCTCAGTGTCCATCGATCTACCTTCTCTCACATCCGTTCTTATAAGTCGGACCTTTTTCTTCATGCGCTAGGACGAACTGGTAGCCGCCGTCATTGCGTTGGTTGTGTTGTCCGTGTCTCAGCCTTGCGATCAGGGTACTCTTACCAACTCGCTCCCAATCCTCCTTCCCCCGACCACCACCACACCTTTTCTCTCTTGTCCATCAATCAAGCACATACCCATTTCATCGAAGAGTTATTGCGGATACGGACTGGGTGCAGGCCGCTCGCCATCATGAGGGAAGTCAACTTCAGTATCCCCAATGTGAACAAAGCCTCGGTCAACATCACCACCACGCTCTACGACCGCCGGGCTCTGGACTGCACGTCGACCCTGCCCTTGATCAACTCGCTCAACCATCTCGCCTACCTGACCACCTCCTCGGCCCGGATCCGAGATATCCTCACCGTCGATGGCGGCATCGAACGATTAGTATGCATCCTCAAGGAAGGGAGGAGCAAGGATCTGATGGAGATGTGGAAATGGAGCCTGGCCTTCCAGTGCGTGGTCAACATCGGCGTCAGAGGCTCCGAGAGCGTGAGGACCCGAGTCGTTGAGGCCGATATGGTGCCTGTCATCGCCACCATCCTGGACAACTACATCCAAGTGGTTGACAAGGTGCGATCGCGCGCCGACCTGGACTCTCACAGACATTCATCAAGGCATGCCCCCAAATCCGTTGGCTCCTCCACCCGCGATGCTGCCGCTGGCCGACCGTCGTTCCTGGAGCGATCATCGACTTCTTCCACTGCCACCTCAACCACCTCCACCTCCACCTCCACCTCCACCGATCAGAGACCCTCCCGTCGTCAGGCTCCTCCGCCGAGCATCGAGATCCCCCAACCTTTCTTCCAGGATAACAATCCCACAACCGAAACTAATGCTATGGACGTTGCATCCTCGCCGCGAATGCCCATGACTTCCCCTCCGGAGCGGAGCACTTTTTCCCAAGATCTCCATGACGCACGCTACCAACCGCCGAATCCTAATAATACCAATAATCCCCACCCCCATCACCATCACCATCATCATCACCATCGTTTGAGGGCCATCCAACCTTTGGCCACAGCCATCCCATCCATGGATGCGGCCGACGGGTTTGGTTTACGCCCCGTAAGGGACGCTGAACGCCTGCCCAGCATGCTTCCTGGCTTGCAGACAGGTCTCGCCTCCCAACCAGAGTCTCCGATCACCCCGGGTGGTCCGATGCAGCCACGGAGCGTCCCGCAACAACAACAACAACAGCAGCAGCAGCAGCAACAACAACAACAACAACAACTCCAGCGAAGACAGCGACCCACCCTTCGCCAGCAACAATCCGCCTCGGGTGAATCTGATGATGGTAACGGGGAAGATTCTGCCATGGGTGATGAAAATACCTCAGGAGAGGTCAACGAGCCCATTGTGGGTATCCAGAATCGGATGGAGATTGATGGAGTTGGTGATCGGCAAGCAATGCTTGACGAAGTATCCAACACTCATGGTCTCACGATGAACGACCCTTCCGAAGGGCCGGATGCAGAAACCTTCAACATCACCCATCGGTCCGCCGTCGACGGCAGCATCATCACAAACAACGACACTCAGAACAACCCGGCGTTAGGCCTATCCCCTACCCAGGCCGCCAACACCACGAATTCCCCGCCGCCCTTGGTCCCCAGCCCGTACGCGCTCTACCTCCGCGACCGATCGGCGACGGCCTTGTCCGCCATGCCACGAGACGAGGATGTGCTCATGTCCCTTCAACTCTTGGCTTACGTGTCCAAGTATTGCAATCTGCGGTCATATTTCCAGCACTCTCACCTGGTTCCCAAACTCAAGATTGATCGTGAGATCAAGATGCTGGACGAGGCTGCTGGTTCCGTTTCGCCGGTCGAACCGGTGAAGGATGACGACGAGTACCTGCTGCCCGACGATGTCAATATCTTCCCCCTGGTGGAGAAGTTCACGGTTCGCCACTATTCCAAGGATATGCAGTACTGGGCCTGCGTTGTGATGCGCAACCTTTGCCGCAAGGACGAGTCCCGGGGAGGCATCCGTCAGTGCGCATACTACAAGTGCGGCAAGTGGGAGGAGTTCCAGCGACAGTTTGCAAAATGCCGTCGGTGTCGCCGCACAAAATACTGCAGCAAGGATTGTCAGAAAGCTGCATGGGTGTACCACCGCCATTGGTGCCACACCACCCCTTGAAAGAATTTCCGACGAGAGCGAATATCTTATTTTTTTTGTCCTAATCTACAGGAGTCTGCCTTTATTCTTCCTGATCACCTAATGCATAAACCCCATGGAACCTGCATAGCGTCATCATGTCTGGCCGCATTATCATCGTCTGATTTCTGCATTTTCCATTGCCTCACACCATCCATCAACCCTTGCAGCATCCGTCAAAATTGCTGTTTCTCCCTCCCACGTTCATGTTCTTTACGTTGACTGATTATCCACATGGCATCTCTTGACACAGGCGGTCTTTCCATTCCGAATCCAAGATACCTCTTGTACGCCACCTCGATCTATCTCGCTTTTCCGCAGTCTCCCTTTTTTTTTATGTCATTTTTCCTTTGCCTTGTTGCTGCACGTTTTCCCCGTTGTTGTATTAGCCGCCGACTACGATTTATTTGATCTTACCACCCAAGTATCACTTGCCTACACTGCCATTATTGTCAGGCAGTCATGAATAAACTCATCTTCGGAATTATCTTCATTTCGTTTCTTATTTATCTGTTTTCTTTTTGAATCCTATCTCATTATGGAATTGCCCGCTCGATTCTTGTCTCTTGGCACCTCACGAGTTTCCTTTGTCCCTTTTCCTTTTGCGTCTCTCTATTTTTTATTTTTTTTGAATGTGTATGTCTTGCTTGCTTCGTTTTGCATAATTCCAGTCCCCCGAAGGCATTTCATTATCATTTTTTCTTTTGGCAACTGCATAGCATTGCATTACACAATTTTGCTACCTAACTATTGAAAGATATCTTACTTCTGGAATTCATTATGTCTGGAACATTGCATATTTGGCTGTCGTAATGTACGGAGTACCTTTGGGACCTAAAGTAGCAAGTAGATTACCTAGCTAAGTGACATAGATACAATCTATGTCTTGAAACTATATGTCGCCGCCAGGCGTGCCTCGAGATGTTCCTGCGCGGTCAAGGCCCTACTCCCCGGCTCCAAACTGCCTGCCCCACCGCCAAAGCCAACCTGGGTACTGTGGGCGTTCTGCTGCTGCTCGCGGTAAGCCGTGACCACACTGCTGGGAACAGGGACAAGCTCTGTGGCGTCGACGGGGTGGCAGAAGAAAGCGATGCTGTAGCGGTCCTGTGGGTTCGGGCTGCGCTGTTCGGCGAGCGGGAATACCACGCGGTGAACGGTTGAGCGGAGAAGCCCATCGGTCCAGTAGCTGAGCAGATCGCCGATGTTGACCAGGATGGGAGGGAAGGGAAATGTGGTTTCCGTTGACGATGCGGGAGAAGAAGAAGTAGAAGAAGAAAAGGCTTCGTTCGGTTGCACGGGGACTGGTGCCCATGTGCCCTCCGGCGTCAGAATTTCCAGCCCGGGCTGACCGGGCCGTTGGAAGAGCAGGGTGATGCTCCCGTAGTCGGAGTGAGCGCCGGCTCGGACGTCGATCTCATGCTTGTAGGAGGATGTGGCGGGGGAAAAGATCGACGGGTAGTACAGGTAGCGGAGGATGCAGCCTGTGGGACCATTGGAGGCGTCGTGCCGGGAGGTGAAGAAATCCTCCTGGATCTATGGGTTTTGAGAGTTCAGTTTTCATCCCTGCCAGGCAACTTTGAAATTAGAGACTCACATCGAGCCCAAGTGCCATCAGCTTCAAGATACGGCTGCAAGTCTTATTGCAAAGCGCCGCGAAATGAGCAATTTCTGCTTCATGCGGAGTAAGGGCAGGCGGCAATGGCTGCTGCGCTTTTCCGTCTTTGAATTCGCCAAAGTTCATGGCTCTAGCAGATGGTTTTAGTTCCGTAGCCTACAGCTGTACTGATAGAATGGAACGTGTCACAAACTCCTTGAAATCACCTGTCTGCAGCATCTTGTAAGCCAGCTGTCTTTCATATAGCTATAGTATGGGAGATTTATCTGTACATACCCGCTGATGCTCTGGATCAAGCGTCTCCGTATGCATTCCTGACCAGCCTCGGTTCTAGACCAGAAGTCATTAATTGTTCCTCTCCTGATTAAGAACATATACGAACATTGGGCGTAATCCGACATCCTTCCTTTTCCTCATAAGGAGATGCAAAGAATTCCTTGGACTGTTACACTGTCAGAGTTGCCTGTCCTGTTTCAACGATATCATCTTCGGATGCCGCCCATCACAATCGACGGAGACAGCTTCCTGTGACTTCGACGCCATAGACTTCACTGTACTAACCAACTTGAAAGCCTTCTCCACATCCTCAACCGCAAAATCCGTGCCTTTGCTGTTGACATAGAGGAAACCGTACTTGGCCGCTGCATCGATCATCTTCTTCCCCACTGTGGGGTCATCAGGGTTTGAGATATCGATGACTGGAAGCTCAATCGGTGGTCCAATAGGGGCGGGATCTGCCATGGTTCCTATTGCGGAGGCGTACTTGGATCTGAGATGGTATAAAATGTGAGCGTCGACTGCCAGGTAGGAATAACGATAATACAAGTGTGTGGGAAGTGAGTGTCTGGGCACCTTTTCCACAACCGGAGTCTTTTATCGCCGGCGGCGGAATGAGCTTATCATCTCAATTCGGCGGGGCCCGACACTGGATAGGAATGTGAAGATCCACCACTGATAATAATAATTGTCATGACAGATGGTAATTGTCGGGTGTCCGATTCGGTACGACTCGATGGTAGCCGGGGCATGAGGGAGAGTGAAAAGGTATATGAGAGTTGATTCAGCCGGCTTAAGCAAGCTGTACGACTTGTATGGTGAATCGATCTGTATATCACTCCCTGGAGGACCTATCAACGAATATATTAGTAGCTAGACATCAAAAATGGCCATAAAGTAGGCAAGATGCCGTTACCAAAGCGTGAGGATCGAACAATTTGCTGCGTAGGCAGTGTCGTGTGGTTCTTTTCCGTCGAGATCAAACTTGAGTTCGATAGAAGAATTGAAGCAAGATATTGAAAACCAAGAGCTTATGGGATACAGAGAGCTCTTGCGGACGAGACTCGTAACCAGAGTAGAAGAACAGTTTTGACGTTGGTGAAATAGGAAAGGTGTAAAGCTCACTGTCGAAGAAGCAGGAGTAGAGATAAACAAGCAATGGTTAGTAGTAAAGAAAGCATTGCCTTTAAAATATTCCTGGTTCTTTCTTGTCTTTATCTACCACTTCCAGCCTGGTAACTCTGGAAGAGTGTTGGTGAGCATTATTATAAAGATGGAGATTTTGATATATATGAGTTCATACTCATCCAGCCTAAATATTTATGCCTGAGGCACTAAATACGCAAGGTCGCCTGTTCCGCAAGTCTAGATCAGCCCCCGCGGTGAACTCAACAATTGTTCCGGTAAGACTCGCTCTTTCAAACATCCACCCTCGGCCACAACAGGTTCTCTGGCCTGGAATTCGACCATTATATACCCACATTGGGGTGGATTATTCCGCATCTCGTCCTTTTCTTCTTTCGGTGGGCGCCCCATGCGCCGAAGCAGCAACCGCGTCGCTTGCTATCCGTGATCCAGCTCTAGCTAGCTTCCAACATGCCGAGTGAGGGCTTCCCCACGTGTCAGGGCTCTTCAGCAGCAGTATGTGACAACTAACAGAATCGTGATGCACTGGAACAGTCCGTCCACTAGATGAATGGGCTGCTAGCCGCACCCAGTCGCTTCCCCTCTCCGCTCTCAAAGGATCCGTCGTCGGAATCGATGCGTCGCACTACATCTACCAGCACCTGCACCACCATTCCACCCGGGAACCTCTTCTGATCGCACTGGGCGGCTTTCCTTTCGCGTTGAAAAACAATATCGAGAAGGAATTGCAGTCGTTGAAGTCCGCGGGGGTGGCCTGTGTATTTGTCTTCAATGGCCTCGACTTTGGGAAGAGAGACCAAAAGCCCCACGTGCAGCCCGAGCTTGTTCGCGCATTTGGGCAGGCGTGGGATCTCTACGATCAGCAGCAGGCGGACCAAGTGGTAGACGCCTTCAGCGGGGCCGGTGAGGAATCCAGGGATCTTGATGATGTGGGCAATACAAGCTGATTAGGATTGTTGTCATAGGTACCCCCCGCCCGGAGAGTCTCTATCGGTTTTTGCAGCGAATCCTGCATCAGAATGATGTTGACTATATCGTGGCTCCGTACAGTGCTGCAGCCCAGGTAAAAGAAAACACTAATTCGTGGACGTTCGTGCAATCGGTAGTTACTAATCGTATGGGTTAGCTCTCCTACCTTACCAAGGGACCCAGTCCGGTGGTAGACGCCGTCTTTGGTTCTTCCGAAATCCTACTGTTTGATATCGAAAAGCTGATTACTCGCCTGGAAATCGAGCAATCGCAATTCTTCTGGATCACAAAGCAGACTTGCCAGGAAGAACTGGGCAGATTGTCGAATGACCAGTTTTTCGACCTGGCCTTGCTTCTGGGCTCGTCTTTTCTGCGCACCTTCCCTCCTTTCGAGAACCCTTCTTATCCCGGAAAGCCAGTCAATATTCGCGATGCATTGAATATGTTCAATACCGCTGGCAGGAGCGCCCGTACCCTCTGTGGCCAATATGAAGACGACCGTCGCGTCCAAGAGCTTCAATACCTCGACCGCTACAAGCGCGCATATATGGCTGTGAAACATCATGTCATTCTTGAAACCGATGGAAAAGTTGCCCCAATGGACTCAGAACACACCTCGTCAGACATGCATGAGCTTATCGCGCAGCGACTCCCCGAAGAGCTCTACTTCTACATCTCCAGGGGTATCTTAGGACCGAATATCCCGAATTATCTCACCTCGGGCGAAGTCTTGATATCGCTGCCCTTGGGAGCAGAAGACACAGAAATCTACCGTCATGTAGTCGGGGAGGTCCTTACCCCAATTCGGACTCAGTCGATCTGTCTGCTTTCGAACTCACTGCACAGATTCTACCAGGTGAAGGTGATTAATGTCCATACGTGGTACGGCGAGGCCTCGGATAGGTCCATCAACCTCAAGTCTCTGCCATCAGTCAAAGAAACCATCCAATCCTGGAAGATTTCGGGTGATCAACTTCCAGAGGGTGTAAAGAAGCTACAGGTCTGTCCCATACATTTTACGAGTGTCTGCATCCTACCACTAATACCAACCAGCTTCCCCGTGGCTCGTTCAAATTCGCCGTAAAGAGCTTGAAGGATTCTGAATTTGGCGCCAAATCATTCGCTAAAAAAGACGCTGCTGTAAGGAATCTAAACATTGCCTTGCAATAAGACAAACCGGCTGACCTCATCGCAGTCTTTATCACTCCAAGAGGACATTCTCTCTAATGTCATGTGGCGATTCTTACAACTTCGGGGATACATCGACGAAAAACATCAACTGACTTCGTGGGGTCTTTGTCTCGAGAAGGCTCTCGCTACTCTAGACCCCGGTGATGAACTTGAAGAGGCTACATTCATTGCAATTGAATTGCTCCGCTTTGACCTTCTGAACGCGAAGCATTGGTTCTCACATCTTTCCGGAGGTCCAATGAGAGGATCTGGTACGTTAGAATGCCTCCCTTGAACATCTATATGAGCTATCATTGAAGCTGATCTTGAAGATACTGAAGACGAAGACAAAGTCTTCAACATGCTAGTTTCACGTGTTGCCTGCATCGGTAAACTGCGTCACAAGAGCATTGGATACTCTGGCCCCCTGAGCAGGCAACTGCTCTGTTACCGCTCTCTGGTGTCGGAAGTGCGCTCTGCTTTGAGAGACCTGATTGAGGTTGTCTTGGCAGGGATGCTCCTGAGCGGTGATGTCGATCGGGACCGCAAGGACTGGGCTGAATTAAGTGTGAAGTATGGCGTGACCTAGTCTAAGCATTGTAGACTTCTGGCTGACTCAAGGCTTCTTTCGCTTCCAGGCTTCCCTTCATTGATGACAACGACTGCGGTCTTGGAATCGCCGTCCGTACCTATCTTGATGATCTGCCTGCGCAGGGTGAGTTGACCTTGCCCGAGGCAAGGGCCGAGGTGAAATCGAAGGGCAAAGACTGGTTCCAGCACAGTGACAGCTTCACCGGCAATCTCGATAAAGCATTCAAGCTGTGGGATGCGGTATGTAATTCAATTTTTTGATCGAGAAAAGATCGTCGCCTGCTCACTCTATCTACACAGGTCTACAAAGCTACCCAGAACGCGGGCAAGGAGTTCAAGGAGGCCAAGCAGTGGGAAGGTGTCAACAACTGGCTAGCTAACAGACGGTAATCGAATCGTCCCGAGCTGGCAGATAGATATCTAGGCCCAGGGGCTGTCTCGGAGACCCTATCAGCAGTACTGCCTTATACAAGGTTAACCTCATGGCGAATGCAGATGCCATAGATGACTTCATAGCTCGGCACCCTACACCTCATGTATACCGTCTGGAGTGGAAAGGGCCGAATTGAATCTATACAGCCGTCCTGCCCGAAACAGCGTCCACAAGAGAAATCTACCATCTCTTTTTGAGAAAAAAATAAACAAAACAAATAAAAATACGAGAGTACTATGTAGTCTCCCTACTCTACAGATGAGAGGGTAAGCGGCGAGCCAGACCGCCACAAGTGTACGGAGTAGTTTGCCTGTGGAGAGATACCAAGTGTCCTCTTGGGCAATCGGATCTGCTGATAAATTCGCGGTTCGGTCCGAGCGAATCGCGCTCCGTTGGCCTGGACGACGACGGAGCCACCTTCATAACCTCGTTTCTCCAGGAGCAACTCTGGCCACCACTTGGTCTGCTACTGTTTTGTGATCGATCGGATACGTGAGACACCGGACCAAAACCCCAAGTCCTTCCCCGACGCCACCTTTTCCGCACCCTCGTTCCTCCTCCCCGCACACCGCAAGGAAGCTAACATCATGGCTCGTTTGAGCTCCCTCCTTGTGAGCGGCCTGGCGCTGTTCGCAGGCATCGTCAGCGCCGAATCTGCCGTTCTCGATCTGATCCCGCAGAACTTTGACAAGGTTGTCCTGCAGTCTGGGAAGCCTGCTCTCGTGGAGTTCTTCGCCCCCTGGTGCGGCCACTGCAAGAACCTGGCCCCCGTGTACGAGCAGCTAGGCCAGGTATTCGCCTTCGCCGAGGATAAAGTCAGCATTGCAAAGGTCGACGCCGACAACCACAGAGACCTCGGCAAGCGGTTCGGCGTCCAGGGGTTCCCGACGCTGAAATGGTTCGACGGCAAGAGCGAAACCCCCGAGGAGTACAGTGGCGGGCGGGATCTGGAGAGCTTGTCTGCCTTTATCACGGAGAAGACTGGTATCCGCCCCCGTGGGCCCAAGAAGGAGCCCAGCAGCGTTGAGATGCTCGATGAAGCCTCCTTCAAGACGACGGTGGGAGGCGACAAGCACGTTCTGGTTGCCTTCACTGCTCCTTGGTGTGGACGTGAGTACTTAAACTTCTAGCCATACATCACATCACATCTATTCAATGCTTACAGTGTTGCTAATTGCCTCTTTGTGTAGACTGCAAGAATCTGGCCCCGACCTATGAGAAGCTCGCCAACGACTTCGCCCTCGAGTCCGACGTTGTCATCGCCAAGGTCGATGCGGAAGCTGAGAACTCCAAGGCGCTGGCTCGGGAGCAGGGTGTGACTGGATACCCGACCATCAAGTTCTTCCCCAAGGGATCGTCCGAGGCCGAGGTTTACCAGGGTGGCCGCTCCGAGGAGCTCTTCGTCGATTACATTAACCTCAAGGCCGGCACCAACCGTGCGGTCGGAGGTGGCTTGAACAGCAAGGCGGCTACCATCCCCACCGTCGATGCCGCTGTCGCCGAGCTCCTTTCCGGTCAGGATCTTGCTAAGCTCGTTGATGGTGTCAAGGCTGCCGTCGAGGGGCTGGAGGACAAGTACTCCCACTACTACGTCAAGGTGGCCGAAAAGCTCAGCCAGAACGAGGAGTACGTCAGCAAGGAGCTCGCTCGTCTCGAGCGTATCCTGGCCAAGGGCGGCTCTGCTCCGGAGAAGGTCGACGACATGATCTCCCGAAGCAACATTCTCCGCCAGTTTGCGGCTGGGAGCCAGGCGGCCGGCGAGGAATCCAAGGATGAACTGTAAAAGAAGTATGATGCCGTATCGTCTTCATTTAAGTCTTTGTGGGAAATGAAAATGCATGTACATGATAGAGATTTGTATGGTTTGGCTGTCTTCGGGTCGAACGTCTTGGGAGCTATCGATTCGTTAAGGTCTCATTTCGAATGCTGGTTTTGTATCATACAGGACTTGGGGCATAATTTGCAATGACTTCTTGTTCATGAAATAGGCAAGTTATAATGATAGAGACTAGTCCGGTTGAATGGAGGCAAATGGTTGGACACTGTCTGAGAAACGCAGGATTTGCACATGATGGAGTTCACTTCATTATAGGGTATCTTCATAGTAACTATAATCCACCAGCAGTTTCATGAAAGCTTTGTCTGCTAGCTACATGCTAATACCGTACACTGTACAGCAGCAGTAGTCAGCTTATCTGACATATAATTGATGCGATCCCAATGAGACCGCTTTTCAGCCCCTGGAGCCACGGGACTAAATCAGCCTGAACTAGCTATCGTCGCATCTCCAGCCACGGCAAACGAAGCTTCCAGTTCGTCAAGGCGTCGTGCCATATCGTCCACTATGAAGAACACATCAGCTTCTGCAACTCAGGTCGGAAACTGTATGTTCGTGACTCACGTTTCCCGTAAATTTCCCTCGAGACATGGTCGAATTTGTGTTGGAGCTGATCCAACAGTTCGTCAACAGCAGCAGCAAGTTGCTCTTGAGGTTCGGAGTTCTAGAGGGACGGAGAATTAGAGACTGTGTTAGGCATAGTTGGGTAGCCTCGAGGAGATGCGAACCTCCTGTGCCTGAACTAGTTCGCCTGATAATTCCTCGGTAGACTTGGCTTTTTCCGTCATTATGTATCTGGTGGGGAATATAAATGCAAAATAACGAAACCGAACGGAAAAAAGATAGCTTTAACGCTTGGATCTGCTCCAATTGTAATACAGATATCTATTAGATGCCAGAAAGTGTAGGTTCGTCAACAACATCATGTAACTATGGATCAGGTCCGATAAGGATGCTGCCTTGTCCGCATCAATAGTTTCTCCGCGTCCCGATGCGTTTTATCTTATCGTGGTCAAGTTACATCTCCACTAGACCAGTTTAGGATTAGTTCTATACCAAAAAAAATTCCGGTACTTGCTGCTTGTCCGCGGGCTGGTTTCACATCATAGCCAACTTGCGCCAGCAGGTAACTCTTTTTAATACCCCTTTGACCCTGATAATTCCAGACATTTCGAAGGAATTATTCCAAGGTCCACAATGGTCAAGCGGAGTAAATTACTTCTCGCTCTCGACGCCCACAAGGGCCGAGACTACGATGCCGAGAAGCAAAAAAAGATGGTCAAGTCTGCGAGAAAGAGAAAGACCGACAAGCAGCCCGTTATCGAAGACAAGGAAGAGAAGGAATTAGAAAAGACCGATGAGGTATGTTCTGGAAGGCTGCCGGTGGATCTCTGCTTGCAATTGCTGACAGGCGATATTTTCCAGGTCGAAGAAGAAGACTCGGAAGAGAATGACGAGAAGGAAGTAGAGGAGGAACAAGAAGTTGAGGAGGAAGAAAAGGAAGAAGAGGAAGAGGAAGAGGAGGAAGAGGAGGAAGAGGAGGAAGAGGAGGAAGAAGATATTCCTCTATCTGACCTCTCTGATGATGAACGAGAGGATGTCGTTCCCCACCAACGCCTTACCATCAACAACTCTGCTGCAATCACCGCATCCATCAAACGCATTTCCTTCATTACATCTCAGACCCCATTCTCAGAGCACAATTCGCTTGTGTCTCAGGAGCCAATTGACGTGACCGACCCCAACGATGACTTGAACCGTGAACTCGCATTCTACAAGGTCTGCCAGGCTGCTACCTTGGCTGCTCGCGGAATTCTGAAGAAGGAAGGCATCCCTTTCACCCGCCCTGGAGACTATTTCGCCGAGATGGTCAAGACAGATGAGCACATGGGCAAGATCAAGAAGAAGCTGTACGATGAGGCCGCCTCCAAGAAGGCCGCCGCCGAGGCCCGCAGGCAGCGTGACCTGAAGAAGTTTGGAAAACAAGTCCAGGTTGCCAAGCTGCAGCAAAGACAGAAGGAGAAGCGTGAAACCCTTGAGAAGATCAATGCCCTGAAGAAGAGTAAGTACAGCCTTTCCTACCATTCGATCCTTACGTGCGCTTTGAGTGGATTTTTTTAGCTGACAATCTACCTTTTTGCCTGATTCAGAGCGTAAGGCCGATTCTTCCGCACCTACCGATGATGCCGGAGATCTTTTCGACGTCGCCATTGATGACGACGGCGACAAAGGAGAAAGCCGCAAGCGCAGCCGGTCGGGTGGCGACAGTGCTCCCTCGAGCAAACGCCAGAAAAAGGACCAGAAGTTCGGGTTCGGGGGTAAGAAGCGATTCTCCAAGAGCGGCGATGCTGTCTCCAGCGGAGATATGCGGAGTTACTCGGTCAAGAAAATGAAGGCTGGCGGGAAGGGCGGCGCGAAAAGGCCAGGGAAAAGCAAGAGGGCGGCTGCTAAGGGGCGGGCTTGAGTGATCGTGTCCTGGTAGCTGTTATATTCCGTGATCTTTTCTTCCAATAATCAAAAGCAGAGGCTGTTCAGGATTTGCAAGAGGTTTTTATCGATTCTTTGTGGAACTACTCGGATCGAAGTCGAGGGTGGTGTTTGTTCGAATAGATACATATCGGTCCATGTATACAAATTCCATTAGAGTGCTCACCATCTTTTGTTTGTAGCTATAACTTCTTGATCCTGGATAATATCGAAGTTGATTGGATTCGACCACTATTCAACCCTTCTGGTTGGAATCTAGAAGATTATCATCTACTAGGTTATTGACATGATAACAGGCAATTCCATAATTATCTATTGGCGTGTAATCAATCCCTCATGACAGAAAGATAGTTCTTCATCGACGCGTCTATCGCTCCGATTATACCATGTCAAGCATGTGCTATGGGCGGTAATCCTTCAAGACAAGAGTAGATTTAACTCAGCACGACTCTATAAAAACAGATGCTACTGTATTAGTCTCATCCTATTACCAAAGAAAGGAGATACTCTTTGAAAAAATATGTACCAGAAAGACAAGTGCTGGGTCACGCATGTGATGGGGAACACCAAGTATCCGATCGTTAGTATCGTAGTCATAATCAAGGCCTGATATTCCTAGACCCGGTTTTGGTTTGCTCGTAGACTCCTGCAATAGGCAGTCACCCTTCGGTGTGCTGGGCGGTCATATTACTCAAGCCTGTTGATGTAGCGGAATCCCGAATGAGACTGATCAAGTTGCCCACTGGAAGACCAACATTTAGTCTCTGTTCGGCAAGTACGAGGTCTAGTTTTGTCTGGGTATCGTCTGCGTGCGCCAGTGCGTGGTCCTGGATCAAATCCTTGCCCCGTTTGGAGCCACTCTTTAGAACAACTTTCCCGCAGCCTTGAACCTGGCAGATCCAGGTATCTGGGGGGTACCCTTCAAGGTCAATAGTGTCCATTTCATCTGAAGTCTCGTGTTCCGTAGGAGGGGTAGCAACGTTTGTTATTTGGAGAATTTCATGCAATGGTGTCTTTTGTGGTGAAGGGATGCCAGAATTCGAGAGTATCGAGCGAGTTCGTCTCTTTGCACGAGTGGATAACGGATCCCGGACGAATTCATGACCACGAACTTTACTCGGTGTATCAAGTTCATTGACATCTTCTTCCTGACTCTCATCCGATGGATCTCCTTCGTTGGCTGTAATGGAGCTTCTGGTTCGTTTTCCAATCTGTTTGGCAGAAATAGCACTCTTCGGTCGCAGCACGGACTTGCGGACACGACGTTTTCGTGCCCTTGGATGGACTTCATGCTCGCTCTCCTCACTAGACGAATCTTCACTATCAGCAATTCGTGGACGTAGTGGGGTGAGCGCTATATGCTGTATGTGATTTTTGGTTTGTTTTGACACGGCCTTCAGTTCACGGTAGATGACTTTGCGGGACCAGTCAAAGTTCGACGTTTTTGCATGATCCATCATCTCGACAAGAAAGCCCGCTCTTGCTGCAATGAGGTCATGTGCGTGTTCCACAGAATCGATATCATAGCCGCTAAGTAGATTTGAAGCCACAAGCTCAAGGTTTAGTTGACGCTTGGCCAAATGGCCTGCTTCCTTCAAGTCCATAATAACTTGGTAGATGGCCTCAGCTTGTGTTCTGAAGATCGAGGCTTCATCCGAGGAAAAGGTTGGAGCATCTGTCATTTCATCATGTGCGTTGTGAATTCCATTGGCTTCATTGTCTTCTGAACCGTTGTCGTCGTCCTCGTCCTCTTGGTCTTCAGACTTGGGGTTGAGCATGTCTTGCGCTCGATCGTACTCTTCCTGTTGAACTATTAAAACATGTAGTACCGAAGGGTAATTTGGCTGCATACCGGGAAGTTTTCACAGAGGTGTTTGAACAAGTCGGTCTTGGTCCATTCGACGCCCTCTTCTCCCTTGAGCATCCGCGAGAGCAAGAATGCACAGTGTTTATGAATAACCTCCAGCGAGTCATCGGCATCCTCACATATCCCATGCGTGTGGATGACATACTGCGTGAAAAAAACCGATAAATTAGCCAACGTTTCGATTCCTCGAAATGGAGGGTATGTCTCCGATTTAACGAACCTCTTCGCAAAGGTATTCAACACTCGGGTTCAGGGTTTTCTGTTTGCGTCGCTTGCTCTGAAGTCTGTCGGCTAGGAAATACAGCAGATCGATGGCCTCTACCATTTCATTGAACATGGGTCGATAGCCCCTCGCTGGCGTGATGGAGAACCAGCCAGCACGGCCAGCAACCCAGATACCGACCTCTCCATCTGCATGTTGTCCGTAAGCGTAATGGGTAACATTGTCAATGACTATTCGTTTCGATATGTAGTCCTCGTCGATCACTATGCCAATCACAGCCAGGGGAAGAGCGTCAGCATCAGCGCCTCGGTACAAATGCCGAAGTGATGTACGAGACAACGTATTACGCACCTAGCTTCTCTTGAGCTTCTTCCACCTCCTCCAGACAACCAGTCACTTGCACAGGGTTGTCTGGAGAGGCGTTGATGAGATTCGCATAGCGCCACTTGCCTGGAATCAGGACTTTGACCTCCGCAAGGCTGAATTCTTCCCAGTCGTTCTCATCGACGAGGGACGGGTCTCTCGCGGCCAAGACACTTTCTTCTCGCGACGTCATGTCTCCGGTGGGAGCATCGTGTCTGGGCCGACACAGAGTAGTGGGGTGTCAGGGGTGTTCTGTAGATGAAGGAAAGGGTGATGAGAGCAGGAAGAGGAATGATGGGGATCGCCAGCGGAATTCCAATGCGTCCGTCTGGTGAGAATGATCTGCTTCCTTTGAGGCCGGGAGACTGGTATTTACCAGATCTTACGCTCCGCCAATACCAAATTTACCGAGGGATCACTGATGTCCAGAACTTTTTCTGATCTCCACCGCGTTGGATTCGATTGAACCGAACGCGTTTGATGAGGCGAGGCTGAACGTGGAACTGGAAATAATTGGCATCATCGAATTCGGGGCATAATCCATTACGGGTCCTTGTTTGGTGCTTAAGATCTCAGCCCTCTTTTCCATCACTCTAATGGGACCACCTACACTGCGCTCTGGATTCCGGCTATTTCGCACCGCAATGTCGGGAGAAAAGATTTACGAGGGCGTTTTTGGTGAGTATATTTTTGTCCATCATGCTTCAATGCAGCTGTTCTGCCGAAATTGAAATGGTAGCAAGCTAACATGGCACTGTCACCAGCCGTCCACAAGCCTACTGGTATCTCCTCGGCCGACGTGCTTCGCGATCTACAGAAACACTTCAATCCCTCGGCGCTCTTCAAGCCATGGATGGACTCGGAACGCGAGCGACGCAACCGAGAGAGCAACTTTCAGCGCAGACGTCGGCGCTCGCAACGGTTGGACGTCAAGATCGGACATGGAGGGACACTCGACCCCATGGCTACAGGCGTGCTGGTAGCTGGTGTCGGAAAGGGAACCAAATACCTGCAGAATTTCCTCGGATGTACGAAAACCTACGAGACGGTGATCCTCTTCGGAGCCGAGACAGACACCTACGACCGGATGGGGAAGATCGTTCGACGGGGCCCCTACGAGCACGTCACGCGAGAAGCTGTCGAGAAGGCGCTGGAACAGTTCCGCGGCAAGATCATGCAGCACCCTCCGATATTTTCTGCTCTGAAAGTCCAGGGAAAGAAGCTCTACGAGTATGCGCGAGAAGGCAAGGAGCCACCCATTGAGATCAAGGCGCGACCGGTCGAAGTCACGAACCTGGAGATCGTTGAGTGGTACGAGCCCGGCACACACGAGTACAAGTGGCCAGAGGAGGAGATGGTCGGAGAGGAAAGAGCTGTTGCTGAGAGGCTCCTGGCCAAGGACGATGCCCTGCCCGCTGTTCCGTCTGTCGACGACGTCGATCTCGAAAAGGGCGAGCAAGGCGCACCTTTGAAAAGGAAGCCCTCTGCCGCAGGTGAAGAAGTCGCTCCGACGACAGAGTCAGCTTCCGATCCTTCTACCACTGCCGACCCGGCTCCGTCTGCGAAAAAACAAAAGGTGTCAGCCGAGGAGGAGTCTGTCGAGGTGGAAAAGCAGTCCGTACAGATGGACGAAACCAAATCGGCCGAACCCGGCGCCGACTCGACTACGGCCAACAGACCCCCTCCCCCCGCAGTCAAGTTGACTATGACGGTCTCGTCGGGATTCTACGTCCGTTCTCTCGCGCACGATCTAGGCAAGGCCCTAGGCACCTGCGGCATCATGAGCTCGCTGATCCGTTCCCGGCAAGCGACCTTTGAGCTCCACCCCGATAAAGTCCTCGAATATGCGGACCTTGAGGCTGGCGAGGACGTCTGGGGTCCCAAGGTTAAGGGATTCCTTGACGAGTGGGAGAAGAAGAGAGCTGCGGAGGAGGATGCCAACGATCAGGCATAGCTAGCCACCAAGAAATAGGATTTACTGCCAAGGTAGTCTACATTGTATCAATATAAGTACATAGCTCTGCAGTTATAACTAAGATATCAGGAAATTTGCACAGAGAGCCGTGAATAAAGGGATTTCTCCTAAAACCATGTAGATCTACCACAGACAGATCTACACTAGCCAGCCAGTTACTCTACTATAGTTGGGATTAGGACCTATAGCCCAAAATATATGCAAGTGACATCTATCTTATCACAGGTTCATTATAGAATAGACAAAGGTCTAGAGGGTCGAAGGGAGAAAAGAAAGAAAATATTATATAAAGATAGATGGCTAGATGATAAATAGTAGGTAAGACAAAAGAGAATATGTTTTGAAGGGTGGGGTATACACGCTATAAACACGAAGAAAACAACAGAAAGGATCTGTCATGATATGAAGGGAGAGAAGAGTCAAAAAGAGAAAGTAAGTACAGATGAGAAGGGTAGGTGTCGCGGCAGCTACTGCAAGCAGCAGCATAGAAAGATGTCTGGAGAAAATGAAATAGATTTAAAGAATGGAAAGGAGGACAAGGTTTTAGGCTGCTTATTGTTGGCAGGTTTTATGAGCATGTTGAAGCGCTGGAATGGCCAGTCAGTCCGGTCCGGTCTGTTGGAGGGAAGGAAAAAAAAGTTTCACTTACTTTCAAGTACGGATGCTTGGCCCTGTCGGGATTCGCAGGCACATTGAAGCGTGCTTCCATCCAGGAAGTCTAAGAGGATACTGTTTGGAAGTTCTTGCATGTCCTCATCTGGCAGGCAGGGGGTCCGGAATTCAGACAAGTGATACCGCTTAATGAGACTCCGGGCACTGGAATCCACATTGCTGGAGGTTAGAACCAGGTAGCCCTGATCGTCGATGCGCATGAACCGGCGCTTCCACAGAAGAGTGTCCGGGAACTGGACATTGACTTCTCCAATCTCGACAGCCTTGACAACCTCCGGGGGTGCAGTTGATACGGGCTCCTCTTTCGGGAGAGGCTCTTCTTCGTCCTCTTTGACTGCAGGGCTGGGATTCCGGAGAGCAGTCTTCCGTGAATTGGAAGTAAGTGACGACATCCGTCGGAGAAGTCGAGAAGTACGCGATTCTTTCTTTTCCTCCGTAGGAGTAGCGGGCAGATCGGTTATGGGATTGGATGATCGTGTATCATCCCCCTTGGAGAGCGCTGATAACGATAATCTGCTGTTAGAGCGAGATAATACGGGAGGCAATGCGCCATGAGCCGAGCTTGTCGAAGACACGGACATGCTTCGCTTTTCTGATATGGCAGGCACAGGCTCATTTTCGGTCTCTGCTCCTGGAATGGATGGAAAGGCGTCTGTATTCTCACTTTCAACCGCCTGGTCGATTGGCTGAAGACTTTGCTCCTCGGACGGCCCAGGAGTATCAGTTGGGATTTCCAAGGGTTTTCCGATCAAAGCAGGCTGCGGCTCAGGATTGATCTGAGTAGTGGTTGGGGGAGCGTTGGTGGGTCCCGACGTGCTCACAGAGCTGTGGCGCTTAATAGTCGAAAACCGCGCGGAGACATTAGCTGGGACAGATGGTGCAGCCAGGGACACGTGTCTAGAAAGCGATGGTGGCTCTGGAAATCCAGCGGCGAGGGACATGGATGCACGTTTGCGCAGACTCTCGAACGAAGGGGAATTGGAAGCCGAGGAAATATTAGGGATTGAGCTTGTTGGCGGATCTCGGCTGCTGGAGAGCTTCTCGAGGGCTTGTATCCGCTTCGAGATGCCGGAAGACACGGTGATCTTTTTCGGCTTAAGCACCGGCGGGCCGTTACTGTCCACGAAGGAGCTTGATGCAGATCTGCCGACAAACATGGCGGCGTGTAGATTAGAAGTCTGGCGCCCCGCGGTGATCGGATTGGAGACCGCTCGGGTGTTATGCCAGGTGTCGGCCGACGTGTGATCGTTGTCGCCTTGAGGGAAATGGGGCGACAACGGGGTCTTGCCGACGGAGATCGGCTTGGCCTCCTCGAGCGTAGCACTCTTCAACTCTTCCATAAACGAGTCGTCCGAAGAAAGATTATCGTCGTCGGAATAGTCCTGCGGTGGCACCTGGATGGGCTCAAGGTAAGGCTTCCGCTGCTGTTTCTGCGGTTTATCTTGCCCAACCGGGCCTTCTGAGACGTCAGGAGCTGCCGTTGACTCTTTTGGCTGCTCCTCTTCTACCCCCAAACCATCCACCACCGGCGACAAAGATGTAGAAGCGGCAGATTCTTCTGATTGGAGTTTATCCCCCGAAGTCTCTGGAAGGGGAATAGTCTCGGAGTGGATGGTTAGAGTTGTTACTTCCTCATGCCCAACGGGGTCCGGGATGACCTGTGCGGGTTGGGAAGAGGTTTCATCCTCCATAGCCTGTTGAGAATTGCCAAGTGGGACTTCAGCCCCGACGCTAGGCGGGTCCGTGCAGGGATTAGTTTGACTATCTTGCCATGGCGATTCCTCTATCGCTGGCATTTCGATCTGTGCCTCGTCGACTTGGGGGGGGTGATCATCGCCGTCTAATAGCGTGACAGGTTCAATAGGAGTGGTGTCGGCCGTAGAATCAATGGTCTCTTCGCAAGATTGGTCTTGATTCAGGTCATGAACCATCATGTCAACAGCAGAATCAGGCTTCGAGAGGTTTGGCGAGCTTGGGTGGGCTTCTTTCAGAGCTTCAATGCTCTCAGAAATCTCAGCGGTCTCTGGAAGTATAGCAGCCTGGGATTCGATAGCTGGCTGCTCAAAGTCATCCGCTGTGGCGTCCGATGCCTTGCCCTCCTGACGATCTGTATTTTCCAGACGAGGTAAATCTCGTTCATCGTTTTGATCTAGTGCGAGCTCTTGGGTTTGTTGAGAGTCCAGAGGAAGAATTGCGCTTTCACTGTCACCGCCGCTTCTTTTCGATGCGTCATTCTGATGATCCTCTTGGGAACCTTGAACATATTCAGTAGTATTTTCCTTTTCTTCACTTTGTGTCAAGGCCGATTTTGGCCTCTCTTCAAAGTCCAGGAAAGGATCCTGAACTTGTGAAGCATTTTGTTTCTCGCGATCCACTAGCACGGGGAGCTTCTCCTCGGCAATCTGTTTCTTCCTCATCTCCTCAGCTCTTTTTTCCATCTGTTTCTTGCGAAGTTGAAGAGCCTTCATCAGCCTTTCTTTTTCCGGGGTCATTCCTGATGATGACAGAGCGCTCATGGACTTGGCACCGGGAGACAGCTGCGGTCTAGAGATCGGGAGTGTCGGAGGCGGCACGAGTAACGGCAATACTGGGGGCACTCGTTTAGTCGGTAGTTTAGGGCTTGGCTGGGATGGGGGACGCGCGCCATCGGTATTTGACTTCCGGGAGGAAGGACGGACGCCGGCAGGTAGAGATGCAACTGGGCGGAAATCATTGCTGCGAGTCATGGTACCTGCCGTACGTGGGCGGCCATTAACATCCAAGGAAGGACGAGGCGCCCGCTTGACCTTCATCGAAGAGTATGTAGCGACGACTTCCAGGTCCCTTAACGATGGGCGGGCGGACTGGGATGACTTTCGCGGCTCATATGAAGAATGCGAGGAGAGATCTTCCAGGAAATGCTTCGGCGGAGACGAAATTTCAGTGACCTGCTCCACCACTGCGTCTGGCAGTTTGTCGTCTGTCATGACTCTCTCCAGTTCCCTCACACTCCATTTATCTATATCATTGTTGTCTTCTGGGAGGCTTGGTGCTGCTCTCGCGGGGTTCCGCGGCGGCACGACGGTAGACTGTGATAGTTGGCTAAATGATCTTTGGCGTACAGCGGGGCGAGTCGACGGTGGTTGCGACTCCGATTGCGTCTCTTCCTTCCCAGTGGTGCCTTCCTCCGCATCCTCTGTGATTTCCATCAACCTGCGACGGCGTAGGGAACTTGACGAGGAGGTGATGGAGCCCGACGCCGCATGGAGCAAGCACGCAGACGAGAGGGCGCTTTCGGTCAGCTCTGACGGCTGTGCGAGCGTGAAGACACTGTCGTGCGGCGAAAATTTGTCGAGCACGGATTGGAATTGAACGGTTGTCCGGGCTGTAAGGGCGAGCGAGCCAGTTAGCAACCAAAAAAAGGACAGAATAGAACACAGTTAACAGGTGGGATCTGTGTTACCCTGTATCAACCTCGACAGCCCTTCCGGCATGTACCTCAGCACCACCTTCCTGCGACGATACTGAAGAAAGCCATAGAGGGGGGAGGTCTCTTCGTAGCCCTCGATGGTAACCCTGATCTCGGGCACCCCGCCAGTCCCCCGACCGAGGAGATCGATCTCGTCTCGCGATATATAGTTGAGGAGGAACCTGTGGAAGTCGTCAACCGAGCGTGTCAACCCCCTGGCTGCGACCAGTTCACGGTTCATCTGTAGCAATAGAAAAAAACTTACCATCCTCCCGCCTCGGCGAGCGCAGTCTGGTAGGCTTCGATGACCGCGGGATTATCTAGCCCATTGAGAGACATGGTGGGTGCGGCATTGGGGACAAATGCCTACTCGAGTGGTGAGAAACCACAGAACAAAGGAAATCCCAAGATTGGGGAATGAAACTAAGCAAGCAAGCAAGAAGAATAATGGAAATAAACGAATGCAAAACTGTTCGACAGCGTAGGTGATGAACTGCCTACTCCTAGAGGCTCATTCGTTACACCGGCGCCGAGCGAGAGGGGGGGGCCTCCACGGAGGAGCGAGAGTGGCCTGCACAAGAGGGCGTTTTGGACGACTGTAGGTTCTGGAAAAAGGTCAGAACCATGTCCCTTGCGGAACGACGAACCCAAAGCCTCGGACGCTATTCCGGGCGTCGAGCCTGACAGCAGCAATGACAATTCTCCTCAGGCCGCGAGCCCGGACTGGTGGACAGGAGTTCAGGGGCGCAGGTTGAGATCCACCTTGGACACTGGACAATGGTTCGATTGTCGAACGGCGGAACCAGACGGGCTGGCGTGTCTAGCGAACCTTGATGATTCTAGCCATGAGGTAGTTAGGAGGTAGTTATCTGAGTCTTGCGGTAAGTGAGTAACTACCTAATTGTCAAGTCTCAACAAAGGTAATTATCCAGTCTTCGGTCACGATGAGCGAATACTCGATGCCTCATTTGCAGATTGCGAAGATAACCAGTCTATGACGATCACCACTCAATTAGATAGTAGTTAATCTGCATCGTTGAAAATTATTTCTTCTCGATTGCTAACTTCTCATAGGTACAAAGTAACTAGTGCAGAGTAAAGTACAAGTAGAATATCTCGAACTCCATATAAAATGCGGTGAGGGCTTTTGTAGAACTGTTGTGTTCGCATCACGCCAGGCAGCCCTTGCAGAGTCCAGACATCCATGGAAGAACATTCCTCACGTCCAGCATACCAACAGTTGAATCTTATCTTGGACTCCATGCAAAATCCTGCAGAATGAAGCAGACATCTCCTCAACTGCTGCCAAAATTCTACCATGCTGAGTTCGCCGCCTGGAGAGCTCCGCCCCGCCTGGCCTCGGCGACCCCCGATGCGGGGGATGGCGATAGCTAGCAAAATAAGATGATAGAGGGCATCCTCTCCTCTCGAGACTCACTTAGTTTTATACAATTTGTTGCTTCTGACCAACGCTGCAGATACCATGTCTTCACTCCCCGTCCCGTCGTCGCTCTCGTCGCTGTCTCAAGACGAGCAGTGGCGGGTTCTCGATACCCTCTTCGAGCCCTCACCGGAACTGCACACCCTGATGGCGCCTGTTCTCGCAAACCAGACGTTCTCGTCATACGCGTCATTGATTGACGCCGTACGAGGACGCATGTCTGCACTGTCGGCTCCCAACTCCCCGGTAGACAGGGCCGTTTTGCACGGGATCCTGGGATCCCATCCCCGTCTGGGACGGGCCCCGGCGTCTACCAATGAGCATATGAGCGAGTTGAGCAAGAACGAGCAGGCGAGGCTGAACGAAGGGGCAGAAGACCAAGCGGAGAGATTGCGGCAGCTGAATTCCGAATACGAGGATAAATTCCCGGGGCTACGATTCGTGTACGTTATTCCTCCAGTGACTGAACTAGCTCGTCTGTATATACATGTTTATCTGAACGCCTGTCCAGGACGTTTGTCAACGGCCGGAGCCGAGACGTGATCATGACGGAGATGCGACAGCGGATTGACCGAGGCGATACCGAACATGAAGTCGAGGAGACGATCGAGGTGAACATCGCTCTGTATCCGTGCTCTCCGTTGTATAGGATTTGTCCTCGATGACTGATTGAGATGTTGCTTTTGCAGGCCATGTGCGATATCGCCAACGACCGTGCAAGGAAACTCCAGCAGTCATGAAACGAAAACACATGATCTTGGCTACGCGGCGCAACTAAGAGGATCTGAATCTTACTACTCCGTACGGAGTACAGTGGCTAACCCACATGCCGCGTCCCCCGGGCAGCGATTCTGATTCGCATAAGGCCATGACAGCTCCGCTACTAGATAGACTTCATTTAGTCTGGAATCACATCCTGGCTTCCTCTCGGGTCTTGGCAGGGTCTGGACGGCTCCTCGGACTTACGGCCGTCGGCTGTAAAGACAGGTGAGCCATATCGAACCAATCGAGATGATCATCAGTCGTGCATTCGTGTGTTCTATCGCTGTAGCTTAAGAAGAGCACCCGTGCTGTGGAGGAAATCCCCTGGTAGACTCTTCTATTTTGTACTGTAAGCAAATCGCTGCGGCTGAGCGGCCGGATAAAAAAACCCCTTGATGTCATCCATCTCAAGGTGAACCATCCGAACGATACCGTGACATCCGGGCGACTTCAAACGGGTGGATTATTTCCTTTTCTTTTTTTCAATTCCCCCCCTTTTCATCCTTCTTCCTCTTTTTCTTTTTTCGGACTCATCGCTTGACGCAGATCACCACAAAGCCACCCACATGCGCGGTCTTGCGGCCCGGCCTGCAGAATGGTGGAGGGTCTGAAGGCCAAGGGAATTGACAACGCTGGTGCCCCTCCCGCAGTGGTTTCGCGGTCCTCAACGTCCCCCGCACTGCCAGTCCGCCTCGAAGGGCACCATGTAGCCAGCCAGACGGGCAGTCCGGCCAGCAGCAGGCCTCCGCCGCTTCGGATCTCCCAGACGTTTCCTGTCGGTATGTAAAGCAACGAGATAAAGGGGGGGAGGGAACCCTTTTATGAGGGCGGTGGTACTCCGTACGCATGTCGGTCGCAGCTTACTGACCTGTTCGGCGCATGCATCAGCTTCGCACACGTCCGACCTCGCATCCAGCCCCAGTCAGCCGCAAGATGTACAGCGACCGGTCGTGACGCGCGGGTTCTCAGGAAGCCCCGTGGCCAGGAACTCTCCGTCATCGTCCGCCTTCTTCGAAACGAGTGCCGAGTCGAGTGCGATCGATCCGTTATCCCAGGTGAGAGGGTGCATAGAGGGCAGGAATTTTGTGGTTACGTTGGTTTAAGGAAATGTGATCGCTGACTGGCTTGCTTATGATCTTCCAGCACATCCTCAAGCGGACCAATACCCAAAAGTCGATCCCGTTGAAGCTTCTGGGGAGAGCGTCGTACGAAGCGGAAGCGGGCGGAACAGACAGCTACAACGCAACTGAGCAAGGCTCCAATCGGGGGGATGCAGCCACACACCCCAAGCCGTCCAAAGACAAGAAGTGAGTTGACACCTGCTTTGCTGTTTGTCTGCAGGCTGCAGCTATGATGTTATACGGCTCTTTCCCCCTTCTCCTCACCGTCGCTTTTGTGGTGGATTGTCATTTTTTCACTTGTTCTTAGTCAATTCCTCAAGCCCTGCTGTATCGCAACCAAGCTGACGGAATCGCAGAAAAGGCGTCTCTTTTCTCAGCAGGTTCATCGGAAACAAAAAGAAAGAATTACTCTCCGACGTGGAGGATGATGCGACCGAACTGGAGACAGGCCGAATAGATACCGGTGCCGCTGCACCCCCGATCGGATTCATGCCTCGATTCCCCCCTCCTCCCAAATACCTTAAAGTTCGCGCGCCGCACAAGAAGGAGAGGACGTTCAGCCGGGTGTTTGTCGCCCAGGAGCTGCAGGGCACGGCGACCCCATCCGGCCAGGTCCATGAAAGCGTCTCCGAAGGATCAAATGAGCAGCCGGATAGCGGTAAAACGGGCAAGGCTGTCTGGGCTCTCGAGTTCTCCAAGGATGGCCGGTATCTCGCTGCCGCCGGCCAGGACTGGAGGCTCCGGGTTTGGGCTGTTCTGTCATCGCCAGAAGGACGGGAAGAAGAAGTCTACGGGGAAGGAGACGAGACGCTCGATGACCACGCGCCGAAGCAGCTCAAGGCCCCCGTGTTCAACTCCGAACCAGCCCGAGTGTACGAAGGACATACTGCAAGTGTGTTGGCCCTAAGCTGGAGCAAGAACAATTTCCTTCTCTCCTCCTCCATGGACAAAACCGTGCGCCTGTGGCATGTCACCAGGTCGGAATGCCTATGCTGCTTCAAACATAGCGACTTTGTGACCTCGATACAGTTCCACCCTCGCGACGACCGGTTCTTCCTGGCGGGATCGCTGGACACCAAACTTCGCCTGTGGAGTATCCCTGACAAGAGCGTGGCCTTTATGACGACGGTGCCGGACATGATCACTGCCGTGGCCTTCACGCCCGACGGCCGGTACTCTATTGCGGGATGTCTCAATGGGTTATGTACCGTCTACGAGACCGACGGTATGAAGCCCGTGAACCAGATAAATGTACGGTCGGCGCGAGGTCGCAATGCCAAGGGAAGCAAGATTACAGGCATCGACACTCTCGCTCTATCTCCCGATGACCCCCACAGCGATGTGAAACTGCTGATCACAAGCAACGACTCCCGAATCCGAATGTATAACTTCAAAGAACGAACTATGGAGACCAAGTTCCGAGGGAACGAGAACACGAGCAGCCAGATTAGAGCCTCGTTCAGCGACGACGGGAAACACGTCATTTGCGGGAGCGAAGACCGTCGAGCCTACATCTGGCCGACGAGTCCTGTCGACAACAAAGACTCGGACAAGCGCTCCTTTGAGGTTCTGGAGACGCAGTCAGCCATCGTGACCGCCGCGATAATGGCACCGACAAAGACCAAACAACTGCTGGGTCTGTCGGACGACCCAATCTACGACCTTTGCAATCCTCCCCCAGTCACTCTTGTCAGCCAGACGGACCCAGCCAGCACGCCAAAGCCCGGCAACGGCGATCAGCGAGTTCGGACTTCTATGCAGGGCCCACGACCCTCTGCCGTGAATAAAGCGGCCCAAGAGTCTCCTACATACATGGCTCGCTCAAATCACCCGGGTGGGAACATCATTATCGTTGCCGACTACGCTGGGAAAATCAAAGTGCTGCGGCAAGACTGTGCATTCCAAAAGCGCCGGCACGAATACGGAGATACAGGGTCAATCTCCCGACGGCTTCTGCGACGCACGAATTCTGCCCGCCACAGCATTGCATCGTCAATCGGGAAGGAGTCATCCCACAAGACCCCCTCGGAGCGGATCCTCTCGTGGCGGAATTCGGTCGTTGGCCATGAGCGGTACAGCGTGGACGGGTCGCGTAATGGGAATCGAACCCCTCGGAGTATTTCTCCACGCAGATCGGGTGCTGCCAACAGGTACTCTAACCCTGTGCCTGCTTTATCGGCAAACGACCGACCCGATAACCAGTCGCTCTCCACGGCTTCACCGCCACAATCTCCTCCTTACACCAAGTCATCCGTGGACAGCCGCTGGTCCAATACAGAGGTCGCGAGACAGCTCGCTTCCCATGCATCCAGTGCTCGTCACCCGCCGTTATCTTCAACGACGATCGTAGCCAACGAAAATCCCAAGAAGGACAATCCCCTGTGGCTACAAGGCGAGCAGAGCTATGCATACTGGAACAAGATCACCCACGATGCGCTGACAGCCAAGTCGAAGGTGTCCGCTTCCAACATGCTCTCGCCTGACCGCATCCCGTCTTCTCGGCGGCGGAACTTGAGCAACGCCAGCGCCCTGAGCAGTGACTATGGCTCATCGAACGGAGATGATAATGAAGTTCTGCAATGTGAAAACTGTCGGGGCACGAATTTCCGCGCCATCAAGGCAAGGAATGGCAAGCAGAGACTGATCTGTGTGCGATGCCACAAGCCGATCTCACAATGACTGCATGATTAAGAATTCTCTTCCCCCCCTTTCATTCCATCATATCCTTTTCTCCACTGTATTTTTTTTTTTTTTTGAAAACCTCTCATTGCATGTGTGGAACGTGTCTGCAGTATATAATGGCGAAATGTATTTAGCAATTGCATAGATGGAGTAAATAGCATTTACGGTATACTATAACTATCCAAGAGAATTCAAATGCCAGTATGAATATGGTTTTGCATCGAGTTCTTTCGTAGTATATCTAATAGAGAAACTCCATGCCAAGACTTCGGATGAGACTTGCATCCACGTCTCTCTCCACACTGGAACCATCGTTATCAACCAAATTCACCGACGTACAGAAGACGCAAACTCCCGACTACCCCCCTTCTCACTTTGTCGAACTTCGCCTGGAAAGGAAACGATCACAATGCCTTATCTCCCCACATCCCAGGCATTTCTAGAACAGTCCTGCCTATTACTCGAAGCATATCCGGAAACGGTACGCGCGACAGATCATGGGATCTTGTGTTCCCTGCCAGAGACAAACTATAAAAGACAATGCTAAAGATAAGTGCTTTTTAGACTCGTATCACAGCCAAATACAACTTCCCCTCTACACAAACCCGGTCGTCACGAAAGCCTACATCCCCCACCACGACGAATGGTGCTTCAAATGCCCCCGCCGCCCCCGTCGCAAGCCTGACGCTGAAAACTTACGATCCGCGATCGGGCGTGTGTTTGAAATACCGCACCAACAAGGTCGCAGAGGTTGGGCGGCTGTTCACCTCCTTCGGCAAGCTGGCTGCTGGGGCGGACGTTGCGAGCCTGGGGTTGACGGGTGCCGCGGCGCCTACTGCTGCTACGGCGGATGTCGAGATGGGTGATGCACCTGCGTTGGAAGAGAGTGCCGGTGCTGCTGCTGGTGCTACGGGGGGATCGCAACAGGGTGCTACGACAGGGGCCGGGACGACGCCGGCAAAGGCTGGAGGGGGGAAATCGAAGAAGAAAGGCGGAAAGGGAAAGCGATGATCGTGTACTTCACACCTTGATGGAGCTTATTGAATGGGATAGGACAAGCGATATAGCCCGCTGGAAACCTAGAATCAAGCTCCGATACGCATGGAATCCAGGCATATAGACCAGTCTCGGATGATAGAACCATACCCAAATATGAAAATACACAAAGACAAAACATTAGCCTTGACTGCAACTCGAAGACAGTTATCCAATGTACATCTTATTGAATTATCTAGATAGACAGCGGCCACCCTGTATTTAATCATTGGACGCAAGTATCAGAGTACAGGACGAAAATCAACATTTTAGTACATGAAAAAAGAAAACAACCCATTAAAACTCCATACCCATGCGTAACACTTGAGGTCATCAATATAAAAAATTCAAAAAGGGGCAACAAACAAGACAGGGGGGAGTATCAATAATATATGCAGTGATAAAAGACCAAGGGCGAAGAGACATCTCTAAAAGTCCTCGTCGAAGCTGAGGCCGTTGTTAGCTTTCGGCTCTTCACCCTCTTTGGCTTCCTTCTTGGTGCTGGCCATGACACCGGCCTTCTGGTAGTCACCGACGCGCTTCTCGAAGAAGTTGGTCTTGCCAGCCAAGGAGATAGACTCCATGAAATCGAAGGGGTTGGTCGCGTTGTAGTACTTCTTGTTGCCGAGAGCCACCAGGAGACGGTCAGCGACGAACTCGATGTACTGGCGCATAAGTTTGGAGTTCATTCCCAGAAGGGCACAGGGGAGAGCATCAGTGAGGAACTCCTGCTCAATGCCAACAGCCTCAACAATAATGTCCTCAACGACCTGGGGGGAGGGGCGGTTGTTGAGGTGAGAGAACAGTAGGCAGGCGAAGTCGGTGTGCAGACCCTCGTCACGGGAGATGAGCTCGTTGGAGAAAGTCAAGCCGGGCATCAGGCCGCGCTTCTTCAACCAGAAGATAGAGGCGAAAGAGCCCGAAAAGAAGATACCCTCAACGGCGGCAAAGGCAACCAGACGCTGGGCAAAGGTGGACTCCTTATCTTGAATCCAGCGGATGGCCCATTCGGCCTTCTTGGCGATGCAAGGGACTGTAGAAACGTTAGGTCAACAGCAAATTATTTCTAAAGTGGCGTCCAACATACTGGTATCGATGGCATCGAAGAGGTAGGTGCGCTGCTTAGGCTCCTTGATGTAGGTGTCGATGAGCAGGGAGTAGGTCTCAGAGTGGATGTTCTCCATCATGATCTGGAAGCCGTAGAAGCAACGGGCCTCTGGGACCTGAACCTCGCCGCTGAAGCGCTCCACCAGGTTCTCGTTGACAATACCGTCGGAGGCAGCGAAGAAGGCAAGGACATGGGAAATGAAGTAACGCTCATCGTCGTTGAGGCGGTTATTCCAGTCGTGGAGGTCTTTGGACAGATCAATTTCCTCAGCAGTCCAGAAAGACGCCTCGGCCTTCTTGTACATCTGCCAGATCTATAATTGTGGAAAATATTCCGTTAGTATATGGGTTTGGTGACGCGAAAGTACTTAACGCGCGACGCGTCGGGATGACACCCCCACTTACCTCGTGGTACTTGATGGGGAAGAGAACGAAGCGATGGGGGTTCTCCTGAAGAAGAGGCTCATCGGCCTCTAGCGTCTTGATGCCAGGAGCAACCTTGGGAGCCTCGACAGGCTTCTCAGCCATGGTCTTGGTAGCCGTCGCGTCAACGATGGGAGTCGACACGGGCGCGTTTTCCTTGCCCACTGCCTCGAAATTGAGCTTCTTCACGGGCGAGTCGCTCATCTTCAGGTTCTCGAGGGACGACACGGCCTATAAATCGAAAATCATCAGTATACACGTCGGCTGCGACGCGTCCACCTTAAAGGCGACCGCGGTGACATCACGAACCTGCTTCGAGGGAGTAAGCTGGGCAGCCATTTGTACTGATGTGTGACAGGATCTCAAGGTGATTAGAGGCAAGTAACAGAGGCTCGCACACACAGAGAAACAGGAGGAATGGTTGCAAGTGTTAATGTAGAGAGTAAAGTCGCGTTGAGCGAGGAGGAAGAGGCTGCAGAAATACTTGCTTCGGACGAGGAGCGTGATTGCTAGCGCGACGGGCTAAGTCACGTAGCACGTGACTTGGCGCGCTTTTTGCACTTCGGCGCTCGGGCGGAAAGTGGTTTTTGCTCTCGTCGCGTCGCGCAAGCAGGACGCGACAGGGGGGGAAAACATCCGCTTGCCCACAGACGATCATCATCGCCCAGCCCTGGATGACTCTGGTTCTGGCGTCATGCCATGCCATATTTGGCACTCACTGCCCACTACCCCCCCACTGTCGCTGGCCAGCCACAAGGGGATGAAGGTTACGATTCGACAGCACCACGCGTGAGCGTTTCTCTTTACCGGGTTTGGGCCATTCCTTTCGGATCTTACCAGAGCCGTGAAAGGGGACAACAATTTTTGATTGGAGGCACCTTGACCCCTCACTAATCCCGTAATTCCGTTTCTCAGGATGTGTGGGCTCAGCTGGGCTTCACCTCGCGTGCGACGACCTATAATCTCGCAGACCGTGGGGGAGGCCTAGACGTAATGTGACTCCACAAAATGGGTACCATCCTGTGTGCAAATTTGATCTCGGATCTGATAAGGAGTTGAGAGCCTTGTTGTGAGTCTGGTGGGTTCAATTCAGGCAAATGATTGATCAGATCACAGGCTCTAGTTTCTCCGAGAGTGTAGCTCCAGAGTCATACTCCGGATAACACGGTGGCGGCCAGCTGAACGCCCAGTCTTCCCCTATCTTGAATTGGCATAGCATCATCAATGGTTTCGGGTCGTGTTTCTTTGTATGACATTGAGAAAAACAACGCGTCTGCCCGCCCGCCCTTACTGAGCGCGTTATTCTTTGTGTGCTAGGAAACCCTATCCTTGCAGACGGAATCTAGGATCTACAAAGTATTTGGCAATTTGCCTCTTCTCAGGAGTCAACTTCGAGGCTTGATCAGGATGCTTCTCGCTGCATGCATGTCAAGTCGTGTAGGGCAACCAATATATCGATTTTCTAATTTCGGGCAGCAAAAGAATGACAGGTCAGAGCTGTAATGTCTATCGAGCTATTGATTTGCATTCCCATGGTTTTTGATACTTATATGTCTAATTATTTGCAGGTGTCAAATCTATAAACGCTGTTAAGGCAGCGATGGACCGATCTGTACCCGTGTTCAAAGCCGACCATTCGTGCCAGCCGCGAAATGATCCTGGTCTCTCTCACACAGATATTCTGTACAGGCAACAAGAAAATAGCTGGCGGAACAAGATATCGAAAATTAAAATCTTAGATCTTGTCTTTGATTGATTCGGGAAGCATACGATCCTCCAGTCGGCGCATGTACTTGGTCGTCTGCTCCGCCAAGCTGAGAGTCAGGATCTAGATGTGCCGTCAGTTTCTCGATCATACCTTGCTACGAATATTCCTCATATGGATGACACTTACTGTATGAGGGAGAATGCGAGCAAGATGAGCAAAGTAGCCTTTATAGATTGCAAAAAGGCCTTCTGTACTAATTGTTTTATACAGGCAATCAAAGACACCTTTGTAGAGGTTTCCGGTCTGGTTATACAGGCGGGACATAACGGTGTCTGACCATCAAATCAGCTTTCTCGCATAACCGATTGGAGGTGAGTCAGAGGACATACCTGGAGGGTGCATCGCACAGCAGACAACGAAACCGGAAATAGTGCTGCTGGCCAAGTGCAAAGCCGGTCCATCCTCCATTCCCAGGTGTTCAATCAGGCGTCTCTTGGCAAAGAAGTATGTCGGCAATTGAGCAGAACTGCCGAAGCCCGTGCGAATCATGGCGGCGCCAACACCTCGGTACAAGCCTTTAAACCCCTCACTCTTGTAGATCTTTGACAGGCCATCGAATGAATTGCGGTAATTGTGTTGCGTGCCGACGGGAAGGAACGGCGAGAAAGATTGGAGGCGCGTCTTGACAAGGAAAAATGGTGAGCCAGCAGCTGCGCCGATCACACCCGAGGCAGCGCCAGAGAAGACATTGATGCCCAGGGACTGAACGGATGCATCGTCGTAGATGGCCGTAGTCAGACCAGTGCGTAGGGGTTCATAGAATCCGAGGCGGCACCCGTTGAGCAAAATCTGATAGCAATACTAATCACCATGTTCGTCAATATCGACTTCAGCAATCAAAGATAGGGACCAAAGTTCCTTACAGCAGACCCAATACCACGGAATAAGCCTCGAGGTCCCTCATTCTGTAAAATCACTTTCACACCGTGTAAAACACCCCGGTATTTCTTCACCGCCTCGGTCTTGGATTGCAGCTCGCCTTGTAATTGTAAGCTGGGAATGGGTCAGCCGGCTGGTCGCAAGGGATCGCGCGCGAATAGTCATACCGAATCTTGACCGTCTCGAAGCTGTGAGTGACCGTGACTGCTCCACAGGCCGCAATACCGCCAGCAATAAAGGCACTGGTTATAAATCAGCTTGGTCATATCGCCTTGAAACCCTTCCTCCTCGAGGCTTACCCTGTCGTAGTGGACATGGCGGAAATTGTATCGCTCCGTTTGCGGAGAGACGAACGGCCCGGGCTTGCGCACTTGTCAAGGTTCTGTGGGTGGAAAGAACAGAGTTAAGAATAAAAAATGAAGGGTATAAGGCAATATAAGTGAAGAGCGATATGACTCAATGGCAATTTTAAATTGTCATGCTAAATGATATCAGCAATAATCCAGCCTGCGTCCAAAAATCTGAGGTTGCAGATGGAATCCTAGCTCCGCCATTGGGCAGCGGCTGCTCCGGCTTTCGGGGCGGCACCACGTGAATTCCTCCCAGCGCCATGTACTACATGATCTCTCGGCCATAGAATTCAGGTGTCTAATTACTGGATCTAGCAACTACCTCCTTGCAGCTCACCGCCCACAGGGACCGTTAACGGAGACACCGTCTCGGCGTCTCGGCAGCGGGAAAACAGATCGGAAGCAGCTATCCATTTGAATTGTCTGTGATTGGAACGCGTCAATACCCAGCACCGCGTAGACTGCAGATAACTGTCAAACTGGGTCTGCTTCTAGTTTTTTCTCTACCTGAACTGAGTTCCCCAGTATGGCGGAAGTTCAGCTGCCGCAACAACCAGCCCAGACGACTCAGAAAGTCTCGGATATCGTTCATAGTTATCGACCGACAAAGGTTGGTGGGCAACCCGGAGTTTTTGCTGCTGAAGTCCCGGGTCTAATGTACGAATTGTCTGTCTAGGCCTTCCGAACATCGAAGCAAGATGCTCCAAACTATGTGACATCGCTGGACTTTGACGACCAAGGAGAATTTCTCGTGGCTGCAGGCGACGACGAGACTATTCAGGTGTTTGATATCAAGGAGGGCAAGTCGACGAAGTCGGTTCCGAGCAAGAAATATGGCGTTCACCTGGCGCGGTTCACCCATCATTCTCGCCAGATCCTACACGCGAGTACAAAAGTCGATGGTATGTCTATTGTTGAAGGAGACACTGCATGCGATGACAAGTTACTGATAACCAAAAGATTCCTTACGTCTCCTCGATCTTCATAACGAAAGCTATGTTCGGTACTTCTCTGGTCTTTCAGACAAGGTAGTAAGCCTGGCTCTATCTCCAGGCAGCGATTCCTTTATTTCTTGCTCCAAAGACGATTTGGTCACACTCTGGGATCTCGGTTCGCGCAATGCTCAGGGTAAACTGAAACTTTCGACCCCATATCTCGTCGCCTTCGATCCCTCTGCTTCTGTGATCGCCATTGCCTCACAATCGACCTCGTCTGTCCTGCTGTACGATTTCCGCAACTATGATAAATCCCCGTTTTCTACTTTCGATCTGGCTGCATATGAAGAAAGATATACTCCCTCGACCCGTGGGAGAGCCTGGACTCGGCTTGAGTTTTCCAATGATGGGAAGCTTCTACTTGTTGGTACCGACTACCACGGCCACTTCGTCCTTGACGCCTTTGAGGGAACCCTCAAGGCCTTCTTGGTTGGGAAGAACGGGTCGTCTGGGCGAGCCGCACCCGTGTCAACTACGGGGAAGCCGCTTGGCCAAGGCGATGCATGCTTTACTCCTGACGGTCGATACGTTATTGGAGGTGCGGGCGATCAATCAGATGTTCTTGTCTGGGATACCCATCAGACCCTTGATTCTGGTTCTACCTTGCAACCAATGACCAGATTACCTCATCGCAACCGAACGGCTATTGTCGAGTGCAATCCACGATACAATATGTTTGCAACAGCAGATAAAGAAACTGTCTTCTGGCTTCCCGAAGATGGCTCACGCCCCCCCGAGAAATAATCTCTCGGCGTGCCCGGGGAAAGACCTGGTTGTACAATGAAGGATACAAGAAGAACTCAGGCAAATCATATGTTTGTGTTTGGGTAAGAAAACAGGTCGAGGGCGATAATCTAATTAGAAAACGCACATGCACTCTGCGAGGCGGCAACTCATTTTTTCCGGTCTTTCTCCTTGCCAACCAAACTCCTCGCTGTGTCACAGATCCAAACATGCGGTCCCTCTAGGGCGTCATCGCTGCCCCTGTGTCCTTCTACTACAGTCTCAATCTGTTTTACAACAGTACGGTTGCTCGATATGGTCGTTATCCCTGTAACCCAGCCATAGAAGAACACACTTTGGTTAATATGAGAAATCGTCTCGGCCAATAAGTGGGCTACTGGGGGCAATTTCCCATGCGTTAAAGCACTGCTGATGACTGTCTTCGCTTCAACCACCCTGATGGGGAGCTTCCAGTCTTGTGGAACTGAGTGATCCGAAAGTTCCTGATACTTTTGGAAGAGTGTTTCCGGGTCTGCATTTTGGAAGCGGAAGGCACCCATCATGATTTCAGTGCGCTCCTTCTCTGTTTCAGTTCCAATGGTTTGCACGATCTCCCGGAATCGCTTTGCAGCTTCTTCTGTGCAAACAAGCTCGTGGCCTCTTACAGCTGGCCAGAGCTCGAGAGGTAGTAATGGCTTCTGTTTTTCCGCATCAATCTGCCTTTTTATGGCTAAATGGTGGTTCGGCAGAGGGGGAATATGTTTGAAGTGCGATAGATCCGAAACCATGGCAAGTAACAAGGTACAGTCCACATTCAAGGTGGGAGTGAAAGACTTGTAAGGGGTTGGGAGGAGATCGGAAAGGTCCTGTTCTTGATGAGAGTCATTATCCGGGCCTGGTAATGCTGTCTCTTCCAGCGGTGCGCGCATTGCACTCGGCATGTTATTTCCACACACAACTGTAATGTCATATCTCCTGATCACCTCCAGCATATGATCAATCTCAGCCACTTTACCTTCCTCGATTTTTGGAAGCACAAAGCGTATGCGAGGATGCCGGTATCTGACTCGCGTGGCGTTCGCTGCTTTCCTCATACCAGCAGCCAATTTGATCAACTCGATCTCGTCATCGTCATCGCTCTCGTGATCCTGGCCCTCATCATTGCTGTCGTAATTCCGTAGGATAACCCTCTGGCTAGCACTGCCTTCTCCCTGCTCACCATCCGACGATGCATCCGTATCAACTTCCCACCCTTTCTCCGCTATTTCAAACAGCAGCCGGCTCTCCGGCACCGTAGACACCTTCACCCACTCTTCGCCCCCATCCGCAACGATGTCCACCAGCACACTCTTTCGCTTGTTCTTGCCCTGTCGCTTCCCCTGCGACCTCTCATCACCGTCCTGCTTCAGGGCGCTCTCCCCGTCATCCCAGTAGAATCTCTTCCAAAAGGCAACTAAACCGGTACAAGACGTTTTGGCGACCGTCCACACAGTTTCGTAAAAGGGGAGGTTCGACGAGCGCAATCCGTGCGCAAGGCGCAGCTGGGACTCATCATCATCATCATCATCATCCCCCTCCTCAGAAGGATCATGGAGCAAAGCAGGCGTCGACGACTCGATCTGACCCTGCAACTTCTCAAGCGCTCTGATCTCAGAAACCAGATTCGAGCGCATCTGTCTAACTTCGACGAGCTGCGGGTTCCGCATCGTCTGCTTCACCAGCGACTGAAAACTGTCCACCTCAGATATGAGACGCTCGCATTTGCTCAGTAGTCCGTTCACGACTATCAGGCCGGGCGACTGAAGGGAAACGTGGAAGTTGCTACTCGCATCTTGGTCGACTGCGTCGGGAATGGAGACTTCATTGTCTATGGTCATGGAACTGGCTATCTGCGATATGATCAGGCTTGTATGGAATACCGGGCATCAGAGTCAGACTAGGTGTTTTCAATGGGTGTCAGGGACAACAGTCTTGGTTTAAAAATTTGTTTTTTCACTACTACGTCAGCACGATGGGCAAAGCTATGACTCAATTCAGGGTCCCACTAGGGATAAGGCTGATTTTGATCCTAAAGAGGGGTATACTTCAGGTACCTAACTATGACTGAAGTTATACAGTTAATTACACAGATAAACGCGACAGAATTTCATTAAAAATAATAGCGCCAATAATGCTGTTGAATACCAAGAAAACAGTAAACCCCAAATACTAATTGATAGACAAAAGCTTATTCCCCGTAAATCAATATCAGTACAGAAAAGTAAAGGGACCACTGTGCACCCGTCCGCGTTGAAGCGGCAAAGATAGCATGTCAGGCTTGTCAATCATTGTCCTTTCCAGTCAGTCTCCTCCTCTCACTCGAATTGCGCGGAGACTCGTCCTCATCGTCGGACCACTTGTCCGCGTCCTCGCCCACAGCGAAGATGGTCTCACCGTCAAGGGATTCACGATGCTGAGGAGCTGCGGGCACAGGCTTCGGAGGCATCGGCGACAGATCGCGCGCTGCCCTAGCACCAGAATGCTCGCCTGGTACAATAATATCGCGTTCTTCGTCTAGGGAGCTACCAAAAGAGCGAATTTCGAAACCATCATCATCTTGGGCAATCTAGAGCAAAGATTAGCGCAAGACCGTGGGTGGTCTTTAGATTTGGTGATACATACCTCGTCACTCATAGCAAATCGTCGGTTGTTGGCAGTTGGTCTCCAGAGGTAAGAGACAAAGCCAATATCGAAAAAGTAGACAATGTTGAGCCAGCCATCCAGGACAAACCACCGTGATCTCCAATGTTCTGGTACAAAGTTCGCCTCGCTGTGGCCAGCAAAAGCGACAGAATTAAGGAAGAAGAAACCGAAAATGACAATGATGCTGCCGAGGATGCACCACCAAAGCTTCTTATACATCATTGCTTTGATCTTCTGTTTCCTGTCAATGAGATCCTTCATGGTCGCGTTCAAAGAGTTCAGCGTCCAGACGTAAAATGCCGTTAAAGTACCGGCAAGAGGAAGGACGATGAGAAGCACAAGCGGACCAGCGCTGTCTGGGGTAATTGCCAAGCTAGCAACGGCGTATATGACGCCGAAAATGAAGTGTCCAATGGCAAGAAAACGGACCCAGATCATGGTACGGCCAAGAGAAGGCTTCACGACACCATATCCCATGCAGACAATGAGGAGAAGGAAGAACGAGAAGGAGTTACGACCAGCATTAAGAACTGCGACGATAACCATGAGCGCCTTTGCGACCATGTTGAGACCGTGCCGATTTTGATAATCTAAATATTATGTCAGTAAATACAACCATCCGAGATAAGATCTAGCCATACCATAGAAACCCCATGTCATCAACTGCTCAAGGATGAGGAAAACCAGGATCGCTGTGATATAGTTTTGGACGGGCACTGTTGTTTGTCAGAAGGATAATCACCACTGGAGAAGCAGGCTTTTCTTACAGATATCATGGCGATTTTGCACATAAAGCCAAGCCCAGAAGCTAGTAAAAGTCAGCAGCGTTATCTAGATTATATCGAAAATAGGAGCCATACATTCCAACAACGGCGTAAACAATGGTCAGCGCCCCATAGAAAGGCAGCTTCGCGATTTGCGCTGCAGGAAGTTCACCATACGAGTTTCTGAACTCCACCACGGCTTTATAGTCATACCCAGAGTAGGCATAAGTGCTCACGCAGTAGAACCCTGTTTTCTTGATTGGATAATTCACTGCAACCGGGTCCTTCAGGTGTATGGCTTTGGATAGGATGGGGAACTTGGATTTCTCGTTGGCGTCTGAAGCAAGGATAAAGGAGCCGATCTCCTCTTTGGTGCAAAGGCCCGCCTCGACATTGGCGGCATCGCATATAGTTTCTTTCTGCAACAACGTTGAGCAAAAGGGTATAAACGATATTTCCTCCAGCAGGGGGAACAGACCTCCGCATCACCCGATCGTGCCCTCCCAATCAGTTCCTCATCTGACCATTCAAATATCACCAGACTGACGAGAGCATCACTGTCCTCAGGGAGTGTTTCTTGGACAAATTTGGTTAAGATAAAAGGATCCACGCTTCCGCCCCAAGACTTGCGACTGTACATGCCGGAGCATCGTTGTCTGTGGGCGTCGTCCTGTTTCTAAATGGGAGATGATGATTAGATTGAAAACCAGAAATCCCATTCAAGAAATTCCACAAACCAGTTCAACTTCGTTGGCTAGGATACGCCCTGCCAATAGAGCCCATAGGCCCAGGGTCGGGAGGAAGCCTTTCATCGCGACCGCAGCAACAGAAGTGCCCAGGCGGATTCCGTATCAGAGAAACGTCAAACCCGATAATGGGACATAAGAAGAGGAAGCAGAGTAGAGGATTCAAGTCATCGAACGCCTGTTCTGGTTGATGATTATCGAGGAGCAATCACTGTCAATAAGATAGCTACCTCACTACCAGCTATCGTGGCTAGTAGAAGGAAGCCGCGCGTTTGGGCGGCCCGCCAATGATCGGCTGGCTGAAGCGTCACCGACTCCGCCTGTTTCTGGGCGATCTGGAACACTACTCTGAAAAATTTCCTGATCGATACAATAGTGACAGCAGCCTATTACCCCGCAAGAGAAAACATGCCTGGGAAAGAATTATCTAGCCCTTGTGTGGATTGCCACGATGTAGAGTCGATCTTGACTGTTCGGTCGCGACGCCTGTGCAGGTATGATATGTTTTCAGATTCTCTTCTCGTCCGACCACTGATCCCCTCTTGTGTTCATAGAAATTGTTTTGTCCGCTATGCCGGGGGCAAGATTGTGCGTCGCATGGAGAAGTTTCGCCGCCAACCGAAAAGTAGCCAGTACAAGCTGCTTCTTCCTCTCTCCTACGGTGTTTCGTCCTCGGTTTTGCTACATATGGTGTATGCGCAACTTGAGCGTCAGCGGGCCAATACCTACTCTCCGACTGGTTTTGATCTGCAAGTGCTGGTTGTCGAACCATCCACGATTTCCGCGTTCTCTCCAGCATGTGAAGAGCGTTTTGAAACAGTGCAGAAGGCATTTCCCGCGATTTCCTTCACTCAGGTTTCATTTCACAGCATTTTCGAATTCGACCCCAATGTTCTGGAGACTCTACAAGAATTTGCAGGCTCAAGTTTTGTAGACGATCCCTCGTTGCCGGCGTTAGATCGCCTTGAGAAATTTCGCAGATCTATCACCACTTCAACCTCGCGGACCGATGTCGATAATATCCTGTTGATCAGACTCGTTGTCGCATTTGCAAAGGCGTCCGGTTGTCAGACAATCTTGTGGGGAGACTCGGACAGTCGTTTGGCGGCCAAAGCTTTGGCTAATGTAGCGAAGGGCAGAGGGTCTTCGCTGACATGGCAAGTCTCAGACGGTATTTCACCGTGGGGTATTGAATTCGAGTATCCGATGAGAGATCTGTTCAAGACCGAACTAGATAATTATGCCAACCTCTTCCCGGAAGTGAAGAGCTTCGTCATTCCTGATGCACCAATCTCGGAAAATATCCTCACAAAGAACCTATCTATTGACGAACTCATGATGCGATACGTTCAAACCCAGGGTGAAAAGTATCCTGGGGTCATGGCCAACGTGGCCAGGACGGCAAGTAAACTCCAGGCCTCGGAGCTACGTTCTGGGCAATGCAAACTGTGTGGTGCATCTACCGCCAGTGCTGAAGGATTGACGGGCGGTACTACGATATCGGAAGAGAGGGAAATTCCTCGGTTCTGCCTCGGGTGTGCTAGGTCTCGCCCTATGCTGGACAACTAACAAGTCTGATTTGATCGGTCAAGCAAAATACAAATACTGAAATGTATTAAATGACAATACTGAAATGCACTCCAGAGTGTGAAAACCAGATTGGATGTCCTATGCTCCTCCACGCTCAACGTCAACAGGTCTTTGCTTTGATCCTCCGAACCAGGTCTTGTTGGACCGGCTTCTATCCATATGTCTGTCGGCCTGCGGCTCACTCGGCCTTCGTCCATGATTCCGAGACTCCGCATGGTGATTGTTTGCGGCGCTGGATTGATCATAGGTCGGGGGATCTCCCAGTACACCATCGTCGTACCTGTCGAATTCCTCTGCCAAGCTCGCATCGACGATACGCTCGTTTGGCCTTTGCCTCGAGAGAGTCTTTTGTCCCTTTTCTCGCAAATGTTTCTCGAGAAGTACAGCGTTCCTCGTGTTACATTTGTACAATGCATCTGCGAGATCTCCAACGAAAGGAACCAGACCGATGAAGAAGTCGATCATCACATTCATTAACATCATCATGCGAAGACGCCCAGGGAGCCCTCCGTCTATCTTCCCGCAACTCTCCACGACCATCAAAGCAAGCGCGGCATCTGCAGCATCGCCCGCACTAAACAAGAAAATGACTGTCAGCATCAAGACGAAATTTCAGTGGTGACCTACTACTTACAAAGGGATGAGGCCAATCACGCTGCCATATCCAAACCTGATTCCACACAGGCTGAAGAGACAGAGGTCTAGCCGATATGCTCTGCGCTTCACTTTTGTAAGCACCTTCGCATCGTTTTCTGACAACCCTGGTGGGATTGCCTTGCGCCTCTTTCGTGTTTTTTTGCCGAAAGTGCGGTATAAACGAGACGCAGGGACTTCCTCGAAATAAGGGTCCTATGGAAGGGGAATTCTATTAGAAATTATATTGCATAAAATTAAAAGGGAAAATATATTAGATATATCACGCACCTCTTGTCCAAAGTGATTCCTTGCTGTCTCTCCCAATATCCTCTTACCTACCAAGGATGCGAGTGCATTAGACATCGTCTCGTTCGCGGATCCCGATGAACTTCTATATTCTTTTCAAATCCAAAAAAGATGCAGATAGTTTAAAATGAGCAACTTTCAGATTATTGAGTCGAATATCCACGGTAAAGTAGAATCAAGCCAGCATTGATGTTCGCGTCAAACGTCAAAGTAGGGTAGAAATAGGAATCACTGTTGTTGTACAGAGTACACACAACTCTTTATAAGGTAAAATCCGAAACAGGTTTGAAAGAGCGACGCAGGGATGCCAATAAAAATAGCTATGGACAGGCAATAGGCCTGAAAGCGCCCACAAAGCGCCGCCTACTAGCACTCAGTATGTCATCGGCGCAAGAATGGGCAACGTCATTGATCAATCGGAGCGTATGTCACTAGCCACAGTTGTGGGTGCCCAACCAGTTCACGATGTACGTAATGGGCATCTGCTGCGCCACATTTACCAGCCGTCTTTGGGCGGCTCGGCCCCAGCTCACCAGAAGCTAACTGACCTCACTGTTGATCTTTCTCAACCACCACCGCGGCTAGTTGAGACGCTCAACATCCCAGCCATTACGGTAGCCCCTATCCAGAGTTTTCGACCAGTTGGCCAATAAAGCGCTGCGTCGAAAGTATTCGTGCTACGTCTGGAAGATTCCGGTTAGCAATACGGTTCAGGGCTGGCGCTTTCTCAGCACCTTTCCTTGAGCTGCATCATCTCGACTTCTCTCGCTCCGAGTCGGCAGCTGCGGGGGAGATACTGCCTGTACAAGACCGTATTTTGAAATGCTTATATTTTTCAAACATGTCCGAAACAAAAATGCAGTTAGAAGACTGTGGGTCTTGTGCTCTTTCCGCCGTTGTGCGAGGCTGGCGATAGTGTACTGACTAGACGGGACCAGGGCTGGATGACTTGTGTGTTCGCTTTATTATCAACTTACCCCGCGAAGAACTTGAGTCGGTGGAACGGATTTGTTTCCAGGTAGAAGAGGCACAATGGTTTTACGAGGACTTTATACGACCGCTCGACCCTGGGCTCCCGTCTCTGTCCCTCAAAGCATTCGCCCTCCGGATTTTTCAGCACTGCCCGCTCATGTCGCAATGGTCTCACTACCACCACATCACTGCATTCTCCGAGTTCCTGGCTTACAAGACTCGAGTACCGGTACGTGGGGCCATCATGTTGAATCAGGACATGGACGAGGTTGTGCTTGTCAAAGGTTGGAAGAAGGGTGCCAACTGGAGTTTCCCCAGAGGTAAGATCAATAAGGATGAGAAAGACCTCGACTGTGCCATTCGCGAAGTGTATGAAGAGACAGGCTTCGACATTCGCGAAGCAGGATTGGTCAAGGACGAAAAGGACGTCAAGTTTATTGAGATCACCATGCGGGAACAACACATGAGGCTCTATGTTTTCCGAGGAGTCCCGTTTGACGCCCACTTCGAACCACGTACGCGCAAGGAAATCAGCAAGATCGAATGGTATAAACTTTCGGAACTGCCAACCTTGAAAAAGAACAAGCAGCAAGATCAAGGTTCTGCAGCCACCAATGCGAACAAGTTCTACATGGTAGCCCCTTTTTTGCATCCGCTCAAGAAATGGATCGCTCAGCAGAAGAAATTAGAGACAAAGACGTTTTCCGAGTCCAAGCAATTTCTGCCCACTGAGGAGGAAATGTCGATGGACGAGACTCCTCGTGTTTTCGGTGGAACCCCAATTCAACGCTTAGGAGAATTGCCTGCCTTGAGTGATCTCCCAGAAGTCACATCATCGCAAGATGTATCTTCTCATCTCAAACGCCTTCTGAACATCAGTGGAGCACCTGCAGTACAGGCTGCTCTGCAGCATGACGAGCAGCTACAGGCTTCGAAGGACTCTGCTAAATCGGATGCTCTTCTCGCCTTATTGAGAACGAGTACTCAGAACCAATCTCTTCCGCAAAACCCCCGTCCAGTCGATGCAGTCCATTCTCAGCATGCATACCCTCCACCTGTCGGTTTCCCTGGTTTTCCTCAGCAGGCTCTTCGTGCCACCGGACCGAACTCGGTTCCTCAACCTCATATGCCCTTTCCATGGCATCATGGCCACCCACATCATCACATCCAATCTCCTGTCAATCTTCCTTCCATGGCTCAGGATGTACACCAACAACAACAGCTTCCTTTTAGACAGCATTCTTCTCCCATTCGTACGGAGCAACAACCCCTTGGCTATCCTGGAGCATCTCGAGGTCCTATCCTTGCTCAGTCGCTCCCTCAAATCCAAAGACAGCCTCCTGCACCATATCAGCAAACGGGAGACCCGCAATTTGCGCAACCTTCTCAGCCGAATCATACTCAAGGACTAACAGTACCTCCTGCTAGCAAACTACCGCCGCCAAAACTTACAAGCCATTCCTTGGCGCTTTTGAATGTCTTCAAGGACGAGAGGATCAAAACGCCTCAGCCCTCGATGGCAAACATGGTGCCAGGTATGGTGAAAGAGCCTGTTGCTAGACGAAAGCCTTCGCAGCATCAGGATAATCTACTAGGCTTGCTCAAGGGGGCGTCTCCATCCCCTGGTCAGCCAGTCGAATTATCTGCCCATCAAGATAAGGCGCCTCCAAAGCAGATACTTCAACGGCCGCAAGGCGATGCCAGTCACATAAGAAAGCAGCCTGCGGAAGACACAAAGGTTTCTGCAACCGTATCTGGACCATTGAATATGCCTCAACTTGATACTGCTATACTGCGGTCAAACAAGAAAGCAATGAATGGGTCAAGGCCTCAGAGCAGAAAAGGACAGCGAACCCAAGAACTTGCCTCACCAATCACCATCTTGACCAGACCTCAGGCAGCAAGGAGGGATTTTTCAGCTCCTGTTGAGCGACCAACCCACAACCATTCACAAGCTCGTGCCGAGAAATCTCATGTCCCTGAACCAGCAAAGCCTTTTCAGCCTCAGATCCTTCGACGCGGAGAAAAGCCTGGACTCGAAACTTTCTCGACTGATCAGAAAAAGGACATGAATACCGTCGATCAATCGAATGCAGTTCTTCCAGTAATCCCAGGACGTCAGCAGGCACCGAATCAAATCAACTTTGACCGCCGGCCTAGCCAAACTTCTGCCCAGAAAGAGGCATTGCTGTCACTTTTCGGCAAGCCGGCCACTGCTGTCAAACAGCACCAGGTAATGCAACTGGAGGTCCCCTATTCATCGCTTAAAGCCTCAACGGCATCTACCCTGGTTAGCCCCTTGTCGCCATCTCAGGTGCCTAGTCGCCATGGGTCTATCTCGGGCCTTGGAACTCCGTCTGAAAGCGGATCTTTGACTCCAACTGCCAATCGAGTTGCATCGCCGGTGAACAAGGCATTTTTGCTGGGATTCTTAGAAGGCGTTGCAAAGGGAAGCAAGTGACTTCAGTCTCTTTTGTATTATTCTCCTTTTCAGCCGGTGAAATGAAAGGTCGACGCAGCGCATTTCAATATTGCATTTACCTGGAGGCATGAAGACAGCCATATTGGAGGATTGCCAGGATTGTATCAGAACTACCCTTCATAAATCCGAACGTATAAACTTTCTGAACATTATTTAGTGGTTTCCAGCAAGTAGATAATTACAACATTGTACTTCGTAGCTTTGCAGTAATGAAGTTGGTACTATGACATAAATAGTTTATTCTGCCGCTATATGCCGCCTATATTATATCAACTCAACTCGCATATAATTCTTGTGCTAATCGCATTCACCTACGGCAGAAAAATACGAAAAATGCGGCCTCGAAGACTAACAAGCTCGGTCTGCGCCCATTGCATTGGGGGGAAACGCCCTTTCTCGACACCATCGCAGCAAAGTCCCCCGTTGAAACAGGATGAGCTGCCTGCTTCCCCGCCAAAGGCTGGCTTCAGTCGGCTAACAAACCGGGGGTTGATATCCATCACAGGCATTGATAGCACAACCTTCCTCCAGGGTCTAGTCACACAGAATATGCTCGTTGCAAATGATCCGAATCGATCAGCGCGACGAACCGGGTGCTATACCGCTTTCCTCAACTCCCAGGGACGGATACTCAACGATGCCTTCCTCTACCCATTACCCGAGGCCGGTGCCGTGGAAGGGCAAGGGTGGTTGGTTGAAGTGGACAAGAACGAGGTGACCAGTCTCATGAAACACCTGAAGAAGCATAAACTGCGCGCCAAACTCAAGCTGCGCGCTCTCGATGACGGAGAGCGGACCGTGTGGTCGTCTTGGAAAGACTATACCGAACCCAGATGGGCAGCATACAACCTGGAGTCCGAAACCGCTTCGCCCTTCTCGCCTCATTCTCTCATAGCAGGTTGTCTTGACACCCGTGCCCCGGGATTTGGATCCCGTATAGTTACCCCCGGACCGGACGACCTGCGAGCTCATTTCCCGGACGAAACGCATGTGGCAGGCTCGGAAGTCTCCCTAGGCTCATATACCGTGCGTCGTATGTTTCATGGTGTGGCCGAGGGTCAGTCGGAGATCATTCGCGAGTCTGCGCTGCCACTCGAGTGCAACGTCGATATGATGCGGGGCGTGGATTTCCGCAAGGGCTGTTACGTCGGGCAGGAGCTTACCATCCGCACGCACCACACGGGTGTGGTGCGGAAACGTATTCTGCCTGTTCAACTGTACGGGACAGATCAGATGATCACTACCTCAGAAGACATATTGTCGTACGACCCGACGACGGATCTTGCGCTGCCGCCCAGCGGCTCAAACATCTCTAAGGTCAGCACCCGTAGAGGTCGCAGTGCCGGGAAATTCCTAGGGGGGGTGGGGAACATCGGTCTTGCGCTCTGTCGTCTAGAGATGATGACGGATATTGTTTTGACGAGCGAGGGCAGCCAATATACTCCTGGCCAGGAATTTAAGATTACCTGGGAAGGGGATGATGCCGCATCCCAGAAGCCCAGAGAAGTGAAAGTCAAGGCTTATGTGCCGCAGTGGCTACGAGAGCATATCCTCTACGGCGGTGTGAGGAAAGGCCCGTCCAGGACATCCGATGTCGAGGGACAAAGGGCACGCGACATGGTCGAGCAGCTAGGAGAGGAGGAAATAGCGCAAAGGCGGCTTGAGTAATGTATCTTTTTGGGGTGCTGATGGATATGTATTGATTTGTGTATATTATTATAGATAGATGGGTCCAAATCGAGAAACCAAATGTCACATTAGATAATTACATGGGTATCTTTGTAAAAGCAAGAGAGATAATGCTAATGTCAAACTCGCCTGTATGCAAGCAAATTTATATCTTCTTCATCGGTCATGGCTCGTTTAATTTTGATAGCTGCCCCCCCCTGTTATTGGTGGGACAAGAGGTACACCTCTGACAACTCAATGCGCCTGATTTTGAACAGCTGCAGCCTCAGCTGCATCTGCAGCTTCGTCTTCTTTGCAGAGTTGCTCTTCCAAGGCTTTCCTCTCTTTCTCCCGCTGAGCGTTCTTCAATCTCATCAGCGTTAGCTCTTGGAAACTGGGGCCAGTTCCTGCTGGTGTCTGGCCGCCAGCAGCTCTAGACATACTTGCCGCGGCAGCGGAAGAAAATGAGGTGAAAGACGGCGTTTTGCCAGGTTTCCTGTCAGATGTGTCTGCGGTGGCCTTTTTGGCTGCGGTGAAGTTAAAGCTGGGTTTGCTAGGTGTAGGAATGGAGGGCGTTTCTTGGACTGAAGGCGCTGCAGCCTCTTCTCGCGATTGAGAGGAGTCATCTAAATGTCCGTTGAGTGCCGTCCCAAAATCGGGCGTACTTCCTGATGCCCAGACAACTGATTCGATCAGCGCATAGGTGTCATCTGCGAGTTCAGGGCTCTGTTTCTTCTTCCTCTCACTATCCACAACAGCTGCGTGAGCGGCAACTATCGAGGTATAGACAACGACGCACGTGGCCACCGTCTTCTTCTCGCGTTTGTCTCCAACTCGTTGTCTCTTGTCCTTAAGCATAAAGGTATTTTCAACTTTGCCGAATTGCGAGAATAAGAGAGCAAGCTGGTCTTTGTCCAGGGCGAGACCCCGACCTTCACGGACCCAGCGTACCTTAACCGCTCGTTCGAGCTCGGGAACATTTGTGCCGCCCTCTTGGGAGCGATCAATACGCTGACTGCTTCTGTCCGAGGCCTCCTGCGCCTTCTTCTGTTCCTCTTGCAGTTTCTTTTCTTCTTCCTCCACTTCCCTTTTTAACAGTTCTTCTGCTTCTCTTCGTCTTCGACGGCCATCTTCTGCAATCCTCTCGATCTCGCGCTGCAGCTTTTCCTCTGCATCATCGCCATCTAGCCCAGTCGTGGCAGCTGCAGACATCCAGGAACGTTTCACGCCTCGTTGAGCACTCATTCCAGCAGCCCCAGCTCGTTCTCTCGCTTCTAGATCCTCCCTCATCTTTCTCTTCGCAGCATCCATCATATCTCTCTCCCGTTGCTTCCGCTCGCGCGCCTCCCGCGCGTTATCGTAGAGCTGCCGAATAGCAGGGTCGGATAACACATCGTAGGCAATCTGTAGCACGTGGAACTTATCAATATCTGCAGGTGTCGGGTTTGCGATCTTATCCGGATGGTACTTGAGCGCGGTTCTTCGATATTGGCGACGAATCTCCGATTCCGTCGCCGCGGGTGAAACCTCGAGGAGCGCATAGAAATCTTGGTTTGAGGCAGCGTGTGCCTTCAGATCGTCTGAGGGTGCCATTTCGGTGGCTTTGTCGGTTTCGTGTGTGATCAAATATCCACTGAAGACTATTTCTGGTAGCAAAGGAGCTTTTCAAGGCTTCATTCACTATACGCGTGGAAGCTGGGATTTGTTCCTGAGCGTGGATGCGTAACGCCGAAGACGGAACACTCGCTAAGGGGAAAAAAAGTAAATATTAAGCACTTTCGCTGGTAAGTATGAGATATTTCACTTGTTGAGTTCCTAGTTGATGACAGCTGGTAGAGCTTTTATTATCAAAGTCTCTTTTTGCCGCTCGTGCCTGTTGGCGGTGGCGGGAATGTCGTTGATAGCAGAACAGTTTATGCTTTTTTCTAGAACTTCAAGACGAACCCCATTCCAGGATCTTATTAGTATTGAAAAATTAGTCGCTATAATTAAGCTTTGACTTCGACATATGGCTTCGGCTATGTTGCTTTCCACAAAGCGTGATTGCAGGCTTGAGGTAGCATACAATGCTGGCCCCATATCAGATAGAAGGGATGATGGATTATGATTAGGTGATTCTAACTCAGAAAAGAACTATGAACTATAATGAATCTTGATAGAAAATTGCAAAGCAGTAATGTCATAAATACGATGGATGATTAGTAGATAGGTTGAGTTCCCTTTACAGGTCCTTTGTTGCACGTGTTGCCTATTTAGGACTTCTCCCGCTGACCTCCATGCCCCGGAAGGCACCTCCTCCCACCATCAGCAATCGAGTTAAAGGCGAAGGACCAAGGGCTTCCCTGACTTTTAGATGCGCCTGCAGACACCTACCTTTGAAGCCATATTGCCCGAAATGGCTGTTACGTTATCACTAGCCCAGCTAGCGCTGGCGATGGCTATTGTCAAGTCAAAACCAGGGAACCTTGACATTCAGGGTCAGGAGACACTGTTCATTGAATGCATTACAAGCTAATTATAAGTTCTGACTTTCTAACTTAGACTACGCCAAGGACTTCCGTCGATATATCACACCCCTGGAGGACAAACTTCAACAGGAAACTCGAGACAGGTACTTGGACGGCGCTGCCTTTTGGCAACAAGCCTACGAGAAGTCAGAGGCCGAGCAAAGCAAGCTTTTTGACCGCGTTTACGAGCTGGAGCAAAGCAACTTTGCCCTTCGTGAGAAGCTGGGGACAAAGGCTGAGGGAGAACAAGATCCAAAGAAACGCAAAGCAGCTGGCCACAGGGATGACAATCCAAATCGGAAGCAAGCAAAGACTCATATAAATCCGAAACAACAGGGACTTTGCAGCTTATCAAGCTTGCTAGAAGATTTTGAATACCTGGAAGAAAGTCTGTCGAATCTCACAATCGAGCAAGCGCTACGTACTCACACTGATATCAAACCACAGAGAATGCTTCCTTCATGAGACAGTTCTACAGCCTCCAGCAGGTACTCCAGAAAAGGTCGACCTGTTATAATATCGTCCTGGCCAGTTCTCGTCTTTCTAGGATAGCTACAAGAGACTTGTCGTACTGGCTGTCGCACGAGGTTAGGATCAACATTCAGTCAAAGGCAACATCAACACTGCAAAGCAAAGAGCCAGACTTTATATCAATACTGGGCTGCGTGGGGTATGCGTGCCAGCTTATATATCAGGCGTTGAGCAAACTCTCTGGGATGAATAATGGCTTCCGAGATGTCGGACATATTATATATCAGCAGGTCTGCCTGTTTGAGGCAGCCATGAAAGTTTTACAAAAGCAATGTAAAATGACTGCACTTGAGAAAAAAAAGAATGATCCTCAAATGCCCAGAAAGCAGACAAAACTTCAGCGTGCAAGGACGACCCGCACACGGCCTTCCACATCTTCAGAGCACACCAAGGACGAGATAGCAGCTGAAACTAGCCGACTTTTAGGTGGCATGGTACTCTCGCTCAATCTTTCTATCAAGTCGCACAATGAACTTTTAGAGGGGTTTTTATATATTCTAATCACTCGCGTCGGACAACTGCTATCCCTGTTTGTGTTTCGAGACCTTCAACTCCAACCGAACCTGCAGGCTAGCCAGAGACAACTTCCTCTGCCACATGGGCTACTAGAGACAGATCTTGATGAGGCCTCTTTCAATGGTGCCCAGAATGAATCGAGGCTTCTGGTCTGGCTCCTCGAGAGGGCACTGGCATTCCTTGACACCAACTCCCCTAAGCACACTCGATCAACCAAACAAAGGACTCCACTATCTAAGGTCAAAGACAGACTCTGCGCCACGCTGATGGGAGCCGTCTTTGGTTCCAAAGACCCAAATTTCGAAAAGTCACTGCTCCATCCTCAGGTCCCAGATAATACAGAGCTCAACCGGTTGATCTCCGTACAGGTGACCGAGGACAACGTTCCCAAATGGTTTACGCAAGAAGTCTGGAGACTGGTGGGATGGGAAGCACTCATGGAGAAGCCAGCCAAATAGATGACTTCATTCCCGATTTCACAAGGCCATCAGAAAGCACTAATGGTTCGACTATACTATATGGTTCGACTATACTATATTTATTTCCTCAAGCTGTCAAGTGATAATTCGATATATGCTAGTTCATGATCTACTTTAGATCCAAGATCCGCACTGCGTTTCCTCCTAGGACTGCAGAGATTGAATCCGCATCCCCGGCGAAGGAGGCGTTGATTGCTTTATAATTTGTGGTTACACTGGGCCAGTCTTCGCCCTCTTTGTCGTCTAGTGGTGGGAAGAAAGGGTGATCGGTTCCTATAATAAAAGCAAGTGAGCCGTTAAAAGAGAATGCCATTTAGTTATAGAAGAAACCGATATACATACCAAAGAGAAGTCGATCAGCCCCCCCAGAAGCCTGCACTGCGGCTTCTAGACCAGCTTTCCCGTAGACTACGGCGTCCAAATATATATTGGTTCTGAGGATATCCCATACACTCCGTTGAGGACCAGGGACGTTGCCTCCATTCGCGAGGAACTTGCGTTCGTGGAGGATGCAACTCTCAATGCGGCCAGCGAGGAATGGCAGCGTGCCTCCTGAATGAGCCAGGAGAATTTTCAGGCGAGAAAAGCGATCGAATACACCGGACAACAGCATCCGCGTCACTGCAATGGTGGTCTCCAGCGGGAACCCAAGTGCCAGCGGCAACACATGGCCGTATCGGTTCGTTGCATCTGGTCCCCCGAACGCTTCGTCAGGTAGACCGTAGTGTGGATGTAGAAACAGAATCAACCCAGTCTCCTGCAACGCGGCCCAGACGAGATCGAGTCTCCTGTCGTCTAACCCTTTGCCTAACCCGGAAGTTCCCATGATGACCCCCCGGATATGTGGCAGCGTCTTGAGCCGGTGGATTTCCCCGACGATGATATCTGCAGACGGGGCACTCAATGGCAGGGCTCCCATCGCGAAGAGAGTCTCTTTCTCATGCAGACCGAGCCTTTTCTCCGGATCTGCCGCGCTATTGACTCGCGCGCAGGTCCCCTCCAGATCATCGTTGATCCGTTGGGCCCAGATCTGCGCTTCTTCCGGTGCCAGAAAGTCGAGCCACGGATTGGCAAGAGAGATCACGCTCGAGTTGATACCGTGCTGCCGCATAAAAGCAAGCTTGACGTTTATATCCGAGTAGGACGTATCGACCGGCCGTCCTCGCTGATCGAGGGGGATAGACTGGTCGTCGTCGGACGACAGAATGATCAGTCTGGGCAACGCCCCGGACGGCGGATCGTGCACATACGGGACTGTCCGGCGAGCGCGCAGCATATCCATGTACGAGGGGGGGTACACATGGGTATGGATATCGACAACCAGGGGAGTCTCCATCGTCTTCGTCACGACTTCTGGATCCGGGGTATCTGTAAAGCTTACTCTGCAGTCAATACTCCGTACCGACCTCACACTCAATTCTCCATTCCCAAGAATTAAAGTCCTGTAGAGGTCCAAAACGAACCTTGAAAATACCTCTCGACACGATAATCAACCAAGGAGGAGTGTTGATCCTTAAACCCGTTGCATTCTTGTCTCATGCGGGGTATTTGTGATTGCAGGTACGAGAGACTCCTCAGACTTGCCAGATTGACTCTACTACACATTTCCCCTACCCTGGCAACTCTCTTATCTCGCTTCATCTGTCCACGCCCAATCACTCAGTGCTGTTTTATCTCGCACTGGCCATCCGCATGACCTCATCGTCTCATCTTGTCTATCCTGCACGGCGGTCGAAAGGGAGATAACGCCTCTGCTCTTGTCTCTTGAGTTGTCCTGCCATCGAGTTTCCAAATTATCTGCCAGATAAATACTGCTACATTGACTCGCGGGTTCAACGATAATCTGTCTTCCAACTTCGTTCTCGAATATCCGGGATGGCAGGCAGCGTACCAGCACAGGAATATCAGGCGGCTGGGGTCAACAAGGACGATGTTTTGATTCCTGTGAACATCCCCCCAGGTCTCTTCTTTTGAAGGAGCTGAAAAGCATTAAATTAAACGAAATTAGATGATCAGTTTCGCCCCGTTTCTCTCGGGAACGCCAGCCGAGAAACACTCTGTTGCAGTATTGGTAACCAAGGCCTTCCAGAACTCCGGGTTCCTCTATCTCAAAGACCATGGGATCCCCCCATCTGCGGTGTCGGTCATCTTCAAATCGTCCGCGCTATTCTTTGCCCGGCCACAGACAGAGAAGGACAGCCTGAGCTGGACGACTCCACAGTCGAACCGTGGATACGTCGGACACGGACGGGAGAAGTTGACGCTGCCAGAAGAAACGGGAGGCATTGACGAGCTGCGGGTGTCGATCCCAGACCTAAAGGAGACGATGGAGATCGGCCGGGACGGTGTCGACGGGCTACCGAACCGCTGGCCCGACCATCTCGACGATGAAGGGAAGGAGTTCAAGGTGGTCATGCAGTCGTTCTTTGAGCAGTGTAAGAGCCTCCATACTCAGATCATGCGGGCCATCGCCATGGGTATGAACCTCCCCGAGCACTTCTTCGACGAGTTTGTCGATGTAGGCGACAATAACCTTCGCCTGCTGCATTACCCACCCGTCAGCAAAGCTGTATTTGCGCAGAACCCAGGCCAGGTGCGGGCCGGCGAGCACAGCGACTATGGCTCCATCACGCTTCTCTTCCAGGACAATCGGGGCGGGCTGCAGGTGCGCAGCCCGAAGGGAACTTTTGTCGACGTGACGCCCATCGCCGACACGATCGTGGTTAATGCCGGGGACCTGCTGGCGCGGTGGTCAAACGATACCATCAAAAGTACCCGCCATAGGGTGATCGAGCCGCCGGCTACTGTAGATCATGATGACTCCGATATGTATCCAGCTCGGTACAGCATTGCGTATTTCTGCAACCCGAACCAGAACAAGTTCATCGACGCCTTGCCTGGTACCTATGGGGAGCAGATGCATGTCCCCAAAAAGTACGATGGTATCAAAGCTGGAGATTATCTAGTGCAGAGGCTGGCAGCAACTACTACTGTTTAATCCACCAGGTCTCCAATTGATACCTTTTTCCTTTAACGCACAAAGCTACTGTTCTCAGCATATTGCGTGGATTTAAGAATTTGTCAATGGTATGGAATTACTGCTGCAGATATATATAGTAATCAACTAGTAAACAGACGGCAAAAGACTCAAGCGACCACCGTCCGTCACGACGATATTTCCATTGATATAACCGCCCGCCGCCCCGGCCAGCCACAGGATCAAACCGGCCATATCTTCTTCGCCGCCACCTCTCATGACGGGAATCGCTTCGCGCGGAAATGAGCCCTCCGCGGTCCCGGTACCCTCTATACCCTTGTTCTGGTACAAGGGCATCGCAAGTTCGGAATGGTACAAGCCCGGCGCCAGCCCGTTGACACGGATAGCGTACTGCGACAAGAGGGTTGACAGCATCTTGATAAGATGCGTCGCGGCAGCTTTGGAAAGACTGTATGCGAAGCTGAAGGGGACCATGCGGCTGTAACCGGCAATAGAGCTGGTTACCACAACCTGCGCCTTGGGTGGTGGGAGCATGCCCGGCTGTGCGGCAGGCAGATTCTTATTTGCCGCGTCCAGCAGCGGCAGGAAGGCCAGCACGGTGTAGTACGTGCCTGTGACATTGATGTTGAGCACGTTTGAGAAATCGTCCATCGGAAGCTGCCATAGGTGGTCTCGTAGCTCCGTTAGGGTCGGTTTCTCGCCATCCGGTTTTTTCGGGGGATGGATCATGGGGCCCATGATGCCGCTGTTTGCCACAAGGAGATGGACACGGTCTGTCTGCGAGGCAACAGCATCATACGCCGCCTCAAGGGACTCCTTGGATGTAATGTCGCCAATGATGGGGATGAGGGTCTTGTTCTTCGCGGCGGCTGCCGTCTCTTTGAGCACCTCCTCTCGCCGACCGATGATAAAGACTTTCGAGGCCCCATTCGCATCAAGCGCTAGTGCCATTGAACGACCGAGTCCTGAAATTAAAAGATAGGTGTTAACGACGGATTTCAAGAGGAATGTTAGATCTAGAAGCCCACCCACCACTTCCTCCTCCGGTGATCACGGCAACCAGGCCCTCCACCGAAAAGAGCTTAGATGCCTCGAGATGAGCCATAATTTGTCCAGTATCGAGATGTCAACTGCTTCAGAAATAGTATCAAGGTAGCTTTATATTTCGCTGCTCCAAGAAGATCATCGGTATCTGGTTCGGTCAATGCTCCGGCGATGTACCAAAGCGGGGGTTATCGCCATGGATGAGGCGGGGTAGATAAGCACGTCAAGAAGTAGTACTCTTATTGATCTATGTCGATGAAGACTATATGCGAGCTGCTGAGTCGATGAGTCTGGTCAAGATGTACCAGCAGCTCTCACGCAGGGTTCGTTGGACGAGGCAGACGCGGAGTTACTATATCTTCATTCTCCATCATGGAAGCATGCGAGCTGGAATAAGACTTCGTCAAGAACAGGTTAGAAGACCACTTACTGAGTTGTTTCAGCTGTTTTGCCTTTCCCAATTCTGCAGGTCAATTTCTTGTTAAAGGGAGATTTCGGCATGATTCATGTCCGGCAGAGGGAGGGAGGGGCCTTTTCCCTCTCCGACCTTCTGTCACTCTTCAACCAGCACACCATCACCACATCACCACCATGGCGCTCAAGTTTGGTGGAAGCACATTGAAACCCCCCAGTTCTTCCATGACATTAGAGTTTGTTGGCTGCCACGAGTATTTGGCGGCCTTCGATTCCATCGAAATCCTGACATTGCAGGCCTGAGATTTAGTTCAACGTCATCACTTCCGGCAGGCCCGACGCAACACCCACTTTCTGAACGCAGCCAATTCACCTGGAAAGGAGGCCGTGAAAGCTTCTACTATGAATTGAGCTATTTACGATAGTTAGTATTACATCGCTCGATATGAATATCTTGCTGCGAAAGCTACATCACTGCCAGAAAAAATATACCTCTATTACTATCTCCAGGGATAGCTTCAAGCTCTTTTAAGGGCTTTTTTGACGTGCAGGGGAAACTCTAGGTCTCGCCACTCATCTACGGTACCAAGCGGATATATACTCCTGTGTACCATATAGTCCTACTCCTGGTCCACTCTTTCGATCCAATTGCATCACCATCATATACCTGTTTTCATCAAGAGAAGACCTTTGGAAGCTCGGGGGTTCAGTTTGATAGCCAACTTGAAACTGCCATATGGCTGCAACCTTTCAAAATACCGGGATATTCCAACTATTGTATAATAATATCATGGCAACTCCACTTATTACTGATGCAAGCGGCTGCGATACAGCTCATCTGACCTCAGATAGGCTTCTGTGAACCGTCGTCTGGATGATTATATGCCATTAAGACGTCATGGGCATCCCTTCGTACAACAGTGAGGAGGTAGCATTGGACCCTGAAAGACGGGAATCTATTGCTATTTGGCTGACATGATTAGCAATCGGTTGCGTCAGAGGAGGATGCATACTACTCCCCTCATGATATATGTTCCCTACTTCCATGGGGGATGGCGTCGGTCATCCATCCGTTTGTTTTGTCCTCACCTGCGATTCAAACCAAGGGTTGACTGAAAGCATTCTATAATTATGATTTTGAAACCCTGCCTAGTCCTAGGCCTTGTAGGGTTCTTCCCCTTGGCTCAAGCCTACCCCAAGTGGTTTGTTGCTCGACAGACTACAGCCGGTAGCAGCCAGGCTACTGCTACTACTTCTGCCTCTGCCTCTGCTTCGGAGCCCCCTGTTGTCAGCTATGCTACTTCAGCGCCCCATACGCCTTTCAGTGGGACTGCCTTGGTGACTGGCGCCCTGAATGCCTCTTCAGTCGGGACGAACATCACTAGTCAGCCTGTGAGCCCGGCGGCCACCACCTATCCGAGCAACGGCCAGCTCCAAAACCCCGAGCCTGCTCCGTATGTACCGGCTGGAGGTGTCGGAACCAATGGAACGACGCCTACTTACAACGCCAAAAGCGACTTTGACTATGAGTCCTTGGTAAGTCTTGCTCCCACCACGCAATGAAGCTTCTCTCGTACTCATTGGTCGCCAGGCCCTTGCGCTCTATCAGGAATACATCGAATTGGATCTCTTCCGGGACGGGCTTGCTCGCTTCTCCGATGCCGAGTTCAAGGCTGCTGGCTTGAACGCCGAAGACCGATATCTGATCCAGTTCATGGCGCAACAGGAAGTGGGCCACGCGACGATGCTGACCAACATTCTGGGCGCCAACGCACCCAAGCAGTGCACATACAACTACCCCTACACGACGGTTGCCGAGTTTCTGGACTTTTGCCAGAAACTCACCCGTTTCGGAGAATCCGGGGTGTATGGGTTTCTGGCGCATCTAGACTCACGGGAAGCAGCCACACTGCTAACCCAGTCCATCACGACCGAAGCCCGTCAGCAGATGATTTTCCGGCAGTTCGAGGGGCTCTTCCCCATGCCTGTCTGGTTCGAGGTGGGCATACCCCAGTCTTGGGCCTGGACTCTGTTGGCCCCGTTCATCAGCTCGTGTCCCGAGAATCAGACGCGGCTGGCGTGGGAGAATTTCCCAGCCCTCTGGATCCTGAACCAGCCCAACCCGGCGCGAGTGAATGCATCTGCTGGGTTTAACGAGACTCTGGGTCCCGGTATCAATGCGTTGAACAGTACCAAGGTCACCGGCTCTGCGGCATGCATCAACAACACCACTCCCGGCAGCAGCTGCAGCCCGGCCATCACCAACAACCGGACCATCCCTCTATCGTACCCTGGCCGCCGAGTGTGGTTCCAATGGGAGTCTCCGGGCAAGCCTGTTGGGCCAAACAATAGCTATGTCACTACGAGCAGTGCGGGCACCCCCAAGTATGTCGCGTGGGTGACGCAGTTGAACGTGACCTACTCGTCTTTGACGGTCAGCAACAATTCTAGCATCGGCTGGACCACGCAGCCTAGCCTGGACACCTACGCCGGCGACCCCGCGATCAATGGCACGATGTTCGTCGCAATCACCGACGATGATATATATTTGACTCCATTCAACATCAGCTTGATTAATCCCCACGTTGTCGCCGGTCCTGCCATTTACCAGGCTGGCTAAAAATATTTAACTCCAACCGACCAGATACACGCAATGGGTTTAATGTACAGTAATAGTGGAAGGTAATAGGTAATAGTAATATAGTAGTATAATGAATTTGTTGCTAGTATTATTTTCCTGGGGCTCTCTAACTCCGGTATCTCCGGTCGATCTGCCACACAACTTCAAAGCTGAGCAAGTGTCCACTGATCCGATCCGTCTCACCACCGGCACTTGTTTTGCTGCACACAGGAAACACAAAGCACAATGGTGGATGGTCCCCGAAACCGAAAACAAAGACGAGCGGCTGCCAACGATGCATGTGGCGACTTCTCGATCCCCCTAGCCTACCCTCCCACCGAGGGAGACGCGCCGAAATCCAAAACACTGTATGAGGTGATCGCTGAGCGACAGCGAGAGCTTCAAGCGAAGCAGGGGATCTCCGCAGGACCCGATACCTTTGACCCCAGCAAACTTCCCAAGGGTACGCGGATGGTGACTGTGGATGGGAGCGGAAAGATCATACCTCTCGACGAGACAGACAGATCATCGATATCATCGACAGCAGAGGACGAAAGAGAAACAGAAACAGAAGGAGAAGGAGAAGAAGAAGAAGAAGCCATCCCCCCCTTCATCGACACCCTGCTTCTCTCCTTCCCCCTCTCCGCCCTACATCTGACACTCGCCTACCTCGCCGCACACCAGTACGCGCAAGAGATCCATCTGGGTGCTTTGATCCACGAGTCTGTGGTCATTGTGTTTCCCCTCCTGACATTCCTCATCCACCTTGCCCATGGCCATATAATATCTTTCGGAAAGAAAAACATCAACAACAACAACAACAACAACAAGAAGAAGAAGAAGGACGAACGCCCGCTTTCTACTACCCTGCTGCAACTCACCTTCCCGCCGCGAACCCTCCTCTTCCTCCCATTGGCAATCTACCTCGGCGCCCGCCTCATCGAACTCACCAACGACGACCCATATTACGCGGTGATGAAGCGGGCGCCCGCCATCGGCACGATGTGGGTGTGGTCTATCCTCGAGATGTCAGTGGGGGGGGCCTTTCTGGGAGCATTGGCGCCGTTGTCTTGGGGGGTATGGTATAAGGGATATATTCTGTTCTAGCCTGAGGTCTCTCAAATCATTTCGGCGTATAAATTGGATAAATTCGGGGGTTACAACTGGAATTAATAATATCTGCATGGTTAGTATATGTAAAAATAATGAATTCAGTATAATGCTATTATTTGCCATCGGCAAATATATCCAACCGACTCTGCTCATGTTCTAGACTGAGACTACATAGTTAGTTACTAGTTACTAGGACTCAGCTGAACTCTACTAGAGTAGTTCGGACTCCACAGTTCGTACTAGAGAGTAGCTACTGCTAGTTCGTGGTTACTAGTTGACTTCATTCTTTGTATTCGCTGATCTGGTGGAGCGACAATTGGAACCCTGCATGTAGACTAGGGAGTGGTAACTACGGAGTAGGACTGCTGAGAATTGAATTCTAGACGAAGCAGGTCAAATTCTTGGTCTATCTCGTAATTCGTCATTCGTCATCATGATTATCGAACCCGCATAGCCTTGCTGCGAGCCGGGCTAGTAGTTCGTGCGTGCTGTCATGGGTAAAAGGTTACACGGAGTCGCTGGCTGCAACGGTGATGCCGGGGACGATCCCGGCTCGGGCGACGAGCCCTCCCATTGGGTCAGCAGGGAAGCCACCATCTCGCGGTAGGCATTCATCTGCGTGAGCTTGAACCGCTGGATCTTGCCACTGGGCGTGCGCGGGATTTCCTCGACAAAGATGACCCCGCCCTTGATGGCCTTGTAGCGAGCCAGCTGCCGCCGTGCAAATACGTACACATCGGCTGCCGTCAGCTGAGCCGCGGCGGGGGCGGTTCGCGAGCGTACAACAAACGCGCGTGGCAGCTCGGTGGTTCCGTCGGTGCTCATCACGCCTATCACGGCGACATCGTCGATGAGTGGGTGTTGGAGGAGGACGGCCTCGACTTCGGCGGGTGCGACTTGCCAGCTGAAAAGTTAGAAAGGCACTAAACTAACAACACGAAAAGAAGAAGAAGAAAAAAAAGAAAAAAAAAA